CTCGTCTTCGTCGCCTTTATTTAAATCTACAATTTGAACAAAACAAACAAATCGAACAAAGTGCTGATCCTGCAAGCAAACACTCAAAGAGTGAAAGCCAAACTCGTATACCTATAATACGAGTTTTATTTTGACGAATGAAGGAAAGTTATATACTTGTGGCGACCGATCGTATGGTGCTTCTGGTTTGCCCAATGACACAAACACTCCAACTCATTATTGGACTCTTGTTCCAAAACTTGAAACCGAATTTGTGACAGGTTAGTTTTCTCTTTTACATGTCGACTCTTAAATCCAAAAGATGTGAGGACTGGATTGTTTTTTGTTGCGGTTTTATGCAAGTCATCAAATGTTTACATTTTTGGATATTTTAATTTCTATCAATTTGGTAGAATTGCTTCAACAAATGCAGGTGTAAACAGTACTCCCATGCTCTTGGATACTTTTGATCAAACAAATATTGAAGATATTGCTTGTGGAGGCTACAATTCTATGATTTTGACAAGTAAGTTTTTGAATCCAAGTTATGGCTAAAGTATTTCCTTAATTTTTTCGTGCATGGCTTGATCAATAGAAAACAAAGAGGTGTACGTGGGTGGTGTGGGTAGAAATGCTCTCAACCCAAACAACTCTGGTGAATATTCCAAGTTAGAATGGGCTCAGATTTTAAAACAAGTTTACACAGGATGTACTTTTAGCAATTCCAACGTTTCCATGCATATGGGAAACACCTTTTACGCCTTGCACATTTCCAAAAACACATCTGTTTTGAGATTTTTCAATTTTAGAAATATTTGGAAAGTGGCAGATGTTGTTTTTCAGTTTGAATAGTCGACACGGCTTTATGAAAACTGTTACCGCCTAACCATTAGTAAATTAACCTTTCACAACTCTTGGATTCAATCATTCGCGAATGGTCAAATCAACAAGCTTTCTAGAGCCTGAGGTCTCGCTATTCAAGGAAAATGGACATTTATTCGAAAAAAGGGTAAATTGGTCAGCGCCTTTATTTAAATCAACAATTTGAACAAAACAAACAAATCGAACAAAGTGCTGATCTTGCAAGCAAACACTCAAAGAGTGAAAGCCAGGGGAAAGGACCCAACGCACACAAGGTGGGGAAGACAACACACAAGGCGCTCAAAAACTAATTCTATGAGTAGTAAGGAATCGAAGAAGAATATTTCTTGCTCCATTGATATCTCTGTCAAAAATTGAGCCACACACATGATGGACAACGAAACACTTCGGATGATCCAACCGTATAAATGAGCCTTGTGTGACAGCAGTTTTCAATTCACTGCTCATTCGTCTTCGTCGGTGGCCTCGTCATCGTTTTCATTGTTCATGGATGAAGATTGAGGTACAGAAGTCGCTACAGTAGGTGCGTTCGAAGGTGCAACTTTTCTCTTCTTTAAGGCTTGCTGATTTGTCCCTTTAGTTGAAGATGCAATGCCAATATCATTAGGGTCTTTGATAGGTGCGTCTCCAGTATTGTTGGCTGTGTTGTTGCGAGAAATGTCTCTCTCCATCAATGGCTCTTGATACATTGGAGGTGGCTGATCATCGAGAAGTTTGTCATACCAGTTTGTTCCAGTTTCTTTTTTGTTTTTAATTTCCTCTTCATGCCACCGCTTGAGCATCTTTTTCAGTTTGACTTTTCTCGAATGGATGAAATTAACTTTAGCTAGTAATTCTTCCCACTGAGCATCACGCTGACTTTTAAAGTAATGGGTTCCAAGCTTTTTCATAACATTGAAAAATTGTTCATAACTCATATTGTTACGATTTTCAATCTTGTAATTAAGGGCAAAATTCAAATTTTCAATCATTGATCTTAGGTACATAGAGACTCCAGGAAGCAAGTAGTAGAGCTTTTCCAAGAGCGCTTCTCTGAGCCTTGTGGAAGACTCATCTTGTTTGATTTGAAGAGTTTCGTGATAATCATTAAGCTGCTTCCAAGTGTAATCTTTTTCTTCTTGATGAATTGGAATCCATACTGCATGTTCGCATATTTGAGCAATGCTTCTTTTGAAGAGATCGTTATGTTCAACAATATCTTTGAGATTTGTGTCACACCCTTCATGTTTGATTTTTAGCAATTTCTCCAGTAATGAATTGGTGCTCTCCAGAACGATTTTTCTTGCAACAGATTGAACAGTGTCGATTTTTCCGTTATATTCATCAATCTCAACAATAAATCTTCCCATTATAAACAATAAGTCAGCAATAAATGTCAAATGTCTAATATCTTGATTTGTGGCGCCTAGACCTCCATTGATAGTGAATGCCTCGTCACTAGGAAAGATTTTAAGCAAAAACTTGAGAAGTGGTAATAACTCGCGAGGATAGAGCACAATCTTTTGAATGTTCACACAATTGCCCATAAATCTGTCCATCATGTCAGCATATTGAGTGTTCACTAAATTGACTGGCATTGTTTCTTCGATATGGTTTTCAGCGTACTCTTGCTTGATAGTCTTTACACATCTGTCATAAACTCTGGTCATACATATGACTGCATATTCGACTAGATACGTCTTGTCTTCGTCCCTGTAATCTCCTGTTCTCAAAGCGTAGCTGTTTCCTGTCAAAATTCTATTGACAATGTTATCGAAGCACTCTTCATACTTTTCAAGCTCCATCATCTTTGAGCAATATTCTTTGTAATATCTAATTTGTAAGCAAAATGCCAAATACCATTCAATACTATTGTTCTTTTTCATGAAATTGAACATGGTATTGAACACTCTGGCAAGATGCTCAAATTTAAAATATGACAGTGATTTTCCGAGAGCCTGAAGTTCTTCGAGACATTTTTGAATTAGGTTCAAGTCAAGTAGTGACCCTAGAGGAGTGTAAGCCGATTGATCTGACTCTACAAAAATCACCTTAAAAACTTCGTTCCATGTTTTTTCGAGCAAATCTGCAATATCAATTCCCCAACTTTCGCGAGTACCGTCAAGCAATTGAGCAATGTTGGAATCTAGTAGTTGGAGCAATCCACTCACCACTCCTCTAGTGACTGCGTACAGAAAGCTAACTGCTGTGTTTATACAATGGGTGGCTCTAGGTTCTCTTTTCTCATCGAGCTCTGACACAGCCCTTGATTTTAGAACCTCAACTTGCTCAAGAGTATTTTTAACTTTATCCAGTACCATCTCTAGACCATCACCTGCATGTACTGCGAGTACTCCTTTCTTTCCACCACTATTGACTTTTGTAAATAATTTTCTAATTTCTGTTTCAACATGTACAGGATTGACCAGCTCAATATTATCAACTCCAATGATGCTGTCAATAGCTCCGTCAGATTTTTTTCCTTTCTTCGACCTGTAACTTCTGCTGCAGCAAATGCTGTGTTTGGAGAAGAAGGAGATGGATGAATTGGAATACCAGCTTGAAAGTGATGATGAAGCAGAGGATCCATCATTAAAGTATTCATACTATGATCCAAAGCCACGTTATGATGAGGGAAGCCAAAAGCACCAGCCGTATGTACAGCAAAAGGATCCAATGATGTCATAGGAGGTGGAATGTGGGAAATAGCTCTAGGGGGTAATTTGGGAAGTTGTTTTAAAGGTTGTGGAGGTAACAAAGTTGCCTTAGGCTTTGGTGCGAGGTTGGAAGCGGTGGCAGTAGTAGCACTACTTATTGGAGATGTTAAATTGCTACTGGAAGGTGTTGTTACAGTTGGGGTGGTAGGTATGGCACTTCCAGAGGAAATTACAACTTCGTCTTCTCCATCTGTGTCCGTTTCTTCCTCTTCACTCTCTGTTAACTTTCTTTTCTTGCCGGCACTACTACTGTCGGTTGGTTGTTGCTTAGGGTTGCTGTTCTGTGGTGAAGTGATGGAAGGGGTTAATGAAGGTGTAGCCACCACAGTAGATGATTGATTATCACTTGTTGTGATGTCACTAGATGATGCTGTTGCAGCAGCCTGCTGTTTTTTCTTCTTTTTCTTTTTAGGTCCATTTGGCGTGGGTACTATTGAAGGTTGAAGTAAATGACCTGTTGTCGTCGAAAGGCCACCCGCTTTTACGGGTGTTGGAGATGTCACAGAGCTAGTGAAACCAGCAGGTGAGGTTATGGAAGAAGCATTAGGGGAAGAAAAATGAGGAGGTGGAATGGTAATAGGATTTGAAAAATTGGGATAAACTGGGGAATGTGTAGTTGAAGGGTTTAAAAGATGATGAGGAGGAGTGCTACCCGGAACTGTAGCAGCATGGGTGGCACCTGGATGAGGATAATATTGGGCCATTTGTTGCTGATAAAGCATGTAGGATTGTTGCGTGATAAAATAGTTCTTGATCGTTTCATCCTTTTGTTTGATTTGCTCCTCTAACTGTCGGACATGTTCCTCTAATTCCGAAATTCGTTTTAATAAACCTTCGCGTTCCTCAATTGAGAAAGTATGTGATGAAGAGCGTTGTTGCTGATTTTGCTGCTGATGATTATTTGCTCTCATTCCTGTATGATCCACAGCAGATCCATCACTTGCTCGGCTGTTTGAAGCATTACTATTTCCAGGCGTTAAAACGACTGCAGAATTTTCATCATGATGGTGAGAGGATGGTTGTGCTGGTGGTGTAGTGATTGCTGTATCTAAATAATGGAATAAATGTTGCTCTTCCTCAGTTAGACCCTCATGATGGTGATGATGTTTGTGTTCCTCTCCTGTCATTGCAGTATTTGGTGTTGTAACTGCATTGTGATGATGTTGGGAATGAGGATCGTTAAGAAATGTAGCGGATGACACAAAATCAGTATGTGGTCGGGACGAGGAAGCGATTGAAGGAGAATTGACTGAAGAGGATGGAATGTTATGATGATACTCCTCATCTCCCATATGTGAAGAAGGAGTTAGAGCAAAAGCATTTGCGTCACCTTCTTCAAGGGTTTCTGCTGTGAGAATTGTTTCCTGCATGTTGTGGTGGTTGGGTTGATAATACGAAGAAAATCTCTTCCGAAAAGTGACTCCACCTATCCAAATTCAATGATAGCAACCGAAATAGATGTTGATAATATATCAAAATGTCTAACAATAATTTAAAAAAGTTGAAATAATAATCCAGCTTTGATTGGAAATTATAACGGATATGATGATTAAAAACGGTTGATAAAATTCGTTTGCTCGATAACAAGACTCTTCCTTGAATCGGAACACTTTTTTCAATCTCTACAACAAGTACCGATTCTCAGAGCACGTTTCTGTTGAAACAAAATAATGTGTCGTTCCAAACTTCCAACAATCTTCAATCTGTTGTTTGATGGCTAGTTATTTTTTTTCGAGTTGAAAACAGCGGAAACTGAGTATAACGGACCAAAGACTTCTTACTTTTTTAATAATTTTATGATAGTTTTTTATTGTATCTCATCAATTTAAGCAGTTTCAACGAATTCTGGTGGAATAACGTCAACAACGTTTTCAAGCTTCAAAGTGAAACCAGGTCTTGGTTGAGCTGGGAGTCTCTTAATGAACTTCTTCTTCTTTTCAGAGGTCTTGTTTGCAAGAGCAATGGCATTATTGAGCTTACATCTTTCCAAGAAATCTTGACGACACTTGCTCTTCACAACGTGTTCCATTCTGACGTGGAATCTCTTCTTGATAATTCTGTTTCTGACAGTCTTGTTGATTTCAACACCGACAGCTCTTGGAGTAACGTTCCAGACTCTACCAGTCTTTCCGTGATAGGTTCTGTGTGGCATACCCTTGTGTTCATTGCTGTTTACTTTGACGGTAACATAATCACCGAGCTTGAAGTTGGTCAAGAAGAACTTGCTTGCCAAGAGACCGTGAGCTCTGAATGGTCTAGCAAAGGTGTGTCTTGTTCTAGCACGATAACCGAAACTGTGAGGCATGTTTTATCGGCTGTTGATATCATGTGAATGCACAATGTGGCGTAATAAGAAATGTAAGCAACTTTAAAGCAAAGAAAATGATACGAACAGTATGATGAGTTTTGGCGTATTTTTTTTCAAACGAATTTTTTAAAAAAATTGGTCAACCAAAAAATATTCTTTACAATGACCAAGAAAAGTTTATCGGCTCTACACGACAATTGTTGTGCAGCTTGGCCTCTAAACTTTGTACAAATCGATCTTATCAAACGACAATAAAAGACTCAGATATGAAATTTACTGTACCAAACAAGGAAATTTGTTGTCTTCCTCTCATGTCCAAAAACTCAATCCTAAAAAATGTCTTCAAATGCAGCTGTAAAGATTGCACACATTGATCTCAACTCGTACACAATATTTGAATCGGCATTTGTCGCTGTGACTCTTTTTCAAATTTTGTACGTGATCAAACACATTCTCATCATCAAACGATACTATTCAGCCGCCAAATATGAGGCTAAGAACATGAATATTGTGATGGCAATGGTTTACATTATTGTTGCAGGAGAGGGTGGAGGCATACTTTCAAGAGTTCTGATCGGAAAACCTTCTCCTTTCATTTCAAATGATTTTAGAATATGGTGTGGATTGGGAACTTGGATGGTTTTGTCATATCTCTTGTTCCGATCTACAAAGGCCAAAGAAAAATTCGCTGGATGGCTCAATCATCCACTATGGAAATACATTCTTATCATTCCGAATGAGGCCAGAAGAGCTATTGCCATGTGTGTCAGTACTTTGGCCTTTTTGAAAATTTCTCGAGCTGAAAATCATGCATCTGTTATTCTATTCCCTACCGTGTTGGGTTTTATTGCAGCATGTGGTGGAGGATTAATGATGAATGGAGTTGAAGCAGCCTACGTTACCAAAAACACCGCTTATGGTTGGAGATCGTTTCTGGAGTCTCCTTCTTGGAAATTGAAGTTACCGTTTGTCTGTGCTTTGTACTACTCATTGAGCTATTATTATTTGGAAAATCTCAGCAATGTTTCAGACTTGGAGAATAACATAATTTACTTACTGGCATACAATGCTATTTATGTGATCATTATTGCCTTTGTTTTGCTTCCAATTTTGACAGATTTGTCTGCATGGATATTTGCTCCAAAGAGCCCGTCCAAACCAGTGGCTACTCCTGCTACAGCAAAGAAACCAAAGAAGGACTAATGAGTAAGTTGGTCATGCTCACAATGTAGATAATAAAATTGTTCAAGTAATGATGAAACGATATACTCAGCCCAAACAAGGATTATGAAGTAATAACTCTTCTGGAGTTGAAAAAGCTCAAAAAAAAGAACGAACTTGTTCATCATCGAAAAAAATTGGAGGTATTTTGTGAATTCAAGCAGTTCTCGAAGAACTGTTATTGTTTGATTTTCATACGGGCTGCTTTTGAGGTTGCTCTGATACTCATTCACACTCCTCACATTCAACCTCTTCTGTTGAAAAGTTCCATCCAGATTTAAACCAATCCCTGTGGTGATCTAGAACATTTTTTGACCTCTGGGAACATCTTAAAGAGGAGCTTGGTGTTTATGGAATGACTCCAACTAATGAAAAAGACTCAGTGTGGTCCTGGGATGAACACGTCCAAGTACCCTGTGACATGCAATGAACTGAACAGGTGTTTTGGGACTTAACCTTCATTCTTGAACTCATCATTCACTGATTGTTATGAATATCCTCAAGTCTTTTGGAATTGAACATGGAAAGGCTATCAAACTGCAAAAGAAGGACAGCTTTAGAATATTATCTAGAAACATTCTCACAAATTATTTAATGGACCAAAAGAAAACAAAGAGAATCTACTGGCAACAAGGTTTTGTTAAAAACGCAAAGCCAATGAAAACATCTTTGAAACAATTGAGATTGGCATTCGTAACAAACTCTGATCATGTAACATTTGTTAAATTAATGGTCACTAGTTTGTTGGAGAAGACTTTAGTTCATGATTCTTCTAAATTGTTGACGGAATCCCAGTATTCCTATTCCAAGCAGATAGTCCTTCCAACATTGAAATGTAATAATTCAAAAACTGTCATTCAAAACCTTAGATTAACAATAGATGTGGTAACAGAAAAGGAAACTATTAAGGTTTCTCCAGTGGATAATGATTCTATATTCGAGTCAAACTGTTTTATAATCGTATTTAACAGAATGCAAAGAAGTAGTTGGCAAAATATTATGGATCACGCAGTCAGGTTTGTTCGAAACCATTCCATCAAAGAAAAGCCAATGATTCTTGTGGGTATGAATTGGAGTCCTCTCTTTCATCAGAAAAATAGGATGAACCACTTTCTTCACGCGAGAGTGGTCAAAGGTTCGAATGATTTCGTAACCAACGATGAGATTCTTCAATTTTGTAAAAAGAATGGCAATGTACTGGCCTTTGTAGATGCTAAGCCTCATTCTGACGGGGATCTTAATGATGTGATGAACCATATTGTAAAATCTACCCTATACTCGGACTGGCTTTCAGGATTCTCTGATTTGGAATTACAAACATTCACCTCGAATTTGTAAATCCATTCATGTATTCATCCATTCAGCGCCGCTCTTGTAAGCAACCAAAATTTATTTATACACTTGAATTCGATGCTGTGAGCAATCAACAATAAATACCTCTCCAGTGAGCGAATTGAAACACATTCTAAAGGGCTTTCCAAATCCTTGCTCCTCACTTGTTGGCTGAAACGTTCTCAAATATTCTCCTTGTGGACTAAAATACTGAACTCTCAAATTTTCTTCGTCACAGACCATCATATTTCCATTTCTTTTATCCACAACTACTCCAATGGGGTGGCCTAATTCAACATTTCCACTCTGCCATCCACCACCACCACCAAACACATGGAAACAGCAATCTCCCTTTTTAGATACCACCACAATTCGTTGATTCCAATAATCAGCAATGACCAATCGTCCCATATTATTAATATCAATCGCGAAAGGTCCATTAAATTGCACATTTTGAGCTCCATTGTTTCCAAACATGTACAAGAACTTTCCTTCTCTTGAATAGACTTGAATTCGATGATTCAAACAATCACAAATAAATACATTTCCATCCATCTCATCTACTACTAGACCATACGGTGAGTTAAATTGTTGTGCACTCGATCCTGCTTGTTTTGAGGTTCCCAATTTCCATATCAATTTCTTACTCTCAATACTGTACTTGTAAATGCAATGGTCGTCACAACTCACAACGACAGAATCATCGACGGAATCGATTGCCAAATGTTTTGGTCGATCATTGGTGTTAATTTTAAATTTAAATGTTTTCGTATTGGTATTAAATGCTTGAATTCTCTTATTCATGTAATCTGTCACAAAAATTAGACCACGTTTCAATGATATTTTCACATCGTTGGGCATGTTAAAAAGACCTTCTTTCGAGGATGGTATTTGAAAAGATCCAATGGTTTGAATGTAATGATGATCTGATAAAACAGTGGCATGTTTGGGTCCATCGTCTTTGCTGACCCTTAAATTAAATGGAGATTGGAATATATGTTGACAGAGTTGTTTGTTTCTCGTTCGTTTTCGATCAATCATCACTACAAGTCTTAGATGGGTCAAATCTCTAAATTCAGGAATTTGAATTTCGATTTGGAATTCTTTGTTGTCAAATTCTTCAGGGTTCTTTTCCTTAATGGAGGAACATCGAGAGAGTACCATTCCATCTTGCGTCTCTATGAAGCAATTAATCAAAGGAATTAATGAGTAGCTTCCTTCGAGTTTCTTATTTTCAGTATGTTTTTCATTGTCCTTCGCTCGTAGTACAAGTGTGAAACTTAACACTTGTTTACATTTCCAAATTTGGTTTTGAATCTTTTGCATTTCCAAAATCTTACATGATTGAGGATCAATTGGTGTATATTCAAACATTAACACATCTCCCATATTCTGAATTTGATTATTAATCGCCTCTATTGGACTTGAAATGTTCACCAATTTCATGTCATGTAATTGTTCTAATTTTCCAATCGATTCAAATTGAGATTTCAAATGTTCAAATGAATACATGGCCTTTTTAAATTGGTTCATTCGTTTTTCCATAAATTCATATCCATTCATTTCGTCCACATTATGGAAATAGGCCAACGTCTCGTTTGTTTCATCCTTCATTTCAAATATTTTCTCAATGAGTTTACAATTTTTTTCACACAACTTGTCAATATTCGAATGCAATTCTTCTTGTCGCTGTTTCAGAACATCTCGTAAAATTTCAAAAATTTGATCGAGCTCATCTTTGAGTTCAATTTTCTTCATTTCAATGCATTTTAACTCTTTTCGTAAATCTTCATCTTTTGCAGAGAAGACTTGTTCCCAACTTTTTATGGATTCTTTCAATGAGGAGAGTTGAATTTTAAATTTTTCTTTTTCTTCTTTTTCAATGGTGGATAATAAATCAGAGGAATGACCTCGATGAGGTTTATCGAGGGCACATGCAGCACAGATTAATTTTTCACAATTTCGACAATACACATTAATTGGGCATTGATGAAGAGAACAAGTGGGTACTCCAAATATGGAATTGACAGCAGTTGGAGAATGATTAGTGACATGGCCATTGTTACTGAATGAAAAGCTACCACTAGTGCTAGTGGATAGAATTGGAGAGTTGATATTATTGTTTTGAGAAGAGCTTGATGCTGAGAGTGTTGGAGAAGAATTTTCATTGTTTACCAAATTTGGCAAAATATGAGAATTTGTTGTGATGGTCACTTGAATAGGATCGGAAGGTGTTTGTGGTGTTGAATTTCGGGAAGGTGTGGCAATATTCACAACCGAATGTCCATGATTGTTTTTTGAATGACGTTTGGCATGAAGAGGACAAAAATATGGATTTTGTGAAGTTTTAATATCTTGTTCTTTTGGGAATAAACATGATGAGCAACAATGAGTAGCGTCTATGAATTCGTCCTCTTCCTCCAAACAAATGGAACAATTTCGGGCAAGACCTGTTGTTGACATTTTTTTAACCGCAAATGACAAACGTCAAGCAAGTTTTTACCGACTGGATGCCTTTATTGTGAAGGATTTGATGAATAGTTCTGACGGTGTCTTGGTGTTTCATTCCAATGTTATTGATTAGATTTTAGAATGGCAACAATTGACAAAGAGCCAGAATCAGTTGTTGTTTTAATTTACAGATACAGAATCAATTGGAAATTCTTTGAATCCCATTAGCTGTGGACCAATAACAATTTATGCTCATCGTGATTCAGAGAGAACTTGGAGTCTCCAATTCCATCAGCTTCAAATTGAACTTCATTTTCAGAAATGAACACCTCTTCAAATCCACAACAAAAAAACATCTCTCCTCATTCTCTCTTGCACCATTGCATATTCAAAATTATTACTATTGAAATATCAACGATCCATGGCCTCGTCATCATTGGAACTTGTCCTTTTGCAACATTTTGATCATCGGAATCAACCATCGTGTCCTCTCTCTGTAGTGGCCTCTTTCATTCCTCCTTCGGATTGGTTGCAAAGCCTCTTTCTGCTCTCTTCCAAAATTTATGAGCCTTTTAAAAGTAATGAAGGAATTTTAGAAGAGAATTATGATAACAATAGGTTTGCAAAAGAACAGCTTTGGTTGGAACAATGCCAATTCTCATTTCCCGATGTGCTTTGGAATTATTTGAGTTCTTCTTCCATAACACAAAGAAAGGAATTTAAAAAGTTATTCATTCAACAATGTCATATTTTGAAGAGATATAAGGATGGATTGTATCATCATGCATGTTTGGAAGGACATTTGGCTTCTGTGAATGCCTTGTGTTGTACCAATTTGGAAAAGTCATTATCGATTACCATTCCAACCTTATTTTCAGGAGATTTGAAATCAAGTATTGCGCAGTGGGACTTGAGATCGACCTTGCAAATGAAATCTAGCGATTATCATTGTAACGATGAAGGGAAAATTATCAAAATTTTGAGTTATCAATATGTGCAAAAGAAGATCAGCCCCAAGCAACCTCCAACGTTTTAACAGTATCGCCTTACTCGGATGATGGAATCACAGGAAATGCTAAAATGACAGAACCTTTAACCAAGACCCTTTGCTTGAGTTGTACGAGTGGAAATGATTTGGATGGAAGTCATTCCTCACTCTTTGTTTTTGATGGAATGGACGGAAGTGTAAAATATTCCATCCTAAAAGGTCTCAACGAGAGTAAGAAAGGCCAATCCAAAGTTTTAGATTTCAATCATATTGGAATGGAGTATATCATGAATTCTGTTTCTAATTGTTTGAATATTTGGAAATTGAATAATGAGTCAAAGCAATACGAATTGTTACACCAATTGGATGACCATCATCAATATGATATCACATGCGTTAAGGTAATCCCAGGAGATGTTCCTCTCGTTGCAACTTCAGGTTTAGATACCCATATTTGCGTGTGGAATGTGGAGAGTGGGAAATTAATGAGCAAGATTGGATTGCCACACTTGAGTCCAATCAAATCCATGTTTGAAGTGTTTGTTGTGAATCAAAGGATAGTTATTCTAAGTATTAGTATGGATGGATCCATGGTTCTCTCATGCTGCAACATGAAGGAAGACTCTCAATGGAAGGAAACATTGATTGTCACAGCCTCCAACTCGGGTAGTTCCGTATTGTGTGCAAGTATTATTTCCACAAGTACTCCTCGTGAATTCTTATGCTCGATTTCATATCAAAATAGGTCCATTGAGCTGTATTCAATGAAACTAGTCCCACAGAGTGGTGATACATATTCACTGGACTTCCAACTATCCCAACCCTTTGTTCTCTCATTACCAAGTGTTGCGAATCACATGATTCTCACAAGAAACAAGCTAATATGTTCCAGCAGAGATTGTACTGTGAGAATGTTCTTACTTTCATGTACTCCCAATTTTGATAGAGTCACAAGTTGCGACATGGTTTCTCAGGTCGATTGTGTGTCTTCGCAATGTTTCTCGATGGCCTTAACATCTGATCAATCCATTCTCTTGCTTGGCCTTTCAGATGCCGCTATTTATTATTTGAAATTTAGTCCACGATATGAATGGGATTATCCACGATTTGAACTAGGCAAGGATGATCTTCTTTATGACAATAACATCCACGCATACTTGAAACCACCTTTTGAAGAGTTCAGTATTGATCATGTGAAACGCCCACAAGAAGATTTGAATAGAATCAAGTGTGTGAAATTCTTGGATCATATTTACAAGGGCAGAGATGAAACCTACCTCATTCATCATTTACTTTCAGAACTCGAATGTCAACATCTGATTGCAATGACTGAAAAGCTCTCTTATGAAGATTGCTATGGCTATCACAAAGATTATCGATCCAACAAGAGAGTCATTGTGGAAGACAAGATCACTGCTCAAATTCTATTCGAGCGAGCCAAACCTCTCATTCCACAAGAATACGTCGACGAAAATGGTCAAATATGGGATTTGAAGTTTGCCAATTCCCGTTGGAGATTTTGTAGATACACTCCAGGTCAACACTTTTTAGCACCACATCAAGATGGATTCTATGAAGTGGATAAAAACACTCGAAGTTTCTTTACCTTCATGATGTATCTGAATGGAGGATATGAAGAGGGAAGAACCACTTTCATTCAAGCAAAGAATAAGGAAGGACCTCCTCAACCACCATTTAGTGAAGTTGGTCAGGTTGAACCTCATGCTGGGTTATGTATTGTATTTCCTCATCATTTGTTGCATTATGGATCTGTGTTGAAGAGTGGTGTGAAATATTTGATGAGAAGTGAGTTGATATATTCGAGAAGAAGAGTTCAATGAAACAAATGATGAAGTTCCGTAATGATACCAATAAGAAAATTTGAATCCAATGCAATTATTTAAAATAAAATTATTTGATGGTGTGTTATTGAACAGAATTCTTGAAGAGAAACATCCATCAGTGAATTTTCAATTTACCTAACAACATTAGTGCTACATTGGCCTTTGTACACCAAAACTAAAATTGAATATTGTAAACTCATCAAATCGTAAAAAAATATTTCTTCGTCATCATCATGAGTTCATACATTCGTGAACAAAAGAAGATTTTGAAACAAGGCATCAAACAACATCTCACCGAACATTGTGATAAGGTCCAAAATGGCCAATATACCGGTGAAGATTTGGCCAAGGAAATGAGGGAATATCGTTCTACCGAAAAGCCATCCAACTTTTTCGTTTGGAAGAGACTTCATAAGAATACCGGAGTTTATGCTTCTTGGAAGGATGATAATTTTCTCAAGTGGACCTACAAGGAATTAACAAGAGCAAGAACCTTCCCATGGTTGGTTGCTGCTGCTTCTTGGTACGGATTTGTTTTCCTCTTCCCACATCCAACTCAGGAAGATATGAAGAAGTCACCAAACTTCCATCCTCATGGTCATCCACCAGGATCCAATATGACTCCTCACTATCAACATTTAGTTCATGAAATTGAGGCTCCACCAAAGTACTAAATTATTTCCGTTTCTCTTTCTTCATCATCATAATACAAATTTTGGGTGTAATATTATTACGAATCGTCATATTTGTCTTGAACCGGAGTGTTGTGAATATATTCGTTTTCATCACAATATGATTAGCATGAATTATTCATGATGACCACTGATACTTTTCAAAAAGAAATAAATCATCAAGGTGATGAAATTGATTGAATGTTGGTGTGTGAATAGCGTTGCTTGTTGTTGCAAGCAGCACCGAGGTACATCACGTTCAAATCCTTTTGCAAGGCTTAATGATAACATGAAGCGTCAAACTTTGACATTCTTGTTCTCTCAAAATTAGCCTCCAATGTCGTAGCGGTATTGAGACATCTTTTTGTCATTGAGCTCCACCGTAACAGGGGTTGTTTGGTGAGAGCTGTTGCTGCTGCTTGATTCAAGAGTGGTTTGCTCCCAATTTTTCAAAATTGTTGCCATAGGGTTACAGATTCAACTGTGGGTGTTTGTTGTTCTTTCGAGGATGACGATGTCTCAACAATAAGGGTTTGTCAACTCTAGTCACAAAATCTTTATTAATGTTACCAAACTGTCCTTATGACAAGGAAATCTGCTCGGCTGGTACGTCCTTGGTTAGGTGAGAAACAAAAACATGGTCACTTCCCATAATATGATTAATGAGCCAATGCAGTAAATAATTCAACAAATCAACGTTCAAGAATGAAATCGTCGAGTGATTGTCGAGATATTCCTGATGCAATTTCTTCATCTTGCTCGTAAATTCTTCATGCTCTTGGTGATGTTCCTCTGCATAACCCTCTGGCAACAATTTTGCATACTTGGCCATAATTCGTTCCTCTGTTTCAAAATGAAATTCAGTATATTCTAAACATAATCCAATCACATATCCCAATAACCATTCATCATTCGACCGTTCTGGAACATTGCAGTCATTTTCACCTCCAAACATCAATTGAATCAGCTTGTTGATAATATCCACCAATCCATGATGTTGTTCATCCATAATATCCACTCCCAACGTTAAATCTTTGGTCCAATGAACGAGTGGGAATGTCGTGGTCGCTTGTTGTTGTGACATATTCGATGAAGACGACAATGAATCCAACGTATTCTTGGTGAGTGACGATAAATTACTGGATGAAATGGTTTCAGAAGCACCAACACCTGTTGAGGACGAAGTGGCAGCAACAGCAGCACTCGTTGTTTCTTGTGAATTCTTTTTGTGAATCTTGAAAATGTGCCACCATTTCTTTTCATTCTTCTTTTCCTTAGATTTTAATTCTTTTTCAAACTCTTCAATATTTCCTTCTGCTAGTTTCTTCAAATTCAATGAGAGTCGTTTGGCAAGTTTGAGACATGACAAGTGTTGTGCATTCTTAGTTTCTAAATCTTTTTGTGAATAAAGTGAATATAAATATTGAATCATTCGAAGCTTTCGTTGTCGAATTGCAACATGGAGAGGTAAATCCAATTGCTGATTGGGAATGTTGAGTTCTACTTCTTGACAACTCACTAATAGTTTAAAACAGTCGTAATGAGTTGTCATGATTGCAATATGCAGTGGAGTATTTCCAAGAATTTTGTCCTTTTCATTGAGAGCTTGTTTCAACTTGTCGTCCGAATCAAACAATCGAATAATTTTAAGAAGAGGTTGGAATGCATCTCTTTCGACGCAAAAGTGAATCATGGAGTGACCATAGTGATTGGTTTGGTCGAGAGCTTTCTGTAAAATACCTGGACAATGTTCTGTGAAAAAGTTCAATAGAAAATCAAACGCTTGTTCTTGTTTTGGCTCTGAAATGAGATGTGAGGAAGTGTTATTCGTTGTTGTTGATGGAGAGGTGCTTGAAGGTGTCATTGTTGTCGCGCCATTCTGATGTGCACGTTTTTTTCTTCTTAGAAATTCTTCATAAGATTTGATGGCATTGAAAAGAGGAATTTGATGTCGTTGATCACTTCGCAACATGAGAGATTGTCGTTCTTGAAAGAGTTGATTCTGTTCAGTGTTTGTTAAATCTATTCGTTGGTCTTTTCCAATTCCTAAAAGAATATACTTGATCATATCCACATCATTCATTTCACATGCTCGATGAAGATACGATTCTCCACCATGAATCTTGTAAAACATATCTGCTCCAAAAGTAATTAAAATATCAGACATTTCAAAATCTTTTCGATTCATGGCGTACCACAAAGGACTACATTCGAAAACATCTTTTGTGTTAATCTTGATAGCATTTGAAAAGCTGCAGAGAAATGCAGTGGATTCATAGGCGCCAGAAGTCACTGAATGAAACAATGGAGTGGCATGAATGTCATCTTCTAAATTAATCACATCAGCGAGTGTTTCATTCATTCCAATGAAATTCTTAAAAAGCATATCTAACACGTCGACTTGATTGAATCGAGCAGCCAAGTGAACCAGAGTGCAATTGCTCCATGATTGTTTTTTCACATGTTCTCTCTTATCTTCATCGGCACAAGCGATTGATTCTTTCACTTCAACCGAGCCAGTTAATCGAAGACTTTTCATACTGAGAGAAAAACGATTGGATTTTTGTCGATGTTCTTCTAAGAGAGTTTTCAGTCGTTCCACATGACCATAAATACACACTTGAAATATTTCATCCAACGAAGAGAGATAGTGTTCATGTTCTGTGAGAAACTTGTTAAAACTTGTTTTCTCATGGTGATTTGTTTTTTGGTGTGTTTCTTCCAAAGGTGTGACCATTTCTTTCTCGTGTTGACTGAGCGTTGTAAATTCAGTGTTCATTTCAGCGCTATCATTTACAGAAATGTTGTTTTCAGAGGTGACACCGTCCACGACCATCACAGGAGAAACCTCATTGGAGATTGTCTGGTCACTAGGATCTGTCGTTGCAGCATGTACTGCTTCACATACTTTCTTTGAATCCAAATCCTCATTGTCCAATACAATTTCATTGGCTGGATCGACTTCGGGAGTTGTGACTTTCAATAAAGGAGTCATTGTTTTGTTATTGTTTGATGACTGTTTCGCTTCAACAATGACATTCAAAGATTTGGTCACCACTGTATGATGATGAATGGATGGATCCACCAAATCTTGAGCTTGTGAATTTTGTAAAAGGGCTCTTGTGTTTTCAACTTCCAAGAGCTCTAAATATTGTTTTGCAAAATCTCGAATACTCACTCTCGTGGCAATGTGAATCGGACCATGATGGTGGTGATGGTGATGATGATGATGGCTAGTGCTGCTAGTCGGTTGAACGGAAAGATGACTCTGTGAATGATGGTGATGGTGGTGACTACTACTTGAAGAGATGGACAATCTCGGAGGAAATGAAGTATTCAATGTCAGTTGACCACCATTGGACGAAAGAGACCATGATGAGGATGAGCCAGAGGAATCCATGGAATGTCGATTCCGTGTCGTCGAATTGGTCGACGATGAATTACTTTTAGAAATGAGTGATGTGTCACTGAGTTTTCCATTCAACGCTGAGCTCGATGGAAGGTCATCTGTGGTTCGATGTAAAGGTTGTAGTGCCGATGTAGAGGCATGAGTGGTGGTGGTGGTTGAAGAAGACGACGATGTTTGTAAAACACTCACGGACTTGGAATGATGGTCACGATGGAACAAGTTGGAAAAGAAACCCATGTGTTGTATTCAAAATTGAGAGAAGTGATGATGGTTCAACTGTGTGGTATACCACTGCACAAAGGCTTTCGTTGGAGAGCTGACAAGTATCGGGGCTTTGTTGTTGTTTTTTGTGATGAATTATAATACCACTGACAGCGCGGTTTGTTTTTTTCTAAATTTGGAGATTTTTAAAGAGCAATGCAACGACATTTTTGAATGGCATCTTGTGTGTGAATTATTGGAATTTCCAATGAATTGAATATTCAGTAAATTACAACAGATTCATATTTGGTGTATTTTACTAGTGCACAAAGAGGAGTGTTCTCATGATTTGCTTTCTGAAACATACAGAATGATATTGACAATATCGGTGTCCACCAATTAATTCACAACAACCACAGGTGGTTCTGTAAAAGACTCTCCTGAGGTCTGTTCTTTTTCTTTGGATACAATAATATCCATGACTAACCAATAGAAGGATATTCCAAAACATTCCTTCACTTGAAGTGATCGATTGTCATTTCTCACTACAACGTAGAACAATGCAGCAACCTCTTTTCTAGAGAGCATCTTTGAAGAATTGTTCATTATGGCCTTCATAGACTCCTTATGATAATATTTTGTGAAATTCATAACAATATCACTAATTTCCATTCGAAGTTTGTAATGATTTTTTCCACATTTGACCTCAAGGTCTTTGGCGTTGAAAAATCCAGCTAGCAAGTCAACCTCAGATTCAATATAATACTGGAACATGAGCTTTCTTAAATCTCTCTTATAATTTTCATAAATTTTTGTCACATCTGCATAAGCTTTCAAAATGTCTTGATCTAGATCAAAAAATTCCTCTTCGTAATCCACAAAAAGTTGTTTCAATGGTTTGTATGTGACGAATAGCTTGTCAAGTATTGTAAAATAGTGATCTAATGTATCATAACCATACTTCTCAGGACCCAATTTCAACTTTTTTCGCTTTTGTTCTTCCCATTTCACTCGATCATAAATTTTCCCTAAAATATCATCTGAATGGTAAATTGATTTACCGAAAACCTTTGGCATATAATGAGGTCTACTGTCCGAAAGTAGTTCCAGTGGCAGTGCTTTCCTTACACCCGATTTAGCATAGTCTACTTGATAACTGTGATACTTTGCTAAATCTAAGCAAACAGCGCTTTTAGCACCTTCTTTTTCTTTGTCATAATGTTCCAAATGCAAAAACGCTACTACTCCTAGGTTGTCATTCACAATGTACTCTGTTAAAAACTCTCTAATTGCTTTGTAGTCACATCCACCATGCTTCTCGACAGGCGGTAATGGTTCATAATCCATGGGGGGATATTCTTCGAATTCCAATAACCTTGGCTCCCAACACACGTAAAACAAATCACCATCCAAATCACCTCCCGAAAGTTTGTTTGGTTGAGGTCGATTTCCTCTCTGTGAGAAAACAACAACGTCCTTCAAATGTGACAGATATTTGATCTTCTCTGGATCATCCACAGCCTTAAATTTGCGAATATCTCCCGGATGCAAACATGGATTTCTAGAAATTGCCACCTCTCCAGTGACAATTCCTCCGTTTTCATAACATCCCTCCTCATAAATGTCACAGTTTGCATGATCTAAGGCAGAGAGTTGAATAAAAACCTCGTCTTCTTCCAATACATTATAAAAATCAACAACTCCCATGAGAAGGGATGATTTGTCCACCATTAATCGTCCAGATTTGAGATCGGAGAGTCTACTTTTCAGCATTCTACTGACAACTTTACAGAATAAAGGTTCTACTTGGAAAAAATATTGTATCGAAGATTGGGCTTTTCCAAGAGAGGAGAGATCCATTTCTTTGTCGAGATAATTGAGGCCAATAATTTTCTTCAAATTATTTCCGATAATATTATCGTGAGCTTTTCTCAATATTCTCTTCACATACTTTTTGTTTTCAAATAAGTGACGAACTTCATCTAATTGCTGCTCCAAAAGGTCTAAAAACGCTTTGTCACTCAATCCATTGGAGCTAAGTAATGCAATGACCTGTCTATTTAGGGATGCGTATCTATGTCTTTTAGAATAGACAATGATTTCAAACTCTTTGGATGATTCGGTAGTAAATTTTTGTTGACTTTGCGAAAGTAGCAAGTCCTTATTGGTTAGGGTTTGAATGAAGGGATCGACTTGTACAACGCCCTTATATCCACCCAATCTAAATTGAAACGCACTAGGTATATATTGCTTTCCACAATAACCAATTTGAAACTTGTCGGCAAGCTCTAAGGCAAACTTGGGTGAAATTCTTCCCACACCGTCTGTAAAGATTTTTCCATTCCTACAAATATCAGGAACCACATCAAAGTCTTTTTCAATACCTTCATAGGTGTGAGAGAAACATTGACCAATTCTTGCTGCATATTTGGCTACCACTTTGATGTGAGAAAAATTTCCAAGATCGGCAACGATAGATTTAGGGGAAAGGCTGTCTATAGCGCAAACAAACCAAGCACTATGGGATCTAAGCTGAGAGTTGCTGTAAGCTAACATTTCATATAATCTATTGTGTATATAAAAACCCTTCTTGACGAAAAAATCTATTCTGTTGTGGAGGTTGACAAACTTTTCAGCGCTGAGTTTGGTTTGATCTTCGTCACAGAAAGTCACTCTTAAAAAATAGTCCTCATACTTGTCCTTATATTTTCGTAATACTCTATTTCCTCCTTCCACAGTTTTATCAACATATTTCACTCCTGTGGGTGTAACCATGATTTTTCTAATGGTAAACATGTTATTTTGGCCAGAAAATTCAGGTTCTGTTTGCTTGAACTTGTGTTTCTCTACATTCTGTTTAAAAATATCCATAAAGCTGTTTGGGTAAATATCCTTGTCATTAATAATGTCACGAAGGGCAGCATCGATCCACTCTAATGCATAATCTTCGTTGATGTATTGAACAATCGTGTCTCGAATTTGTTCCAGTCTCAACATACTGTTCAATAGACCAGGAACCTTAGTCGTGACACAAAATAATAAATAAACAGTATTGAAGGAAAGGTCTTGAATATGAAAATTCATTACTCCATCCTCTAAATAAACATCCATCTCGACATATTGAATTCTCTCGTCTCTGTACAAAATTGGGTATGGGTAATGGTTTCCCACAATAAGGGATTTGATGTTCGTTGAGGGTAATTGTATCACAATGGATCTTCCAAATTTGAAATTGTTTAACCACAGCGAAGAATAGCTGTCTTTCTGTGAGAAAAAGGGTGCAGCCATTCTAGCTAATAATATTGAAACCAAAAATTGAAAGGAATGCTTCAATCAACAGAGTTACAAAATTGCTTACCTTTAACTGGCTCATCTGGTTTTTTTCTGTACACAAACGGCGTGTTGACTAGCTCAATTGCCATTTCTGACTTGTACACGATCACTCGCTTGATATTACTTCTTCTAATATCCATCCAGTATTCGTGCTCAGATGATGAAAATACAGCTTGCCATTTCATGTCACCATTTAACTTCCAAAATAGCTTTGAAAGAGAGCGTTCTGGCATTCTGTAACCGGATGTGTTATCTTTTTTCACAATTCTAAACGTTGTGTGTCTAGAGTCTTCGAAATTACCAATCTCTGTGGCTATCCATTTCAAATCAACAGTTCCAAACTCCACAATTTCGTTACTCGTGCTGCTACTTGCTGTCGGTGATGATGACATTGTTGAAGAAACTGTTTTTGATGATGATGAAGAGATGATCGATATTGTGCTTGGACTGTTGGTTCTAGAAGCCTTTGGTGAAAATGGAGTTCGATATGATATCACGTCATCATTTGGCACAAAATTTGAAGTCTTTTTCTTGGAATTACTAGGTGTTGGCTGAGACGTTGAAATTGTTGTGCTACTAATACTGCAATTTGCCATTGTGGCTGTGGCTGATTGTAAAGGCTGTGCATTGGGTTTAGCCTTTGATTTTCCTAATGCTGGGAAGTCCTTTTCCAAATCCAATGTTTTCGGAGTTACAATTCTGTTCGCGGAATGTGCATGCCTGCTATTGGGTGTATGATTGTGTTGATAATCTTTGTTGATATTGCTACTGCGATTGTGTTGTTGCTCGGAATTATTTCTTCTAGCATGATGCATCCTGGAATGCGAGGTTCCTTGTTGAATCATCTTCCGTTTTACGTGCTCGTCATCCTCACTACTATCGACCTTTCCTGTGCTTGGTGTGGGCAGGTTGTGTTGATGTTGTTTGAACATTTTATTTGTTGAAAACTTCAAAGCCTTCTTGAACGAAATTGGAATCTATAGAAGCATGATTCGTTCAAGGCTTACTCAAAAAAACAACTCACGAAATACATTCAACACAAATATCACACAAATTTGTGGTAATGTGTACTTCCTCATAATTCAACAGTGCTGTTGGTTTGGTTGTTAGAGAATGCAATGCCCGTTTAAATTCGTCATCGTACCGAAAGCCCTTATAGTCTTCATAGGCAAGGACGCTCCAACCCAACGCTAACAGTCTATTCACTCCATATTTGTTTTTAGTGATGGTCCAACAATACTCAGTGTGAGGATCAATGTAACGACGAGTATTGTCTTTATGATGTGATAAATCACCAAGGGACAAAATATAATCCTTGGTCATAATGATGGAATTTCTGGAGCAGCATGCAATTTGCAAGACGTCCTGTCCATGGATAATACTTGGCAGCTCAATCGGTGTTACCACTCGAACAAAGTCACGGCTACCGTAATGACGAGCGATATCTACTCCAATCGTGTAGATGGATGCATTGGCAAGAAGCATTAAGTTTTGAAAGTAGAGCTTATTATTGTGAGTAACAATTGCTAAACAAGTGCCACATCTCATCATTTTAATGTTATGCAATTGCCCGTCCAGCTCTCCTTTCTCTACCCTTGCTAAGCTACCCATGTGAGTGATGGCTGTAATTTCATAATCTTCTGTAAAGGAATCTTCAGATGGATTTTCATACAGTAAAACTTTTCTTGAAAGAATATATGAACATGATCCAACACAGCCATCTGAAGTGAGCACAATTTCTCTCCCATGTTCCTTAAAGTAATCAATTAACAAAATTTCCCAATTAATATCATGTTGTGAGAGGCAAATAATAGATCCATTTTGAAAATAGAATAAAATACAATTGTGTGATCCACTAATGGTGACAAGTTGTGTGTTGATCATGTTATTCAATTCTGTTGTTAATGTAATTCGTTTACCATATTTTCGAATATTTTCACCCAGATCAAATCTCTCAATTTTGAATTGTTGAGTCTCATACATGGTCGTTGAGTAGATAAATAATCGTTTCTTTGCATCCATAAAGAGGATGTTGCTTCCACTTGCTATTATTTTTACAATTGGACATGATAATATTGGGCTTTCTATCTCCGAAGCAATAGTGACGCCTCCATCAAAGTTTATCGTTTCATTGCTGTAATGTACAACAGATGAATGTGATGAAAAGGCAAAAGAAGCCAATTCTTTAATTCTTCCAAATGAACTCTTCGGGACTGATGATGGTATTTGTCCAACCGAAGGCATACTCTCACTCGGAATACTAATTCTGTGCCAATCGATAAAATATGAATTTGCAAATACACCCATGTACGTGCCCCAAAGCAAAAAGTTATTGGGTACACGGTGAGGTGATGATCGACAATCACTACAGCTTAAAGAGGCTCCATGATGTTGTCCCATTTTTTATAATAGTTACAATTTTTGTAAAACGCTTATTCGTAACCTGTTGTTTAAAAACTTTAAGGAAGTGAAAAACATCAGGTTACGAATGATCAGATGTTTTTCACTTCCATGTTGTATATCAACGAGGAAAAAATAATGGAGCCTTTAAGCACAGCCTCAGTCTTCCCTCAAAAAAACATCCCTTAAAAAATTCTTCAACCTTCCAAAATGAAGATCCGATTCTGCTTGTACGAGTTTGCTGAATCAGAGGAAGAAATTCGTTTTAAGAAGAAACTTTTTGCTGAATGCAATCTTTGCAAGAGGAGTGAATTCCATGAATTAAGAACAACGCCAAACCTCTCCGATATTTCAGTAACAACGCTCCGAGAAGGAGGAAATTTCATTAAATCTTACATAACGGATCAAAATATGAATAGTAAGATCTCACCAAAGGACTGGATTTGTATATCAGAAACCATAGTATGGGAGGATCTCGGAGAGAAGCTGTTCATCATTTCTTCCTTTCATAGAAGGCAGTTCAAGTTGTATAGTATTATTTGTGCGCAATTGTTACGACAACTTTCAATGGATAGCTCAGCAAACACGCATATCAGTTGCAATACTTTAGATCCTTCTCAAACAGACAAAGTGATAGATATTGACCTTCCTCGATTTTATCCTCTAATGAATCGTTATCATTCTTTCACCCCAATCAATAGAAGCTTTTTCTCTAATTTTCATGCATGTATTTTCGGAGATGAAACCAAATGCTTCATGAGGGACAGAGAAATCAACTATTTAAGCTCCAGACGGACTGTTGTTGATATAGAGAAGAGAATTCCTTGCAAGGCTTACCAAAAAGCAACGATGCAAGTGAAAAGAATTGTAATGCCCAACGTTGATCCAATCTATGAAGAGCTGATGCAATACTTGTACAGAGACGTTGCTCAAAATCATGGCAAAGCAATAACTTCTGGAGGGTCCGTAAACATTCATGGATCCGTATTTCAAAAATCCGTTCTTGAATGCATTGCTGAGTTGGAGAGCCCCGTGCAAATGTTTGGAGATACTTCTCAAGGTGTTTTTCGAAAGCGATTATCCACCATTTTGAAAATGATTGAAAATGAGGATGATCTTTTCAAGGGATGCACTTCAAAGACCAGAAGGTTCATTCAAACTCCAATTCCTCACGACGAGTTCTACTATCTGTCACAAATATCTCACTTCATAGAAGAGCCAGAAAGGTTAGTGACTTTATCCATCCCAAAAACAGACATGTTCTTTGAGGTTGAGTATGCGTGCTCCAAACTGGTTGCGAATATGGAAAATACAGATCGATTTTGCAACTACTGGGTGGCTTCTGAGCTGAGACGTTGTGTCAAAGTAATAGAGAACATGCTAAATTCCTTAAACCTGGAAAAGCTTAACACTAAACAAATAGAGGCCATTAAAAGATTATTAAGTAGGATCGTTGAGAGCAAAGAACAGGTCATTGGAAGTGGAGACATTGTTATGCTCAACGTTTTTTCAAAGCCCAGATCATTCTTAGGACGACTCAAATTTTGGAAACGTCAGTAAAGTTGGTCTCACACATTGGAATGAGGGATTCCGTAATCGTTCGACCTTAGTAATTTATGTCACCTTTCGCCAAGACAAAGATCAAGAAAAAAAAAGCTACTGGCATTCCTCCACGTGCTTCCATCAGGTAGGTTGAATTTGCTGTTGAACCGTGAGAGAATCACTGTTCGTCTTGATGTAATTTCTTTTGTTGTGCTTTTTTTCGGATGGAATCCATTACGATCTGTTTTTTACGGCCTTGATGATTGTATTTGAAACACTCTTGAATTTAATTGTTATTCCACACCACTGGTTCATGTGTCATTATTATTATCCAATTCTATTTGTTTCTTGGATAACGTTCATTTCATCATCAATCAATTTAAATGTGTGCTGCACTGAACACGCATCGAACAAAAAACAACACAACACCACCTTCTCGTTGCTCCTTGATACATTTTTCTGATTGTCAGCCTCATCATCATCACTCTCACAATATTGTATACAAAATGGTCAGAGATAGCTACTTACCAGCCGGAAGAGATGAAACCTACGGAAAGGCTACTGAATCAGCCAAATCAGCAGTGGTTTCTCCTCTCTCTAAACTCACTCCAGAACAAACCAAGTTGATGGGTGAGCTTCGTAAAATTGCTGAAGGATGGGATCTTGATGAGGAACAAAAGGCCTTCATGGATGAAATGTGTCTATTCCGTTACCTTTCCGGTTTGCAATGGAATATGGATCAAGCTAGCAAACAATTGAAGGAAACTATGGAATGGAGAAAGACTTTCCGTCCACAAGATATCAGATTGAAGGATTTGGAACCAATTGCCAAGCAAGGATTCTTGTTCCATTACGGATATGACAAGGTGAGTTGAAATTGTAGTAGTCGTTTTCTCTCATAGATGACCATGATGATGATATGGACAATTCGATGCCCGCAATAATTTCATCATTTGTGATTTTGAAACTCGAAAATGATAACTATTGTTTTTCAATAATTGTGGTTGAACTTTTTGAAATATCATGAATTTGTCATTTATTTCATAATAGCAATGTCGTCCAGTCATTTATGTTCTTATGGGTATGTTGCACAGATATTGTTTCATTAGAATGATCTAATTCATTCCTATTATGACTTGGTGTGACAAAATTTCTAGGCAAGGACACTGCCGACAACACTGAAGAAAACAAAAAGTTGAAATTTAAACTTTTTGTCTACATGATGGAGAAGTGTATCAAGAGAATGCCAGAAGGTGTTCACAACATTGTTTGGTTGGTTGACTTGAAGGATTCTTCGCTCTCAATGTCATTGGTCAAGGAAATGAAGGATACGTAAGTTTTAAAGCAATTTCCATATAGGATTGTGATATATCATTTCATTCATTAATTTTAACACAATTTTCTTCATGATGCTGACATCAACTAGTTTTGTTCAATTAGGTAACTACTACACCGAAAGACTGGCCCGTACTCTTGTGCTCAATGCTGGTTGGACAATTTCTATGATTTGGAGTTTCGTCAGCAACTTTTTAGCTAAGGAAACTGTCGAAAAGTATGTCATGGTCAAGGGTAATGACAAGACTATTGCTGAAACATTCGAAAAGTACATTGAAAAGGATTTATTGGTGAAAGGATTCGGTAATGGTACAGCTGAATACAAGTATGATATTGCTCAACTCATTAAAGAAGAAATTGAGGATGAGGAAGAATTAAGAAAGAGAGAACAATAAGCATCATACTCCAATTTTGATATCCTGAAACCAATTTATTTATGTGACGACAGTGTAACAATACATTTGCGAGTTTTTGAAATTTTGAAAACCCTCTATTTATCTTTTTATTGATTGACATGATGATGATGGTGGTGATTCATTTGCAAGGGTTCCAAAGTGAGATGACCCTTAATTCCCTCTCGATCTAAAATAATTCCTGATAACTTAAATTCATTCACATTAAGATTCACATTTAGAGGTTCCACACAAGCAAACGAATCACGTCGATTATTAGGATAGATAATCTTAGAACGGAGAGCTGATTTAGTTTTAATCTTACTCTCATGCTTCATGTGATCAAATTGACACCAAGCCAAGAATACATGTTCCCCTCGGCTCAACATGTTGAATGAAATGTAACTATCCATGGCATTACCAACAATTTGGAAATGAGGAGTATGTTGTTGCTGTTGTTGTTGAGAAGGACCTCCCTGAGACAGTGTTGTTGCATCATGATGTGAATCTGTGATGGTAGTAGCAGAAGCACCATGATGATGTTGATGATGACACAATGCAGCTTCACCTCTCAAATAAGTATCACAATCAAACGTGACATTATATTCTCTCACTCCATAACAATGACCATATGCATCTCCATGGAGGTTGTTGACATCTTGATGATGACTGGTAGCAGCACTGAATCCATCATTCGAGAAGTGTTGATTCCAAACATGTTCAGGAACTCGAGAATAATGAACCACCATTCTCCAATACTTGAAAGCAGTCATTCTCGAAAACATTTTCACTTCATTCTCCACACTATACAATCTCTTGTAATTAATATCATACAATTTACTTCCCAATGTACTCAAATCAAACACAGTGGTGGACCAATCAATATTCTCACTTGTGAACAAGCCACATCGTTCCTTATTATCACTCCAAACACCATGAATGACCACACTCACAGGAGAATCATGTTTTTGTTGTTGATCCCACTTATCTTCTGTCGGTTGATTTAAAAACAAGTATTGAGGAAATATATTTGATGATGAAGATGTTGCATTCCATGAAGTGGACATTGGATTTGCTGTTGTTGTTGTGATTGGAGTGACTTCTTCATCTCGTACATTTGATGGAATGGCAAATGATGGTTGACTCTCTTGTTCATGGACAACTGTTTGACTTTTCAATGTTGCTTCTTGTGAAGTATTCGATTCATTCATGATGGAATCTTCATCTTCCAAGAGGTAATCATCCATTTCATTGAAATCATCCTCTTCGACAAGATCTTGACGAGGATCGTCTGCTCCTCCATGATACAGCAACCAGTGATGATGACGAGGTGTCGAAGCAAATAATGGAATTCTTCTTGAATTCGTTCTCATTCGATTATGAATTCGATTCGAATGACTAGTGGAAGCTGCCGTCATGCAAGATCGTTCCATTTCATTCATTGGTAACGAAGAAGGTCCTTGCTGTTGTTGTTGTTGAAACAAAGGATTCATCGATCGATGAGGATTTGAAGGAGGAGGACCATACGTCTCAACCATTCGATGATTAATTTTACGTCCAAAGACATGAGCTCTCAGATCATTACTCATCCATTCTTGGAACATGACAAAGTAGACACCCACGACTAGACCAAACACTCCATAATATTCACGAGTTTCATCATCATGGAGTGCACCCTTCTCTCGTGTACGTCCTCTGAAAAATTCAACACCAGGAGATACTTGTTGTCCAAAGAATTTGTCAATGCATCTTAATTGATCATGTTCCAATTTCACACTTTCGAACATGTCAATTAAATAATAGTAGGTAATGTGATGAGAGTATTGATCACGTTTGTAATTACCAGAATTCAATAATCGTTGTTTGCTTAATTGACCCTCAATGAATAGAGTTCGATACAAATCTTTGAAACTCACACTAAATTCATCGAGTGAGGGATAAATTCGATCTTGATGTGAAGGAGAGAGTGATGAAAAGTATCTTCGGGTCACTTCTGAATGGTAACACTTTTTCCAATAGATCGGATTGTTTTCGAAAAAGTCAAATTGGCTGTAAGGAAGAACCCTAAAGAACCGTTCTTTCCATATATGGTTTTCATCCACAAGTTTTTTCAAATAGCTCGAGAGAAGAAAGAATTTTGAACACAAAGTTTTTACATCCATGTAGGGAACAATGTGATACTGTATAATTTCATCTGGTAAGGGACTTTGTGAAGAATTGTGAAAGGTGTGTTTACATCGACGATTGGAATGTTGTGATGGATCGAGCGATTGTTGGCATGATGATTGTTTTGATGATTGTGAAGAACAACAGGAGAGATCAGAGTCTTCTTCGTCTTGTTGCGAAAGAAGCGACTGTTGTTTTAGAAATTCATTCACTCGGGCCATGATCGGAGTTTACAAAGATTTATGTAAAGTGTGAAACACAAGTCGAATAACGGATCAAATATATGGAGGTTAAGATGGTTTTTTTCAATGGTTGAGGCTGTGTCATAACGAATTAATATATTTGGATATTAAGTTTAATGTCTCGCTTTACTAGATTTGGATAGTTTCTTTTTATATTTTGTACAATTCCTGGAAAAAATAATTAACAGAAAAGGTAATATCAAGGGATTAGGTACACCTTACTCTGCATGACTACAGTTTTCACACTGTGATTATTGTTGACTCCCTCGTTCACCAATAACGCTTCAAACAAAATTTGTAACGTGTGAAAAAAATATCAAACATGGATTCAACATCAACCAATAGCGACCATGAATGCAATGAACTTTCATTCCGAAACGATTCATCTCACACTAGGCATGAACAATTAACTTCAAACTCTGCAACGTTTAGTAAAAACATTTCCGAACACACTTGTCCGAACACTGTTTCTAAATTCCGATCGTATTCCATTTCAAATTCAAAACAATTTTTAAATTATTTCAGAAATGAATTTTGTGAGAAATTTCCCCAAACGCCTTTCGTGAGCTTGCAAGCTCAGAAAATTTTCTATCATGAAGTTTTGCACAATTTCCTTTCTGAGAAATTTCCCATTCCTTCTCAATTTAAATTAAATGTAATTAAATATTATATTGAAGTGATTGATAGCGATGAGAGCGGAGCTAATCATGAAGGGATTTATGATCCTTTAATTGAGGAATTTTCTGAATTAATGATTCAAAATGAAAATTCTGGAAAAGAATTATTTTATGAATATGATTTGAAAGAAAGTAGTTTTCGAGTTTATGATTTTTTAACAAGTGAAAATCCAATTGCAATTCGAATTTGGCCACAATTTGCAAATGTTGGAATGTCTCTTTGGTCTGCTGGATTTATTTTAATAGAATATATTTTGGCAAATGTTGGTAAGTTAATTCTAAAACTAGCAATTGTTAAATTTAATAATTTTTAATTTAACTATTACATTTATTTAATTACTATCATGTATAATTTGTAAACAGACGATTTCAAGCACAAAAATATTACAGAACTTGGCAGTGGAGTGGGATTGCTTGGTTTGGTTCTAATGGCCTGTATTGACAAGAAGAATCGTGGTGTCATTACTCTCACTGATTATTTACCATGTGTTTTGGAGAATTGTGCTTTTTGCTTGTCTTTGAATAACATTCCTTACCAACTCTACAATTTGAACACATTCATGTACTTGCCACAAACACTGTACCGGATGAGAATGCCAAAAGCGAACGAGAAGGAAATGTGGTTCGCTTAATGAAATTAGATTGGTGCTCATTTACAGAGCATGAAATTCAACAGTTAAAAGATACAGAGATTTTAATAGCAGCAGATGTGGTCTATGATATTAGTGTGGTGGACAGTCTTGCTGAAGTCACTCATGCATTATTCCAACAAAATAACAATCTGACCATCCTCTTCTCCATTACAAAAAGAAATGAAAAAACATTTGATCAGTTCGTGAAAGAAATGGACAAGAGAGACATGTGTTTGAGTCGAGAAATTGAAACCAACTTTCCTTACTTGTTCCATGTGAACGATCGAGAGAATGTCAAGCTCTATGAAATGAGAGGGAAAAGCATCGTCTAGTGCAATAAAATGCATTCCTCATTGTGAAATGGAATTTTCATCTCATGACAGTCGTTTCCAAGACAATATCAGTAACGAGAACAGCAAACTAAATAAACTGACAAGGACCGTGCCAGCTACAGTAAAACCAATCACCATAAAATGATACTGAGATATGGAAAGTAGAGGCCCATTGTCCCATGGATCTTTGGATTGAAGAAATTGTTGAACACTCGTGTTAAATTCTGCATTATTAAACAAAGTTCTTTTTGCATGGGTGAAGTTGTATTCATCTAGACACTTATCATAAATAGACGTTCCATTGGTTTTGATAAAATTGGTCATCAAGTTCAAACTACACTTCGTACGGAGAGCAATTAAATGTCCAACAAATGGAAAAAGGACAAAATAATGTGAACCATTGGATTGAATTGGAGATTCGAAAAAAGAAAGATTTGTTCCAATATAAAAATCTCTCCAATCTAAAGATCCGTTCATGTGAGAGATGGGGTCCAAAGATCCTTGCATCATCAACATGGGCCTGTTGAACGTGACAAATGGATGGCCTTGGTGATCTTCTGTCGTGTTAAGCTGATGTATTTCTCTTGCTTTCTTTGCTCTCAGCATGTATACTGTCATTCCTGTGATGAATTGGTACTCTGCAAAATTGGCCATGTCACTCTCCAACTGTTTTTCATCAATGTGATGAAAATCCTTGATCATTTCATTACATGCAATGTTCCTTTCTAAAGCGTAGTATGGCCCCTCTCGGTCATCATACTGTTTGTGTATGATCCGAGAGTGTAATAATCGATAATAAAAGTTGCTAATAGTGTTCACATCTAAATGATTACATCTTATGACTCGAAGTATGAACGGAAGAATCAAATTCTGAAGATCATGGTGGAAAAATATATAACTTAACATGACTCTGGTCGCTGAAGCATCCATTGAGGAACACTTCTTTAAATTTAAAATATATAATCGTATTAGATAATTCTTAATAGAGGTTTTAGTATCGCTTAATTGTTTAAATTTCTTGCGACAAAATTCATTCTCATCACACTCGGCTAGATATTGATTGGCCACATTATTATAGGTCATGTCACTTGCAAGTAAATTCAATTTAGTAATTGGTGATATCAAAGAGTCAAGAATGACCATATCTATAAATTTTCTAATAGGCCATCCTGATCGTAAAAGTAAATGTTCTAGCCTCATCATTTCATTAATCAGGAGCGTATTGTATCCATATCCATAGTGAATAGAAGTGAACTCAGATGCATCTCCTTGATATAAGGATGTGTTTTTCATATGGTGATATTTGGTCAATCCAACCACATAGAGAAGATCCAATGCTATTTTATCTGTTCGAAAATAGATGCCATATCTTTCAGAAATGGAATCTGATGTTATTGGATCTTTTGTCAGGCATGATGCAAGTTTTTTCTCAGTTGAGAAAATTTCCTTATATTTAATCTCTAGTTTGCATTGATAGAGAGGCTTTGATCCCTGACTACCTCTAATACTTGGAATAAATATATCATATTCTCGATTTAGTTGTTGAAACATGTCAGCAGCAATTTTCTCAAATGACAGATCAACTGATTTGTGAAACTCAAAAAGAGGGCTCACATGTAACCACAATTGCCCCTTCGGTAATGGATCATCCGCTGAAATTCTCTTCAATCTAATCGAAATCAGGGGCTCTGGTAAATTTGAAGGAAAGGTTTGTTGTTGAATTGGTAAACGTGTCCAATCTAGCGGAACCTCAATGACAGCACAGTCAAAATGGTACACCGGTTTAGGAGTATTATTTTCTTCATCGTAATCATCATCAAGGTCCTTGGAGCATTTCGTCCACGTGATCGATTTATCCTTGGTTAATTCAAAATAACGATTAAATTCCATGCAATTCGTCCAAAACAACATGTCCAAAATGAGAAGGAGTGTTAGGATGATCGTTATTGTGATCCCGATAGACCTTTTCAACATTTTTTGGAATATATGTTAACAAGGCCTCTCCAGGGAATAAGATGATATGCTTGAAGTAATCTTGCTCCGAGTCTGAACAAGATTATATTGTTTTGGCTATTTTCCAATTATGATCATGCCAACCTACTAGGTAGCAAGAAAGGATTTCGAATAGGGCGTCCACTGGCAAGCCAAATTTTCGAACGATCAGTATTTCTACAGGAAAGGTAATTAATTGAAAGTGTGGGAATCATTTCAATGATGACGGTTTTACGGGACACGATTGCTGGGCCATTTTTTTCAGTCACATTGTAAAGTAGCTGCATTGCCAAAAAAAATGCTCAACCAAAGCTACAGAATTAAGACCCTTCTCAACACCCCAATCAAAAACCTCGGCTCATCTTTGGCCGGACACAAGGCATGTGTTGGTGGCTTGTTGAACAAGACCATCTCTGCTCTTGATATTCAGGCTTTTGATTCTGAGTCTACATTCAAAGTTTTCAATTCCGTATCTAACACAACATCCCGCCCAGAACGTACTCTCCAACAAATCTTCACTAATACATGCTCATTGAACAAGTCATTCCGTCATAAGACATTGATGACTGGTAAGTATCAGGAGAAGATAATCACATCATAGTAATAATAATTGCAATTGGTTGTATTCCATGATAATGAACACTGTTTTTATATATAACTGAATTGTCGGCTCCTGTATTTCCTTTATTTCTCACCAAACAATAACATTTAAACATCAACGATATTATCTATAATCATCACGCACAACAACAATATTTCTATGATTGTTTTGGAAAAACTCCGCCCTAATTTTGATGCACATATGACAATCAACAACAAATCAACGTGTGCATCATCATCAATACGGCTTTTTGGAAACAAACACTGTTAACAGCCCAACCAGTGAGATATTACTCTACTTCACAAATTGAAGGAGAAAAGACTTTGAAGAGAAATGAACTACCAGAAGCCGTCCAAAGACTTGTTGATAATGCTCCATCAACAGGATATCACGGAGACAACATCAACGAATACCTCAAGCAAGGAGATTACGACAAACGTCAATTCGCTTACTTTGTCGCCAACAGCAGTCGTTTTGTTGTTGCAGCTGGTGTTCGTTTATTGGTTTTGAGATTCCTCTATTCTTGGTCAGCCGCTGCTGATGTGTTGGCTGTTGCCAAGATTGAAGTCGATGTTTCAAATGTACCAAAAGGAAAGACAATCACAGTAACATGGAGAGGTAAACCTGTCTTCATTAAACACAGAACTGAGGATGAAATCAAGACAATTAATTCAATGGATCTTTCTACTTTGAAGGACCCACAAGCAGATGCTGAAAGAACAAAGGATGAAAATTGGTCTGTCTTGTTGGCCATTTGTACCCATTTGGGATGTGTTCCAGTCACTGATGCTGGTATTATGAATGCTTTCTTCTGCCCTTGCCACGGTTCTCACTATGATGCTTCGGGAAGAATTGTTAAGGGTCCAGCTCCATTGAACTTGGAAGTTCCAAAGCATCAATTCATTACTGAAAGTACTATCCTTTTGGGTTAAATACGACACTAACAAACCATTTTGGGAGGTTATTAGGTTTTGTTCCACTTGCAGAAATTAACAGAATTAAATCAACAAATTAATTTAAAGCAGGCAATATTTGAATTGATTGGATTTCGCTTGTGTATTGATTGACTTTCTTAGTTCCAAAAAATGAAGCAACATGTTTTCTCACGTGTAATTTCTACTCCACGCTTGCTCAAGAAATATTCATCAAGCCCTCTTGTTCAAAACAATCCCTCATCGTCTAACATTTCAATCACCTTCAAAAGAGGCGAGTATCACCAACAACTAGGAATCGGAGGATCTTTTTCAATTTTGCAATCTTCTCTCTCTAAACACCAATCATCGTTGCTGTCCAACATTGATCATCATCACACACATCAATGTTTTCATCATTGTTGCAATCACAACTTGTCTCAAACAAGGACAAAAACGATTGTAAAACAGCCTTCTCCAAATAATTCCAAAACTTCTACCAATGTCTCTTCATCAAACCAAGAATCATCACTCTCACAAAATTCATCAAATAACAAGGCTTCATTCAATAACATTCATGAACAACCATTTTCGGATGAGCATGGTCAAGTAGAAGAAGCTACACTTGAGGAAGAAATGCAAGAAGAAACAGAACCATCAAATTATCCAAACACTGACTCTGATTCATTCAACACATTTGTTTCAAATTATTATAAAATTAATGAAAATGACATTCAAGAATTTCTCACTCGAAAAGGACTACCTTTCAGAACAGTCATGAATGAAATTGTCATCAAGGATTGTCCATTTTGTCACGATACCAAAGGAAAAATTACAAACTTGTGGAAGCTCTATATTAACAGACATACTGGAGCTTATTTTTGTCATCGATGTGGATCCAAAGGATCATGGTTTGATTTCAAGACTAGTTTTCACAAAGACTCGATCATTTCCACTCTTCATTCCGAATCCTCTACCTCAAGACAAAATAATAATCTGAAATCATCGACAGCCAATACCTCTCAAACAAACTCAAAACGTCGGGACAAGCCCACAAGGAAAGAATTTGAATTTTTCAGAAATAATTTTGATGGTCCTGATTTTCCTGAAGCAGTTCAATATTTGGAAAAAGTACGTGGCATTAAGAGAGAAGTTGCACAATTATATGGAGTTGGATGTGGAATTTTTCCATTCATGAAATCTGTGCGAAAACAATCATCCAACTCGAATACAGAGGAAGATTCTATGGTTGAAGAAAGTTTGGAACGAGTGAATGAACTTTGTTTTACTTTTCCAATGTACAGACCCTCAAGATCCAATGAAACCTCTTCTCTGTCAAGACACAAATTTAGATCTATTCAAGACAAGACATGTATGAGATTAGATCCTCCTCAAACGAATCATTGGGGACTCTTTGGATGGCATCTCATTGAACAACAATTGCAAAAAGAAGATAAACTTTTGAACAAGACATTAGGTCGCGCAGATACGAGTAAAACATTGGCCAATGATTCTCGCCTTGGAGGAAGAAAAGATCCCAAACATGAGAAACGTATCATTATTACTGAAGGAGAATTCGATGCTATGGCCGTCTATCAAAAAACAGGAATTCCAGCTGTGTCTCTTCCCAATGGATGTCGATCGTTGCCAATTGAGGTCATTCAATGGTTGGAATCGTTTGATAAGATTTATTTGTGGATGGATGATGACGTTCCAGGTCAGCAAGGTGCTGAAATGTTCTCTAAGAAACTCGGAGTAGGGCGATGTTATATTGTTCATTCGAGTTATAAAGAGGAAGAAGAAGATGACATCAACTTGATGAATGAGGAACAGAGTGATGTAACCAAAAATGTGGAAAAGAAGCCTAAAGATGCCAATGATGCACTTTTGGCTGGATTAGATTTTCATCGATTACTTGAAGAGGCAACTCCAATTCCACATGAAAGAATTCTCTCGTTTGATTCTTTCAAACAGCAAGTGTATCGAGAATTTTTTGACAAGTCTGAACAAGTGAATGGTATTCAATCTCACTTTTTCCCAACATTGAACAAAATTTTGAAAGGATTTAGAAGAGGAGAATTAACCATTGTCACTGGAGCTACCGGTATTGGTAAGACTACTGTTCTTTCACAACTTTCTCTGGACTATTGCAAGTATGGAAATGTACCAACATTGTGGGGATCCTTTGAGATTAGAAATCATCGATTGATAAAAAAGATGATGTGTCAATTGGCAGGAAAGGACTTGTCGATCAATCATGCTTTTGATAAAGAGAATAGAAAACAAGAAAAATTGCAATTACAAGTGTTGGAGCAGGAAATGGCCGATCAAATAGAAGACGAAGTGAGCATGTTTGATAATTTTGATAACAGTGAAGATCCAATGAGCTTAATGTCAAATTCTGAAGAGGAACCAACAGCACCTGTGAAAAAACAGAAAAAGAAACCAAAACCTCCAAAGTTGTCATTCACACCAAAACAATATTCTCCTGAGGAACTTAAACGAGAATTTGAATTGATTAGTGAACAATTCTCAGAATTGCCCATGTATTTCCTCAATTTCTATGGTTCTACAGATATTGATGAGTTATTGGATGCTATGGATTATGCCGTTTATGTGTATGACGTTGGGCATATTGTCATTGATAATTTGCAATTCATGATGTCCACGACTGATTCCAGTACTTTCAACAATAGATTTGAAATGCAAGATCGAGCGATTGAGAAGCTGAGAAAATTTGCAACAACCAAATCTGTGCATGTAACACTTGTGGTTCACCCCAAGAAGATTGATGAAAAGGAGCAATTGCAAATATCAAGCGTATTTGGTACTGCTAAGGCAACCCAAGAGGCCGACAATATTATCATGATTCAACGAAACAAGCACTACAAGTATTTACAAGTTAAAAAGAATCGATTTGATGGTACTCTTGGAATTATTCCATATAAATTTGAGAGACACCGAGGAGAAAGAATTACCGAATTATCCGAGAAGGAGATTGAAATGGTTGAGAATGGTCAGCTTGAGATTGATTATGAATAAATGGGTATGTGGTGGCATGACTCAATTTATTCATAAGAAGAGTATTCGCTTGAAAGAATTGAACTGATCGTTTTCATGACCACCACTGCTGCCAGAACACTTTTAATTATAAATTGCAGCTTGAGTCACTTCAGAAGGAGAGTAGGTGGAACGAGAGTAACCAGGATCATTGACGGTGAATGAAGATCCATCATAGCCAGTTGCAAGGACCCAATGACCTCCATTTCTTTATCAAAAGCGGATTATTTCATTGTGATACAGATGGTTACCTTTCAAACTTACCTGACATTCAATAAGACTACAGAACCACCACAAACACTACTGATAATAGAACTGGTAGAGCTAACCTTTCCGCTGTAGCTAAGTCCGAATGGTCTCACAGACCCCCAGACAAAGAGATTTCCGGACAGTCCACCATTCTTCTTGAGCCAAGTCAAGAATTGTCCTGGATTGAATGAAGCTAAGCCTCTTCCGTCTAAGGCCATTGTCATTGAGGTGATGGCGCATCCACTTTTGCAAAGGGTATCGGTGGCGATTACATCATTGGACCATGATTGTCCGCATTGCTTGAAAAGAGGATAGTCATATCTGAGATTTGTAAGCAATTATGATGTTCAACGCAAACCTACTGTTGGTAGCAAGCTCCTCCCTTCAATCCCAAGATCATTGCTTCGCATTGTAAGGCAAATAAGGCCATCACAGCAATGGCAGACAACAAATAAGGCACAATTTTGTTCATTTTTTTTGAATGATTTTTTTGGGTGTGCTCCGCCACTACTGTTCTCGGAGTAAGTTGCCTCATCGAACTTGATTGTTGGTGAAGATAGATGACCTTACAAAAGTGTTTCAACAAGGCCACAGAAGAGCTAAGTGTTTACTTTAAGATATGCAGGTTTTGAAATAGGTCTCGCTGGTTTTATCGAGAGAAATACTTGGAGACGACCAAAGAAGAGGCACAACGTTATTATTTACTATTATTTTCTACAATGCAATTAGGAATAATCAAATTGAATGATCAAAAGCGAGCAAATCCCTTCTTGAACCCTTGCAAGCTCCCTTCACTGTTTGCAAACAATATTCAAATAAATTTTTCCACTTTCACTTGAATGTTACATCTAGGTTTTTGTTGTTGATTGAGAGCATTCTTTGAATCGTTGGTTCTCTTTTTCAAAGCTCGAATTCTAATTTTCTTATTAATAAAAGCTGTGTTGAGAGGTTGATACATGGTTGAGATGACATCTGTTTTGCAATAGGCAACGAGAGTTTCTATTAATTGATTTCCAAATTCTTGCTGTTGCTTCCTATTTGGTTTTTCAACTGTATAGATTGAAATTTTGAAATATAATTGCTCAATAAGAAAATGTGGAAACGGAAATGTATAACACAATGCACAAAGTAATTCACTTCTTGGAGAAACTGATTTCATATTCATACTTGATGAGAGAATTGTAGACTTCTCTTCAAAAATCATGTCAAATAAATTACTACAAATGACCATATTAGAATTTGTTGGAGAAGAATTATTTTGAAGTAAATTCGTTGTTGTTGTTGTGGTCGATTGTTGAGAACTCTCCAACGAATTATTCGTTGATGCCAACACAATGGATGAATTACTCGTAGAATTTGAATTCAACTGTGAAAGTACTACTTTACAAGGTCTCACTCCATTTCTTTCACTAAACACAGAATCGATCGATGAATGAGATTGAACCAAAGATCCATTGATATCAAACACATAACTATCAAAAACATCATCTTGATTCGATGAATGATTGGTTGGCTGTTGTTGATTTCCTTCTTCTTGTTGTTGATGACTCAATAATTCCACACGAACTCGCCAATTCGAACAAAAAGGATTTGTAATGGTGGCAGAATCGGAAGCAATTTCAATGGGTAAAAATTGAAAACTCAATATTCGCAATAACACTCGACAATCATACGTGTCGTGTGAATATCGGGATGAAAATTGACTTGAATTTCCGTCACCACGGTCGTGTCGATTACTATTGCTTGAACCTCCACTGGCACTTGAAAAGGTAAAGAAATCATTCACGTCGGTGGCAATGTCTGAGACACGACTGAAATTTGCAAGTTTCTTGATATTTGACATTTATGTGAAATAATGATGGTTGTGAGAGTTTGAATGATGATGATGGTTGTGGTTGATGAACAATGTTCTTTTAGTTCTGTACAAAGAAGATGTGGAGAAGCACACAGATCCGTGTTTGTGTGGTATAATTTTTTTGGTCTCTAGAGTGTGAAATTTGACAATGATGATGGCACAGTTGTTGTCTCCCAATCGTATTCCCTGCCAATATATTACTTGTCCAATAATGTTGCAGTTCGAATGAGGATGACCGTGTCAATGATAGGACGAGCTTCCGATTCGTTGTTGTCTTGTTTTTTTGTCTGTATTGTTTATATTATCTTTTGAGTGGCGAATTGTGATTGAAATGGTCGACAAGTGACTCGAGTGCCTTTTGAGGAATAGATTGTTGGTATTAGGAATAAAGGCGATCTCGCATAAAGCTCCAAATTGTTAATATTTTACTCAACGACCAAGAGCTTGCCATGTGTTGACTCACATTCTTCTCATAGCTAATTAGCGTCTTGTTTTCAAATATTGTCCATCTAGTAAATTCTACACAACTTGTTGTTGTTCAAATTCTGAAACCATTTGTTGACATTTGGTACAAAGATTTTGAAACTGTTCTTCTGTCCATTCAGAACCTTCATTATTATTCACAGAATGAATACTTTCCACAAGTCCTTCAGGAGTAGAATTGAAAAATGTTTGAGGAATGCCATACGTTTCAGTGAGGAATTGAGTCAAGTGAGTGTCTACTTTGGAAAAGTTCAATAAAAATTCAGCACACTGGGCAGGTTGAATTTTGTTCACAATGAATACTAAAATGTAAGCCAGGTTCAGTTCAGACCCAAGTTGATCCATCAAAGACTCAAATAATGGAGTTGATATTTGTGTTGGTGTCGTTGTGGTTGAGGCTGTAAGTGTTGCAGCAGTGGATGGGTCTTGTGTAGTTGTTGTTGTTGTTGAGGTGGAGGAAATTAACATGGATGTTAGATCTAAAAGTATTTGCAAGACAGATCTCAAAATATTTCTGTACTGATTGCCAACATTTAACAAGATGGTGGAGAAGTCAGAAAAATTATTCAAAAATTGACAAAAAGTATGGGAATACTTTTTCACGAAGGAACTCAAGAAACAGAGCAAGTTGATGACAAATAGATCTTGCTTCTCCTCTGATTGAGTAATATAAATAATCTCTCTACAGAATAGCTCTAATAAAAGTAAAAGTTGTTGCTCAACATTTGAAGGAATTTGACTTGTAGTGTTCTCTAAAGATTTGTCAGAGTATAGTGATTGATTTTGTATAAAGTTGAATGCTGTTCTCCAAATAGTTTTTCTTTCATCTGTGTTATTCACTTTTGTCTCTTCAAATTTGGCACATAAAGTAGAAAGTCTTTCAATAATTAATTCCAAAAATTGTTGATTGGTGATCGTTGTAAAGTTATAGGAAGGAGTTTCGTTATACTTGTTCAAATATACTGGACCAATCTTGTAACCATATTCACTCTCGAGTATAAACGTGTTAGTAAATGATTGTACATCAAATGAATAATCCTCCAATCGTTTCGTAACAAAAAAGTGATTGAACACTTGTTTCAAATGTTCATCCAAATATGTAGAAAGTAATTCTCTTGATTTTGCATTCCAAATAACCTCTGGATTGACATGATCCTCATCAAAATAGGTGATGAATCCTTCCACATCTCCTTGCTGAAGGAATGTATGAGAGAGTGGGAATAATGCTTGTTTCAATAGTGGATGGATCGATTCAATGGATAATTTCACAAAGAGGGAGATCAACTGAGTTGCCTTCTTTCGTACGGCCATTTTGTCAAATTTTCCTCCCACAACAGAGCCGTATAGAACTGTTGCAAATAAGCCATTGTTCACACAGAAAGTAGATCGTTCGTTCGCATCCAGTTGAGTCTTGAAGAAATGAGCCATACTATCCATAATATTCAATAATAGAACCTCTTGTCTTGGTAGAGTTTGTTTGGCATAGAGTGCATACACAAGATATTTGTGTAAACATCCCAACAGCAATTTGTAGAAATCTCTTGTTTTTTGTGAGCCAATCTTGGTATAAAATTTCGTATAGAATTTCGATATTCTCGAAAGAATTTGATATATTTGGTCGAGAGCATCCAAAATGTAAGCTTCTTGTTCGGAGAGAGTGTCAAGATATCCAACCAACAAGTGATACAAATGAACCACAATTTGCTGATAAGACTCGTTGAGGAATATTAATTGTTGTTCTTGTGTTTCTGCTGTTGGATCTGTTGAATCTTCACTACAAATAACGAGATGCAAAAGTCGAATTTGGATGGAAAGAGGTCTCAAGCGATCCTTCATGACAGATTTTTGTTTGTACTCTTCCACCAAAAGTGCATGTAAACTAGAAACTAAACTTTGCACAAAGGTCGTGGAGTTCACAATGGTTTCATTCATGTGCTCGAAAAATTCACTAAGACTGCTTATATTGCTATCTTTGAATGCTCTGTAAAGACGTTCTGTGTAAATATCAATCGGTGGGTTCAATAACGGCAAAATACCTTCAAGTTTCAAAGTATTGGGTGAAAAGCTTTGAATCCATTGATTCACCATCTCATTGTCATTGTTGTTGCATGCTTGAATGAGAGATTGCAAATCTCCTCGAATTTCCTTATTCCATACCAATAAGTAATCGGAATGATCAGTTCGAATAAATTGATAAAAATCATCAAAGGTTTGAACGCCTGGAAATAGTAAAATCAAATTGGATGGCGACCTTCTATTGTTGTTGCTGTTGATTTGTAACAAGCAAGTAACAATGTTCTTTCCTAAAATTTTCTCCAAACTTCTTTCAAATACTGAACTCAGTTGTGAGGAAAGCAAATGATGTATAATTTCAATACATGCCAAACAAATCGTTTTCATGAATGAAATAGAGTCGCTATTAGATTCACTCATGGCATTTTCAGGCAGCTGATAAAGCAATCCAAGATGTACCAATTGTAACATCAGTTTAAATCTGTTTTGAATTAATCTTGAGTTGTCCTTAAGTAATTCTGAAGGAGAGTTCGATACTGGAGGCGCATTTGCTGTTTCCAAATCAATTTGTTGATGTTTGGCATATTTCCTAATGCAATGTATGGTTCTCAAGGATATTTCTGGATACTTGTGCATGTATGGAGGTTCTAGCAATGGAACAAAATCGTCAAAGAAACTTGTTGGAACTAATTTACGCTCTTCATCCTCTAACGCGACAGGCATCAACACGTCAGCAATGGCGTCAAGTACTCTTAGACAATTGATCATTAATTGCTCATTGTTTCTACAAGCAGGTTCCTTTAGGATATTCACTGACACGAAATTTAATCCTCCTGATGTGATAAAGAGCAATTTGTTTCTGTGTGAAATCTCAGGTTCTGGCTCCAATTGGCTAGCTAATAAATGTACGACAATATTTAAGGCATGAATGATTTCTGAAATGTCTTGGGTCTCACTCAACATTGAGGTGTACTTTCTAAATAAACTGGAATAGCCCTGATATTTTAAGAAATGAATGGAGGAGGATTGACTTGGTGTAAATTTACCCAATGAGAATTGATAATAGAGCTTTGTTTGAGCCTGAACGATTAAATTTGCATTATTTCTGTTTTGTTCTTGTTCCAGGGCCTCAATTAATTTGGAGAGAAATATTTCTGGATCCACAATTTCATGGATAGGTGTATCGGTTTCCACGTCATTGCTAGGCACACTGTTCACAAATCCCTCAACAAAAATGTCATGTACGGATAATTTTTCTTCAAGGTCAACATATTTCAACACAGTTGGTTCTTCATAGCCGTAAAGATAGCTTGTTGATGGAGAAGTAGAAAATATCAATTTTGGTAGCCTTAAAGGATCCATCTGTTGTGTTTCTATAATTTGAGAGCTCAAGCCCAATCTCTTCTCGTCAAACGTTTTGAATCGATTTTTCAAAGTTTCGCACAACAGTGCTCTATGACTAGAATTCCAAAAGAGGAATGGAGAGTTATGATCTTTCTTTGAAACAGCAGAAATAAATGTATCAACATCCTTGTCCTTGTCACTGTTTAACAGTTTAAGCAATTGGCTTGGTAGGAAATATCTGAGATACGAATAATATTCAGTACAGGCTTCTGAAACTGGTATCATGTGAAAACTCTTCAAGAACTTGGCGATGGTTGCAAGACATTTGGTACTGTGCTCTTCCATGGTAGTAATTATTGTGAGCATGATTTCAAAAATTCCTGTTTTGTGTAAATTTTGTCTCAACGATGACGAGTTGTAGAGAGGAGATTCAACGAGTGTGTGAATCAGAAAAACGGTTTGCCATATCAACTCTAGTTTTTCTGGTCTATTCGAACGTATGTTCAAATTCATGACGAGGACATTGACATAATGTGGGTTATTGACAATATCAACCATTCTTCTTGGTCTATGATTTAACAATTCTCCTAAAATATAGAGGAGAGATAAAATTCGTCGTACAGCTTCGACATCTGCATACGTAGTGCTTGATGTTTGTACATGATATGCCACTAGTTGTTCTCTTGCCATATGTAACATTAAATTGTGTAAAGTATCTTCCTTATCAAGGTCTTCCATATACGAGTGTATCTTTTTCTTATTGGAAAGAATGGAAGAAATTAATAATGTCGTATTATAAAAGTATTCATCTTTAAAGTGCTTCACAGAGAGTAAGAGCGACAAGTAATTCATTCGGTGCATGGTAGCATTTTTGCTGTTCAAAATTGTTAGTTCATTGTCTGTCTTATCAGATGGTGTGAGAGGAATATGTTGTCCCAATCGAATAATTTCATTCAGTTTGAAGAGACAACCTAAAATTCTGTTCTTCATTTCCACGTCCTCCTTATCAATATTTGAAAGTAAGAACATTTTCTCGTAGAGACCCTCAAAAGTGTCAAAAGTGAGCAAATTTTCTACAGTGTCTTCGGGATGAGAAGAAACATATTCAATAGCTCTCTCAATATAAATGCCATTCACTTCAATTTCATTAGAAATTGTCTTGTATCTAATTTTGAGATCTTTGGACATATTGAGTGCTGATGTCCATTGCAAATCATTAGAGATGGAAGCAAGTCGATCTTCGGTGAGTAGAATTTCACTGTCGAGTACTTTTAACAGCTCATCTCTCATCTGTTGATTCCATATCAGATCGTAGGATGATGAATCGCGTAACAAAATATTTGCTTCATGCGTACTCGCATCTTGTTGCTTTTGTTGGTTAACAAGTTGTTTCACTAGCTGCGACGGTAAAAGATTGTGGACCAAAATTTCGCATGGATTAATGTATGTCTTTCCACAATCAACATTGCAACACACTCGCAAAAATTCCATACTAATCAGAGTTTGCTTTGCAGAGTGATCTGATGCTTGTTGTGGAGATAACAGTAAGCCTCTCAGTTGGTGTAATAACGCACCAAATATTATAATACACTCTAAAATATTTTGTCTTCCTATCACAGACGACTCGTTGAGAAGAATAAATAATAAATGAATGGCATTCATCCTAATAAGGAAGAACAAATCAACTTCGTGTTCTTCTTGATGAATTGGAGTTAAAGGATAAACTTGACATAATAACAGAATGGTTTGACAAAATTTCTTTCTATCGTTAAGAGTTGTATCTTTCTGAAGCCCAAAAGTGGAACAAAAGTACTTTGAGACTTGTGAATTTTCTTGATCTAAAATTGTTTTCAAAATGTCCAAGGTGATCAAAATGACATGACAAGAGTGAGTCTTCAAAGCGAGCTTTTTGGATTTCTTTGGTTTCTCTCCATGTAGATAGAATTCCAAAATTGTGTAAAACAGCTCAAATCTTACGAAATAATTTTGAAAATTAATTTACAACATAAGAGTTTTTGATAAAACTCACCCTCTGGATTTCAATGAAAAATGTTGTTGAATTTCTAAAATAGATCCTAAAAAATCTTGTTTTTTTCGTTCGCTGATTTTATCCTCTTCGGGATTGCTACCAGTGCTGGGTGAAAGAAACATGGCTCTGCTTCCTCCACCACTGATCAACTCTTTCAAAAACTTGAGCACTGTTTCTAGAATTTTACTATTCGCAATAAAGTAAAACGCAGGCTCAATATAGTAATTATACACTAATTCCTTCTCTTGGGGCTTGTCTTTTTCGCTTTGTAATAAATTCAGTGCAAGTGATTGATAGAGAAATGGATTTGATAACATGTATGAGGCTAATTCATAGATACAAATAATAATTTTTTCAATCTCCAAAACAAGCATGGATTGTTGAACCGTAAGCTGATGATGATGATGTTCTGACTCCGATGAGTTGATCACTCCATTATACACATTATTAATTAAATAGGACAAAATAAATCCTAAATGCTTGAGAACAAGAGCATCTATTTTTGTTTGAATAAAATGTTTAAATTGAGCATGATCATATAATGGTAGAATCATATCCCGAATTACTTCCACTTGTTGCTCCCATGATGGACATGTTTGTTGTAGTGTTTCAGAATTAAAATGTAACACCTTCCGGAGTGCTTGTTCAAACTCTGGTGGTAGGTTGGAATACGCTTGACCCATTTTTTTTGGATTTTCTTTCAAAACGTTCCGGCTTTGTTAACATTTATAGTCTTTTAAGATCTTGTGGCACAATTTTTTAAGTATTCTTCGTGACAAAATAAAAGTTAAAAATGGTAAACTGTAATTACAGTTTAGCTAAAAACCTCTTGTGTACTCGATAAAGAATCATTCATCTGATGCTTTATGAAATTAATCACAATTGTTGAGCTCATTTATGCCAATTCAAAAACTTTCCCTAGACATCACGCTATTGTGATGGAGAAGGCAATTTACTTTTATGTGGAGGTTCGTTCATCATTTGAGAGATCGAGGGCAGTAAAATATCATCATTCTTTCGTCTTTTCACGTTTGAAGATGTTGCATTGAAATCTTCTTCTCCACTTCTCGATGATAACGAAATAGGAGTAAATTCAGCACTCGGGCAAGCATTCAATGTGCGTTCACTTTGACTGGACCTTAATTGAGAATTTCCAAATGTGTTATTCCTTTCTGTATTGGTAACAGTATCAGCATTTCGAATCAATGCTGTTTCTTGATAAAAGGAATCACTATATCCTCGTTTTCGTTGCTGCAATTGATCCAACCCAGAAGCGCTGTGTTCAAAACTAGAGCGAGATGAAGAAGATGCAAGATGGTGTCTAGTTGAGGACGTCAAAATATCAGAAAGTGGAGATTGAGACTTAGGTTGTTGTTGAGAAAAGTAAGCTGATGAAGTCGAAGTTAATGAAGGAGCATGCGATTGTTGGTTCCAAGATGACGAAGATGGTAAAGAATGCTGAAAGGTTGAGGATTGACCATAAAAAGGAACTGCCGTATTTCCATGATTATTATTTTGAGGAAATGATGACGAAGGAGGCGGAACAATGGAATTATTATTTACATTGACTTGATAATTGTGACGCAACGTGGAAGCAGAATGACTTGTGGCATTATTGTTGACGAAAGAAGGTTTTTCCAAATTTTGGACGTTGGCATACTTTTCTTTCAAATGTTTTAACGCTGATACTTTGCTACTTTGATGAGATGTTGAAGGAGCTGTTCCGTAAGAAAATGGATTTGGAAAAGATGCATGCTGCATATTACTGCTGGATGCTGGATCGAATCTGTGGAGATTGGAAGGAGCTAAATTCTGTTGAGAATGCAACTTTGGTTTCTGAGAAGTTGAAGTGTGGAATGAAGATGCATCATGATATGCTAGATTGGAGTGAAATGAAGATGGATTCACATCAAGATCCGATGATTGAGTTGGGACCAATGACATGTTGGTGGATGAAGATGGTGGTGTTGATGATGATGTGACCACATGACGCATGTGATGATGCTGTTGATTGACACTCTTACGCTCATCATTTTGATAAGATGGGTTAATTGTGACCAGATTTGATGAGGTAGTCACAACATGCATTGAATATGCCTCGGAAATACTCGGTGGTGATCTTCTAGATATCCTATTGTGGGAAATATGACCTGGGTGAGTTACTACTTGCTGCTCTCCTTCTGGTTGTTGTATTGATGTTCCAAAAGAGCTATTGTCATGTTGCAACATGCTCCATGAAGGCGATCTTGTATAATGCCGACATTGTTGCATGTATATTTCTTCCTCTTTTATCGGCGAACCACTTGGTGGTGGTGTTGTTGATGATGATGAGGATGATGTCGTGGTAGTTTGTGTTGTGAATGTGGCCACTGAAGGCTGAGTTGCTGAAGAGAAGAGTTCGCTGTATCGATTCATCACAGTCTCCAAAAGATTGGCATGTTTGATCACACATTCTTTCAACGGAATGCCTTCTCGTTGCATTTGTGAGAGAGAATGCACAAATGCTTCTTCACCATTGGGAGCAAATTTGAGGAATTTATCTTTGAGGATTTTGTTGATAACTCCCCGTCGAGGATGATTCTTGTCATAGAGTTCTTTCAATAGAAAAAAGTACTAGATTCAACATTCGTTGAAAAGAATTGATGTACCAATAGTGTGTTATTGGAGAGTTTAGATGCATCGTGATGGACATTTGTACATGCATGACCGCATCACGTGTGCACAATGAATGGTATAAATGACTTGGCAACGCATGGATTCATAAAAGCATACTCAATGAACTTACCCTTTGATCCATCATTTCGTTTTGAGGATAGCTCTTTCGTGTTTTGCACGTTTCAGCATTACACTATACATGTTTGTGTCGTTTTGTGGTGATGATGGCATGTGTGTTGAATGCAACACAACGTAGATAGTGTGAGTTATTATTATCCATCATGTGTACAATTTTGAGTTGTTGAGAAATGTCCACCCCGAGATGAGAACATCACCGGATATTTTAGTATGAACAGCATATTTGATGGAGATAGATCCATTCACACGCAAACGCCAACCACACACCACATGGCAACAAGAATCATTTATCGATAATTATGTCAATGAACAAAGTACAAACCTTTAAATGCGTCAAATAATGATAGGGACATGTAGTGGGCATGGTTAAATTCCATCATCACCCAAAACCGGTGGATGATCTTGTTGGCTCTCTTGGCGACTGCCACTGAGTGAGTGAATGGCGTTGTTGTCGTTTGGCAAGAGAGGGAAGTTTCGATATTTCTTTAAAGTTAGTTTTGACCAAGTTGGTCCTTGTTGTGGGATGCTAATTGTGCTTGTTGTTTGGATCCAAACCACACGCACACACCACGGGAACTGGTTGTTACGGATGGGTGAAAAATTGAACGGCTGGAATCAATAATGTATTCCTTCGTACTCAAAAGGAGAAGGCGCAACAAAGTCAAAGATTGCGTTGGGTAAAACTACTTGTTGAGGAACCTCGATTATGATGGGAATCAATTTCGAACCAATGAGTGGATTCAAGGAGTTTGGAATGAAAGAGTGTAGTTTGACAAGACGACGACACGCGTGTAATTATGATGTCAATCGATTGGCGTCGCAATGGTGCACCTGATAGCAATAACGACGGTTCCAATGAAGTGGCGCGTTGATGTTTTTTTCAAAAGTATTTTAGATATTCAAGCTCCCATTCAAGGTCTCTCTTGGACCATGAGTTGTGTGTGATGACGAATGACAGATCCTGCCATGATTACGTGTGGACTGCCGTTGCGGGAGTGCTTTTGACGCCATATTCCCTTAATGTAATTACAAAGATGGTATTGCCAACTTCCATCTTAGGGCCTGAGACTCTTTGAATAAAAATAAAATAATACGCGTTCATGTAAGCAATAATATTATTGCTTACATGAACGCGTATTCTACCCAGAGATAATGACGAGCTTGTCAAAAGAAAACACAATTGGAGATAGAGAGATGTCTGCATCTGCGCGGGTATTGTCACAGATGTGATCGGTGTTTAGGTTGCGCCGAGATTTCTTCCTGTCGTGCTTGAGGTGTGAGTAAGGGTCTCTCCCATGTGGTTTTGAAATCAAAAATCAAAGGGTGGTAATGAGGATAAATGTATTTCTCTCCAACATGCTTCATTACACCCAAGAAAAAGGAAGGAAAACTTCCCATGTTCAAAGTATTGTAGGTCAAGTAGAAAGCCCTATGTCGCTTGAAAGCCCCATTTCTGGTGTGTTATTGATCTAATTTCGTGATTGAATACGAAAAGCGTGTTACGACTTGTGTATTTTGATTTGAGATGGTTTTGCCAAGATGGAGTTTCTTTGCGATTGGCCATTCTTCCGTATTACTGTTTACCATTCCGAGCACTAATGCTAGCCACGAGAGAGCAGGCGCGAGGTTTGCACTTGTGGAATAGCTGTGAAGGACGGTAAAAGAGAAATATCCTTGTACGTTCGAGTGGTTTTCATCAATTCTGTCAATTTGGAGTAATAGTCTAACAATGTTATTCAGTAATCAACATAGTTTCAATACAAATAATAAGTTTCTACCAGTTTTCATTAAAAAGTCAATTTTGCTTCATCTACTTTTTCACAAAATCTATAACTTGTTGAGCTAAAGCCGTTGAAGTCAGTACTGAATAGTGATTGTAATTATTGAGAGGCACAACCTTACTCTTATTGGAATAGCCTTCAATTAGATCTTGCATAAAATCTGTTTGAGAGAGTTCATTATTCTTATCAAAGAACAGTTGAATGCCCTTTCGTCCAATTCTGGTTTCAGTGGCTGCATCATGATTCACGTCTACAACCAGAACATCAATAGCAGAAGTATTAATGGGCTCAGCCACCGCTACAGTATTGCTTAAATTTTCATTGTTAGAAGGAACATCTTCTTGTTGTACTGGTACCACATGTTCGCTATCTGATAGGGATTCGGCTATTTTTCTTGCTCCATTCAACTGCACGCATGATCTTTTAAATAAAGTCGTTTCATTTCTAATGGTTTTCCACAAATTATCATTTCTCAAATGATAATGCATTCTCTTCGCCATTTCCTCTCTTGAGAGTAAATGTGTATCATCGTAATCTGTGTGAGGAACTCTTCCAGAATATTTGACTGTCCATTCAGGATTGGGTATCTCTGGAGAAATGGATTCAACAAATGGATCTATAAGCTCTCTCTCAAGTGAATAATTTGGAACCAATTTGAAAAACCATTCCATAAATCCATGATAAGCGAATAGCCTATTGTACAGACCTCGTGCCTTCCAATCAACCAAGTAATCCAAATAAAATGTAGGGTATTGGATAAATCTTTCATGAAGAGGAGATATCAGTATACTTTTAGAGATGTTCACTTTTCCATTGTATTCTGTTTGTAGTGAGCTTGCAAACTTGTAGAGGTACATTCGAGCTAACATGCCACCAAATCCATGCCCTACAAGGGTGATAGACACTTTTTCATCGCTCTGAATAATATTGTTCTTGAGTACATTCTCTACTAAATTGTGTAGCTCAATGCTCATGTTATGTAAATGTCGAGGTCCCTTAACAATATCGCTATACCCGTATCCATATCGATCATACCTCAATGTGTATGTTGTTGATGATTCCAATTCCTTGCTATGCAATAAATGGTATTCCAAATCTTGAAAAACCTCTCTAGTTTCAGCAATATCGGGAATGAATATGACCAATTTTTTTTCGTTAGGCTTTTCTGTGTTCTGTATTTTTGATTCCGAAGATGATGATACATGGTTTGTAGATTTTGACAAGTCTTTTTTGCTTGTTACATCTTCATTCGAGTGCAAGGTGTAGAATAATTTCAATTCCTTGCTAGAGTCATTAATTTCAGGTGGTGCATCCATGTACAGGCCACTCTTTGGCTTTGGAGCATTACGAACAGGGTCCCAATGTTCATGTCGGATGGTGTGAGAAAGGGTAAAGAAGTTAATGCCAACAAAAGAAAGAGCAGTTGTATAAACAAGAGTTTTTGCAAGGAATTTGCCTGAAAAGAGTCGTTTCATTGGTATTGATGATGGAATGAGCCTTGTGCTCTCAACAAAATTGATTATTTTTTTTCGATTTATTTCTTTTTTAATTCTTCGTCTATGGGATAAGTTGTTCATCATTTCAAGGAATGATTCAATTATTGAACACAGTAATTTCAATATTCATACCATTTCAATTCATATTAAATTATTATGAAAATGAATTCCGATAAAAAGTCAAATGCAGAGTTCAATCCAACCACCAATGAAGAACAACTTACTCTTCGATGTTGTGGCCGTCATGACTAAATTATTTAATCTCTCTAAATGTTGTAAATCCGATGCTTGATCAGTCTTATATTTAAGAACAAAAGTATCATTGGTAGTTTTCAAATTCATTCTTCCTTTCTTATTACTAAATTTCATAACATATCGGGTATCGTTTGGAAATTGTTTGAATAGCGATTCAGTTTTTTCAATAAACTCTGCCATCGATTGGCAAGTGTATGAATTTGGATGTTTTGATGATGTTGTGGATGCACTCATTTTTATGATTTGCTTTTCATGTATGAAGAATAAACTTATTGGATGAGAGGTGTGGTTCGGTCCTTCTCAATTACGTGGCAATTTTAAAGAGTATCTTTCAATTCTTCCAAGAGTCAGTTCTGGTTCAACACTGTTTTTTCATCTTCAATAATTGTTTAACTTGAGTAAAAGATTCAATGAACAAAAAATACCTCTCCTCGACCAACCTTGGATCCATCTTCCAACTACATTCATCATCAAACCACACACACTGGAATGGGATACCGAAAATTATTCTTGAAAGAATATGTGGAAACCAAAGATTCCGATCAAACCCTCGTACGAGATTATAAAAGGCTTGTCTTGATGCTGGTTCGGCAATTCAATGCTGAAAATATTTCCAATTTATCGACAGTAGCAGCACCTGGTGATATTCAAAATGTTTCAGGATCGGATCCAGTTTATCATATTGAAATTAATGAGTATAATCCTAATACAACATCTACACCTGAAACTCCAGCAGTCTTTACAAGTACTTCAAAATTACATAGTGTTCGCTTTTCTTCGGAAGATGTCATTCAAGATCATACCAATCTTTTGAATTATGAAAATAATTGTTTCAAGTATCTCAACAAGAGTAGTGAAGAAGAGGATCAAACGGAAACTCAAAATGCTGTTTTTAATCTAGTTCCTCCATCTCTCACTTTGGACTCTCTTGACAAGTTGTATTTTGTACTGAATAATCAAACACTAGTAACCAATAGAAATTTCAAAGAATTAGTTTGTGAGAAATTGAAAAGATATATCAAGTCTAGCAAGGTTGTTGTTCATGGTGAGATTTTGAAAAGTGGCGATTTTATTATTCGAATTGGAGTTATTACTCAGAACGTAAAAAGAAGAGGAATTTTAATCGATATTGAATTTGCTCCATGTGGATATTGTTACATTTCAGAGACGGTCATCAAAGAATTTATGTCAACATTTATTGATATGGATGGAACTTCTACAACTACCATTTCACAAAATGTCAAATTTAAGCTATCAGAACTTTATACTCAAAACTTTGACTATGCAGATTTTAATCTAAGTGCAACGTATTATTCTCTGACTCATCATGCAGTTCAACTGGTGAGATTACTGGCTGATTGTGGAATTTTGAAATTAACAGCAGAAATACAAGCAACTCAATAATTTTTAATCCAACTTGATGCACTTAATTCATTCGTGGACCACACTTCAGATATCTTTTTGCACAAAACACTTCTCAAGGTTATTGTTATTATTAGGAAAATCAATGATGAATGATAACACTTCAAAATTTAGCGTGATTTATTCCGTCGTTTCGTTTGTTGTTCCAGTCGTTGTTGGAGGTGTAAGATCATAAAGGAGATTATCAGCGATTGCTTTCTTGGGCGAGAATGACGATGAAGAGCCTTGTGGCTGTTGTTGTTGTTGTTGTTGACCATTTAACACAAAGAAATACAGAGGAACTGGCTGTGCAGAGGATCGAATGAAATCTGAACTCGATGCATGAGCTCCACATCTTGCTTTTCTGTTGTTGACCTTACTAGGAGAACTGGGTGGTTGATTGGAATCGAAAACTTCCACTTCGGTTTTTTCGGATTGTTTTTCAAATGGATTCATTGATGAGTCATGTAATTGTACTACTGAGCTATCACCAGAATGATTGGATTCTGTTCTGTGAAATAGTCCCGAGGAGCTATCGGTTCGATGATTTGCTGGAACTGTCTGTGTATGTTGATTCGTATTATTCACTGAGTCTTCTTTCTTTTCATTATTGGTGTCATGAGAGGTTTCTTTAGGCTCTGATGTCATTGTCGTATCACCTTCGATCATACTCGAATTATTGGGTTGTACATGATTCGAGCGACCCTTACACATGGTCAGTAATTCCTTAATCGCTGAAAATATTCCACGAGAAGAATTTCTTTCATTGCCACTATTTCGTTTCACAGAGGCTGGAGCACTTTTAATTTTTCTTCTCTTTTCTTTACTGGCAGGAGATCTAGGTATATGGGAAGGATGAGTGATAGTACCATCCGTGTTGTTGTTGTTGTTGTTATTCGTTGTTTTTTCATTCATTCTTGCACTAATATCATTGGACAAGGTGGTATTGAGAATGGAGGTGTGATGATACGAGGAGGAGGAGGAGCAATTCGTCGTCATGACATTGTTTTGAGATTTATGTTTCTGATTGGAAAGTTTTAAAGGGGAAAGATTAGAATTGAGTATAGTGTTAGTAGTACTAGTAGGGGAAGTTGGATGAGCAGTTGAATTCGAGTGGTGTTGAGTTTTTTTAGGTGAAAAGGTCGTTGTTGAGGTCACAGGTTGTTGAGGTACCCATGAAAAGTTATCATCACTTTCATCTAAGAGTATTCGAGGGGGTGGTTTTAAAGATGATGGTGGTGATGATTGTCGAGTGCACTGAGACGATGAAGCTGCTATACTATTCATAGGGATGCCATCATTTCGATGCATTTCTTCTTCCGAGTTGGATTCGGAAGTTCTTGTTTCAATACTTGCAAATGCTTTCTTGGGTTGAATGGGTGTGGATGAAATATTGTTGCCACAACAACACTTGGATGGAGAAGGATCCATGATTGGATTGTGTTTCATGATGATGATGATATGATACAGGAAAGAGGTCCTAGTTCGTGCACTAGGTCGAGTCGTAGTGAGTTTAGACTGTTCTGCAACTACTTGTTGTTGTTGTATGAAGAGTGTGTGTGTATCGCTCACTCGCTCACTCGCTGTCTCTCTCTCTTGAAATGTTGTTGTATGAAGATTCAGAAAAATGTGTCAAAAGCTCTCTGTTGAGTGGCACAATTGAGAATGATCTATGACCAGACACAATGATGTTCCTTGAGAGAGAGAGAATAAGGTATTTTTTTTGGTGGTTACTGTTGGCAAGGGCACCCACTGAGTGTTTGACCACCATTGACAAGTGACGACGGCATATCTTGCACAACGTTCTGAATCTTGATAGGGTCTGTAACCGTAGAGAAATGGCGGTTCTTTGATCTTCAGTATCATCTCTTTTGGAAAGTATTATTTTGTGCTTTGAGAGAGTTCAAAAAGATTGACAATGGTTCAAAAACAACCATTGTCAATATTCATAAAAGTATATATACTTTGAGAATCACCACCTTTCATCTATCAGTCAGTACTAGTAGAGCCAAGTTCTCCTTTTATATTCAAAGTCGCCAGCTTCAGATCATCATCGTATGATCATGTCTATTAATTTGGACTCATCCACAGCGAGCAATAGACGCTCTTTCATTCGTTTCTCAGCTTCATATTTAACATGACCACATGAAAAGAGAATGGCAGAGCAGTATTGACCTGCAGAAAGTAAACTCAATGGTTGAGGATTCGAAATGTTTAAAGGTCTACAATTAGAAATTCCATAATTTGTTTCATCTTCATCTGAGAATCCACACTGATATAATAACATCAAGTCAGTGGAAAAAGACAACAACATTCAAGATGAAAGGTATGAAATCAACATATATACAACATTCAAGATAAAAGGTATGAAATCAATATATCAATAACTCGAGTTCTGAAATAACGACCTACCTGACAGCAATCATTGGTTCCAGATGCAAAAATTTGTTTGTGATTCACAACAAAAAGTGCATGATAGTATCCACAAGTGATTTGAGTAATATTATCTAATTTAAATTCATAAAAAGATCCAAATGTTTTGATGGTATCTGATGGAGAAGATGGCAATTTTCCACATCCATAGACTCTTCCATGGCGTGTGAGAAAGATTGAAAAATCATATCCTAGAGCAATGTCAATAATTTCATGTCTGAAGGTACAATATTCATTCTCAGTGATGGAAAAAACATTAGAATTGTGTCCTAGGCCGAGTTGATAGCTCTCATTCCAACCACATACATATAGCTTGGGATCTGTTCGTTTGTTTACAAGAAACATGACATGACTATAACCTGTATATATTCCATCAATCACACTTGAATTAAAAAATGTAATCTTTTTAGGGCCTTGTCGATCTGATTTGACTCCACTGCATAATTCTCCTCTATAGTTCCAACCAAATGATATCAAGTTTTCCAAATTCGTTTTACAAATGGTTCCTTGTCCCAATGCAAAAATACTAGTGACATGTTCATGATCATCCAGTAAATGAGCCAATGGCACTTGATAACATTTGATATTGTACAATCGTTTGAAAGTATTGGTAATAACAGCCTCTTCATTGTCCATCATTTGATCATTACTAATTCCAATTCTACCATTTGAAGTATTACCAAAACCATACAATTCATGTTGTTTGGTGAGAAATAAGCAATGAGAAAATCCAACAGCAACATCAATGACGTTATTCCTCAATAGACAAATGTCGTGACTGGGAACATCAATGCTAGCCTTGTTGCTGTGTTCGGTCGATGATGATGACTTGGTGGTATTGACTTTATAGTCATGAAGAGTTAGGAGTAAATTATTGGAATGAGTGAGAATGGCCATTCGGTTACCTCCTTGCCGAATCGTTTTAATTCCTTCTTGAATATAGGGCAAGGCTTTTGTGTTGGATTTGAAATCAAGCAAGGTTGGAAGACATTTACTGGATCGGTTAGATAAAGCTAATTGTTCAACGTCATTTCTTCCAAATACAATGATTTGATCCTCCATATGATGATGATGATGTTATATTGCTCAGAATAAATCTGATCCGAAATGATGTGTTTTTGAAAATAATTTTGATGATGATCTTATTGTCGGGTGTTGGCAACAAGAATATTGTTGTTAGTTTGTTGGAGAGAGTTATTTTTTGTTGTTCTGAACTTCAAGTTCGCGTTTACTTTGGGTTGACTTGTTTTATCAATTGACCTTAGACATCAATGTTGTGGACACATAGGCGCACTGGATTTTGCTCTCGTGATTTTGGATTGTTGTCTGTTAACAAATTCTAAAACAATTAATACTCATGTCGTGCAGTTTTAAAGGTGGTTAGGTTTTTCATCATTTCTGGGAATGTTGAATGGTTGTGGGATGACAATGTCGGTGGACTTGAAACATATTGACCTCTAAGCTTTGAGATGGAATACTGAGAAAGGTCTACATGACGGTGATGAGGTGAATGTGAAATAGGTAAGGATAACGTTTTTACACGAGGTGTTTGGAATTCGGACAAGTTCATTGGTGATCGTCCTTCATCCTTAACATTAGAAGTGATCTGTAGCTGTGATTGATCATGCTCAATCGATTCCATTGAAGGTATGTGTGGTGGTGAAGGTTGATAGCCACGAGTCTCACTTTTGGGTTGTGGAGAATAACTGTTGAGAAATGCATCTACAATATCTTCTTCTTCTGTGGAAGACACTATAACAATATTGGAGTTTTCTTGTTGATCTTGAAATGGGTTCATCAATGACACAGAAATCACTTCTTGTTCGACTTTTGCTGATGATTTGGATTGCACGTTCACGACTTCTTTCTCAGTGTTTAATGGTGTATCGTCATGAATTGTTTCATGTCTAATTTCCATATCACTGATTGGAGGTGAGTTGTTCTTCATGTCTGGACAGTTGTGTTGCTCCACCATGTTGGAACATTGTGTATCGACTAATAGCGTTGTTGCACCACCCGATGAGACTTGTTTCAACACCTCGCATGAAGACTCACTCAATAAATTCTCTCTCAAATCGAGAATGGATATTCCACTATTATGTTTCAATAATTTGATCAAACTCTCCATAGATTGATCGGAAATCTTATTTCTTTTTAGATTGAGGCTATAGATGGTGGAGTGATGATGCATCAGTGAAGAAACAAGTTTCATTACAATTTCATCTCCTAAATCATTTCCTTCTATATCTAAATGCAATATATTCGATGATTTAAGGTTGAGATCAAATGATGGATCATAGATGGAGGTGTTTTTACAAGATATCGATTGAAGTTGTTTGCATAATTGTACAAGTTGGCTCAATAATATATGACATCTCTGTTACATAATATGAATGTCGTAGTTTTCAATCCATGATGAAATAAAACCTACCTTAAGGTTATTGTTTGAAACATCGATGGTTGTAATTGAATTATTTAAAATCATACCATAACACAATGCCTTAACACCTAAAAAATCAAAATTATTGTCATTTAGAGAGAGTATTCTCAGGGTTGAATTATGAGAAATCCATTTGCTCAGGGCCACGAGTCCTAAATTTCCAATCAAGTTGTGTGATAAAAGTAATTCTTCTAAATTGCAATTCATAACCTCATGAATCAATAGCTTCTCGCTTAAATATTTCAAAGAAGTACATCCGAGCTCGTTACGAGAGAGGTTTAATTTTCGCACCAATCTACATTCTTTTAAGCATGAAAGAACGTTAACATTATCGTCTGATATTCCGCAATTGCTTAAATTCAAGTAATTAATATTTTGGTAATTATGAATAAATGATGAAAAATCTTCCAGATGATGAATGAATTGAGAATATCGGTTTTCATCCCGATAAGCATCTTGATCATCAAACTCGGTACCATCATCTTTTCCTAGCTCTAGAGTAAAATAAATATTGGAGTGTTTCTTTGCCATTGGTGCAAAGATTACCATTTCTTCAAATCCCAAAATTTCATCCCGAAGTAAATCTGTTGAATTATTTCCATCAGTAGAACCATTGTTAGAAGGGATAGAATTTTGAGAAATATTTTGCAAGCTAATGGATACTCTTGGAACATTTTCGGGTGATGAAAGATGTAAAATTGAATGCAACGTGGTGGGTGGAGAAAGTAAAGAAATGGAATAGATATTATTTTCGTCCGAACCATCCTCTTGAAAGTTGTACAACGATGAAATTTGAGGTACCCTTGTATGGCATGCAAGGGCGGACTGGTCTTCCTTCATTTTTTCAAAATTGTTCATCTCAGTAAATTTCTGTCACTTTACACAAGCTCAATAGACTTTCTCAAACCAATCCAACATTCCAATGAAAATTCCATAAATGTACATATGGTAAATAGCATCATGTCAATGGAGAAACGTCATTCCAATAGGAGGACTTTCACGAATTGGCGCCAAAAGAAGAACTTGTAAGTGTTTGGCGGTAAAATTCATTTTCTTATCAAAACAATAAAAAAATGTTGTATGGACAACACAACAATGCAACTGCTGGTGTAGAACTACTTGTGGATAACGTTGCTGATGAGGAACGAAGAATCATGAATAGCCTAGAGCAAGAGGAATACGATGAAAATTCTTACCAATCGGACAATGAATACGAAGATGTTCTGAATACAACTCAAGACTCTGCATCCTCGTCGGCGTATTTAAATCAGTCTAATTCGGACGTTGAGACTAGGGAACGAGAACGAGAAGAAGACTCTCAGGAAATGCTGGGTCTATTCTTGAATTTCTTGAGGGATAACGAACTCAATGAAACAGCCGAGAAGTTAATGCAAGAATTAAAGTCAAGCACAAGCAGTAAGTTGAACGAATGTTCTGTTGATGACAGAACGATCATTTGAAATTGTTCTCAATGATTGATCATGTATCAAAGGACGATCATCTAAAGCAAATACTCCTCAAACAGCTTCAAGACCATCCATGAAAGGATACTCTGCGGAAAAAGTTACAGAGCCAGAATTTGAACAAGTTGCTGAAGTGGTTAACGACGTAGTCCAAAGCGTTGTTTCCGATTTTTATAACAGTCATCAGGCAGACACTAAGCATTACAATCATAGAATAACACCAACCAACAGCGCAAAGAGAGTATTAACGAGTCACTCTCATCATTCGAAACAGTCCATAGAGGACGAAGAGGAAGAAGAATTCGAACGGCCTGATAGCTCTTCTTTCATGAAAGAATTACAGGATTTTGCACACATGTATGATACTGCAGATGGAGATATTGCACCTCTTAACACAGACGACCTCTATGAAACATTCGAACAACACATTGAACAAGAGTTAAAATCGTTAGAGCTTCCACCCAATGAATCTCGAACTTTGGAAGTATCTCAACCCACAAAACCAGATAAGGACGCCAAAGACGATGACTATGCAAGCGACAGTGATGAAGAGGGATATAGTAGATGCTCCGATTTTACAGAGGAAGATTTCAAGTCGTGGGGACCCACATATATTGAAGAAGAAGAAGCTCCAGAAATTGAAGACAGAAGAACCAAATGGAGGCCGCCTGTGGAATACGAAACCATCTATTTGCCTGTAATAAGAGAAACATTCAAAACAGGTTTTGAAGAAACCAATGAATTCAAAATTGAAGTGGACTCGATCATTGCAGAACGATATCAAGTGATTGAATATTTAGGAAGTGCAACATTTAGCAGAGCCATTCAATGCTTGGATTTACGAACCAATCAGAATGTTTGTATCAAAATTATTAAGAATGATAAGGACTTCTTTGATCAAAGCTTGGATGAAATTAAGCTATTACGATTCTTGAACAGCATGGGTGATCCTGATGCCATGAACGTGATCAAGTTGAATGACTTCTTTTACTACAAGGAACACTTGTTCATTGTATGTGAATTGCTACGAGACAATTTGTATGAATTTTATGTCTATAATAGAGAGAGTGGAGATGAATTGTATTTTAACTTACCAAGGCTTCAAAGAATTACAAGGCAATGTAAGTATGAGTATAAGGAAATTCAAACTTGATTCATGTTGTTGTACATAGTATTGACAGCTTTGCAATTCGTTCATTCACTGAATTTAATTCATTGCGATCTAAAACCTGAGAATATTCTCATCAAATCGTATAGCAAGTGCCAAGTGAAAATCATTGATTTTGGTTCATCATGCTTTAAATGGGATAATTTACCTCTTTATGCCCAATCTAGAACGTACAGAGCTCCAGAGGTGGTCATTGGGAGCGATTATGATGAAAAGATTGACATGTGGTCATTGGGTTGCATTTTAGCTGAATTATTCACTGGAAAGGTTCTCTTTTACAATCATTCGATCCAAACCATGCTTGCTAAAATTCTAGCCTTGTGTGGTCCTTTCAAACTTCATCAACTCCAAAGAGGAAGATTTGTTAAGGACTTTTTCAGGAAGGTCAAAGTGGATGGAAAAACAGAATATGTCTTGTTCAGATACATTGATAGAGACACTGGAAAGACAATACCACCATCTGGTGTTGGCAATGTGTCACCTAATGACAATGTATTTGAGGAATTACTGATACCAGAATACAAACAAAACTTGAAGGAACGGTTAGATAACTGCCAAGATGATGAGTTTGTTGATTTTATAAGGCAGTGCTTACAAATTGATCCCATTGATAGACTGGATGTTCAGACTGCATTCAATCATCCTTGGATGAATAAGAAGTATGAAGAGCAAGTGTAGTAGTATTGTACTTGCTAGTGTGTCATTGATATCTTGTCAATGGTGGTTCCATTCTCATAGGAAACATAAACATAACCATTACTGTACTTGGCACATTCTATTTTGTTTCCAGTGTTGACATTCCACACTATTGGTAGTAGTGATTGTGAAATCTTTTTGGATGCTGGCTTCAATGGTCCTTTCGATTCATATTTCCAAATATTAATGATTCCATCCAAACTTGCAGACATGAAATGATCGGAATAGAGTTGGTCATTCATAAATTGAATATTATTCACGATATAGGAATGAGCATTATTGAAAGCAACGAACTTGGAATGTTGTGCACTCAAATCAAACATGACAATGGAACCATTTCCAAGACCAACTGAATTATTGTGAAATGATTCAACAACATGATTAAGTTCAGTTGTGAACAACAATTGATTAAAAAAAATTGATACTTACTGACACTCCTAGAATCTCTCTTATTGATGTCCAAACTGTGAATATAGGGTGGATTGATGACTTGTTGAGATGTCTTGAAAGATGGAACCCATTGAGTTGAATCACCCTTAAATAACACATTGTTAGATTTCCAATTTTGATGAATATATTTTTGATCTAAACCACCACTAATGACTAATAACAAGTAATGGATGGTATGAATGGTGTATATGTGAATGAATTTATAAATTCATAAAATTATTGTCAAATTAAATCGTAAAAAATGTGATCATTCCAATGTATGATGAAATTCACAATAAATTCATGAATAAAATTATATAATAGTAACTATTCTTATAATATGATCGATCTCACAACACATACCTTCACAACTCGTGTTTGGTCTCAATTTCACATTCATACAAATGTTCTCATGAACATTTTTCAACACTTTTTTAATTTTCAATTCACTTCCATTCAATTGATTAGAAAATATATAAATATTTCCATCATCATCACATGTACATGCATTCTCACCAACCATATCCAATGAATTTAATTCATTTTCTTGATCATCAAAACATTTTAAAATAAATAATTCTTGAGAGATGTTTCTTAAATCATAAATGTGAATACAATTTCCAATGATGGCATAAATAAATCCATGTTGTAACAATGAAGGAGTATATAATTTCACATGAGAAATATCCAATCCAGAATTATTGTTTGGTCTTATTTGTGAAATGTTTTGTTTGTGATGTAAATCATAGAGTTGAATGGAATGATCGTAACTGGAAGTACAAAGAATTTGTTGTGCATCGTGATGATTGGAAAGGTCAAAGGAAAGTATGGCATCGGAATGACCTACATCCACCGTGATGGAATTAGTCTTGTTGTTGTGTTGGATGGATGGAATTTGCGGCATTTCTAAAGAATAATATTTTTTTCAAAATTTAATTCAGGCGAGGCAATTCTTGATTCGAATTCAATTTCGAGCAAGCCTAACAACGATGTACACCCAGCAGCTCGGTTCAAAACAAGATCACTCTACCAGTTCGTTCCACTGCAGTCATTTTAAAAATTAACATCATGATTTCGATATGCCCATCATGTACAACCATCCATAAACACGACACGAAACAACAACCATCTATTCCTCTAAATTACACCATGGCCACAGCTTGTTACATTCATCTTTCATTACATATCATTACAACAACATGTCAGAGTTTTGGAAATCTAGGCTTGTTCAACACTAATGATAGTTCTATCATCATCATTACAATTCGAAACCGTTCTCTTGATTCACTCATGCATCATCATGTACCACAATATCAGCTCGATCCAAATAATCATCATTATACATCATCCAACAACTTGAATTCCATACCAATTACTCTCTCGGCCAATCCTTTACTTCAGCCAACGTGGTCCATTTGGTACCCAAGACTCTCACTTCAAGATGGAAACACTCGAAACGGTGGCGAAATTCTTGAAGAAAGGGTTTTGGGCAACCAAAATAGACCTCGCAGAAGGATATTTTCATATCCCCATCCATCCAAGTTCAAGAAGGTTGTTAGGGTTCATTTGGAAAGGACAAATATTCCAATATACAGTCCTTCCATTCGGTCTCAATCAAGCACCATGGATCTTCACAAAGGTGATGAAACAAGTTGCCAAAAAGATTAATCTTGGAGTGAATGGTGGTGAAAGGAGTAGTAATAAATAAATTTGAGTTTTATATTTGAATGGATTCAAATTTCTTAATCGCTTCTTCATCAAGTTCAGTATGATTTTCAAGAGATCGATGATGTAAAGCTTGAACTTGTGCAAGTTTCTCTCGTTGTTTTGCTTCTCTCTTTTCTCTTTTTGTTAATTTTTTAGATTTGTGAGAGGATTCCTTTTGGGAATCATGATTCTTTGTGTTTCGAGAATGTTGATGCGAAGAGAGTGTTGTTTCACTCTTGCTACTGCTACTACCACTACTACCACTATTACCACTACTACTACCACCATGAGTTGAATGATTGTCATGACCCTCCACTCCACTCAATGATAATAACATATCAATCACTGTTTCTGCATTGTATTGATTGGATGTAATTAAATCTCTCACCAATTCAATGTCATGTCCACTATCATATCCAATGGTAGACATGACAAGATCAAAACATGAATCTAATAAATGATCATTGTCAGTACCACTGGTGGAATGAGAAGAGTACAATGATTGAAAGGGACCATGACTCGTTTGTGAAGAAGAGGAAGAACCAATCGAATGAGAACTTGATGCAGCAATATGAGAAGAAGAGGAACCAATCGAGCGAGTATTCTTACTCTCTTGTAGAATTGAATTGGTGTTAATTGTTTCATCATTATCATACCAATGGTCACTGTTACTTGAATAATATTTCATTTGACACAGAAAATCAATAACAGAGTCCATATCTTGATTGAAATCTTGTAACGTATTTCTAATCAATGTTAAATCAGTACATCCAGTAGATTGAACAATAATTTCTTCCTTCTTTGAAATTTGTGAATTTTGAGATCCACTATTTTTAGCAGCAGTTTGATACAATTGTTTGACACTTTCACTCATGTAATGCACTGAATTATAATGTTCACCTAAATGATAACTCAATTGAATTAATTTGCTATTTGGATCATTGTAATTGACAATATCAAAGGATGGTTTAGCTAATTGGTGAACTCTAATGTTGACATTGAAAGCGACTGAAATAGCTTGAAGAGTTAAATTATCACCCCATTCTGTGTCCTACATGTAGGTTAATGGAGTATTTAAACAGTGTTTAAATATATTTCAATATGGTATTTTCAATATTGCATTTTAAATATATTCCAACCATATATGTAATGTTATGAATGTTGAGATGTGTTGGTCCATACATTTGTTTCATATTATAGTATTTCGAAATATTCCAATGTATTTCAATGATTTTTACTGCTTTCTAACAACTTACCTTTTTCATATTTTTACAATAATCTTCAAAACTTTCATCACAAACAAAAGGAGCAAACATGTCAGGATTATTCATCATGTATTCAACACATCCTATTCTAATTTTCTGATATTGATTTTGATCTCCATATAATTGATCGCTCACTGATCGAAATTGACAATTTCCATCACCTGTTACTTTTTTTAAATATAATCCATAAGGTTCTAATTGTTGATTCATTTGTTGAAAATCTTCATCTTGTAATTTGTTGGAATGGTTGCCACGCGATTTCTTTTTTCGAGACTTTTTGTCCCATTGGTTTTCATTGTCGTCATGATGAGATAGTGTTTCTAATCTCTTCTTTTCTTGAATGGAATATTCATAATTATCATCATTGGAAGGATGACCACCTCGGGAGGATGATGAAGCCTTTTTGTTGTTTTTTGAAGATGAGGAAGCCTTTGCTTTGTTTTTCCCCATTTTTTTTGTTGTTAAAGGACCAGTTGGAATCACAACAGTTTTGAGCACACAGCGACACGAAAAGGTGGTTCTTGAAATTGAACATTCACCATCATGATTGATCGCAAAGAGATGATTTGCATGTGGTTCATTGCAATGTTTGAACTCTGTGTTCATTCCTTCCAACGAATATTCTTTAAAAAAAATCTTTCATCATCCATCGAGACATGTCTTTGAATTTTTCAAGTCTCTCTTCGTATCATCACAAATTGTGTGCCTTCATTCAACAACAGGTAGCTAATCATGATAGTAGTACTATCGGAAATGAAGACCATACACTCTATTCATTCCTCGCTAGAAATATATTTTCTACTACTACTACGTGCTACACCTCTCAAAGCACTTCCTTGAATCAATCTCAACATTTTCAAATGGCACTCGAAGAAACACAAAAGAAAACAATTGCCATGTTCAATGTATTCAAAGAAAATGTGAATATGAATTTACAACAAGAGGAATTGGAACATATTTTTCAAGATTTATCCATCCATCATCCATCATCCACAACAAATAATTCTGAAACGATGATGAACAACACCACTTGCAATCAAGAAGAAACTATGAACAACTCAACAATCATTCTCAATCTTAAAATCATGTTTCTCATCTATCGATTTTGTGTGAATCGAGTGAAATTAGGAAAAGAAGTACAATTTTCGTTTTTTGAAGAATATTTTAATCATGTCATGAATTTAGAGGATTGGTTTGGACAATCATTAAAATTAATGAGAGAACAATTCACTTTGAATACAAGTCTTCTCTCGATGGATAGTAATGAATGGACCATTCGATCTCCTCGAGTGTGTGAAATGATTTCTAAATGGAGATTATTATTATATTCAATTGTACAACCATCATCTTGTTTATCATCTACTTTATCTACTTGTTCAAAACAAGAATTCTCTTCTTCTTCAAAACAAGAATTCTCCTCTTCATACAAGTATTCTATTGAACCATGGAAATTATTTATCATTTACTTATATACAAGTTTATTAACAGAGATATTACCATGGGGTGTTAAATATATTCATGAATTTGGACAAAAACCATCTAAAAAAGATCAAATATTAAGATTGATTAAAAAACAAAAGAAGAATATCATGACTAGTACTCTCAGTGCTGGAACTTTTCAATATGCTCCATTCTTTCAATTCTTAATATTACAACATTTTGTTAATATGAAATTGAAACATTTTAAAGAACAAGGAAATTTAATATTGAATCATTCGAATGGAAATTTATTATTGAATCATTCTAATCAGTATGATAATACTAATGATAATTATACTAATAATACTAATAATTATACTAATAATACTAGTAATAATACTAATTCTAAATTGAATATTGGTAGTAGTAATCATTCTGTAAATCCATCATTCATGCCTTCATGTCTCTTTTGGCCAAGATCATCCCTTGAAGATAAACTTTTAAAAGAATCATTAACATTTTGGGCTGTTTTTGTTTCAGCCATTACAAGTACTGTACGTGAAGAACAACAAATGATGATGGATGAAGCTGAAGAAGATGATGATCCTACAAGTATGAATACTTTTGATACTATGGATACTAGTATTGTAATGAATAATAATATTGTAATGAATAATAATAGTAATAATAATAATAATACAATACATTTGGATCCAATGGTTGCACCCACCACTGATAGGACTCGTCGAATGAATGACACACAACACGATCTTCAAACTCACATGACTGTGAATGAAATTAGAAGTGTCAAGAAATATCTCTCTCATACTCTTGAAGAATATTTATTGAATATACTTGTACAAGTATTGTATGAATTGGCAGAATATGAATGCAAACCAATATTGGATTTGAATACTATCACTTGTAGTAGTACTAATAATCATACTATCAATGCTAGTAGTACTATTCATTCTACTATTCATACTACTACTATTCATTCTACCACCAGTAATAATAGTAATAATACTACAACGACTAATACTGATCATCATAATACTTTAAATACGATTCATTCTAAACCAAGTACAATGACACCATCTTTTTATTTTGAAGGTCCATTACGTTCTTTAGAGAGTATTCGTGCACATGCTCAAACAGTGATTAGTTCTCTTTGTAATGGTTTTGGATTACATTTATGTAATATTATATTACCAATGGTGAATGCAGATCTTGAACAAATTGGAAAGAATACTCTGCAATCAGATTTGTTTTCTTCTTCTATGGATTGTACTCCCTATGGACCTATCTATTTAAATACAACTCCATTGAATCCAAGTCATAATAATAGTAGTAGTAGTACTAGTAATAATTCAAATAATAATAATTTAAATAATAATAATTAAAATAATAATTCAAATAATAGTAGTAGTACTAGTAACAACTCCAATAATGACATCACTAGTCTTCAATCATTACATAATAATAACTTTGGTAAACCTATTTGGATCGTTCGACAAAAAGTACTCAATACCATTGGAGTTTTATTAAGAGAATTACTGACTACTAACATTCAATATGGATCTGGAATGAATGGAACCGTCGTTGATGCACCAACGATCATTTATTATGTATTATCACATTTTATTCAAGAATATTGTGAATTGGTATTGAATGAAATTAATAATACGACGACGACGAAGAGACAAGTCCTTTCATTGGTGTCCACTCAAGAAGGATCATCATCCTCTCTATCATCCACTCAAGAAGTATCATCATCCTCTCTATCACGACCACCATTATCCTCTCAAGAATCACCATCTCCACCACCACCACCCTATGAAACCATTCTCAAACAAACTGCAACATTGGTCACTTTTGCATTTAGCAAATTATTTAATAATCAACAAGATTCCATTCAGACTGATCCATCAAATAATAATTTAGCAATATTGACATCTTTTTATGAATCTCGAATACCACCACCTCCACCTCTACCACTGAATTCAAATGTTGAATTCAATGATCCATATGCCAATGATCGAAAAGTACAACAAAGTGCAACTTATTTACTACAAGAATTTAAACCCAAAGTATTGAAATTATTACAAGAATTAATTATACATGATGATTATTCATTAAGAGATTCAGCATGTATTTCATTATGTAGTTATATTGCAGATATGAATTTAGTAGACATGATGAATTTGGATGATGAATCAGATTTCATTCTCAATATTATTCATGCATGTGAAAAACATGTTGAGAATTTTGTAAGATATTCCATGTTGATTAGTGCCATTACAGACAAGTTACAATTTGCAATATCTTCATGTGCATCCATTGAAATGAATCACATGTCCATACAAGAAGAAGAAGAACCTCGATGGAATAATTCTAACATGAAGAGAAACTCGATGGAATAACATGTCCATACAAGAAGAAGAACCTGGATGGAATACTAGATCAATACAGCAAGAAAGTACTAGGACCAAGACTCGTACTTCACTCTCTACTCTTCTCTCTAACAAGTATTCTCCTCATTTCAATCGATTATTTAAACATTTATTTGAAAAGATTTGTGTGAATAGACTTGAAAAGAAACAACATGCATTAGAAGAAGAAAAGAAACATTCTCAATTTGTTGTGTGTTTATTTGATGCATTTTATGATTCTCTTGATTTTATGAAATATGATACCAATGTTGAATTGATTGAAACATTTTTATTATATGCTAGAGAGAATATTTTAAAATTGATTCATGAAAATAGTAAGGATGATGATGACAATGATGATGACAATCATTCATCCAAACAATTATTGAATCATTCGAATTCTACTTCTTCTTCAACAACCACAACAACAACAACAACATTCACAACCACAACAACAACAACCTCACTCAAAACCTATTCTTCCAGTGATGAGATATCAGCCTTTTCAACTTGTATTAATGCTATTATTAGAAATACGGATCGACCTGTCTTGTTGAAACTCTTTGAAAAACATGACATGTTCATTTTTTTAACACAATTATTGAGAATGTGTTCCAATCATTCTAATTTGAGAATTAGAGATTGTGCTGTTCATACCATTGGAAATATGAGTAATGCAGATTTATTTGATTTGTGTCCATTTGATGTTCAACCCTATCATAATGATGAGACTGCTGAGCATAGAGAAGTGGGTTTGGAGAAGAGTAGTAGTCATGGTCATGATTCTAATGATTCAATTCATCATTCCAAGTCTCATCATCTTGATAAAATATCCAATGACCATCTCATCATTATACCACAAGATTCATCTCTTCATCATGATTTATTATATGATTTTGTATTACCTCTATTGGAACGAGAGTCTATGGTGAGTCCAAGTTTCTATCAAGAAGCAACACTTGAAGATGATGCTACTCTAAAAAAGAAGATTATTGTTTATCATAATGCAGTATGGTCATTGGGAAGAGTGATTTTAAATATTCAGAGAAAGAAAAAGTCTGAAACCAATGTTGGTATCAATCATCCAATGAGTCATCCTACAAGTGATCATCATCATCCTCAAACTTGTCATCCTACAAGTGATCATCATCAAATGAGTCATGCAAGTGATAATAATCATCCTCTAGTTGCAACCAAGATGACAAGTAATCACACCACCACCAATACTACTTGTATGAATTCTAAATTTAATCAATTTTTAGAAAGAATTTCACCTAAACTCATGAATATTATTCGATTATTTGCTAATAGAGATTTCTTTACTACTGAAGATGTGATTGAAGATATTACAGGTTATCTCTCTAATGTGTGTATTACCATTTCATACATTTCATTTTCAAGAATTGATTTCATTGCACCCTATTTCCCACTCTTTGGAGATTCATTCATTGAACATGTTCAAGCAGATTCGAGTGAAGATTTAGATGAAGAAAAGATGGCCATGTGTGTAGCAATATTTAGAATGACTGAATATTGGTTGAATCAAGTCATGATGGATGATGAGGATGAGAATAGTATGAACCATAACAACAACAATAACAACCATACCACCACCATGAGGATGATGGATGATGCTCATACAGGTGGTGTTCATACTGCTGCTGCTGCTGCTAGTGAAGAAGACTTCTTCTCATCCACTGCCACCACTACCACCATGATTGAAGATGGAGAGTTTGATTTTGAAACTATTTATTATTAGATAATTTATTTACAAGTGCCATGTTTGAGAGAATTTCAAATACTTATTTGTATGCATTGGCTTCAAGAGTGATGGAGAAGGCTAGAATTTACATGTCTACACGTTAATGAGTAGAGTGATCGTGTTGTTGATGTTGTTTTGAATATGGAATGAACATTCATCTATTAGAATATGTGTGACACCTTCAAGATAGAATTTAATGAATGACAAATTAAAAACACTTTCGATGAACAAGTATTGGTCCAATTTCTTCATATTCTTGACTTGTCATGCAATACTTGTAAAGATGGAGAGTGATCCTAAAATTAATCCTCCTTGCCAAACATTACATTGAGTAGAATTGCCATGATGAATGGTCACAAATCGATCCAATGGTAATAAGGCTTCCACAATAGATGCTCTCAAACGTAAAGCAAATCCCTTCATACGAGTACATCCTCCCTCCACTACAATATCATTGAACACTTGAAATGCAAAATATTGATCGACAAATCCACATGCTCGTGTGGACTGAATGACCATCTCTTCCAAAGTATTAATACTACAACTACGACCACTACTACTACTACCTTCAAGTACACTTGAATTCATAACTAAATTCACGAGTTGAGGTTGATAAAGTATTTCTGGAATTTGAAATCTCTCTTCACGGGTCAATGAAAAAACATGACCGTCAGGTAATTCATATAAAGTTTCATTGGTGGTACTATTCTCACTCACACTATTGACATCAATAGAATTTCCTTTTAGTGCTCTCTCATATTGATTGGGTGTAGATAACATGTAACATTCTTGTTCTTTCATCTTTTGAATGACATCTCGTGCCACTAAATTCGAGGATAACCATTCGTTGGGTTGTTGTTGTGGTTGTTGAATGGTTCCTCCATTGCTTCGTTTTGAAATCAATGCAATTAAATATTCAGTCATGTCATGTCCTGCAATATTGAGATATTTAATGGCATGTGGAAGAGCATGTCCTTCATAGACTGGAGCACTATAGGTTCTGGAATGACCACAACTCACACTCAATCCATTGAATATAAATTTAAAGTTCCTTGATTGCCAAATATAAATGAGGAATACTAAAAGATTCGAACATGATTTGAAGAATACGTTCTCTTTGTGATTTGGGAATGAATGGAGCTTCACTTAATAATACAGCATGTTCATTGGGCTCAATGTGTAATTTGTTATAGAACAATTTCTCATAAAAGATATTCAAGGAATCGAAATCTTTCATATGACCATCGTTCTGGTCAACGAAATATTTTGGTGGACAGGATTCATCGATCATGGATTTTCCAATATCAATGGCCTGTGTTTCATCTTTGAATGTTGCTGATGGTGTCAAGAGCGTGGGTTGTTCATCTTCCGAAAAACCTGCTTTGGTTATGAACGAACCACAATCCACAACGATGGTGTTGAGTTGTGACATTTTTTATGAACAAGCTCACCAATTGATGATGACCAACTCTATCGATGATGGTTTTGATGAATATTCTTACCAAAGCTCAATAACCAAGATCGCTTCAACACTAATGAGAGTCACTTTCAAACGAATACAGCTCAACAACTACTTCACAACAACGGAATAAAGTGATTAATCGCCTAGATACACTTCCATGCCTACTAGTGAAAGTGATTTTAAAATCTCGTTGAGAAGATTCACCAATGGAATTGGAATCAATTGTAGTCATTGTCATACGTCAAAACATGGGTCAACCTTGAATGAAACACTTTTTGTGTTTCCCAGTTCCGTACTTTCGAAAGAGCAAGTTCGTCACGACAGGATATTATTGCCAACAACATGACAGGGTCGTCATCTTTCGGTCCCTGCCACGATGGTAGTCAATAACAAAAAAATGAACGACTGTTGGTGGGTAGGTTTTTTTCATCAGAGCAACCATTGGAATTTTACAAATTCTTGATCGTGATTGGTGGTATTTGGAAGGGAAGGATAGACGTTTTGTGCTCCAACAAGCGAAACAAGATGAATTTACGCTTCTCCTTGCTTCTCAGGAATTTCGAAACGATCGAGAGATTGTGTTAGAAGCAGTGAAAAAATATGGATCTGCATTTCAATATGCTTCTCAAGAATTGAGAAATGATCGAGAGGTTGTACTAGAAGCGGTGAATCAAAATGGATGGGCGCTTCAACATGCTTCTCAAGAATTGAGAAATGATCGAGAAATTGTATTGAAAGCTGTGAATCAAAATGGATCTGCGCTTCAGTTTGCCTCTCAAGAATTGAGAAATGATCGAGAAATTGTATTGAAAGCTGTGAATCAAAATGGGGATGCACTTTTATTTGTTTCTCAAGAATTGAAGAATGATCGTGAGATAGTGTTAGAAGCAGTAAAACAAAATGAAGATGCATTTGTATGCGCTTCTAAAGAATTGCAACGCAATATTGATTGGTTATTGGAAATCAAAAACGAAAACAATAATATCAAAGAGTACATTCAAGAACATTTATTTGGCACTGTAGAAAAAGCCAAGCAAGGAATTTCTAGAAATATCAAAGCATTTCTCTTACTCAAACCTTCTCTTCAGGAAGATCGAAATTTTGTTCTCCAAATAGTGAAACAAAATGGATTGGTGCTTGAATACGCTTCTCAAGAATTGAAGAATGATCGTGAGATAGTGTTAGAAGCAGTAAAACAAAATGCAAATGCAGTTCAATTTACTTCTAAAGAATTGCAATGCAATATTGATTGGTTATTGGAAATCAAAAACGAAAACAATAATATCAAAGAGTACATTCAAGAACATTTATTTGGCACTGTAGAAAAAGCTAAGCAAGGAATTTCTAGAAATATCAAAGCATTTCTCTTACTCAAACCTTCTCTTCAAAAAGAGACAGAAATAACTAATACTACATTTAAAGAAGGCGCAAAATACTATTCATTCGTCTTCAATTTCGATGAAATTATTGACTATTATTCTAATCACTACATTTTAGACCAGAATGCATTGGAACTCTATTTATATTTGAACCTCAAACCTTCCAAAGCATTCTTTACGCTAACATCAAATTATCCAAAAGAAACGGTGATAGAATTTGCATTACTGAAATCATTTCACAAATTTATAACGTCTCATCAAATCGATCTGAATGCAATTTTTAATCATCAGACAATTCAACACACGACTGATTATTATTTATTTAGCGACACTATTCATGGTTTGGTGGACCATTTATTGAGTGCTGTCAAATCAACTCCTTACAAGCAACTCCAAAAAATTGTGGACAAAATTGTGCAACATTTTCCAATTCAAAAGTTAACAGAATCATGTTTTGACATTGTTGTGAAATTTTTGAAGGATTGGAAAAACGTGGAAAAATTTCCTCACCTCACTTCCATTCAACAATTGACTGCCCAAAATCTTTCCAAACGTTATATGGAGCTGGATAAAATCCGACAATGTTGTCAAATTATGAAATCTCAACCTCATTTCAAAGCTATTCATTTCATTTCATTGTTAGGAATGGGTGCACAAGGTGTTGTACTGAAATGTTTGTATGAGAGTCATGGATTGGTTGCTTGTAAATTCTCTATTGAAGCAACTCAGGATAATCAAAGAGCCAAAGAACAATTTAAAGTGTTAAACGATCCACGTGTGAAGGGGCATGTTGTTAAGTGTATTAAATGTGAAACAGTAGAATGGAATGGATTTCATTACCCATATATTATCATGGAAATGGGACAAGGAACATTGAAAGATGAAATTCAGTCTATTCATTCCAAAAAGATTTTGAAATCTGAAACCAAGTTTCTTTTGAAACAAGACTTAATTTGGATTTTGAATTGTTTTATTGATATTCTTGAAGCAGTAACTGTTTTACATGGAATGGAAATTTCGCACAGAGATTTGAAACCAGAGAATATTATTCTCACACAAGATGGAAAACCTAAATTAATCGATTTAGATAATTGTCGAAATATTCAATATCGACACGCTGTGACTATGAATGTTGGAACGTATTTATATATGGCACCTGAAGTTCATCACGATCAGGTTTCTGAAATCATAAATAATACCACAGTATCGAGATATTGTGATGTGTTTTCTTTGGGATGTATGTTCATGAGAATGTTAACCAATTGTTCATTGCTACTTGATGGAACATATTTAAACTCAAAAGAACAAGATTTATATGGAACAACCAATACTGATGGTATGAATTACTTTTCAGAATATGGATCATATTTTCATGTAGTTGTTACATATTCTCATGGAGAATCCAAATTACATCATGCCCTTTTCAAGGAATTGGATAAACATATTGATCCTTCATGGAAAGTGAATGATATTTTTGGAAGATGTTTGATTACCATGATTCAGAAAGATATTGAAACTCGAAGAGATTGTGTGAAATATATTCCAATTTTGCAAGCTGTGAAACATTCACTTGAAGAAGGAGATACTAATCCAGATTTTTCCTCTCTTGATTTGAGTATCTTAAAACAATATCAGCCTTCATTTATTGAAAAGATTATGAAAGAGAATAGAATAATGAAACAAGAAAATGACAACTTGAAGGAAGATATTGCTAACTTGATCCAAATTAAGGACAAGTATGAGAAATTACTAGTAAAACACTCCATTAATTTTGAGTGACGAAAGTTGAACAAGTGACTGATATGACTTTTATTCTTAATTTTTCAACATCCTTAATAACGGGAATTTAATATTTCGATAATGTAAACAACAAGGATTTTGAAAAACTTTATTCAGTGCTCGAAAACTGCTTTTGTTTTGATGGAAACTCCGCTAATTCCTCATAGTATCGAGTAAAATCTCGACTGCTTCAAATCATCTGACTCGTTTTGTCGAATCGTCGAGCTCGAGAGACGTCATAAGAAATCCGTTCTGCTTTGGTTACATGTCGAAGTAACTGTTGTATGTTATATTGTTTTTCTTCAATGGTGATCATTATTGTTTGTGCACTTGGTCTTACATAATTGGATTCACTCAATGTTCACATTAAAAATTTGTTGCAGGTTGCTCTGAACTCTTCTTGTAAAATTTAGTGCATGTGGCGTTCTGAAGGAATTTGATAAAACCGAGCAAGATTCCTAATCAAAAATGGGATTTTGTTAAAAGTTGCAAAGTTGTATTGTTGTATTGAAGTAAAATAAAGAATCCTCCTGAAACTACTCGTCTGGGTCGTTCAAAATGACTTAACTCTGTGTTTCTGATAGATTCCACAATATCTCTTATAGCGTCCAACATGTGTACCAATCTAATGGCATCTTCATTCTTTCGCAATTCAGAAAGTAATTTTTCTGAAATTGAGAAATCAGCTCGTCCTTGATTCTGCTTGTCTTGAAAATTAGCAATAGAATATGAGTTTTGTAGTTGAGTGATGTCAAAGAAACAGCATGGATGGACTCCAGTGATATTCAGTCGTTTTGGGCTAAGTAATTGATTAACTAAATTACGGTGTAGATGTCTTATATCTGGGATGGGAATTAAAATATTGTTGACTTGAGTTAGATCAATCTGCACACAATCAAAAGGAGTGAACATTGTAACCGTTGACTTTTGTTCTCGTAACTTTGCAAATTGATTTCCTAAACATGCTTGGTGTTCACTTGCGAAGTCTGATGATATAAATCATGCATAGATATTCTGGTTTCGTAATCTTTGAGTGATCAGAGAGAGCCATGTGTCAATATCTTTTGCAGTATACTTTGATTTTGGAACAGCTTTTAAAATAAAGCAATTTGTATTGTGCCAATGTCGCACACTTGTAAGTGAATTGTGATAATATTAGATGCATAAGAATACTGTTTTCCTGCTATTTTCTCCAAAACCTTTCCCCATTCTTTCATGGTATGGCATTCGATCTGTTGCTCAAATCCCAAGTTACTTCTTCTTGACTAATGCATTAGAAGTCTTGCATGCATCAGTTTGTTGAAAAATCTCTTCTCTAAAATGGGCTCACTGCTGTTTGAGATGGACAGTAATACGAAGGCCCATACAAATCCGCAGCCAGAGCCCACACATCCTCAGCCGATCATGAAACTGAAGGATTCGATTGATCCTGATCCAAAAATAAAAATCCTCCACTGTTCCACTGAAAGTTGGAACAAATCGAAGTCGATGTTTTGTTGTCTTGGGAAGAAGACCGTTAGCACAACAATTCATGAGGCCTTGCAACATCACCAGAAGAGCCAAAACCACGCAGCAAGCATTGATCCATAAAAATTTCATCAGCATTGAATTTGTCCCAAAGACACTTTACATCAGGACGTTCGTCCGAAGAAACACCATCTTATCATTACTCTGTACTTGAAATCTCTCTCCAACGTTTATTATTATTGACAGTACAATACCATCCAATCGACGATCTGAAGCAGTAACTAATGAAGAGTGCTCAGTACTTAGTTAGGTGTTACAACCCACAACCAGTATCACTTTAAACACCAAACATATATTTATTATAACTTATATTATCACTATCCTTAACAATATTTGATTAGAAAATTTGTTGAAACAATAGTTGAACCACAACAATACCCTCCCTAACTATGAATACACAAATTAATTTTAATTTATTCGATCTTGCGAACAATGACACTTCCTGGAGAGGAGACAGCAACTAACCCATTGGTATTAATCTATTATTGTTTGAGGTTACATAACACCTCTCCAATCAAATCATCAACAAATTGTTAATTTTGAAACAAATCAAGAATATTCAAGTCTACTTCACCACAAGCGATCATAAAAAGTGAGCTCAACAACAGTTTGTAAAATAAGAAATTGATATAAACCATGTTCCTTTAAAAACATAATGCGACGAAACATCGTTGAGCAATCAGCGACGGATAAAAAATTAACAAAGATCGTGGGAAAACCCATCAATAATAAGGCCAAAGGAAATCACTGAGCAAATCAATGATACGTAAGGCAAAAGCCAATTAATACAACACAAAGTGTTGTTGAATTCTAAATATATAAAGAGAGGGAAGGGAGGGTGTTGTTGTGGTGTCAGACTGTTGGGAAGCTGCAGCAGTGGTGTTAGTTTGCTCTTTAGAGCTGTTTTGGTTGTGGATTTGTTGACATTTTTTAGCCATACTTTTAGTCAACCTTATTGTTTTCGTCTTCTTGGGAGAGAAATAGATACATGATGTCCTAAGCGTGAAACTCAAAGAGACCATGACATATATAAACAAACTCGCGATTATTTATCGAAGCCATAGCTGAAAATCCCTCATGTTTGTAAACATAAAAAAAGAACAAGATATGACATATCTAGACGGTAGGTATCCATTTAAGTGTGATATCTACACAAGCTCTATCTATGGAGGTATTCCAAACCACACCAGAAGCCAATAACTAGCCCATTGCGGTGTGTTAAAGATTTCGGGATTGTGGTTTGGTCCAGCGATTTAAAGAATGGCCTTTGAGTGGGCTCTTGTGTTTGTGGTATCGTGATTTAAATGCGAGGTTTGTGGTTTGAAGAAAAATGACCATTAAATTTTCATTTTACAAACAGTGGAATTCATCCAAGGAATGATCTCATTGAGTATCTTAATTTATTAAAGGTCAGCCTTCTTTTTCTTCTTCTTTTTATCTGTCTTGCTTTCGTGAATTGGTGTTGTTGAAATGGCAGGTAATGTTGTTGTAGTCGTACTTGTTGTTGCAGGCTGTTTCAAGGATGCACTCAAATGATCTCTCAAAATATTAAATAAATTACTTTGAAATGTTGCCAAATCCTTATATAATACAATGGTGGAATATTTCTTATCTTTACCATTGGTCACACGAATGAGACATCCTTCATGATGTGGTTGTTTCTTTTTAATTCCACTGGATGATTTCTTTGAGAAATGTTGTTGTTTTTCAGATTTTGGTTTTTGTTCTTTCGGAGTATCTAATATTTCAGATTACATGATGTGGTGGTGGTAGTCATTCGGATTGAAATTTAAATTACGATGGAATGTATGAAAATGTTTTTGAAAATGTTATTGAATTCTAAATATATTTACATACACTTTTTAAAAGTCATCCATATCGAATGTTTATCCTTTGTTTCAGAATATAATTGCGATACTTTTGTGATGAATTCGTGTTTGTTATTGATATAGACCATGATGATAAGAGAGTTGATGATGATGATGAATGAATTCGGATTTGGCTTATTTTTTTAATCAAACCAACGTGGCTCTTCTTGCTCGATCGTTGGCCGTTACAAAAAATGGGTATGCTGCTGGCACCACCAACATACTAAAAAAAAAATGAATTGGTATTTTAGTGAGCACGAACTTTCATTTCTTCCATCCTTACACGCCGAGAATAATCCTCTCAACAAAGAACAAGAAGCGGAATATCGAAGATCCACAGCATCATTTATACAACAAGCTGGAATACATTTAAAAGTGTATGTTTGATGATTTTCATTGGTGGCATCATGATGATTGTTGAATAGTCCTCAACTGACCATTGCTACGAGTCTAGTATTCTTTCATAGATTCTATGCTAAATATGAATTTCAAAAACATGATCGATTTGTAAGTATTGGTGATACACATTCCGAATAACCCCATCGTATCATCTTTGAATCTAACTATACACATTCCGAATGATCATCATCATCACTACCATCATGATATTCGAACACATGCTACTCTCAAACTCAGACCGTTGCTGCTGCATGTCTATTTTTAGCAGGTAAAGTCGAAGAAACACCTAAAAAAATCAAAAATATTATTGAATCTACAGAACATGTCAGAAAAATTAAATATTCTCCAAATGAAATTGATAATTTAACCAAAGATATTATTGAAAAAGAGAAATTACTACTTAAATTATTGAATTTTGATTTTAAAATTGAACATCCATACAAATCAGTCATGCATTATATTTATAATTTAAAAAAAGATGAAAAATACAAAGATAAATCTAAAGAATTGGCTCAATACGCTTGGAATTTTGTAAATGATAGTTTTCAAACACATTTATGTTTACAATATCCTCCTAGAAAGATTGCAGCAGCATGTATTTATCTCTCAACAAGTCAATATATTAATATGCAATTACCACATGGATGGGAACGAGATGAAGTATTTAAAACCACTCATGAAGAGAATGAAAAGATTTCTAAAATGATTTCCTCTCTCTATGCACTTCAACAACCAAAAAGTAAATTACCTTTTGCAATGATTGAGGGTGCGAGTGGTGGTTCAAGTAGTGGTGGTATGGGTGCTGGTACGAGTGGTGGTTCAAGTGGTAGTAGTAGTACTAGTAATAATAATAATGGTAATAGTCATGCTAGTAGTAGTAGTACTAGTAGTCATTTGAGTGGTAGTACTGATACTACTATGGCAAATTCAGAATCGAATCGAAATGATAGTGCCAATGCCACTAGTGGTAATGCTGCTTCTACCAACACCGATGATGCAACATCATCTTTGACAAGTCATGAGCCCAGCACGAGTAGTGATGGTGCTAGTACCAATGTGTAGTGAAATAAGATTCACTCTGACTTGGAACACTCTTCATAAAGGACTATAATGCACAGCTTTATCACAACCAACAACCATTGAATCATTCTAAAACAACATTCAACTTTCCCACCTTAATAAACCGTTATTGCAATCCGCCCTCACTTCCCGCCACCACTCATTTAAGGCTCACCCATCAAACACAAAAAAATGTCATCTTCTACAGCAGCAGGTGTTTCCGTAATGCCATTACGAGGTTTCTCACATCAATCTGGACATTATCGAAGTTCCATGACCACAACAACCACACATCCGAATCCAAGTCTGAGAGGAAATTCATCCTCGTCTGCCAACAATATTGGTCATCATTCACGGAATCCACAACATTCCTCCCATTCATCATCACACCTCCATGTAGCAGCAACATCATCGAATCCTATTATATCTTCGAATCGAATACTCGATACTTCTCATTCGAACCCTCACACCAATCTCTATTATTCGACCACAGCAAAGAATTCATCGAATGGTCAAAATATTCATTTTTCAAGAATCAAGAATGGTCTCGAACACACACCCAAAGATTCAAGAGAAAAGGAAGCATTTCGATATTATTGTCCTATTTGTATGATGTATTTCAAATGTAAGTGAATTCTCAATTGTTTTTAAACGTGTAAAAATATAACTCACTCATGACAGTTATATTCAAAGTGGAGTGTTGTTCACAGTACATTTGTAAATATTGTATGGAAGAATTATTAGAAAGTCATAAAGATTGTCCTTATTGTTTACATGCCAATGTGAAATTCAAGCAAGTGGAGAGTAATGAACAAGTAAGAGATTACAATGATGAACCATTGATCAAGACACCACCACCATTCAAGACATTGAAAATTGTCAACAAAGTAACACCCATTGAACGTTCAACACTCACTTTAAGGAAAACTAAAAGTGAATCTCAACTCAAATTTGATAATTTATTTACTCTGTCGGACACTTCGAGCAATGATGAAAACAATATTGAAAGAAAGTTATCATTTCCAAGTCAATGTGGGGATGAAGAATTACAAGTGAATGATCACGAACAGCCAGTCAATGATCTTCAAAATACTACCTCTTTCAATCATCAACCAAACTCCAAGCATATTCTTTCAAATTATATTAAGGTCAAGAAGAGACAAACGAAATCTGCTCCTTCCACACTCTATTCCAAACCACACCAAAGAAAACAACCAATGATTCAAGACTCCAAAAAGGATGAATGCACCAATGAGGAGTCCAAACAAGAAGTTGCAGACGACATGAATGAATTGAAACCTAATCTCTCCAATGTTGAATCTTCTCTTCAACAAGAAAAAGAATCAGTTCAAGATGCATTACCACTGAAAGAGGACAAGACATTACACAACAACACTCCAAGAATTGAACATTTTTCGACACAAAAGAAACCAGATGGAAAAGTGAAGCAAGATATTTCTCATCATTGTTGTGTGATTTTATAAAACAAGTGTTCCAATCATGAAATAATATTTTTTTAAACCACTTGATCTTGAACGGATAGAGATCTCTTGGTCATTGCACCATTGCTCCTATTTGCGCTACCTCCTGTTATGGTTTGATTTGGAACATTGTGCAATACAAGAATATTTTCATCTTGTGTGTGGTTTGTTGTTGTTTCCAATGTACGAACATGTTCTTCTTCACTCAGAGCATATGAATCAACCATCACATTCAAATAATATCGATTCAATGGAACATCACAATTCAATGCAAAGAGAGATGGATAATTCAAAAAATAACAACATGGTGCAATGAATAATCCCAACACACATCCACCTAAAATGTCACTAAAATTATGATGATAATCCAATGTTCTTGAAATGGCAATAAATGCAGCAAGTGCTAATGGAGAAAGACACACAAGTAATTTCCATAATGATGCATTTCCACCATACGAAGAGATTGTATTGACAGTATTCGTAGTAGTAGTAGTACTGCTAGTAGCCATCTTTGTCGTCGTAGTGGTATTATTAGTAGGACTGATCACTTGTTGTGAACTATAAATTTTAAATTTGCTCATCATGTACAAGACACAAAACATCATGCATGCAAAACTGAGAGAAGAATGTCCACTTGGAAATGATAATTTACCATCTCGAACCAATGAAAGATTATCTATGAGTCAATTATTTTCATTGAAAATATCCACAATAATATTCCATTGATTCATTAAATGAACATTAAAAGTTTGAAATGAATGAAATATGAAATTAAAAAAATAATAAATATGAAATTAAAAAAATAATAAAATATGAAATTAAAAAATAAATAAAAATTTGAAATGATAATAAATCACCTCATTAGAAATACAAAATCATGATGAACACACACACACACTCACCATTTGTACATTTCCCATCCAATGGTGATGGTATACATCGACTCAAAAAATCAGGTCTCAATCTTCCAGCTCCTACTTTCATCACATCTGTCACACAAATCGTTAATGCAAATGTTTCAAACCATGTTAATATTCCATGATGAATGTCATGAATACTTTTATATTTAATTTGAAATATTAATATCAATATAATAGGTATGAGTGTATTCAAAGAAATGAGCATGTAATCAGGTACGATACTTTCTAAATTTGGAAATGAAATAGTGGAATCGGTCATATCTTTATAAACTGCATATCGTTGTGGTGGTTCAATCTGATTGTTGTTGTATATTTTGATCCATTCCATAAAATATTACATAATACATATATAGAAATTCTCATACTCACCCCTCCAAAATAAGCTCCAAATACTAATTCAATGACAATGACTCCAATGAATGATAAAATCCAATCAAATAAATAATACATGGAAAACCATTTGGATTTCTTTTTAAAAGAAGAATTGAATAATTCTTTGAAAAAGTCCATCATGACGACAAGAATACTCGATGAACGATTGTTGAGCTGATCGATGGGTTCTATAGATTTCAATGTTGATGAGATGATATACTTCCATTATTCAATCATCATCACACACCTACCACTCAGTCTCTCATTGTTGTGATCCATTTTCTTCTCGAATACGATTCGGAGGAGGTGATTGTGGTGTTGGACGTATTTTTTTTGTTTGGATGAGTGAACAATGGTGGTTCGGAGATACATGTGGTTCAGGAGTTTCATGAAAGTGAAGAAATAGACACAAGTGTGTTGTGTTCCATCTTAACGTTGGATTTTCATTCCTGTTCATACTTTCGAATGAGTGTTATAGGCAGTGGTCAACAAGAATTGAAAAAAATGAGAACATCCACGAGTCCACTCGTGCACTCCACTTCTTTGACCCGAAAATGTTTCAACCATTCTCTCTCTTTTCAATTTCGTACGACTAGTTTCATCACCCGACGAAATATCAACACTTCTACTACCACCAATACGAATCATACACCCAACGCCACGACTCGAAATAACAACAATGAAAAATCATCCAATGACAAGGCTCATCCACAGCAGTCCGAAAGTAGTACTATTCATCATTCGATCCATTCATCAGAAAATAACAACCTCACATCAAGAATATACAATAATTACAAAACAAACCATCCAACCAAAGTCATGACCCATCCTTCTCGTTCCGAAAATGATTACTATTTATATAAAAATGTTCAATTTAATTTCTCGATCGAGCCTTCCAAATCATTCATTTCAGATACTGTCCGAAATGAAATTCTCAGTCATGCTCGTAAAGGAGATGTTCGTAAAGTATTAGAATTACTTGCTTCTATTAAACCTTCAGAAACATTCTCGATCAAAGAAAAGGAAGAAATTGACGCTGAAAAGGATCTTATTATTCATACCTTAATGCTTGCATATGCTAAAAAAGGAGATGTTTCAAAAACTGAATTTTTATTTAGAAAGTTAAAGAGTCCAGACAAAAAATGTTTTACCATATTGTTAGGAGCCTATGCTGATAAGGGTATGGTTGAGAATGCAGAACAATTATTTAGCAAAATTACAAAACCAGATGAAGCATGTTATGTAGAATTAATGAGAACATATTCCAAGAAGGGATTATTCCACAAAATACAAGAACACTATTCATCCATCAATTACAAGTTATTGAATATTGAATCTATTCAAAAGAAGAACAATGATGAATCTGTGGGTACTATTGAATCAACAACAAGTGATCATACTTTTGAGAATACCAATGGTATTCAGAAGGGAATGAATCCATCTGAACATGTATCATCTTCCTCTCTATTAATGGATTTATGCGAAATGGTCAAAACAGAATACGTTTCAGCGAATCGCATACAAATGGATGAATATGAATATTTACAACAAATATTCACCGTTGTTGTTGCATTTAGAATGCATGGAATGTTAAAGAACAAGGAATATGGATTGTTAGATGCTACATTTAAACGTGTTTCAAAATATATATTTACTCATGATTTTACGAGTTCTAGTAGTACTAAAATGAATACTTCTACTCTTATCAATACTCATATGAATACTAATAACAATATGAATACTAATATGAATACTCATATGAATACTAATATGAATACTCATATCAATACTAATATGAATACTCATATCAATACAAATACTAGTAGTAATAACAATATGAATACTCATATTAATACAAATACTAGTAGTAATAATTCTACAATGATTCCATCAACTATTTCACAAATACCTAAAAGTCATATTAATATTTTAAATATTTATTTACAATCTCTCATTCAAAGAAAAGCTCCATTGGATCGAATTGAATCATTTGTTAAACATTACATTTCACAACCAGATACAGTAACCTATCATTCACTACTTGTTTATTATTTTGAATTGAATATGCATGATAAAGTGGATAAATTATTTAAACAAATTTCAAAATTAGAAGATTTGGATACTAAAACGAGAAATTATTTTGCAAGTACAATCATGACCATGTTGTATCGACATGGAATTTATCACAAAGTTGAGAAAATATTTAGACAAATTCAATCACCAGATTATACATGTTATAAAATTTTAATGAATACCTATATCCAACAACGTGATACGTACAAGATGATGCAATTATTTAAAGAAATACCAAATGATATGATTGATGATCAATTAGTAGCAGATATGATGGCAATGAGACGTTGTGTCGTTACCAAACGTGTAGATAAGCAGATTCATCAAGTTGTGGATGATTAATTTTGATGCAAGAACTTCACGACCATTTGTGTTTTTATCACTAATAATTTTCATGGATGTACACGACCATTTCATTGATGATTTGGTTCATAATTCAGTGTCTTTTGAAGTAATCATCATCGTACTTCAGTGTGGTTCAATAAATGATACAACCTCCTCGTGGTCGTTTACTAAGCGATGTATTGAAAGAAACACAATGTCCTTGGTCCGTATGAAACATAAAGTCTTGCACAGTGGTGACTCGGTAAACCATCTTGTGACAGACATCGCATTTGGCGCTGAGTTGAAATTTGTTCGCAAATTCACTTGCATTTAAGGGACATTTATAAATCCACTCACAATTCTCAATAAATCCATCCGAGATTTCATCCTTAACGAGTCCCGATTGCTTTGCATTGTGAACGAAATCGTTATCCATGACAAGTGCTTCGGGAAACTTGCTCACCATTTGACCATAATGATTTTGAAAATACATGATTTTACCATTTTGGTATGGTTTTTTTGTGGAAATATACTTGACTCTTCTCTTCAATACAAGCATGTGATTCTTCACATTAAGATCCTTGTTGAAGAGTGGGAAATAATAGATCAACAATGGTTTCCACAAATATTGTTGAACGCATTGAAAAATCTCATCTTCTTGCTGTTTTTCCCTATCAATGAAAACACATTTCAATGAAAATAACAATGTCTTTTCTTTCTGCAAATTTCGGCACATGATGAAATTAAAGAGATGAGAGTGACATTGAGAAAGAGCATTCAGTGCTGGTAAATCTAAATGTATTGCAATTTTCAACCAAAGATCTAGAGGAAATATGATGGTGAGTGGTTCGTCAGTTCTGTATTTTTCATCACTCATTTTTTTTTAACGTCGTGGTGAACCAAGAACTCAACGTCTGATTGAAAGAATCTACAACAACACGCGAGTGGTGAACCAAAGTTGTTGTGAACACAAACGAATTTTACTTGAACAACAATTCTTCAAGTTTCTTTTTCATCTCTTGCAAACGAGTTTCCAAATAATCATTCAAAGCAAGTGCCTTTCCTTCCACAAACAGTCTTCGTTGTCTCAAACCCTCTTCTAAAATAAATATTTGATTTTGGAGTGCCACTTTGAATCGTTTCAACAAGTGATCATGTTCAGGATGAGTATTCACATATTGTTCAGTAAAGAATGCTGAAATGTACTTGTCTTGACCACCATTCACAGCAGCATCAATGGTACCATTGAGAGACATGGAGAGAGCATTGGTATCTGGTTGTTGATCGAGATGATGATTAATCACAAGTTCTTCCAATTCATTGACCTTATCTTCAATATCTTTGATGGCATTTTCAAGTGGACACAAGTGTAATAACTTGTCATTGGCTACATAGGATATTTTGGTGAGATCAATACATGAAGCATAATCCTTATATTTCAACTTTTCACCCTTCAATAATTTATCTTCATAAATTTTCAATGAATCTCCTAAAAGAACTCTCTGACGTCTGCATATGGTTGGGAACTTTTTAGGTGTAATATAAAAGGTAATTTCACGATGCATGTCCTTATATTCATTGTTGGTCTTTTCCTTAGATTCTCTATATCTTGATTCTGATTTGAAATAATTAACATTATGTAATTTTCGATAACATAAAATCTTGGGTGAAATTCTCTTATCACGATGCATGAACATATTCTCCCATTCGCTTTCAGAACTTTGATCCACATGGAAAGCAACAAAATATCTTCCATCTTGATTTCTGTATTGTTCAGGATCGGATGGAACCTTTTGGAAGAGTTGAGCTTGATACTTGTCTTTGAGTCCATTCAAAAAGTCCATAAAGTTTTCACCTTCCACACTCTTGTAAATGTATGGACCTTGTAAACCCATTTTAAGAAATCCTTTACCCATAAAATTCACATAATAATACGATGCAAAGAAACGTCTCTTGGTCATGATGAGATTATAAAATTCACCTTCACGTTTCAATAAATTTTGAGTCTTGGCATACTTGTAATTGTGTAAATAATAATTTCGAAGTTGTCTTGAAAGTTCAATCGCTCTCTCCCAATCTTTACCCTTATCCAATAAATCAATCATCTTTTCATAGAGTTTGATTTTACGTTCAGCTTCTGATTGTTCTGGATAATCATCAGAATGATAAGGTAATTTACGTTCATCATTCCATTGAAGACGTTTTGCATGTTTATACAAAACAAGAGCTGATTCAATAAAGTTTCCATTTCTTTCATGAACAGCACTCAATTTGTCAACATATTGATAATAGAGATCATAATTGTGATTGACTTTGAATGATCTCATCACATCAATACATGCTTCACAGAATTTGTGTTCATCCTTATCTTCATAGGTTTGAATTTGTTCAACTTGAGAAATTAAAGTCTCTAAACGATTCAATAACAACATTCCTTCTTTGCCAAGTTCTTGAGTGTTGGTTGATGAAAGATTTTCTTGGAACATGGTCTTTAACTTGTCCGTGAAATTCTCTTTAAAGAGACTTCCAATTTTGGAACGAACCACTCGACTCTGTGTGACAGCTTCACATTGAGCCAATCGTTTGTGATTCTCAAATTCAGTTTCAATGAGAGCATAGTAGAGTTTGATCGCTGGATCGTGTAACAATCGATGATCAATATTGAAGAGACTCATAATTTGGTGAACCAATTTGGGTACAAAGATTAACTTGATGTCCTTCTTCATATTTTCATGTTTGTAAACCTTTTCATACAAATGATGAAGAAGAAGGGAACGATAATCTTCGTGGCGAGATTGAATTTTGATTCTCTCATAGGCTCTCATCTTTTCAACTTCGATCCAATTGATGAAACTGAACGAGTGTTTGAACACAAGATCCCATAATTCTTTAAATTCAGATGGAACACTCTCAGAGTCTGCTCCTCCTGTTGCTCCTCCTATTCCTGCTCCTCCTATTCCTCCTCCTGTTGCTCCTCCTGTTGCTCCTGTTGCTCCATCATTCTCATGAATATTATTCACAATATTTGAAAGACTATTCTTGTAACTGGTAAAATGATACAATAACACATTACTTGTTGAAACAAGAGATCTAAAGAGAGTATTGTACATGAAGAGACGGAATCCAATCCATTCACGAGGAATGTTGTTGTTCTTTCCAGTAATCAATTCATGAAGATATAAAATATTCTTCACTGTTTGTTGAGATAAACCAGTGGCAACATGTTCATCTTGAATTAAATGTGAAAGTAACAAGACAGAACTACCACTGTACATTTTCACAAAACTAATAATGGAACACATTAAATCTCTTCGATTATTTTCAATGGAATCGAGAGATTTTTGTTTGTCATCAATTTCTTTCTGAAGAGTTCCTTGATTCACGTTGGTTCGAGTGACACCACCACCACCTCCTCGTCGAGCTGCTTGTTTGGATTGATCCGATTCATTTTGAGATTCTAATAAGAGTTTAGTCTTGTCATCAATTTCCTTCTTCAATACTTGTGATTCAGAAGTGAGTAATTCATATCTGTCCTTAATGGTTTGGAAGAGTTGATAAATTTCATAAATGGTCTTGACGAGTCCATCCGTAAAGTTTTCACCTTCTTGTGGAACGTTGGATTTCATCCATGCACTTGAAATGGCCTTTCTTTGCTTTTGGAAGGAATAATTTGGAGAGTTATAATTTTCAGCCATGGTTTTGATGAATGAGGTTGGAGTGGAAGTAATGGTCATGGTCGTCGTCGTCGTCATGGTCGTCGTCGTCGTCGTGGTCATGGTCGTATGGTTTTGTTCTTGATTGAATAATAATAATTGTTTTCTATTGGCTTGAAGCATTAACTTTTGAGTGGCATGTAAAAGTTCATTGAGAAGTGAAATTCCAGATTCAAGATCACCTCCATTCGTTTCTAGAATACCATCACGAATGACATCAATCACATAGGGAAGTACAACTTTACGACAACCATCTCGATTGAACACTGTGGATTTCAACACACAACTGAGAGCCAACATTCGATTCGAATACGTTTTTTGTTCTTTTGATTTCTTGGTGTCGGTCTTACCAGTAGAGTCGACAGCTGCTGAACAATTATTCATGGCAAGAATGAAATCAACCACTGCTCGTCCCATCTTTTTATCATCCTTAAAGACTCGATTCACTTCATCAAAGAAGGAAGAACTGAAAAATTTCAAAAAGTTTGCCTTCACACCAAGCATTGCGTTTTGTGGATGTTGCAACAAGACTGTAATCAATTTCATGAGAATGGAGACTTGTCTTTCAAAATCTTTTTCATCCTTTTCAGTTTGTCCATATCTTTCAATATAATTTTCTCGAGATTTGACAATGAACTTGGCCCAATAATCAATACACTTGATGGATTGAGAGAGAACAGGAACAATTTTGGCAAGAGAAGCAGCAGGAACTTGAGTTTCTTCAATGATGTTGGAAGGAATGGTTGCTGTAGTAGTATTGTTGTTATTTCCATTGGTGGTAGAAGTGTTGTTGTTGTTGTTGGTAAAGGTACCATTCGAGGTTTCAGAAGTTCCATTTTCTTGTTCCAATTCAAATGGCATCAACTGGTCATAGGGATCTTCACGAAGAATTTCATCTTCTCGTCTGGATTGAATTTTACAAAGATCGGAAATTAAAAATTTCAAGAGCCATTTGTAAGCATTGACCGATTGAAAGTAGTTGGTAATGTACTCATCAATGACACGCAAGAAAGGCCAAAATTGTTTCTGAGACAAAATATTGTTAATAGCCTTGTAGGTCACTTCGAAAATCTTTTCAGGAACATTTGCCTTATCTTCACTTGCACTCAAAATATCGAAAAGAGCACCAAAGATTTCTCTAATGAAAATGGCAATACCCATCACATCTCCCATGTTGAACGTGAATTGATTGACAACATCAGAAACACTGGTTTGAGTCTTCCAATCTAATAAATTCTTCATGTCAGGATTTTGAGTAATTCTTGTACTCACAACATTGAAAGAAACCACAAGTTTTTGTCCCTTGGTTCGATGAGTTTCACGTTCCTCAGGATTTTTGTGAAAATCAAAAATACCTGAAAAATCTCCTCCCTTGAATTTCTTAGTTACCTTATAAATGTTCACTTCGACTACGGGTTGTTTGTTGTTCTCAGAAAAGTTCTGAGCTCCACTACTATTCGCATCTTGTTCACTCTTACAAGTCACGTCCAACAAGCCTGTGGAATTGGTCATTTTCCAATATGCAAATCCAATCAATTCCTTGGTTGAATGTCTCGATCTACAATTATAAATCTTGAAAACGACAATGGATCGATCAATGAGATCAGGTTCTACACTCATTCTAAAGGTTTCTTTCCATTTTGGATTCTTGATATGATACAATACAATCGAACTGAATACCTTTCTCTTGTGAGATGGAATGGAAGATGGTAAATTACCACTATTGTAATCATAACCGAGATTGTTGTTGAGTGGAATCATGGGTTTCACTTCAGAAGGAATGCTCGGTGGATTTTTAGCCGTTGAAATGGTCGCTTGATACAATTCAGCTTCTACCAACACATTCTTGTATTCTTTGGCATTGGCCAATAAACCTTCCAAAGTAATGTAAATATCATTACGACGATCACCTGGTGAAACAGCACTTGGGAATTTGAGCATTTGAATGACTGGTTTGAAACGAAGATGATCCTTCGAGAAGACCACTTCTTCATATTCACCAATGAGCATATTGAGAGAGAGTCCAAAGGATCGAATGAGAGAATCTGAAACTTTGGAAATATCTCTTGGAAGTTCATTGGGAATTTGTCCTGCGTGCTCGTTCGCCAATTTGATCAAGGTTTGATGAAGCGCATAAAAATTCTCTTCTTTTGCTGTTTGATAGACAGAAAGATTCTCAAGGAGTGCAGTCTCACCACTCACAATATTATTAATGACGGTAGGATTCACGTCTGCAATACCAACCCAAATAGGTCTCTTGACATCAACCGTATCAGCATGAAGAGTATCCTTATCTTTCTTTTTCGCTTTTTCTTCTAAAAGTACAGGTCCAATTCTATAAAACCTAGCAACAATGTACAAATCTTCCTTAATGTCATTGCTGGTAATGTCTTTGATAATACATCTTCTCTCAGAGAAACCATCTTTGGTCTCTGCTTGAATTTTACCGAGTTTTCTTTCCGTCGGAGTCAAGAGTGGAATCATGAAAGGTTCACTCACAAATTGTTCTGACTTCTTACTATATAATGAAAGATCCATTTCAATGGCATATTCTGTATCGATTTGACAAAAATCAAGAGCGAGTAATAATTGTATGTTACCCTCTGGTAAATGATAGAATTGTTTGGTATCATCACTTCCAAGAGCATGAGCAGGTTCAGTATCAAAATCAGGCAAATGGAAAGGTAAACCAAATCGTCCCAAAGCACCACCTCTACCTCCTGCCTCTCTCTTGTTATGATTTTTTAATCGCTTTTGTCTTCGTTCTTTCATGGCATCAATTTCTCGTTCCAATGTTTGAACATAGGATCTATAGAGTTTCACAATCGTAGTCACTGTTGAAGAAGAGGAGAGAGCAGTCGAAGAAATTTCGTTTTGAATCATATAATTCACAATATCAGCTACTGTTTGAGAGGGTGGAGGAAGTACAAATGCATTTCCTTCTCCATTTTCATGAGAGCTCGTCATGAGAGCATTCTTATCGACATTGGCATCAGTTTGCAAGATTTCATCCAAAACTTTACCCTTCTTTCTCACAATAATGTCATACAAGAGAGCATTACAACCTTCTTCAACGAGCTTAATTAAATTGTTTTGAAGTTTGTGTAATTTGTTTTCAGTTTTGATGAGACCATCGTTAGGAGAGACTAAGGCTTCTTTCAATCTCTTTCTGAGATCAAACGCCTTTTTATATTCTTGCAAATCAAAGAATAATTTTGAGAGAATGTCGTAAATTCTTTCAAATTGATCACGATCAACAATGTCCATACGTTCTTTGGATCCATCAAAGAAAGAGAGCCATTCTTCAGTCACTAGAAAGATGTTATAACAATGTTCAATTTCAAAATCTTTTTCATCAAAGAAGCCATACTTGCTCTCTGCAAATTCATTACCATCAACTTCTTCAGAAAAGTTCATCTTGAAATTGGATCTCAAAACACCTCCGAGAGCAGACAATGGAGCCAGTGAATCAGTCACTGATTTGTTGTTGTCCCTTCCAATCATCATGGAGGAGACTTTATCGGACGACGTTGAAGTCGTACTCGCATTTTTCTCACCCAATTTTAAGGCTTTCTTCTCTTCGATGCGTTTGATGGCCGTTGTTGGGAAGAAGCCTTTAGGAATGGGAAATACAGAGATGGCACTCACGTTGAAATCGAGAGCAGTTTTAATGTCTGCCAATAGATTGGCTGGCATGTCATCCAAGGATTGAGGAAGAGTAGCACCGAGTGATGAGGATGAATTCATGGCATCATTACCACCCGTACCACCACCACCACCACCACCAGCACCACCACTATTATTGTTCGAAAGTTGAAGAATGGCACTTCCACTTCCAACATTGGCATTTCCAAGATTTGAATTGGAGAGAGTGGCTGTGGAGGCAGAAGAGGCTCCTCCTGTATTGGTCGTATTGGCAGAGTTGGCCGACAAGGAGGTTGTATTGGCAGATTGTGCAGTCGATGTTGAAGTATTGTTGTTATTGTTATTATTGTTATTATTATTCATAGAGACCATATTCGATTGTGTTGATGATGAATTCATATGGAGCGATGCCAATAATTTAGCAATGTAACGATTCCTAAAGACTGATCCTTTTGCCCATCCATCTTTTTCTGATCGAATAAAGACCAAATCACCAACATTGAGATCGAGATGAAGAGGATGTTGCTTGATGAATGGTTCAACCACTGTTAATCATGATAATCATGATGTATGATGATGTGATTATTGGATGGTGCAAGCATGGTGTGTGTTGTTGTTGTTGTGATGATAATGAAATGATGAATTCAAAATATGTTTCCATTGTTGTTGTTGTTGTAGTGTCATAATAATGGAAATATTCGCGTGTCAAAAATCACAAATTTGATAGTCAAAGTGAGCGAGAGTGATGATGATAAATGATTCACACATAGGTGTGGTGGTAGTAGTTGTACCACATCATGATTGGAATGCGTGATCATACAATCATCATAATGTCATTGTTGACATGGTCGTCATCCTCTCTTTCTCAACAAATCACACAACTTACCAATACCATACTTGTTAACAGGAATCCACTTGGACATTTCAAGAGATCACAATGTGTGTTCAATTTCTTCTTAGACCAATGAATGTTCACTAGGTGTGTGAAAGTAATGTAGTAAAAAACTCTAACGACGGCAATGCGATGATGATGATGTGAATACTCCTGTTGTTGCGCAAAGAGTGACCGTCTTTCAGTAGAGGGTTGAATACTGACAATTTTTTAATGATGATGATTTGATGGTTTTCACATGTCATCACTCGATTTTGGATAGGTTCTAGATCAATGCGTAAATTTTACTCTTGTCGATGATGATCAAAAGTTTGAGAGTGAAACCGTTGAAAGAATACTTTCTCATACATTTGATGATCATCATCGAGTCATTATCCACCTCTTTTCCGAGAGAATTGGACAACCAGACTTTCATAATTATGTTAAATAATAAAATATTATTGAAAAAAATTCTTGAATCTCATACAAACATGTCCTCTAGCACAGCAGCATCATCGATGAACATGATTGAATTAGTGAAAAGTACAACACGACACGTCTGTGCTCAGCAACCACAACATGTCCGAATCAATACTCGAGCTCTTGAAAAAACATGTGAAATCATTTCTCAACACATTCATCAAAAATTGATGAAGCAGAAACAACAACAACAGCAAGACAATGACCACAACACCACTCATCCGCTTCCTCCTCCAATACTCATACCACAACCACAACAACACCTCACTCACTCATTGAATCTCTTTTTATTGAATGGGATAATGATACCTTACATTACAGAAATTTAGAACAACCTCTTCTCACGTGCCAATACATTCTCGTTCTTTCATCTATTAATTTTTGTTTTTGGCCGCACAATGATTCCATTTCGAGTGAGAAGGATGAATTTGAATATGGTCATCTTGCAGGTGCTTTACGAAAAGTATTAACAGAAAATCCCAATGCCTTCCATGCTCAAAATCTTTCACAATTATCTGAAGAGAAATTTGTCGAGTGGATGGGAGGTGTTACAACCATTCCATTAGTGAAAGAACGAGTGCGGTTGATACGAGAAGTGGGCTCAGTTCTCTTGACACATTTTGAAGGAAGTGCTTTTCAATTGATTCAATCTGCTCAAAAGAGTGTCAAACAATTAGTCTCTCTCATCACTCAATACTTTCCAGGATTTAGAGATTCTTGTATTTATTCTAAAACTGGACATCAAATTCATTTCTATAAGAGAGCACAAATATTTTGTGCAGATATTTATGGATGTTTTAGAGGAGAAGGTATTGGTGAATTTGTAGATATTCATGAATTGACCATGTTTGCTGATTATCGAGTACCACAATTATTGAGTAGTAATATTCATTTCATTGAATGCATTGAGGATCAAAATAAGGAAAAAAATAAGGAGCAAATCAATGAGAATCCTAGTAACGATCAAAATAAGGATCCAATCAATGAGAATAACATGATCCAGAGTGAGTATGACGATGATGAACATGTCGTACTTGTCTATAGTTCAGAATTGAAAGATAAAATTGCTCGATTGCAACCATTGGAATATAGTTCTCAAATGGAAGTTGAAATTAGAGCATTTACAATTCAAGCAGTTGAACAAATGAGACAAGTTTTACTCGAAAAACACAATATCAAGTGTTTGAGTATTGAGATTGATTGGATGTTATGGCAAATTGGTGAAAATGCAAGAAAGACAATCAAGCCTCATCATCGAACACTTTCTATTTATTACTAACATTCATGATGAACCTTATTGGTGAGAGTTGCAATAAATTACTCTAGATCAAAGGTCAAGATATGATCCATTTCATGTTTCCAATGACTCAGCCACATCTTCTTCAACTCGGTTGATGAGCCATGGCAACAAGACCACCACACGGTTGAAGTTGACTTCCGAGCAAAAGAGCTTCCTTGCATCAAAAAAAAATAACGCATTTCTTGCTTCCGAAATCATCACACAAATTTCGCAGCTTGCCCATCTTCCTACAAATTTGGCCTTCATGCGTGATTAGATTGTAAATATCGTGTTCATACTTATCACAAGATTATTCTGTCAGCTGCGGACAAACCATCATCATCTTATTCCTTGTGCTAACCATCATCATATAGACGCACACTTCTCAAGCACACGTGGCATTCATTCCGTATATATGTCCTCTATCCCATCCAAAAGAAAACAACATCAAACCACTATCGACTTTACAAAGCAATCCGATCAAACCAAGAAACTTAAATCTTCAAAAATAATTCAAGACGAAGAAGACAACGACGTTGAGATTATTACAAGTGTTGCCTCAGAAAAGCCCAAAATGAAAGCAATGGCCGTAACATCATCTTCTGCAAGTACGAACTCTTCAAATAACAATTCAGCAACATCCACTTCGTCATCTTCGGGAGGGTTTACTAAAAAGTCATTGGCTCCATCTACTGGAGGTGGGTTGACCAATGGCAACAATAACATGACAACCTCTCCTCTTCCATCTGCATCACAAAAAAAGAGAATGCTCAAAATTAAACCGTTCACTATCAAACCAACGGTTGATGAAAATTTCGAAGAAGAGACTTGGAACAAACTTAAATCAGCCGTCATAGCTATCCAACAAAAACAATTGATTTCGATTGGCCAAGAAGAGCTTTATCAACTTTGCTCTGATTTGTGTAGACATAAAAAACATGAAAGTACATATAACAAATTGAAAGAATTATGTAGCCAGAATATCGAAAGCATTGTAAATGATTTAACGAACAAAACACCTGATCATACTGCTTTCTTGAATATTGTTGTGAAAAGCTGGGAAAACTTCACAGAACAATTGAAATCTATTCGATCAATATTTCTCTATCTAGAAAGATCCTATGTTGTTTCATTACCAGATAAAACAATATGGGACATGGGATTAAAAATATATAGGGACTATCTGAAGAGTAATGAACAAGTAGGAAGAAAGATAATTTCCGGTATTTTATACTTAATTCAACAAGAAAGAAATGGTGAAAGCATTGATAGGTCCATTGTACTACGTCTAGTTCGAATGTTGATAGACTTGCAATTATATGAAGATTATTTTGAAAAATCATTTCTCGAAGAAACGAGAAGTTTCTACTCTGCAGATGGACTCAAAAATGTGGATTCACTCAATCCTCCAGAATATTTATTGTATGTTGAAACTAGGTTAAGACAAGAATCAGAAAGAGTGAGCAATTATCTGGCAAAGACAACGAAACGACCGCTCATACAAATCACAGAACATGAATTAATCAAGAAACATGCAAAGACCATTTTAGAAAAGGGATTCTCTGACATGATGGAGTCTCATAGAATTTCTGACTTGAGTCGATTGTATGGATTATTGAGATTAGTGGATGAACTGGAATTACTCAAAGAATATTTTACAGATTATATGAAACTGAAAGGAGGCAAAATTGTCAAAGATGAAGAAAATGAAAAGAATATGGTTCAAGACACTCTTCAATTAAAAAGCAAGGTTGATGAGTTGTATGAACAAGCTTTCCACAAGAATGAACAATTCATGTATGCCATAAGAAAAGCATTTGAATACTTTTTGAATTTGGTTCCAAACAAACCAAGCGAACTCATTGCCAAATACATTGATTCAAAATTGAAATCTGGTAACAAGGGATTAACAGATTCCGAGTTGGAAAGATGTATGGATAACGCTCATGCCATTGTAAAATACATTCACGGAAAGGATATCTTTGAGGCCTTTTATAAGAAGGATTTAGCAAAGAGACTCTTACTGGGAAGATGTTCATCCTATGATGCAGAAAGAATTATGATTGCTAAACTCAAAACAGAGTGTGGTCCTCAATTTACTAACAAACTTGAAGGCATGTTCAAAGATGTTGATATTTCCAATGACATGATGGCAAATTTCAAGAAGAGTAAGGAATACAAAAAATTATGTTCCGAATTTGGAGACCATGACTCTACCATGCCTTTTGAGTTAAATGTTACCATACTTACAAGTAGTAATTGGCCAAATTACACTCCAGATACTTTAAATTTACCAAAGGAAATTTCTATAGCTCAAGAGGCTTACAAGGATTTCTATGTGAACAAACACTCTGGACGTGTTCTCAAATGGATTCACAATCTTGGTCAATGTACTTTGAAGGCTCTCTTTCCTTCAGGGAGAAAAGAGCTGATTGTATCATTCTATCAAGCTCTAACTCTGTTGCAGTTTAATAACAAGGTCAAAATCTCGTATTCAGAACTCAAACAACTCATTGGTATCGAAGATGCAAAGGAATTTATGCTTACCATGCAATCATTGACACTACACAAAGTGAAAGTATTGAAAAAGGAGAGAAAAGGAACGGACATTAAGGAAGACGATGTCTTTTATGTCAATGATGAGTTTACTCATTCACTCACAAAAATTAAGGTCAACTCTCTACAACTCAAAGAAACCAAAAAAGAAAGAACTGAAACAACTGAGAAGGTCTTGTTAGATCGTAGTTATGTCATTGATGCTGCCATTGTGAGAATTATGAAGGCAAGAAAGACTCTCACTCATCAACAATTGTTGGCAGAAGTGTTAAAACAAATTCGATTCCCAACGACTGGTCAAGACATTAAGAAGAGAATTGAAAGTTTAATTGACAGAGATTATCTTGAAAGAGATGCAAATTCACAAGCTGGCAGTTCATCCTGTACGTATCATTATGTTGCTTAGCGAGAGAGGAATGTGAAACATGTTGAATTCGTTGTGTGTGCGTGTACAAAATATTGTCTTTTTCATTAAACAAACACTATTTATGAAAGTGGTTTGGATCAAGTTTTCTTAAATTGGTAATGGCCAAGTCGTATTAACAAACCATCGTATCGTTGGTAACAATAATACCATTGAGTTACTCACCAAGTATCAATTCGTGAGAGTCAGATTGTCAAATTCTTGTGGATGAATAACTGTTACGCTTGATCAAGTTGGTACCAACCTCCAAAGTATTTTTGAAGATAAGTTATTTAAAAAAATGAAGAGAAGTTTTGAGCAAGCCTTGTTGGGTGAGAGTAGTACTACCAACCATGACATGAGTAGTAGCAGCGATCATGCACAAGAGGCAGACACCACTACCAACTCGTCCTCAATAACAACAACAACAACAACTTTAAATCCTACGACTGTTGTGAACAATAGACCACAACAAGCATCTCCGAATGAAACGAGTTCACTCACAACCACTCAACCACCATCATCACACCAACAACAAGCCTTTTCCGATCCATATCATCGGATCACACCACTCATGACTTCAATAGGATCACCTCATCATTCCAATCATGTCATGATTCAACAACAACTACCACAAACACAACAAACTCAACCCTCACAACAAATGCCATCTTCAACGATTCATTCACACTCTTCCATGCTTCATCGATTGGCCATTCACAATGCCACTATGAATACAGTGAATGCCATTCAACAACGATCAATACCGCATTCTATTCCATCTTCTTCTCAACATTCTATGCCATCTTCTTCTCCTCCTCAACAACATCAACAACATAATCAACATAATCAACAACAACAAACATCACATGGAATAATGACATCCAATCATTCATCACCTCCTTCCAAGAAATTAAAATCTCAAACATCATCACCAACCAATCCAAGTCAAGCATTACCTCCCAATTTACCAAATCTTTTACCAAATTTAATGGGCAATAGTTTACCACCTTTGAGTAATTTCTTATTTACACCTCCTCCTTTTTTACAAGCTGTGAGTCGATCACGATCGAATTCATCCTCTTCAACAAATTCAACCACACCAAATTCTTCTCAACCGATTCATAGCTCTTCTTCTTCTCAATTGATCCATAGTTCTTCACCAAGAAATAGATCTAATTCAACAAATTTATTACCTTCTAATGGTGTGATCAACTCGTCCAATATGGTGATCAACTCATCCAATATGATGATCAACTCATCCACACAATCATTCAATAACACACTCTCTAACCCTTCTACTGTGGTGGTTCCTTCAGGTATTCCAGTAAATTCCTCACAAAATTCTTCAAAAAGTCATCCAATCACTTCAACAGGACCTCTTCCTCCTTCTCAAGATACAAGAAGTCAAAAATTAAAAGATACTTGGGTTGAAGTTTACAAAAGCTTAAAAAAACTGGAAGCTTTTGTGAGTCAAAAAACAACACAATCTTGTACAAGGCCTTGGGAAAATAACGAACATGTCACTCTATTTACAATAATTTATGATTTATGCATTTTACCTGATTCTGTTTATTATGAAGATCAGCTCTATATTCTCTATTCTATTTATATCAAGAAATATTTACAAACAACCATTGTACCATGTTTGAAAGACAAACATTCTGAAGATTTGTTAAATGAAATTGTTTTTATTTGGGGAAATTTTAGAGATATATTTGTGAAATTTTGTTCCTATATATTTAAATATTTAGATCAATTTTATGTTGTTTCAAATTCCAAACGAACATTACGATCTGAAGCATTTTACTCCTTCAAAACAGTTGTGTTTGATGGAATGAAAACTACTCTGAGACAAATTATTCTAGACAAGATTGATCAAGATCGAAAAAATTTCAATTCCGATACCTCCTTTTATTTATCTCAAAGACATTTATTGAGACAAACTCTTGAATTATTCATTGAATTGGATCATTCAAATTTTGTACCAATTCCAGACTATGTTTCTCAACCACAACGTGAAAGTATTGGTGGTAACATTACTAACATTTCTTCATCATCCAATTTGAGTGTATTGAATTCTCATTTGAATTCTCATACGAATTGCCATCTTCACTGTGAAGAATATGTTCAAGATTTTGAAAAATTTGCTGAAAAAGAAACGAGAGAATTTTATCATAAAATTGCAGAAGATTGGATTGAAAAGTATAATCTCACAGAGTATTTAATGAGAGCTGAAGATTGTATTCAACAAGAACAATCAAGAATTTATGCCATCTTTCCCACTCACTTTTCACAAAACAAACTCATGAAAATTGTAGATTTGGAATTGTTGAAAAATAAGGAACAACGTTTATTAGAAATGTCTGGATCAGGAGTGAAAATTCTAATTCGAGATGAAAAGATGGAAGATTTAAAAAGATTGTATCGACTCATGAATCGAGTAGAAGGAGGATTAGAGCCAATTGCTGAACTCTTTAAAGAATATTTAATTTTTGTTGGAAATGAATTATTTAGCAAACATGAGAGAGCGACTTTGGAGATGATTAAGGGAGTACAATCAAACATGAGTAGTAGTAGTAGCAGTATTAGTACTTCTATTACTACATCTTCTTCTTCTTTTACTACATCCTCTTCTATAGCTACTACATCTTCTTCTTCTTCTTCTTCTGTTACTACATCCTCTTCTATTACCACTACTACTAATAGTAGTAATAGTTCCTCTATGGATACTAGCCCTCCTGAAACAAACACAAAATCCTCTTCAGATCCTCTCAATAATATTATTGAATCATCCATCATTTCTAATGAAGTATACACAAAATGTGTGAGATATTTGATTGAATACTATGTCATTGAATTGATGGAATTGCACAAAAAGATGAAAAATATTGTGAATGGTCCTTTTTGTAGAAATGTCATCTTCCACAAAGCCATGTCAGAAGGTTTTAAACAATTTGTGAATAAGAATATTTCACTTGGTCAATTTGAAATCAGAGTAGTTCAATTATTTGCCTACTACACGGATGATATTTTGAGAAAAAAGACAGATGATAATTTAGATTTAATTGTTGATTTTATTCAATTCTTTTCAGATCGAGATATTTTCATTGAAGAATATAGAAAGTTATTTGCTGTTCGATTACTAGTAACAGATTATCAAGAATTAGAAGAACGTATGATGATTTCTAAACTTAAATATCATTACAGAGGAGTAGCAGATATTTACAAACTTGAGAAAATGCTTGCTGATAAGACAATGACCAATGACATGAGACAAGACTTTCAAAATTATATCTCACTGAATAATTTACATCTTCCTTATGAGGTGAATGTGACTGTATTAACAATGGGAATGTGGCCTTTAAAAGCTAAAGAATATATGCAACTTCCAAAAGAGATTGCTGACTCACAAATGCTCTTCAAACAATTTTATGATTCTAGAAATGGAAAACGAGTGTTAAAATGGGTATATTCCAAGAGTATGGTTCAGTTACTGGCTCACTATGCAAAAGGAAATCATTTATTGGAATTGACCACTCTACAGGCCTCCATACTTTTACTATTTAATGACAACTCGTCATTGACATTGAAACAAATTGAAGAACTCACTGGTTTGAGTTATGACAACATTGCGATTCATTCTCAGCAACAGCAGCAAGCATCAAGTACCATCAGACCATTTGGAGCAGCTGCTTCCAATTCAGAATCGCAATCATCGTATTCATCCGATATTGATTTGAAACAAGCTATTGCATCACTCACTACCGAGAAATTACCCCTTCTTATTCGTACTAACAATGCTAGTAGTAGTGGAGAATCGTCCATCGTGCTCACTCTCAACGAAGCGTTTCATAATAGACTTCACAAAATTAAGGTTCCTCTTCCCAGAGTAACCCAAAAAGATATTCAGAGCACACAATCATCTGTATCTACAGATCGAACTTATATTTTAGATGCGTGTGTGGTTCGAGTGATGAAAACAAGAAAGTCCATGAACATTCAGAGTCTATTTAACGAGGTCGTGACGCAGCTCATACCAATTTTCACACCTGATGTGAAACAAATCAAGAAGAGAATCGAGTCGTTAATTGAAAGAGATTTTTTAAAACGAGATGAAGTTAATAACACAATAATTCACTATGTTGCCTAATTAAACATGCCATGATCAAATTTTGACCAATCTGCTAACCATACTTTGTCCTCTGGCTTCTGCAATATCGTGAGCTGTTTTTCCTAAATTGTTTTTTATGGATTTATCTGCTCCCAATCTTAGCAGCTCCTCGACAGAAGCAACTCGACCAAAATAGCTTGCAATGTGAAGTGGGGTGTCACCGAACTGTTTGGGTTGCAATAAATTTATGGCTACCAAAGATGCACTTACGTAGGACTTGCTATTTACACTTAATCCTGCTTTCACCAACACCTCAAGAATTTCAACGTTATCCTTAGAGGCGGCACCATGAAGGGAGTTCTAGGATTTGTGAACATGATCTGTGAAATTAAACGAAACAACTCACCCACTGAAATAATTAACTTTTTTGCTGAACACAACTCAACAATAAGCTTACCTCAATCTTTTTTGCATTTGAGCGATGTGATTAAAACGAAAAGACACTTACGAACTTGTTTATGGAGATATGTGAGTTCTTCACATGATGATTTACTACTTACTTTCTATCATCGGGATATGATCGATAATTTCGGAAACAAATATTACTTACATCTCCTAACTCCACTTTTGCTCCCTTTGATACTAATAATGATACAATTTCTTTGTTTCCCTTAAAGGACGCAGCAAATAAGGGTGTCTTGAAGTCAATAGTAATTACATGTTTTGTTTCAATTGATCATACCCACTACCAACCATGATCCTCCGGTTTATCTGCCTTCATCGCCCAAACAACATACCTCACTCTCAAATATTCCCACAGGTGAAAAAGCATTGAGATCAGCCTTTCCGCTTTCAACAATTTTTTTAACGGCTGCTACATCACCCTTAGTTACAGCGTCATAGAGATCCTTAGTGGATGATTGTTGAGCCATTTTTTTAAATGTACATCTTTACGAAATTAAGAGTGACACACAGTGGTTTAACGCGAGCCTCAATTCTGCAGCGAGTTTGTTGGTGAGTTGGCGAGGGTGATTTGTAAAGATTTAATGCAAGTGTTCCCATTCACTCCTAAAGGCATGTGGCTTCCAATAGTATCTTTCATCACCATGATCATGACCACATGATTCATCACCACATTCTTCACCAATATGATTCTCTTCAGAGTAATCAGCTGTTTCGAGTGTTGGATAATCTTCATAGCCTGTAAGTGGGGGAGCCAGAACAATGTTTTCTACATCCTTACTACGTCCTCCGAGTAGTCCAGCAGAGTAAATATCGCGTGAAACAATTTCTTGAACTAGATCTGGAGTTTTCGACAATCGAGGAATCATTTGGTTGAGTATGGAACTTGGTACTGCTTGATGTTCTGGCTTGTCTTCATTCTTTGTAAGAATTTCTTTCATCTTGAGATAAAGGGGTAAATATAATTGATAATTTGGTTTGACTCCATTCTTTTCTTCCAATTCAACAATAAAGTTAAAACATTCGTCAAATTTTCCATTGTCAATAAAACACTTCACAATGGTCTTGTAAGTTGAATAATCTAAAGTTAATTTAAAGTCCTTGTGGATAGCATTTGTGAGATGAAGAGCTAGAGGTAAATATCCAAAGAGGCATGAAATGGTGATAAGTTCCATGTATATTCCAAGAGCCTTTGGGTCTTCTGCTTGGACAAATTGATTTAATTTTGTTAGAGAGTTCAATAATGTAAAATTTGGAGAGTCGGATGGAGCTTGTTCTTTACGAACGTTATGAGAAATATATTGATGAATATACTTGTCCAACTCTTTTGCCATCTTACTACTTCCTTTCGGAAGACAGGAAGAGGCTTTACTCCTTGCAGATTCCCATAACCGTAAAATTTGATTCTTTTCAATTTCAGAGATTTCATCTCGAATAATGGGTGATTTGCTTTCAACAGTTACTCCTTGTACAATTCCGAAAGTTTTATAACTGGTACAATAATTAGCACTGGTGTTTTTAGTTTCCCGTGTATGATCATAAATATTAATGTTATTATTTTGATAATTAAAATTCAACATCAAGACGGTTCTAGAAGAGAAAGAAGGAATTTTAAATAACGAGTGATTTGAGAAGATCGCTCGTCTACCTTCGCTAAGCCTTTTTGCCAACATTTTTTGTGTTCTTCTTTCGGATTGAGTATTTTGACTGGACGGAAATGTTGTTGTTTGAATTCAGAGTAAGTGGAACTCAGAACAGGATGATAACCAGACTTCCTCTTCAAGATGTTTCTCGGATTTCATTGGAATTCATCACTCAACTCAATATCACGGAAATACATTCCGTCATCACAATTCCGAAAATTCCTGTTCTATTTTCTTCCTCACCAAACATGAATTGGTTCAAAATTCTTTAAAAAATGCCAAAATCAAAATCATCCTCAAGAACCTCTGCCGAAACCACAACAACAACATTGGCCAGCAATTCTCAATCGAATACTTCCCTCTCGTCGACGAGTGATGAAGCAACATCCGAATCACCACCACCATCACAAACCAAACAAAGAATTGTAAAAACACCCTACACCAAAAGAGCTTGTGTCGGATGTCATAAAGCCAAAGTGAAATGCTCTCATGAACGACCTTGCCATCGATGTACAGCCAAAGGTATTGAATGTGTGGATTATATTCCTGTTCAACAACAGCAGCAGCAACAACAGCAAGCAAATCTTTTAAACAATCCTTCCTCATCTCTAAATACCACTTCTCTCATCACACCGCACAATGTCATGACACTTCCAGCTGGAGCCAATCCTTTCTTATTTGCTGCTCATCATTCGAATGGAATGGCAGTTCCAATGGTTCCTGTGATCATTCCAATGACAGCTGCCGGTAGTACAAATTGTATGGTTGGTGAAGTGAATCACAATAATGGAAACGGTTGTAATGCTAGTATTCATAATAGTACGAATAATAATAATAACAATCAACAACAACAACAACATTTTCATCATCATGCCATGTTATTTGACCCATCATCGGTATTTACGAATATGAATATGGATGTTTCTCATCATGCAGCAATAAATTCCATACAACATGTTCCTACATTGGATTCCATCTCAAACGGTTGTGAATCATCTTCATTGCATCATCAGCCTCACTTTTTGCATCCATCACTAACGTCCCCAACGCCTTCTCATCATCATGCTTCTAGTAATCATCAAGAATTTAATTTGTGTTCGGAAAGTAATACAGACTCTCTTTCGCCGTTTCTTTCGTTCGGAAAAGGAAAACAAAACTTTGAACCTTTTTCAGTATTTAATACGATGAATAATAGTAACCATGAATCAAACACAAGAATTGAAGAACTTGATCATTCTTCGAGTGTGGAATTTGAAGAAGACGTTGTTGATGAATCCATTGTAGCTGCTCATCAACCAGAATTAGATGATTCCTCTCGACAACTTTTACCTTACATTCCCAATTCTCTACCTCCACCTTCAACAAACCCAACAAACAACTCTGATATTGCAAATATTGGAATTAAGAGAATTGAAACAAGACATTATAGAATTGAAAAATTATATTTTGGCCAACAGCAGAACCTCAACGAGTAAGAAGATCATTATTTCCTAAGTTTGTGAGACGTGTGTGTCAATGTTGACATGGTCTCAAGTACATTAAACTCAAAAATATTCTCAATGCACGTATTATACTGGCGATAGGTGAGATGCACAAACTTGTGAAACTCAGTCAGCTGCCAACCAATAACTGTTGTCGTCTCATAATGTAGTATTACTCACCCTTCATTCCGTAAACAATATTGTAATCTCAATGTCGACATTCGCTAGCACAGTTTCCGTTCCGGACCACATACTCCAATGGGATAGACACCGGAGAGGATTTTGAAAACGAAAAAATGCAATCAGAAGACCGCATGAATAGCGTTCCTTCCATCTCACTCTCCGCTCAAAAGGAAGAAGAGAAACCATCCAACACAGCCGCTGAAGTCTCTGAAAGTGGCCATACTCACGGATGGAATGCAGAGAATATTTCATTCTTGGTGTGTAGGTTTTATTCATGATGAAAAGGCTTATCTCATTTCGTTTACGATAATTGTTGTTGTTGTTGGGCAATCGATTCTTGGTGTTCGCGCAAACACCTCAACAAATTCCAATCATCACAATTTGTGATTGAACCACCATGATTCGGTCGGCATTTACACAACAATACTCTTCTTTACCCTCTCGACACTACAGTGGTGGGTGCCTTTCAAGTCGTTATGGTCGTCTTGTTCTGGGTATTTTTCGATTACGAGCACTCGGTAACGAATTCGGACGAAGCCTCACTCCACACTGCTAACGAAGAAGCACAGCATGATGTGGCTCATTACTACAAGCCCATGCTCGATGTCGGTATCATGGTGTTTGTGGGTTTTGGTTTCCTAATGACGTTTTTGAAGAGATATGGATATATGGCCTTCGGAATGAATTTCTTTATTTCAGGTAAGTGTGCATTGTGAAGATTTACAACAAGAATGTTCAATGTGCAAACAACAAAACCCTATATTGCATTTTGAAATGTTTCAAAATGTGCATTTTCAACAATGTGTTCAATGAAATATTTCAACCATAACACACAAACAGCTCTCATTTTCCAATGGGGAATTTTGAATCAAGCTTTCTGGCGAGGTGTCAATAAGGGATTTCCAGTCACTGGAGATCAAGTCCATTGGCCAAACCCAAGATGGATGGTGCATTTTGAACTTCAAGACTTGGTGGAAGGCCATTTCGCTGCAGCTTCTTTCCTAGTTTCATTTGGTGTCTTGATTGGAAAGACTACACCTCTTCAAATTACTGTTGCTGGTATTATTCATACTCTTTTCTATGCTTTGAATTATTATATTGGAACTTGGGTGTTGAAGGCAAGCGATATTGGAGGATCTATGTTCATTCACTTGTTTGGAGCTGTTTATGGATTGATGGCTTCTTATGTTTTGTGGAATAAGAAGGCAATTGCTGGACATCCAGCTCAATCATCTCGTTATACTTCTGACCTTTTCTCATTGATTGGTACCATCTTCCTTTTCCTTTGTTGGCCATCATTCAATGCTGCTGTAAGTTTGATGTTTTATAAGGAAAGCTTATATTATTGACCACATTTAAATAACAGTTGTGTAAGTGTGAAAAGATTTTTACATTTATTAATTTTTTAAATTTTACATTTGGAAACAGCTCCAACTGGTACCACTCAATTTAGAGCATTCATTAACACGATCATGTCCTTAATGGGTTCTGCAGTAGCTTCGTTTTTCTGCAGTAGATTGGTCAGAGGAGGAGTTTTTGCAATGGAAGATATTCAAAATGGTACTTTGGCTGGAGGAGTAGCTGTTGGTGCTGTTGCAGGTAAGTTCCCTCAACAATACATTAAGAAATGAAACAATGGTTTTGTTAATGAATATCAGATATGGTTATTTTACCAGGAGGTGCTTTAACTGTTGGTATTATTGCCGGATTTATTAGCGTTTTTGGATTCAAGTTCTTTACTCCTAATTTGAGAAGATTCCTCAAGCTGCACGACAGTAAGTTTACTAATTCAGCATATTATTTCTAATTTCACAATTGTAGCTTGCGGAGTTTTGAACTTGCATTGCATTCCAGGATTTATTGGAGGTGTTGGCTCGATTATTGCTGCAGGTGTTGCAGCTGGACAAAGAGTCAATTACGGTGTTTCGTACGATAAAATGTTTGGGTATGTAACTTTCTTTAAAAGATAGCATCATCATGTTCAACTTGAATTATCTTGAATGAACAGAAATGGAACACATCAGTGGGGCTACCAATTTGCCACCCTTGCCATTACTATTGGTATTGCAATCGTCTCTGGTTTATTGGCTGGCCTAATCATTCGGTGGTTGTTCCCAGAAAAGTCTGTCTTCTATGACGAGCCATACTGGGAAGTTGCAGATGAATCTATGTTGGTTGATGAACCACCAAAGGAAGAAAAGAAGAACACTGATATTGAATTGAAGGCTGTGAACGTTTAATAAATTTAACATGTTTAATTAGAAACAAGATGTCATAACTTTACATCATGGTAGCCTGTGGAAACTGGAGTGCTAGGAAGAAAATCAAGGCTACCAAAAAGTTCAATATCTGGCAAATCAAATTGAGCTTCGTCTTCTCCAACAAATGGTTCAGAAAAGGAGAAAGAAAGAGAATCCTCAACGTCTAAAACCTTTGCGTTTGATTCAGCATTAGAAAAAGGTTCACTTAAAACAAAATTGTTTTGACCAAAATCTACATATTGAACATTGGTAATTACAGGCTCTGAGGTTTGTGGCGCTTGAGCAATCTGATTGTTCCTTTGTTGGTGAGAATTTAAATACTGAGTGGAGCATGACAACGATGTTGGAGGAGATAAAAATCCATATGGCGTGTTGCTTGCACGTGTAAATTGTTGGACGCTCGTAGTATTGTTCAAATCGGAGGATGACAGAGAAGGTTGGGCAATCTCTTTTTTGTTTGTAGTTTTTCTCTTCTTTGTTTTTTGTGTTTCTTCCTCGTTGCAAGTACTAATTTGAACATTGTTGTATTGGATGAGACCGTTAGGAAGCTGTTGAACGACAGGAGGAGGTTTAGAGGCAGTGGTGATGGATAATGATGGCTGGTTTAAACTAGGACAATCAAATCTGAGAATGTTCTTGGTATTAATAATATTTGTAGTGCCATTGTTATTGGCTTTAGAGATGTCCTGATTGGCATTGGTTTGAGATGTTGATGCAGTAGGCTTTGATGGAGCAGTTGTTTGATTGTTTGTGCTCATCATCGGTACTTGATGTTGTTGAATATGAATGAGAGGTTGAGAGTGTGGTTGGTAATGTGATGATGAAGCATGGCTCATTGGTTGTTGATGCATCGCTAACGAGACGCCTTGTTGTCCAGCATATTGTTCTTCTTGCTCGATGGCATCACCTTCAGTAGCGTCCTCATCATCATTGCATGTATTGCTCATCTTTCTCTTCTTTGGCATGCTGATCACAAAGTAATTTTGTTGAAAGTTCTCGCATGTTTTCAATTGCTTTCTCAACTGAAAGTACTTCTTCTCTTTTCTAATATTGGACATACAAGGCTCCCATTCGCTGGTCATATCCACGAATTTAAAGGATGGATCTTTCTTCTTGTTCTTTCCCGAAGATGAGGATGAAGGCTCTGCTACGTGCTCATTTGCAAATTTATCTGACTTTTTCTTCATACCCGGAGGAGGAATTGGTGAGGTGGTGGATTTTGAATACAGTTGGGAATGAGACAATACTGGAAACAACAATAATTCGCTGGTTGCTGAATATTTTTTAAATTAAATTTAATTCGAAATTAAAACGAAATTTCCTCATCTCGTGTACAGAATTGAAGAGTTGAATGAATTTGCTCTTCAAATAACTCGCTTTTAGTAACGTTAGGTGGTGCTTCGAGGGTCTTCCGTTCAAGAGCTTTGCTACAGAATAACACATCACAATTAAGCTCCTTAGCCAATCCGATTTCTATCTGTCAAGCCTCTTATCACACATGATAAGCTTTGATCACTGATCTCACTTTTTGACGACATGAAGAGTATCACTCATCATATGGACACCATTAGAAACAAACAAGAAGAATGAATGGCTGCTCCTCCATCTCTCCCAAACTATCCATTTCACCAAAAACGAGCTTCGGACGTTGACCCATCACTTGCCATTCAAATTTAAAAAAAATGTTCAACCTGCGTTACTGGTTATTTTCCTTGTATCCCTCTAACTTTTTGTATCCACCCGTCATTTGGCTGCTAGTTCCAGTGTGTCTCTATGGTACAGCTATTTTGGTTGGTTTGTTGGGTGGAAGACAAATTCCTCTCGTTACTGTTCTTTCCAATGGAGATTTAATTCCTTCCTATAAATTCTCTGAAGATAGAGCATTGCCTCATTTGAAAGCAATTTCATTTGTACCAAATCCAGGACAGGATAGTGTTGGATCGTCTCTAGTGAGAGTTGCTGGTACTGCATCGTATTTCAAAGCAAGAGATTATATTTTGAGTCAAGTGAAGAAGGTTTATGATGTAAGTGTGTGTGTTCTGTTAAATATATGGAATATTGACTTGGAATTTATCATTTTTATAATGATGTATAATGATCGTAAACAACCACCGAAACAAACACGACATTCATCATTGTGCACTCTGATTGGCCAATCTATCATTATGACTCATTTTTTACAACCCTAACACATCATGATTGTTGCAACGTTATCCATGATCACAATTCTTCTCAACAATCCGAACCCTTTCTCATATATATACAACAACAATAACTTGCGAATAACACAATGACATTCTCATTGTCACTCACTCTAGTATCAATCATCAACACTTTGTAAAGTCGAATATGACGTTCAAAATTACAAACACTACAGCAACATTATCGTACGTGTGAGTCCAAACAACATGACCAATCCCAATGATTACTATGCCTTCTTGTTGAGTTCACACTATGACACGGTTGAATTCAGTGCTGGTGCTTCAAGCGATGGTACTGGTGTTGCAGTCATGTTAGAATTACTTGAAAATGTGGTCAATACGGTCGATAATGTGATCAAATATCCTGTGGTCTTCTTCTTTGGTGGTGGTACACAATATAATTCCGAAGCTACCAAAGTATTTATGAATCATCCTTGGTCAAGAAATTTGCTCCGTTTCATTAATATGGACTCGAGTGGAAGTGGTGGTGGTAAATCCATGGTATTCAGAGTGACTGATAACTCCATTTTGAATGAATACAATAATGCTCCTCATCCTTACATTTCTGTGATTGGTGAAGAAGTGATGAAATTGAAGACCAATTATGACACTGACTTTACAGTCTTCTCTGATAAGATTTATCGTAACAGCACCAATAGATTACCTAAATACTATTTAAAGGGTTACGATTATGGCTATTATTGGGATGGATATTTCCATGGCACTCAATATGACACCTATGATCGAATTTCACGTGGAACTTTACAACATTTGGGTGACAATGTATTGCATCAATTAATGAAAGTTGTCACAGATGATGCCATTATGGGAGGTACTGCTACTGATGATCCAGAATCCAATTATTTGGCTGATGAAGTCTATTTTGATGTCTTGGGTGGATTTTATGTTCATTTTAGTTTCCAATTGAGTCAAGCCATTCAAGGTATTATTGTGGTAGTTGATGTGGTCTTACCAATTGTATTGATTGTGGTCGATCACATGATTTCATTGCGTTATCATGATACCTCTTCTGTTTACCAATTATTCAAGAAGAGTATTAGTGGTTTACAAGCTCGTTTATTACTCATTTTCCTCTATTTCTGTAGTTATGGATTGTCTTTAGGGTTTGGTATTTTATTGGCTGCATTGACAGGTTCCATTGTGGATGGTATCAATGCCATGCCATGGTATCGTGATCCTGTATTGGCTGTCTTTTTATTTTCCACTCCAACTCTATTGGGAATGTTTATCAGTCAATTTGGTGTTCATTTAATTATCAATGCTGCCATTTCTTCATGTGGATGTTTCAAAATGTATAGAATTAGTTTGAGAAGCAAATCAGAACTTAAACGTGGTGAAAATACTGCTGCTCAAACATTGATTTATGCATCTGATAAGGAAAGATATCTTGCTTTGACTCTTTTCTGGGGATTGTTGACAGCTGTCAGTTTAATGACTCAACTCAAATCATTCTATATTGTTTACTTTTGGTCATTCTGTTTGAGTGGTATGCTTGTTTTACTTCTCGTTGTAGATCGTGTGATTATGTGGTCCTACATGATTGCTCGTAATCAAACTCGTGCCAAGGCATTAGAAGCAGCAGGAGCTGAAATGGGTGAAGAATTAACATCTGCAGGAGATGATGTCGATAAGAGAAAGAAATTCTTAGAACTTCGTAGAGCAAAGAAGAAGGACGACGAATTGTCCAAAGAAGATGAAAAGTATCTTGGTAAATTGGCAGCAAAGAGAAATATGAGACATGAAATTGCTGCAAAATTGAAGGAATTTTCTATTAGAGATTTCTTCCATGCTGTTCATTACCATCAATTGTATTGGGTGATTGTCATGGCTATTGCTTGCTGGCCACCAGCAACTGTTACTATTGACATTCTTGATCGAATGATTCACTTGATCATTCCATTGATGTCACGTGCTAGTTATCCAGTGTGTGGTGCAATGATTGGTTCTGTCATTGGTTTATTAATTTACTTGTTAACAATTTCATACATGCCAATTATGCATCGTGCTGCTAACTGGGGTAAAGCCATGATTTTGACTGGTGTTATTATTGCCATTGTGGGTATTATTGCAGTTTCAATGAGTGGATTCCAAAAACACTCTCCAAGAAAGGTCAGATTTACTCAAGTGAATAAGGTTGGACCAGTTAAACCAGATGGACTTGACACTGATGATTATTCAATTGCTGTGACAAGAACTACTCCAATTTCCTTTGACAGGAAATATTCCCTTGCGACGTTCACTATGGAGTCTTTTGATGGTATTGGTATTACTGGTCTGTTGAATCGATTTAAGGCTCATTATGGCTTTTCTGGTGGCTTTTTCAGAGAATCTTGTAAAGACTCCAAGTGTGAATTCATCATTCAGGAATCAGCCAAAGAGAAGCTTAATGTATTGACTTATCATTTGCATTTGAACCAATTTACAGTTTCAAACTACACTACAGCTATTGATGGTGACGACACTGTTGCTACCTTTGATATTACCCTGACATTGAAAGAAGGAATTACTTTGGCAGATTATACAGCAACTCTTGTTGGTGGTGACGGAACCTTGCAGAAATTCGCGCTAGCTTCCAGTGATCCAAACTATAACAACTTGTACTATGTCGATAGCTCAGGAACATCCAAGACCATCCACAAATATGCTATCCCACACACAACCACAAACATTTCTGCTTCTGTGAAATACAAGACCGCAGCAACCACCAAACCAACACTCAAGTTCTTTATCCGTCTCTATGATTGTGAATTAACTGCATCCGACGTTGTGAATTCCTTCCAAGCTCTCTATGTTTCTGATAAGTACTACGTCACCCCTCTAGGATCAACATCGTGTAAACTCCTTACAGAACAGTCCACCATCAATATTAACCTTTAAATATATTTAATCATTTTCTAATAAATTTATTTATTTTCATCCACAACATCTGATTCCTCTTCCAACTTTTCAAATTTAACCTCATTCAGTTCTTTCTTCTTTTTGAGGACCACGTTGAAAAACAAGAATTGCAACAAAATTGTGAAGTCCATGACCAATACTCCTGCACTACCAAGTATCCAAGGAAGCTATTATGAAAAGCAAAATGCACCATTTGTAAATTTTAATTGAAAAATCGAAACAATACTTACTCTTGAAACAATAAATTGCCAACTCGTATTGTAGAGGAACAAAGATGCAGCATAGGTGGTATTGCTTCAAGAAATATGTCACACATTCCCAGAATTTTCAAAATACAACTTACCCCATGAAAGCACAAATAAACAAAATTGGAGACAATCCATCAGTTGACATTCTACGGAACTATTTGAAAGTTTGAACCTCGATTGTGACAAAACGATTAGTAAACTTACATTCTTAATGATTTGTGGAATTCTAGAACCTAGATATAAACAAGTACTCAATGATCCAATAACATATCCAGCAATATCCTTTCCATAAATTGGCCAGTATTGATCGTTATAGTCAATAAAGTCCTCAGGAACTGACAATAATTTTCTTCCAACTCCACGATGTTCTCCAAAATTAGAGCTAGAGGTACTGAAACCAAATTGTTGCATCCAAAATAGACAAGCTGTGAAAAACAAAGCAGAAACGCCCAAAATTTTGCTATAGTTTTGCACATTGTTATTTCCGTCTCCATTGTGAGAAATAAGTGATTGAGTTTCGTCTGTACCGAGATAGGTCACTGCTACTTGGTTTACATTGTTTTCACCATCTTCGAAACCATTAATATTAATATTATTCTGTGCTCTCTTTTGTTTTATCCTGTCTTTGAGTTTATAATAAATATATTGTCCAATTAAAATAAAATCCATGAGAACGTAGTATACTGCCGTCGCTATCTGTGTTGCTAATTGATCTGCCAAAATTGAACCAATTAAATTCAAAGAGTCTCCCAAAATCCACTGCAGAAGAAATGCAGGTGCTAATGATTCAGCGTTTGATTTTCTATAATTTTCAATAATTTGTGGAAGATTTGCGAAAAGCCAAAAACCGATACTACTCAGCCCAATCCAAAACGAGGCTTGCTCTAATGGGGTTCGGATGCATGCTCCTAATACCGAGTACATCCAGGGAATATAATGGTATCCATCAAGCACAAGAGGAATACAATTAGCTGTATCATTTGTGGTATTGGAAGCATTATTCGAGTCCATGATGATAGAAAACATCGTGGGTACGATGGGAATGGGATGAAAATTGATGTTCATGATGATGTTAATAAAATACCGATGTATTGGGAACGAATTCAATTGTTGAACGGTATCGGGTGTTGATGATGAATGAAATAGTTGGCAAGACTCGAGATGCAAAATTTTTTCGAAGCAATAACGATGACCTTCCGATTACAAAGATTTTATGAAGACGTCTTTCCTACGCTCGCATTTGGAGAAATGGACACTTTGGTGTGATTTTGGTATTCAAATGATAATGGAGAATTCTTTGTAAATTTGTGTGAAATGAGAATAATTTCTCTATTGAGGACATGTTATCAATCAAGAAAGGACATCATCTTATTTCAGGTAAATGAGCATTCTACTCTGTGAGCAGGTCACATTCATTCCCAAAGAGAAGCATTCCTCCGTTAAGAACTGTTGAGCGCTAATACTTTTGAATGTGCTCTCCTTACTAACCCATATTGTGTTTCCTCCTTCTTCATGTAAAATTATTACATTATTGAATGGACATGTTTCAACTTTCGTTATTTTGACAATGGGTTGGGCCAACGAGGAAAAAGAAACGAATGTCAATTTGACGGTTTCATCGAAATTCGTTGCAATGCTCCTCCATGGCCCTTTCTTCAGTTTTTTTGCAAGATCTAAGGGAACAATTAAACCCTCGCTATTAGTTTTCTTATCATCTGTTAAAAACATTAAGCAAGAGAAAAAATCAACACTGTACATCATCACTTACACACATGAAGTAGAGGATATTGTTTGGTACATGCCATTCCTCTCAAGAAAGAAGGGTCCTGTAAGGTTAGGATACATCTCATTACTCCCTTTTCAATTGCAAATATATCCATTACAGTAGATCGTTCGTATTCTCTCTCAAATGTAAACCAAGTGGTGGTCTCCGTAGCACCAATATACGAGGGAAAGGATTTTATCACTAATCCTCTATTCTCAGAGTTATTATTAAGGGGCTTGAAAATTAAATTATCCATCAAGGCCTGTAAATCAACCAGAGATGCTCTTTGCCTAGGGCCAATGTTTCCATGCATATTTGGGCCACACACTCTTATGGGGAAAAAGTATGACATGGTAGCGTGTGCTCCTAACACTTTTACAGGACCATTGATCAGTAATTTAGTTGGCTCGTAGATGCATGTTTTTGGGCTAATCCAATCTTCAGATGTCTTCACATGGCAACTCAACTGGCTCATTTCATTGCTGTTTAAAACTCAACAAGTAAGTAATGTGTAAATACTAAGAATAACGAACCTTCCACAGCCATAGATATTACCGTCTTCACATTCAAAAATACTATGGCTAGCTCCACAAGTCACGCGTAAACATCCTCTCTTTTTCTCAATATCAAAAAACCTATTTTTGTGAGCATAAATTCCTTCAATACCTTCAACTTCATAACCAAGACCAATCTCACCGTTTTGATTACTACCTAAAACATAAACACTTCCGTTACTAAATGTGTAAGCCTACCCAATACAATCCATCAAACAAAACAAACCTGAAAACAAAAATATAGTGATCTAATCCACTTGCACACTGAAGCAATGAAACCTCAGGCGGGTAGTCAAATAGAGTTTTGTTTTCATCCTTTAGGACTTTGTGCCTAATACTCAACTCGGGAAATTCAATGGTCTCAACGCTACTACACACAATTTGGTCAGAGCCTTGTGTAGAATGAAGTTCTTCGTATGAAATCAATTTACAAAATAAGGATGGCGTGAAATGATCATCAAGATTGTCCAATTTAGATCTACTTTGTGTTGAAACACTTGAGAGAGTACCCGTATCTTCTCTCGGAGAAGTAGTGTTCTTTTCTCCACTCATATTTGGTGATCTTAGTAATGCACTGTGAAGTTTAAGATTCCTTATTCGTTCCGAAATTGGAGAGGACGAGATTGTACTCGATGATTTTCGTTCCTTGCTACCTCCATCATCATTTTCACGTCCATGAGGCGAGCCCCAAACCAGCTTAGAACTGGGAAACTCCCTTCTATATTTTGTAGTGGGAGTGAGTGGAGAGAAGGACGAGTTCACAGTAGTAATGGTTTTACCATTGTTCATAGAATGGGTTGAGTCTTCTCTTTCTTCCCTTGCGCTTTCGGGAGATGAGTGAAATTGTTGATGGAGTGAATGTAGGCTCATTTTTTCCTTAAACATATGAATTTGATAATATTCATGCAAATATTTGCAACATATCTGTATTTTCTCAAAAAGTAAAATCATGATGATTACTGTTGTAATTCCTCATTACTAGGCTCATATGTTGGAGGTACTTCTTTATCGGCCGTTAGAGCCTTTACCTCCTCAGTAAAATGTTCTGGTTGATCAAACACAGACATTGATTCTTTGACATCGTCCCGAAAAGCTTCTAACGATCCCATACGCCTCATGAGAGCTTCTGTGATCATGATCAAATTAGTTCCTCCCGCATTCGCGAGCTGATACTTTTTGATGGGATATAAGAGAGCTACTATATATTGACTTCTTGTCGCCTTGGTGAATGACATCATATTTCCATAGAGGTCTAACAGTTGTGTAAAGAATCCTTTTTCCACAAACTTGACAATGTGAGAGGGTTCAGCAGTGGCTGAAAAATTAATCATCACATATAATCCTTCTGTGATAATAGGTTCATGATTTGTAGACAATAACTCCAAAACTCTAGGAAAGATATCAGGATCTGAAATAATCTTTTCACAACACGTAACACTTTCAGAAACAATATTTGATAAAGTCCACAACGTTTCTTTTTGAATTGCCCTCTTTGTGTGTGTCAGTAAAGCAAGGATGTGATCCAGAAATCCATATTTCAAAACAATTTCTTCACTACCATCCTCAAGCAGTAGATTTCCAAATGTTCTTATTGAAGCTACAAGTGATTATTATGTGAATCAAAAGTTCAATATTTTCAAAATTAATAATTTTTGGTGAATACACTTCATATTTTCAATAATTTATACTTACGTATCACAACAGATGTTACTGAATATTGTGTCAAAAGATCCACTAGTCGTTTCATAAATTCAGGGGATTCTTTCATTAAAGATACACATTCAAAACTTTCTGAGATGTAACTTAGTGCCCAGCAAGTATCTGTCAAAATTTCTTCATTATTATGGAAGATAAAATTCATAAAAGCAGGAAGTGCTTGAAGTAGATAACGAGTGGGTGGAATGGGTTTCATTCTCACTAAATTGGAGAGACACCAAGCGGCTAACAATTTCAGAAATTCATTGAATTTGATTTGAAACTTTAAATATCCAAAAAAAAACATACCATTTTTCATGTCGCTCAACACGAAGGTGCCAAGCCATCCATCCCTCAATGCTTGAACAACTTTTTTAATGGCTCCTCTCTGTAGAGCCAAATCTCTTGCATAAGGACTATCACCAGCGAAATTGCCAATAGCCCAAACAGCCTGTCCAACCACTGCAAAATTTCCACTGTCCAGTAAATCAATCATTCGTTCAATGCACTTCAATGAAATGATGTATCGAGTGTGTTCCGTCGTACCACTTGCCACATTGGTCAATGCCCAAGCACATTCATGTTGAAGAGAATGCAATCGAAAGATTGGAACTTTGGCTCTTTTCTTTGTAGTCATTTCGTTATTATTAGTATTATTATCGGTGGTTGTCTGAGTTGTGTCGTTATGATCCACATTGCTCGTATCAATAAATTCAAAATAGTTTTCAAGATAGGACCGAGAAAGAAATTTTGTCATGTAGACACAAGCTCCTGAATCCACAACTTCTTGAATCGGTGGATTGACCTCTACAGAGAGTAGTCGTCTAATGATTCTTACAGCTTCATAAATCACATCCATGCCATTGAACTCGGGATCGAGAAGTAACACAAAATATGACAAACGAGAAAGAGTGCACACAGAAGGAATATTCTTTCTTCGTTTCATATTCTTGGATATTCCTAGAACTTTGTTTGTAAATTGCTTCAATCTTTGATCTCGTTCTCGAAGTTTTGATACTCGTACGCGAATCAATTGCTGGAGTGGGCCATCATTTGGCGGATTGGGTGAATCTACCAAACGAGTGTCGTCGGAACAAGCACTTTCATCTTCTTCCATGTCATGTTCTGCTTCAATATTGTTTTCATCGTGTGTACTTTCGCGCAACGGTTGTTCTGTCTCGGCTGCTTCTTGAGCATTCTCAGCTTCAGTAGGAATTAAACTCATTTTTTCTATTTAATCCTTGAACTTGTATTTAAAAATCTTGTTGAGTTTATTGGAGTTGTTTGGGTGCTGTTGTTTGTTGATTTTTGTCCCTATGTACATTGTTTTGAGATTTCTTGCCAAGCACCACGACATTGAAAGAGAAATTCTCTAATCTAAATTCTTTGGTAAATGTCTTTCTATCAATCACGCAATTCGGCTTCTTTCGAATGAAAACATAAACGTCCAAAATGCGACCATTTTCCAACAACTGGGCTGATATCGTGTGATGAGATCGAGGAGATGACTCTAACGCTTGAGCCATTCTCAGTTGATTGTGTTTGAGGACTTTCAAAACAAGAGCCACTTGCTGTTCTTGCCCCATCTTTACTACTTGTTTCTCTTCTCGAATTGCTACGTTTTTCACATAATTTTGGAAAGCTTTCTTTTGATGCTCAAAGTCAGTGCTCATTGTGCTGCATCCAGCTGACGAAATTTGATCATTAGAAAATTCATGATTTGATGAAGATACAGGTGAAGCCAAACTGTTTCGATAGGAATCAAGAGATGGAACTTTGAAAGGGGAGCTTGGTATCGAAGTGTTTGTGCTCTGAAGGGAGTATGTTGGAGGTGGAGTTTGCAACAAGGCAGATACAGGAGGAAGAATAAAAGCTTCATTTGGTTGTACTTGTTCTATGGTGCGTTGCTGATGATGATGGCTGTTATTAGTAATATTGAGATTTGGAGTGATGGTTGCTACTGGTACAGGTTTATGGATGTTGTTGTGAGCAGTTGAGATATTTACAAAATTACTGGTTTGGGCATGGTTCGTTGAAAAAGATGGTTGCAACAAGGGAGGTAATACGACATTGTTTGTTGCTCTTGTTTCATGGGGAGATTGTGGTTGGTGGTAATAAGAAGAAGTGATTGGAGTGTTGATGATTGGAGGTTGCTGTTGTAGTGGATTGCGTTTTGTGGGTGAACTAGAAGAGGGAAGTGTTCGTGTTGCTGTTTGCGTGCTGCCACTGCTACTCCGTATAGGTGATGGTGTTGTTGGTACAACTACTACAGGGCTGACCGTGCTGAAGGACCCCGACGAAGACGACGATGAAGAATAAAATACGTCCATAACGATCAGGTGTTGATTGTTTTTGTGTGGGGAGGACAAACGGGTATTTTTTTTGAAGTTACTGAACAGCCCTATTTCAAAGGCAAGTGTGGAAATGCGGCCTAAACAGGTAGAAAAGACGAGTAAGGCATTAGAGATTCGTTTGAATTGTCGAGCTTTTGGAAATCAGGTGTTGCTCCCTGTGACGCATCCTGCCTCAGTTTGTCAATGGATGGTGCAAGGTGGACTCCGTGCTCGGATCTTTGCTTGGCGATCTCTTGTTGCAATTCCGTAATACGCGTAATGAAAATTGTGTACCAATTTTTATTTATCACAAGATCTTACAACACAAACTTGCTTATTCCATCGTAATTACTTGTGCTTCGAGATATGGATGGGTTTAAATTTCTGCTGATGTCCGTACTGATTGTAGAGCTTCTTGTAATACCACTTCCATACGAGCTTATTCCACTCTTTGAAATAGAGCTAATGGCATAATTGCTTTGGCTGGCCTTGATTCTGCGGGCTTCTCTTCTCGTTTGAATGGAATTTGGCTTTCGTTCCCTCTTTGGAAGCTTATCTTTATATTGTTTTCTCACCTTATAGCCACGAAGGAATTTTTGAATACAAATAGCTGCAATTTGTTCCTTCAAGGTGACACAATCCTTGTAAATAAGGGAGGCAGTACGCCGATTTTGTACATCTAAAGCGGTAGCATCTCTTAAAATTTCTCCAATGTTCTTCTCTAATTTTGGATGATTCAATAGTGGAGAGAACTTGTTTGAATAATTATCATTTCCAAGCACAACTCTCAACGCATCAATGAGTGTCATATTCTGTGTCTTGAGTGTTTTGATATCAATTTTGTGATACAGTAAAAGCTCAATCATGACGGAGGCAACGCTGAACACGTCTGAGGCAGGATTGGCCATTGAGGACACCTTGTATTCTGGTGCTGAATAATCACTTTTAACTGTGAATGGAATTTTCTCATCTTTCCTCAAACAAAATGCAAAATCAGAGAAAACAATGTTCAAATTTTCATCTAAAAGGATGTTTCCAGGGTTGATGTTTCCATGAACCCATCCATTCTCATTCAAGTATATGAGACCTTCAAAGCACTGACAAAGTATTTTGGAAAATAATACCGGAGTCAAAACAATTCTAGGTTTTTTTCTCAAAAAGCATTCAATTAAGTCTCCAGTCGAATAATATTGTAGTACAATATGCTTGGATATGTGATCTGTGATATGATCTTCATCAGTGTAATCAAAGCTGTCGATATACTTTGAGATATATTTGTTGTTCATTTGTTTTAATACCTTAATCTCTCTCTCATAGAACTCCTCATTACCAAGAGTACATTTTTTCATTGCCATATTATGTCTTGTTCTTTCGTCTTTCACCAAAATTATTGATCCACAAGCATTTCTTTTCAATAATCGTTCGCAAAATAGCGTTTCTCTCTTCTTTTTACCTTCCAGTACTGAAAAGCACAAGAGGTGAAAAATCATTTAACAAACACAATACTTACAATTATCAGGTAAATCATTTTGTTGACCTTGATCTATGGCAGGAGTTGCATATAGATCAATTCTATTGGAGTCATTATCAATGCTATCTCTTCCACCACAAAGGAAGCATGCAAATAACTTTCTGATACCTGTTAGCTTGGCGGTGTTTTCATCTTCAATAAGATTAGCTTTTTGTTGTTTGTCATTCAGCGGATCTTTCATACTGATATTTACGGAGGACTGTTATTGGAAATGGTTAGAAAAATGTAACCATTACACATTGCAATGATCATAAACTTACATATCTACTGCTTTTCCTTCGATCAAACATTTCAGCGCTCAGTGTTTCTGATTCTTCATCATCTTCGTCCATGTCTATTACAACCTGAGCAACGGATTCAAAATTATGCAATTGAAAATCTTCTCCCTCTCCTGCCAAGTGAGGGCTGTCAGCTCCAGAGTGGAAATAATGAGACTCACCATTCCCCAATGATGCAAAGCTGTCGTGATATTCTTCCAATTCTTCCTCTACATGTACTTTGTGATGTCTTGATGGTTCGTCCCGTTCTGAAAGGGAATTTAATCGAGAAACTAGGTGATCAGAAGATGGTCTAAATTGAGATAGAATACACTCTTTTGCAATTGTAAGGAGTGATCTGATAAAGGTCGATGATGCCTTTGCCCCAAATCTTGCAGTGACTTTTTCTTGAACATCGACTTTCCATTCAAAATTTTCGGAATGTGGGTTGATGTCTCTCATTGTCAACATTTTGAGAATTAGTAAACCGAACATGTAAACATCATTTTCTTTAGAGAACTCTGTGTGATGAGTAACTTCGGGAGCATAATTAAAATCAATTCCTACATGAAGGATGTATGAAATACCAATACCAGGAAATTGGAGAATAGCTCTTTTGGCTTGATATTTAGAGGTGCCATCATAGCTTCTATTGTTGACTAGCAAAACACTGTGTGAATATAAATTGTTGTGAGTTAGTTCCGATCGGTGCAATTGTCTCAAACCATTTGCCACGTCTAAAAGAATATGCTTCAAAAATCCAAAATCATTCAGTAAATTCACAGCATTGACGTCCGTAAAAACATCCTCCAATGTTTTTAACTGCTGTGATTGATAGGTATTCATGACATTGGAGTCTCTGCATATGAGATAATATGTAGCATCATATTCTTCTTCATCTTTGTAGGCTTCATCATACGAAATCACATTAGGCATTAATTTGTTGTTGTCAATCAACTTTTTGAAAAGTCTTCCAGTTTGCAATAATGTTCCGTGGTGAACAAACACCAAGCAACTTGGCGAGGCTGGTGTATTTTCTGTGTATTGAAACACTTGAACAACATCAGAGGCATGTTGATAAATCAATTTTGGTTGCTTGAAATGTTCCGTAAATTGATCAAAAGTCATCAGTTTGGAATTTCCTCCGGAGAATGATTGAAGACTTAGTGATGATGTACTTCTCATATCTATCATTTTCTGATTGTTTAAAGTGTTTGTTGTCTTCTGTACAATAATTGGTCGTTGGGTGATTATTAATTTCAAATTTCTAAATCAATAGGTTGATGATGGAATGTTAGTGGTGCTCTTCGATCGGTAACAAATAGTTGTTGTTCTCTGAGAGGGCTCGGAATAACAACCATCAACAATCAAAAACAAGCAGGCGTTGTCGTTGAGCTATTTTTTGTGTCAGAACGCATGGACTTGTTTGGCAAGTTGTATTATCTGAGTTTGAACAGCTCGAAAAATAAACAAACGTGTTGTTTCTTTTTGAGCATTTGTTGATCTTTGTCTCAAGGTTCATTCAAGCAAGAACAAGACAAAAAATTCAAACAAAAACACGTATTTGATAAACCAGGGTCTCAAAAATCCATTTAAATAAGCTTCATCTATCGATTATTATTCATCAGCAACTCATCAGTAAATGATGGCTGTTTGGGATTGTATTCCCCTCTTCAAATTTATTCCCTAATGATAATTGAGTTTTTACACTCTGATCAAGCCAGAACGCAAAGCATGCTTGACTAGATCATCATGTTTCAGGCTGTGGATGGAATCTTGGAAGTTTCTTTATCTTGGTTTGGTTCACTGCCCTCTTATTGGGATGAACGTTGGCGGATGCTTTGAGTATTGAGGAAAAAGGAAGTTGAATTTATTGCTAATTAATTCCACAAAACGTCTTGTTTTGAAACTCTAACAATGACCATCATATTCGAGGTATTTTCGATTACATCTGGAATAAATGTCGATATTCTTTTTCTGTTGAAATATTTTGGTAGAAGATAATGAGTACGATAATGTTACATCGTCGACGGCCTTAATGTATTCCCTCAAGAAACCATCAAAGCCCAATGAAAGAGAAAAGTTCTACTCGCCCTAACTACCGATGAATTAAAAAGAAAAACTCTATTGAATTACGTGGGTTAGAATTAGTGAACCCTTAAATTTAAAAAAAATATTCATTTTCACCATGCCTTATTACTCACAAGAAGACCCTTATTATCCAAAACTCAACAGATACAACAACAACAACAACAATAACCAAACCACAGTGGAGCCATCGAGTCGAACACACTATTCAAACTACGACCGAAACTATGCCAACAGGGACAAAACAAAAGTTTACTACAGAAAAGTCGTCTATGAAAATTATGTATGGCCAGACAGAAGAGAGAACTCTCACTGTGAACAGATTCTTCATTACCACGATCCTGTCATTGAAGACGACGTTGTTTTTGACAGAACGTTGAGAATTCTTCAAGATAATGCTCCAAGAGAGCCTTATAGAAGACGGAGAGATGAGTTGAAGAGTGTCATCCATTGGGGACAAAGAAAGTTGCTCATGTCTGAAATTGAATTTCTCACAGAGTTTGGATTTCCTGGTGCCACTGTTGTGTATGCAGGAGCTGCTCCTGGTAATCATACAAACTTCTTGAGCGAGATGTTTCCTGATTTGTTTTTTGTTTTAGTGGATCCAAGTCCTTTTGTGTGTCGACCAACAGACAAAATTAAAATAATTAATGATTATTTCACAGACGACCTTGCCAAAGAATATTCTGGAAAGAATGTTTTATTTATTAGTGATATACGAACCGCAGAACCACAAAGAATGAGTGAGGATGAGGTTGAAAAATGTGTTGCTTGGGACAACCAAGCTCAGATGAACTGGCACCACTTGCTTAAACCAAAAATGTCCATGCTTAAATTTCGATTGCCTTACAAGTCTGACATCACTCCGTTCATGGAGTACTTGGATGGTGAGATTTATTTACCAGTGTGGGGTCCTCAGACAACATCAGAGACGAGATTGATTTGTAAGGGTGGTTGTGGTACAAAAATTTATGACACACAAATGTATCAAGATCAAATGTTTTTCTTCAATACTAGAACTAGAGTTTATTATTATCCACATGATGTCGATGCTGTTGGAATGGATCATTGCTATGACTGTAGATCAGAGGTTTATATTTTGGAATTGTTTTTAAAAAGATACAACATGGTTGAGTATGGAACAGAAACGGACGAAAAAAGGAGGAGAGAAATTTTGAACAAATCTGTTGCCGAATGGTCTGAGAAAATATCCAAAGTCATTTCAAGCAAAAACGTGACTTTGGCTACCTACGAAAAAGTTCCAATCGTTTCTCAGAGACCAAAAGAGCTTCACAAGATTTACGAAACTGACAAGATTAGAGTTTCCAAGGAGACAAAGGACAATCCCAAAAAACGTCGAAATGATGATGTGTACAACAGCGACATCATACATACAGAGTACGACATTGCATCAGATGCCATTACACAGACAGAAAAGAAAAAGAAGTGATGTAGAAACTTTTTGTTAAATAAAGTATGGTTAGTTGTTCGATCATTTGTGAGCTCTTATATCTGGACATGGTCACAAGTTTTGTGGAGAAAAGGAATTGAATAGACAGTGAAAGAGATTTCAATTTGTTCTGTGGCAAGCTCAAATCCCGATTTTCGCAATCAGTAGTGCAAGATGTTCAAGAGTGAAATTAATGTTAAGGCAGAGGACTCAAAATAGGGCCAGCGTTATGTCCAACGAAATGGATTAGTTGTCCAGAAACAAAAAGCCTGAAAAAAATTTCAACAAAAACACGTGTTTTTGACAAACTGTTGTACCTTGGTGGCGAGTCCACGAATGGCAGCAACAACCAAAGAAAAAGATCCTCGTTGCTCAGATGTCTCGGTTGTTCTTAATCTTTCTCGGACTCTGTGTGGCCCTAACTGCCATTTCTATTCCGTTCAAGCCAATCAGGACAAGACATTTACATTCAATCATTCGTTACATTTCAAAGAGCACCCAACATCATCAACAAGTAGAGGTTGAAAGATTTAAAGTCCAAACCAAATGTGTCCTCTCAACTCTCGCCCGAACCATAAGCCTTTAAAAATTGTTCAATTTTCTGATATTCATTATGATGCTTTTGAAGATCCTCCAACATTACCTAAACATTTAGAAAAAGAAATGATTGAAAAAGTCAAATTAGAACAACCTGATTATGTGGTCATTACTGGAGATTTTGTTCATGGTGAGGTTCAAGTATCTGCTCCAAAGTTATCGCGAGAAGTATTGAAACCAATTTCAAATATTTTGAAGGAAATTCATGCAGACTCTAAAATGAGAATGTTTGGAGTTTTGGGAAATCATGATTTACATGCTGGTCAACGACAATTGTTAATTTCTGTACTCGAACGAGAAGGTGGTGTTCGAATTTTAGATAACGATTTTTATTACAACGAGAAGGATCAAATATTGTTGATGGGACTCCCTGATTATGACAAGGACTATTTTAATACTGTTATGGTTGAACATCGAATGAAAAACGCTAACATTGCACAGTGTGCAACAAGAATTGTGCTTTCACATATTCCTGACAGTGCTGATTGCTTGTTGTTAAACAAGGACAGTAAGGGTCGATGTAGAGCCAATCTTAATGTTCAAATCATACTTTCAGGCCATACCCATGGAGGTCAATTTAGAATTCCAGGCATGAGAGAGGGAATAATTGCATACATGTTTAGAAATTTGCCAGACTCTTTGATGAATTTTTTACTTGCCGCAATTAGAATGTCAAACCCAGTTGAACACTGGGAATGGAGCGGTGGAATGTTTGAAAAGGATGCAAACAGTAATGAATTACATAGTCTTAGAGAACCTGTATTGAAGTTGAGTGAAAACAAGACTTATGTTAATGTCAACAGAGGCGTTGGGAGTCATTTTGGATTTCGATTATTTTGTCATCCGGAAATGACAGTTCTTGAATTGGAATGAATTTGGTGTCTATGGAATGAGATAAATTTGAGTTTTTGGGAGCAAACCCCTAATTTCATTAGAAAATTTTCATACTGCAATTCAGTAATTTCTGTGAAAATAAAGATTAGAAAATATAAGGAAATTATTGAGGCAACTGTTTGCAACGAGGGCTCGTCTCAGACTGTCACTCCAAGTTGAAGAATGTGATACTTACCATCAACTTCAAATGTTGACAAAAAGTGACAGCAGTTCCATTTCGACTTTGACCTTCAAATTGATGTTCAAATTGAAAATACGCAAAAAAAAATGAGCACAAACAGGTGAGTCTACCCATCAATTCTTTTTACTCATCATAATTCCAGTTCTTTTATTAAGATTGGTATTATCGGAAAGCCATCTTGTGGAAAGAGCACACTATTAAATGCCATTGCTGATGCGAATGCAAAAACAGGAAATTATCCTTTCACCACCATTGAGCCAAACCATGTACGTGAATCAATATAATGATTTTTTATAGAATCAATAATCTACAAATTAACTTGTGATGAATACTTCATCAATACATAGGGAACAGCTTTATATAGAGCAAGCATTCCATGTCCTTGTGCAGAATTTGAATTGCAAAAGTTTTGTAAACCAAAGTATGGAAAATGTGTCAATTCTGTGAGATACATTCCAATTAGTGTGATGGTATGTCGTCATCAAACTGTGTTCTAATAATTATTTTTTAATTTAAAAAGGACGTTGCTGGATTAGTTCCAGGCGCTTCTTTGGTAAGATTTCATAGTATTTAATTTTTTTTATATTTTGGAATGATACACAATAGGGAAAAGGTAAATATTTTTTAATGAACAATCTTTAATTGACGCCTCTACTTAAGGCTTGGGAAACAAATTTCTGGATGATTTAAGACATGCACACGTATTGATTCATGTATTGGACGTCTCTGGAACCACCAATGAAAAAGGAGAGAACTGTGAAGGATATGATCCAATAAGTGACATTGAATGGCTGGAAAAAGAAATCCACGACTGGATTTTTAATAATTTATGGAGCAGATGGGATAGTATTGTAAGAAAGCATCGACAATGCAAAAATACTATTACTGAAACATTTTCACAACAGCTTAGTGGATACGGGTGCAATAGAAAATTTATTGTTGCATTTTGTGACCATCTTGCTCGAACAATGACTCAACTACTTGATGACACTGTGAACGAAGAAGAAAAAAGAAATCTCTACTCCAAACACATCAAACCACTCGACAAGTGGTCTGAAGAAGATCTTCATGCATTTGTTTCTATATTTGTGGAATTCAGGTTTCCAACTCTGTACGCGTTAAACAAGATTGACCACAAAGCAAGCTCAAAATATATTAACAAATTTTATGAGAAGTATGATAATGATAGAATAGTGCTCACCTCAGCACTAGCTGAATGTTTTTTAAAGACGATGAGGAAAAAGGGATATGTTTTATACAATGAAGGTGATAGTGAAGTGAAGACATTTGAAGATTTTGACGAAAATGATGAAGAAAGGGTAAGTATTTAGAAATGTATTGGGTAATCGTCAACTATGGAATTCATCTTACATCAAAGAAATTACTGAAACCAATCACGGATCAGAAAAATTTACAAATCTTACAAAACATTAAGGATTTTGTACTTGCAAGATTTGATTCAACAGGAGTTATGGAAGCCATAAAAAAGGCTGTAGATCTTCAAGAGCCTGTAATTATTTATCCAGTGAATCAGAATATTACTCAAGTGTCAGAGCACATGAAAGATCGAGAGGGTGTAGAAGATTTAAGAGTTTTCGAAGATGTAGCCCTCATGAGATATGGTAGCTCTGTTAAAAGTTTTGTGAGCAAATTCTACCGTTCTATCATACCAACGGAGCAGCAAGTTATTTCAGAATCTGGAAAACCAATGCTCCCTCCCTATTACGTAGAAGGTATCGATGGAAGAAGGCTTGCTGAACATCATCTCTTTAAAAAGGATTGCAACAATATCATTCGAGTAGTATTCACAGGCCATTAAATTAAATAAATTTCTATCATAGAAATATTAATATGTTCACATCTTTCAAACAAAATTGTATATTTTCAAAAATTATTACACATGAAATGCCAATAGACCAATCAAACATGCAAGTGCCAGCGATACAGAAAATTTGAAAGAATTTCCACTACTGATTGCCTTTCCTCCAAGCGAGCATGGAGATGGATTTCCAACCTCCGTAGAACAGAAATAATCCAATTTTTTGTTTTGTTCTGCAACATCCCAAACAGGCTGAAGAGCCCAGTTAATAGCACCTTCGTCACGTGCCCAACACTTCACAATATTTTGATTTTCAACATTGGTGACACATTCGGAAATTGTGAAAATATTGAAATTAGTTAGAATCATCATGTCACCTATTCCACACTCAATACTTACACCGTAGGCATAATCTTTGCAAACCGAGTAACAAATCTCATATGGAACGATCGTACCATTACCTGTATTATTGCAAACAGGAAATGCACGAGCACAAGCAAAATTTTTCCAAGCATCCCTACAAGAAGCTTCATAGGGAAGAAACTTGATGTACTAGAATATACATTAGAAATGTTTGTCTCCACATCTTTGTAATTATCTTGTATGCATCTGTTGAAAATAATTTGAAATAATTATAATAATTATAATAATTATAAATATTGGTCAAATGTTTCCCGAATTCGTATCATCACTTTGACCCAAATAATTAAACCTACATGCTACTTCCTGCTGGTATATACGCAGCACAAAAACTTAGGTCGCTCGGAGGCGCACCACACGATTTACACGTCGGTAATGAATGTATTGTCGTAGTAGTCATGAGTAACATTAGGACAGCAACGATTGTGGTGGAAATAATACGTATACAACGTTGATGAGCTCTATTTGAGCACTGACATGATGATGACATTTGTTGGGATACTCGCGGTGATGTGATTTTATTTTGTTGTTGGCAATTTTTCACTGACGTTTGTGATGGAGAGCAATGAATGTGGATAACTTTCTCAAATTACAATAAATTAATTTTGAAAGCGGAAGAGGATGTGTTTGATGATGATACAATGACCTCTTCTCGAATAATGTTATTTTCTAATTGTTCTTGATCATTGTTGGGCGAGTCCACTTGTTCAGAAATATCATCATCATTTTCGTTGATCGAAGGTTTGAACCAACTTCCAACTTGTACTTGTTTTCTCTCTATGGCTGATGAAGGCGTCATGAACCCACAAGCCTTTCCACGAAAACTAACAGCACTTTTTGTAGAGTTTGAAGGTAACGTATTTGAATATCCTAATGGTTTAAAAGTAACACGTTCCAATCCACAACTGGGAAGCGTAGTATAAGGATCATATTTTGATGCAATTAAAAACCCGGTTAGTGAAGCCATATCATGATTTCGTTTCTTCTCTTTAAATATTCTATGTTTTTCTCTATAAGAAGCCAGTTGTTCTTGGATGGAAGGTGTATTATTATTTGATGCAGAGGAGGATGAGCTTGTTGTTGTTGTACTCACCATAGCCGATGCATTGTCGTTATTATTGGTCAGTGATGATGGTAATGATGAAGGATTCATTTTCATGTATGGGTTAGCTCACAAGAAGAGCACTCTGCTTAAATTGGTGTATTTTTAGGAGCTTATTAGAAATTAGACAATTAGTGCAGCCTTTGAGTTTGCTGGTTGATTGAGAAGAACACTTTTTCAAGATAACGACAATGTTTTAATTTTTCGAAACGTGTTGTTTAAAATTAAAAAACAAAATCTTTTAGAGAGCAAGGACTCATTCGTTGAATTCAATGAATAGAATCATGAGCCAAGTGACATCCCGAGCTTCCAGGATGACTCAACTCCTAACGGAGAGATTCAAACCAGTTCTTGTTCTCAATTTAGAAGACCAATCCCATAGACATGCGCATCACGTGGAAATGAAAAACTCGAACAGCAGCAGCAATGGAGAAACTCATTTCGATTTATTAATTGTGAGTGAGAGTTTTGACGGAAAAAAGTTGATTGAGAGACATCGTATGGTGAATGAAGTGGTAAACGAGGAATTCAAGAATGGATTACATGCACTCTCAATCAAAGCCAAAACACCATCGGAATATGAAAAACAACTGAACAACAAGTAATTGTTGTTTTAGATTTTCGATCGAAAGAATATGCTCTCTTCCCTTCAACAGTAAAAAAATAACAATTTTGATTCCGATTGCTTCTCGTGTCTGGTATTCGAATTAGCATTCATCATTCAAAATTTCTCTTGTGATTCCTATTGTAAATATATCACAACAAGCACAGCATAATAACATGTCGGAAACACTCCCATCAACAATAACGTTAAACGTGGGAGGCCAATTATTTACAACGAGTAGATTTACACTCTCTCAACAAGTAGGAAAAAACGAGTTGGAACATGTTTTAGCCTCTATAGTAAATGGAAAGCATGCCATAGAGAAAGATCGTGATGGCAATATTTTCATTGATCGGGATGGAACTTATTTTCATTATATATTAAATTACTTGAGAAACGGAGGAAATCTTTCACAAACAATATTGCCATCAGTGAGGTATCAACCACTTATTGCAAGGAGTCTACAATTAGAAGCAGGTTATTACGGACTTACTGAATTAGTGGATTACTTTACTGTACAACGATGGTTATTGAAAAGGAGGTTTCAATTAGCAAATTGCCATCCCAATGTCGTAGTATTAGATGGAGGAAAGACGTTAATTTGTAAAGAATCAAGTGGGAAAAATTGGTATTCTGTATCATCCAAATATCCTATAATTAATATGGATTATTCAACTCATGTTTCAAGCCATGAAACAGGTCTTGATACATATGACGAAGAAGCCAAAGAATTTGATGGCGATGAAGGGTTTGCCGACGTTGAGGAAGTCAATGGATTTCCATCCAGCAACAATTACTACCTTAATATGGCTGGTGTGACATCGGTCGACGGAAATGTTACTGATGTATCAAACTATCAAAATCATGCATCATCACAATCACGACAGAATCCTCAAGTTGATGAGATACAGATCACAGCATCCAAACTGTCAATTTATTTTGGAAACATGAAACTGTTGAAATTTCACGTCAAAAATTACTACGAAATTGTTATTGAGAATACTAAGAATTTTAACATTGTACTCGGAATTTCCAAGCAAAAGACATCGTATTTGTAAGTTATTGATTGCTCAACCATGTACAATTTTCTTATATGCCATCCATTCAGCCATGACTCTTGGACAGTTGGATTTATTGCGAATTCATACGGATTCAATGTTTGGTCAATGAAAAAGTATACAAAAAAGACTCAAATCGAGTAGTAAGTACTTTATTGTAAAAAGTAATGTTTGACAAAAGTCACATTGTACTATAGTGGAGAACGATGTGAACGTGGTGATCGAGTAGGCATGTACGTTAATACAGCGTTAGGATACATTGAATATTTCAGGAATGGAAGAAGTATGGGCATTGCTTTTGACGGCCTTACTAAAGAGCTCTCTGAAGGGAATTGGTATGTGGTAGTGAGCTTGTATAATCAAGGAGATTGTGTCACATTAAACACAAACGCCGTTGCACCTCTCTCTGTACGAGAAGAAGAATATCTCAACAGTAACAATAACAAGATGGAAGAATTGAAATAAATTGTACAGCTTTGCAACACAAAAACTTAAAAAAATGAAGAACGGGAAACGAAGCAACAGACGCGATGATGACCGTCGGAATTTAGAAAATGCTCTTGATTTGTTGGAACAACTATTCTCACTCATTGATATGATACAGGTTTCATTTTCTAATATTTATAAAGTCATTTCCATACCGATTCAGTACGTCGGAAGAAAAATCGGAGAACAAAGCAGTAAAATTGGATCAAACGTTTTTGATACATTACTTGATTTATTTACACCAGTACAAACTCTTTTTGATCAATATCAAACATGTAGGTGAGATGTTGTTTAGGAATCTTTAAATTTTCAATATTTTAAAGATTATGGCTATTACCGAGGAGCAACCTATTTCAATCCTAATGAATTATTTGTCACAAGAGTGTTCAATTATTTCGAAAGGATAATCAATAATTTTCAAGAAAGGGTTAAAAAGACATTTACTGAAGACAAGAATGTTGGATTTTCACAGTATTTATTGAAGACAGTCATTATTGGAGGATTGTTTTTAGTTTGGAGAGCTTTGTATATTTGGTGGAGATTTAAGAAGGACGCGAGTCGATCAAGCCAATTTAATAGTTCTAATTTCATTGATGGCAATGTCATTCAGTCTTTTGTAGATAATGAAAGTCTTTCTCAACACTTACAGAATAGAAAAGAATGGGAACAACTAAGAAGAAATCCATTTTCACACTCAACATCTGATCTGGCTTATTTGAACTCGCCTCAATACCATCTACAAAGTCCTTACTTTCCTCTTCGGATTGGTCCCAACGAAAGAGAGCGAAATTTCTTTACCTATTTTCCATCGTATCGAAATCGAGTTGAAGATTTAGAATTTAGAGAAGACACAAATTCTGCGCCTGCTTCTCTTTCATCAAATATCAACAGAAGTAGCGCTCTCTATAATAATAATGGTATAGGTCCCTCTCGATTCTACAATGACATGCTTAGAAACAGAACTCTCATTGGATTGCGAAGAAATAATACTCTTCAAAGAGAAAGTCAGTTTTCACAACTTGTTGGAAATGGTTTTAATACCCTCCCATCACTTCAACGACGCCCTACTCTCATGGATATGATCACGGTACTTCCTACACATCTCCATATCTTGAGAATGGTAATCCTTTCGATACAGATATTCAACCTTATCAAAATCAACTTTATTCATCCATATCAGATAACATTTAACAAACTGAATATAAGGGAGTTGAGAGAAGATATTGATTTATTGAATCTTTTGTTTAAACAAACTCTCCAAGTCAATATCTACAAATGACAATCGACGCTTAGAGAGTGACGAAGAAGAAGAATTTGAATTCTGATCCATTTTTGAAATATTCTCAACGTTTAACACATTCTTGTGAAAATGGAGCATTGGAGATGATGAAGATGGACCATGCTGCATTGCTTTCTTAAACGAAAATGTTGGATGATTAAATCCGTGACGATAAGGGTAATAGTCATTTTCGTCCTCATCCATACTCATGATGGTATTTTCATCAATAATGGAAGCATTAGTGGATTGATCCATCTTCATCATTTGCTCTCGAATACCAAAGACATCATCTTCATTATGATGAGGATGGTTAGAATTATGGGATGAATAAGAGGTGGTGAGTGTGGGACTTTTACTTGAGGCGGTGGATGTCGTTGATGTCGTTGAGGATGTGTGTTGTTGTGAAATGGGTGATTTCTTCTGATTCAGTGAAGACATTAAATTATGATATTCAGTCGATGAGATGGAATGTTTCCTTAATGAATGTGACACAGCACTTCCAGAGATGGGATGATGATGAGGGAATGTGATCTGATGAGGGACTACAGAAATGACACTTTTTCTTCTTCTCTTGGCAATGGTGGACGTGACATGTTTTTCATGGGGTGACGATTGAAGTTGTGTATGAGAATGTTGTTGCTGTTCATGAAAATGATGCGACAGAGAATTGGATTCCATCATGGGATCAGAATCTTGAATCGTTCTTGTCTTGTTTACAGGTGGGAAAACAAATTTAGAAAACATGGGATCTTCATTCATGATGGGATTACTATCTTCATGGGAGTTGAGACTTTCTTCATGATGATTCGACAAGTCTTGGTTGGTATTATTGAGGGAGGAGTGGTGTGGATCATCATCAGCCTGAGTGATCATTGAGGGAACCACATTCTTGGACATGTGAACAACAAGATTTGCGGGAGCACCAAAACAAGCACCTGCTGGTTGCATCATCATACTGGATTCACTGTTCGTAGGAGAGGTAGTCGTCGTTGCAGAGGTAGCAGCCAAAGTAGGAATGTTATTGGTCATTTCTGGGCACTCAAATTAGGATAACAAGGTTGTGAGTTAGAGAAAATAAGAGAACGGCACACAAGCGAGAGGTAGGTGTATATATGTGTATGACTAACGCTGTGAAAGCGTGCAACTAGTTAGAAGTTGAGGAAGTTATGGATAACACGATCGGAGAGAGCTTTATGAAACACGTCAAAGATACTTTCTCTTGTTTTTAACACACAACGATTGACAATTGATAATTATCACACACAAGATCGATGTTTCGCTGATTGCAGTAGTAGTATGATTCAGGGAGAGAGAAGAGGAATATTGTTGTCCTCTTTTAATTATTTCTTTTGTTATTGCAAATGAGCAAAAGATATCCATATAGACAACGTATTCTACATTTTCTCGTTGAAGGATAACACCTTTTTTGTATGTTTTCCTGATTATACGAGTAAGAACGAGTGGTGTGCACAATTATGATAGAAACAAATCAGTTATTTAGCTAATAATGGGTTTGAGAGAGCGAGAGCATGTTTCATGCAATGATAGCGCTTTGATGCTCGAAAAAGTACCTATTGAGAAAAGCTCTCGACAGCCAAATGCTGAATGGAGGCAAATCCAGTTTGGATTCAATCCATGAGTTTTCAATATTCTTTTCAGAGGAGGGTGAAGAAGAGATATTCTCTCTTATGGAGAAGAAGGGTGCTAGTGAATTCCTTCATGCCACATGATGCTGACCTTAATGAGAGAGAGGTTGTAGCATTGAAAAAAGTTGTAAACATTCGAATGAAAGTAGTGAAGTTCTAATCCATTGAACCTGCACTCTTTCTATCACTCTTTGAATCCTCTTTGAATGATAATATCTGTCGCAGATTATAATATTAAATTTTATGAAGCAGTTCGCTGTTTTTCACTTCAAAATGCACTCCGCGAAATGCAAGTCTCTTTTTGAACCGAAAAAAACGATCTAACTCCGAATTGAATGACGACGAGGCTTGTGCATTGATCCGTTACATCCTCTCAACAATAGTTTTGAACAAGAAGAAATTAATAGATTTTCAATGATGAATCATCATTCCTCGCATCAACATTATAATAGGCAACATTTCAAAAAGACGGAAGAAGCTATTTCCGAAGAAGAAGGCAATTTTGACTTGGCACGTGTTGATTCCAACATGAGCACAACAACTACCACGAACAGTACTGAAAACAACAATGGCTCCACTCCGAGCCAACATTTACAAGTGAAAATTGATCATAACCATGATGAGGAACTGCCGATACATGAAAAAGACCAATCCATCAACTCCTCTCCAATACCCAACTCTCCCACAAACTCACCGACACAACCACCTCTACCAACGCCTCTACCATGGGCGAAATTACTTGTAGTATTCTTTATGTATTTATGCGACAGTTTGAGTATGACTTCATTGTTTCCATACATTTCTTTCATGATTGCAGATTTTCAATTAACAGAAAATCCAACGGGTATGTTGTTATCATCTTGTTGACATGAGGATGCAAATTAATTATAACAACTCATTCATACATGTCAATAGAATATGGATATTATGTGGGATTAGTTGCATCTTCGTACTTTCTCTCACAATTTATTTGCAGTTTCATTTGGGGATATTTATCAGATGTTGTGGGAAGGAGGCCAGGTAAGTATTGTTGAGCGAGAGAAACAGTTTAATTTGGTTGGAACCTCACTTTTTAGTGTTACTTTGTGGAGTTTTTTGTGGTGCCTTTTGTGTGATGGCATTTGGTTTTTCCAAATGGTTTTGGTGGGCATGTATTTGCAGATTTATGTTTGGATTATTGAATGGGTAAGTTCAATATATTTGTAAATTGGAAAACAGTGTGATTGCGATCGTGCTTAATACATAATAATTTAACATTTGCAGCAATCTTGGAGTTACAAAGAGCTATCTGGGAGAAATCACAGACAGTACCAATCAAACTCGAGCGTTTGCTCTGACAAGCATTACGTTTGGTATTTCATCCGTGTTGGGTCCTTTAGGTAAGTATATAATTCATCTCTTTTTAAAATTTTAGAACTTAAATCTGTGATAACCTTATTTTCACATTTTGCATGATCCAACAGTGGGAGGAGTTTTCTCTCGGCCTCACGCTCAATATCCTCGATTTATGGAACTATTTCCTGAATGGATTCAAAATATTTCTCGAATATTTCCTTACATTCTTCCTAACTTTATAATTTCCACTCTTGCATTTACTGGATTTGTCATTGGATATTTTCGACTGCAAGAGACAAACAAATCTGGATGGTATTATCGAAAATTTTGCAAAACTGAACCAGTGACAGATAATGACGGCATGGAACTGACAGAAATGAAAATCTCAACAGCAAATGGTTCCAAAAACGAAGAAGAGGATTCTCGAATGACTTCTCCTCCTTCAATGAGTATGTCACGTGTGAATTTATTATCGGGGGATGGCAACCAAGAAAATGCTTCGATCAATGCCAACGAAGATTTTGAAGAAGAGACAGCATTACAGCCACGTAATACCTTATTCCAGAGGATCAAACAACGAATCAAGTTGATTTTCAGTAATGAAATGTTATCTACAGCAGCACCACTTACGACGTGTACTTTGTACATGCTTCTTGGTGCGAAACAAGTCATGTTCGATGAGTGCCTTCCTTTACTTGCAGTCATGCCAATCGACAAGGGAGGAATGGGAATGTCTTCCTACCAATTAGGATGTAAGTGATTTATTTTAACATGGTCCAATCGTGAAACTTCTTTTCATGCACCATTTATATCGTATGAACCATTTCACTTTCAATGATGGCACCAAATATAATTTCCAAAGTGGTAGGAGGCTTTTTAGGATTTATTATAATTTTTCATCAAGTGTTTATTGCTCATCATGTCATCAAGAGATTTTCAGCCTTATACTGTTATAGAGCGAGCTTGTTCGCAGATGTGATTTTAAGCTTGATCACACCAGAAATTATTTGGCTCGTTGTGGATGACAATTCACCCGCTTGGAGAGTTATTTTATTTTGGATTACCTTAATTCTGTTACTTTTATTGAGACAAGTGGCAAATGGTTATTCCTTCTTGGGAACTTTCTTATTTACAAACAATAGGTAAGTATTGAATCATATTCTTGAATCGTTCTATTCTTGAACTTTTCACAGTGTTTCAAAAAAGAATTATGGAAAATTGAATGGTACAGCACAATCCATGGTGGCACTGTCTAGAATGATCTCTCCTGTTGTAGGTGGAGCCATTTTCGCAATTTCAGTTTCCTCGTCATTTGTTTTAGGCCATCGTGTGATTTTCTACATTATTGCTGGAACTAGTGTATTCATGTTTGTGTTTTCTTTTGTTCTCAACGCAAAAATCAACAAGCCCAAGGAAGACTCAATCCATTCTTCTTCTTCTTCTACTAACAATACTACCAATACCGTTTCAGAAGAGAAGTGAGAACAGTACTATGTAGTGTACATCCAATAAAAGATGTGTGATTCAAAGGAGTCAGAAACCCTTAACTCAGTTTCCAAATTCGAAGAAAAAAAAACGAAAAAAGACATCTTTCAGTGAATCGATCAAAGAACGTCCGACAGACACAATCGTCGTACTGACACGCGAAAGTCAAACATCTTAATTTATTATCACAAACAAAAAACATCTGTGACCTGAGCTTGTCATTATGATGCGCATGTCCCCTTGCCATCACAGCAAGCTTGCGTCATTATTGACTCTCGTATTGCTTGTTGCAGTTCTACACTTGACTCGAGTGGCCTCTCAACCTGTCATTCCCACAGAACCTACCGAAGTTGACACTGCAAAACCTGATACACTTCCTCCATTTATCAGACCGTACGCTGCACAATTGAATCAACTCTTCACCTCCTACTGTTCAAAAGCATCAAACCAATATTTGTACAATGTCAAGAATTTATATTTGAGTTGTTTTGATTACAGTGATGACATGAATACTGTCATGTATACCGTGAATTCCTTATCGAGTGTGAATTTAAACAAACCCAATGATGATCGACCTGCTGTCACAGATTGGTACACATTCAACGGCATCAAGAAGACCATTCCAGGAACATCCTTCAAACCCTATGGATTATTTTCGTATGATCGTGGTCACTTGGTTGCGAATAATGATTTTCGAAGTGCTGAAGATAAAAAGTATACATTTATTGTGATTAACAAGGCTGCTCAGAATTCGAATGTGAATCGAGGAATTTGGAGACATGTTGAACATTCTTTAAGAAATGCAATTATGGATGTTGCTGCTGCCAAGAAGAAGACCATCGAGGCCATTGTAGTGACTCGACCACTCTATGACAAGACCAACAATGCTTTATCGACAACCAACAAGGATGTCGTCTCTCCTCCCAACGTTCAAATTCCCATGTCTTTTAACAAATTTGTCATGGTCATCTATGATGGAGGTATTAAGGAAGTGTTTTGTTTACAAGTCACCAATCGAGACAATGTCGATTATAAAACAGACAAACAACGATTAGAAATTGCTTCCTCTGTGACCAAGGACTATGCCAATTGTGCTGCTGGCTTGAAAGATGGAATCAGTTTGGGTTCTGGACCATTTGCAACAGGAGATGTCTATAATCAAGTTGTGGAGCAAATGAAGAAATTCACAAGTGGATGGGTGAATCCATGTGGTTTTGGAAAGGTTGATCCAGTGGAGTTTATTTTGGAAAAGAATAGTCTTACAACTTCTGAGTGGAGATTGAACATTATGAATTTCAAGCCATGCTCGAATTCTGCCAAATGTCATCCACGTGTCAAGTCCATGACTTACAAACAAAACAATCATGCATCACTCAAAGGTAAAGAGATGCAGCATACAGATGATGCTATTCGTAACAAAATCATTTCCATTTTGGATAACAAAGTCACTGCTGGAGATGTGTTGAGAATGTTTCGAGAGACAGACGACTCGTCATTTGTGTCACGTTTAAATCCATCTTCGAGATATCAAGGAACCATTCAATACTTTTGTGAATATCGAAAGAATGCTCAATTCGTTCCACCCAAATATGTCTACAGCAAAACAGTTCAGGGTAAAAAAGATCCTGAACGACAAGTGACGTTTGTTGGTGTTAAGAAAGCAAGACCAGTCTATTCCAATGTCAATAAGGGTAAGAAATCAAAACAACAACAACAACAAGAACCTGACCCATCTCCTACTCCATCAACACCACCTTCCTCACCAGGACCTAAAAATGCTGTGGCATCTCCACCATCCCCAGCAAAGAACAATTCCCCAGCAAAGAACATCCTCCCAGCCACGAAGGTTGGAGGAATGAGAGTGACATCTCCAAGGAAGGGCAAAAAAGTGTAAATCGTTTTCCATCAACAATAATGTTTGGTTGTTTTCAAACTTTGAAAGCGAGTTTTTTATAATAAATTAAACGGTTGTGTCTGAATAAACGATCACTTCTGAATGCTTGAGAATGGTTGTCAATCGTGAAATGCAATCAACAGGTGCATAATCCAATGTGACATTTTCCAAAGTACTTCGAAAGACAGAACATTCAAGGTCGTCAAGAAATTCTTCAAAATTCTCTGTATCAATGAATGGCTCACAAAGTGTAAGGCAGATACATCTAAGGTTTTTTGTTTGCCAATTTGCTATTGCTTTCAATCCTTCTACTGTAATACGTGATGTTGTTGAAGGTATTAACAAGTGGGACATTTTTTGTGTGTATGGATGACACACAAGTTGTTTGATCGTCTGATCATCCATTGTATCTAAGGGTACTTCAATTTTTTGCATTTCACACCGGAGTCGCTTAATAAAGTTGGAAAAAGTTGAAATTTTCACAGGCCCATACGTTTCACCCTGAGAAAACGCCAAGCTGTGAAGATTTGCAAACACCGAAGATTCTGTAATAAAATCGAGGGCAGTGTTGAAATTAATTTTTCCAATGACATCAAAAACACGAAGATCAGCATTGGAGTTTGCAATGGTTCTGATAGACTCACAAGTTAAGCTGGGACAATCTAATGTTAATTCCGTAATATTTTGAAAATATTTGCCTTGTACGAGGTGTAATGTATCAACGTCTTGCCAATGAAAATTATTTAACACTTGCAAGGTTTTCACGTTTTTCAGTAATTGACCATCCACAACGGCAGGCCAATAACATATTTCATGAAAATAGCTATTGACGGTTATTTTTTCTAGATTTAAAAAGCAGTTGCTTTGAAATAGTGGCTCCAAATACTGATTATGATCATCAACCACAATTTTTAACTCTCTCACATTGGACAGCATATTACTAGTACATAGAGATAGCAATTGACTGGGATCCATACATTCCATTTCTAATTTTCTCAGAAATTGAAATTTTTCAGACTTTAAAAATTGCTTACAATCTTCGGAAATATAACTTGGAATACAAAGATATTCCAAATGTTTGATACTAGAATTCAGTAATTCATTGAAGGTGGACAATTTTGAGAATTGAATTTTCATGGGAACTTGACAAGCACATTGAAAAATGAATTTTGATACTCTCCTCATTGTTAATACATCTCTATTTGGCAAAAATTTAATGATCATCACCCAAACATGTTCATCCAAATACTGATCCACTAATAATGGATCAAATTTCTTTTTGATACGTTTCGGACCATCAAGGAAAGAATTTATGGAACTCTGTTTGAGAGTTCGCTTTTTCATTTGTTTTTATTTTTTTTATTTTCAAAAAATGAAAGCAGTGATTGCTCGCTCTTCATCACGGCTTGCAAAATATTACTTCAAGCAAGCCTGTGGCCACACAACACTATTCAATCAACACTCGTTGATGATTCAAAAAGTCTACGGAGCTAACACATTTCTAAACAAAGAATTTCATATTTCAATTCCGAAAACAAATTCAGATGCCAACGACTCCGAAATAGCCCTAAGAAAGGAATATTATTCTAATAGAATCATTCAATCTATGGATGAGTTACAATTTTGTGAAGCGTCGGAATATGATGAGTGTAATGAAATAATTAGGAGCACAACTCTTAACAATAATCCAGACCCAAGAAGAAAGAATTTGTACATAAATGCGTTGCTACGAAGATGTTTTATTGAAACCTATTATTTAAAAGATTTCCATCAAGCCAAAGAGGATTTAGTTGCAGCTTCAGAGTTATTGATTGATAACGGAAACGCGCTTATGTTTACTTCTCGATTAAACTCAATGATTAATATTGAGATATTTTCACATCAAATTGACCACATTCAAAAACATGGAGGAAATTTCAACGAGCTAATCCAAAATCTAGAGATGAGAGCTCATGAGTACACCAAAATTGGAAGAGTAAAATCTTCAATTCAAGATTTAGATGTATTAATTGAGATTTTGGAAAAACAGTACATAGATCATCCTGAGGACCCAATCAAAATACAGCCTCAATTTGTAAATGCGTATAAGCAAAGAATAGAGCTCTACACAAATATTAAATTGGAAATGGAACGATTATATGACGTATCTTCAGAGATCAAAAAACTCATGAGTGCTGATAGTTCCAAAGACATCATGGAGCACTATTTTAACTCTGTATCCCTGCACGATCGAAGACACAAAATTAATGCCACAAACTTGGACCTCATTTTAGAGTTTGAAAAAAGTTTTGTAAAAGAAGATGCAAGGGAAAAGTATTGGGATGTTTCAAACCCCAAATCGTTCCACAACCAGGTGAAAGATCTGTATGGCGAGGTCATCCCAAAAGTTGTCCAAGTAGTGGCCAAAGATTTAAAAAGAGCGAAAACGTTGGCCAGAGACAAGCAAAGTCACGAACACTTATTTTCAGAATATGAATCTATAATCAAAGATGACGTTAAGAAAATGAGAGATGTGAAGATCACCAAATATATGTGGCTGGGTTTTTTAACAGTAATTTTAACCATAGTACTTTTAGAGCAGCTTGGAATTGTTGTAATTAGAAAAAAGTAAATTTACTTGAACCTTTCCCCTAACAGGTTAACATGAAATTAAATTCTGGTCAAATCTGGCACCTTCTCACTCAGCATGATAGCATCTATCTCTGCATCTGAGAGCTCACGCTTCTTCTCCTTGTAGAAGAGTTCTTCATCCTCATGCAAGTATCCTTCTGGCTTGGATGCCTCTTCCAAACTACGTTAGTTCATTACGAATTGGGTAATAATAAAAATTCAATGAGTTACATTTCATTCCGATACATGCAACATGATAATTAAGTACAATTAAAATCATTATCAATCCACGTTGAATTCACTTACACTTGTTGATATAGAGCATTTAGATATAATTGGTCCACAACAAAAGCATGTCGGAGAGGTGAGTCTTCGACAAGAGTATCCTTCTTTGGATCATAGGCCTCTAATGCTCCATACAGCTGAGCAAGACATTCGTTATTCATAGCCTTCAAAGAATTGTGTACATATTCCTTTGGTTGTTGAAGTGCCTTGGCAACAGCAACAACAATAAAATTATTCAATCTATTTCTTGGTAAATTTGAAATAGACTCATCAATCACTACTCTATTCACTGTACCCAATCCGTTCACGTATGCGGTAACATTTGGAGTTGATGATGATTCATTTCCGAAGGTACGTCCAATAAATTCTTTATTTCTCAATTCCAATTGTATTCTACGTTTAGTCATTTCCATAAAGTGTGTAATATCTTGTCCTTGTTGAGGCGTGAGCCTGTGTCCTCTCACCAAAAATCCAATCAACGTTTGCAAGGCACTCTTTGGTGCTGCCTTGGTTTTGAGAAGCGATGCAATTTTCATTTTTTGTTTTACGAAAAACTATTTTGAATTTTATCTAAATCATTTATTATCATAATAACAACTAGACAAAATTCATTGGTGTATTATTGTCATGGTAATAACCCTATCTCTTCCGTAATAATTTAATGTGCCTAACGAGATTTAGTTTCACAATAGGAACAATGAACTAGCCATCTCGTGTGTTCTTTCACAATAAAAAATGTCATCATCAAAAACATCAAATCCACCTGATCGATTCAAACTGGCCGTTGTAGGCACAGGTGCAGTCGGAAAGAGTGCCATCACGTACGTGTTCTTCTTTTTCATTGTTGTATAGTACTTGACAACTTCATATTTAGAATTCAATTCACACAAAACATTTTTGATACCGACGAAGTTTATGATCCAACTATTGAAGATGCATATTATGTTAAGAGAATGATTGATGGTGTGAGTTGTGAATTGGAAATTGTAGATACTGCTGGTAAGAATTAGATTTTGATTTTTCAAAAAAATTTAGTAAACACCTGTCACTATGGACAATATTTCACATACGGAATAGGCCAAGACGATTATGTAGCTCTTAGAGACACATATATGAAATCATGCTATGGATTTGCTCTCGTTTTTGATTTAACTTCACAAACCACGCTTGAAGAATTAAAGATTTTTGTTGAACAAATTAATAGAATTAAAATGGAGGAAAACAAACCAGTGAATGGAAACTATTTCCCAGCTGTATTACTAGGAAACAAATGCGATTTAAATTATTCATTGACTGAAAAAGAAGTCACAAATTACATGAAAAAAGAATTAGGAATTCACGTTCCAGTACTTTTCACATCTGCCAAAACCAGAACTAATATTGAAGAGGCATTTGAAGTATTGATCAAAGAGATGAGAATTTTCAGAGATGCTCAATCTGGAAAACCACCAAAGAAAGAGTCAGGAGGATTATTTGGAAGCATTTCTTCTCATAAGGATTCTGATCGAGATTTACAAGCTTTCAAAGAACAAGAATAATTATACATGTGATTACTGTCATATTCTGCAAGTAAATTCTGCAATTCTGATTGCTTGAACATGACCTTTTTTTTTGTGACTTGTTCATGATTTGAATACACTTCGATTTGTACAAATGGTGTTTGTGATTTCGTTCAATTGTTTTCTTAATTTTGTTGTTTAAGGACTTGAAACGTATGGATGAACTGTTTACAAAAAACTATTTTCAATCTCACGAAAAAAAAAATGTCAAAACGTTCGACGACACGTTATCAACACTTACCTCCAGAAATCATTTTCCACATTCTGAGCTTTGTCATCAAAGATCAAGCCAACTCAGAAGCAACTATATTGCGTTGCATGCGTTGGAGACTACTCGGTAGAGAATGTTGTCGAATCATTAAAGAGCAAGTCAGAGAGTTGGATGTTTCATCATTATTTTCGAAATATTTACAACCTACTGCAAGTCCATTACAACAACAGACGAAAAAGGAAATGATGGATTTATTGAAACATCAATTCTTGGATCGATTGGATACAAAGCAAAATTCAGAGTTGGAGAAGAGACAGCAACATGTGGTCAAATATTTGACAAATATTGTGGAGTGTTTTCCCAATCTTGAAGTGTTGAATCTGGATTACTGTGAGAGTTTGAATGATGATGTTTTGCAAATTCTATTGTATGGTCTTCCTAAATTGAGAGAAATTTCACTATTGAAATGTTACAATATTTCAAAATTTCATTGTCCTCAATTCAACTTTTCCAAGATCTCAGTAGAGAGAAATGTTTCCTTACGATGTCACATCTTGCGTCAAATAACCCTCTGTGAGATTGAAGACACTTCACTTCTCCATGTAAATCAATCATTCAAAATTTATGTCAAGAATTTGTTGGGAAAAACTTTGGAATTATTTGTGACAAGTCAAGACACCATCCAAGATTTGAAACGACTCTATGCTGCTATCACAGAAATCCCACCAGAGAGTCAGAGATTCATTTTCGCTGGTAAGAGATTATGTGATGATCACACCATGGAAGATTACAATATTCAGAAAGAGAGTACTTTACATGTCGTTCTGAGATTGAGAGGAGGTCAAGCTTCAATGACATCGATCTCTGAACAATATCCATCCATAATGTCCTCCTCTCGAGGTGAGAATGTGTTCCATTCCTTGTTTTGTCACACTGAAAAAGTAGAAATGAGCTCAAGCAATGGAACAATGAACTCCATCCGACACGTATTCGGATCTGCTCCTTATCATGTGTATGAGGTTGAAAGAATACTGGATGAAGAAACATGTTGTATGATAGTGAACCATCTGGTTCAAGGAAAGCATGAACATCCAGAGCAAGATTACAAAATTAGATCGAGTGAACTATTACAACATTTGCAAACTCGCATTGAAAAGAATTTCATTCCAGAAATCAATTCAAGAGAACTCTTCGAAAAGCCACTACATCGAATTTCAGACTTGTTTGTTGTTCATTATAGTCCTGAACAAGATGATGATCTTGTTTTACACATTGATGATTCGGTGGTAACACTAAATATTTGTGTGGAAAGTGTGAATTGCATTGGGAACGAAATTGAATTTCTCAATATCGACGAATCCCATGAATTTAATAACATGGATTGGGGAAAGGAGTTGGATTTGTTCCATCATTCTCTCGAAAACCAACAAGAACGAACCAACACCGTTTCAGAAAATTCCATCATGCCAAATTCCCACTCTCGTCTCGAATCATTCCTTAATCAACAAGACGCCACCAGAGAGTTGCAATTTCATCGGGTGATACCAAAGAAAGGAAATGCCTTGTTTCATCTTGGAAGACATCCTCATCAGACGATGAGAATTCATGGAGGTGAACGATTTAACATTGTGTGTTGGATGGAATAATACGTGTGTGTGAACTCTTAATTGTAACCTCAATATTGTAAAATTATTAAACTTCAAGTAATTACTTTCTCTTGAGAATCAATTCTCGGACGATCTGAATGATGTAAGCATTTTAAGAGATCGTTGCTTGAAATGCTCAATAATTCCCTCAATTCGAGGTGTTACTAACTGTTGCAGTTCGAGTTGTTCACAAATCTCTAAAATTCGAGAAAAGTTAAAAGCAAAAAAGCACTTCTCCATTTCTTCAAAGCACTGAGAGGCTTCTGACATGCCTGTTTCTAAACTATATAGTTTGATTGGATTGAACTTTCCCTTGATATAGGAACAATCTACAAAATAGCAAATCATCTGATTTTTGACTTTTGCATGAGTAGCCTCTCCCATTAATATTTGAGTCTTATATTTACAATTTAACTTCTCCAAAGCAGAGGCAACATTCAAACAATCTCCAATCACTGTGAAATTCACTCGAGAATTTAAACTTCCAATATTTCCAGAAAGGAATTCTCCACTATTCACAGAAAAAGCACAAGAGAGCTTTGGATAATGTAGCCGTCTCCATTTGGAATTGAGAATTTGCAAACGGTCACGAATTTGCAGGGCCGTCTTGGAAGCCCGTATTTCATGATTGTCCTCGAGTACTGAGTGATCTCTATTTACTTCATTCCAAACTGCAACGATGCGATCTCCCAAATATTTATCTATCACTCCCTTATTTCGTTCAACAATTTCACTAATTTCTGTAAAGAGTTCTGAACTTTGTGAAATGAAATTCACACGATTCGTGGTTTCTGCTAATAACGAAAATCCGTAAATATTCATAATCATGACAGACATGTATCGTGTGGTGAACACCTTGTCATTTCCTTCACACAATTGTTGAGCTACAATCTCTGGTACGTATTTAGAGAAAATTTCCAACCCAAATCTCATGATGTTTAAACTTTGTTGCATTTGTCGAATGTCATGCAAGAACGAAAACGAAGAGGTTGAAGAGTTGATGGTTATCCTCGTTTTGTCCTCCGTTTTCCATTTCGATTTGAAATCCACTAACTCTTTCAATTGTCTTTTGATTCCTCTGAGAGCCATTTGTATACATTGAACCACAGTAATCAAAATCACAAGTCCCAAACACAACACTCCTGCAAAAATCACTACCGAAGAAATACTACTCTGAAACACCTCTTCCACAAACAATCGTTGAGGAACAGCAATGACAGATCCCCAATTAAGACCATAAGGATCCGTGACGGTAAATAAAAAGACGTCTAAACTCGTGTCTGTACTCTGAAATACAAAGCTTCCAGCTTGTTGAATAGCAATTCCTTGTAATCCTTGAACTGTTGATGCGCTTGTTGAGAGAAAAGTTTTTCTCCAATCACTAATTTGTTGTAAAAACCCTTTCGCAATAGTTTCGTTGACCAATTGTTCGATAATAATTGGATCATTGTGTTGTTGTGAGTTCATACCACTCAGGAATTTGGTTGCAGCCACAAGGTGACCTTCAGAATTGATAATAAAAGACGCTGCAACACCTGCTCGGATAGCAGATTGTGTCAAAATGTCTGAAATATTTTTCACATTCAGTTGAATTCCAATAACTCCATATAAATGATCGGGAATTCTTGGTGCCGTGACATTCCATGCAATGACTTGATTCGTATAATTTTCTACAAGATTCGTTGTTTCATTGGTAATATAAATAGGAATACAAGCAGTAATCGAAGGAATTCCATTGGTTGCCTTAAAGAATGGACTCCACATAATTTTTGATGGATTGGTTAAATTTTTCACAAACAGAGAATACCAAGGTCGTGATTTCATATCCACAGAAGTCTTTACATGCCTTAGTAAATTTTCAGAATTCAACACTTGATCCAAACGATCAAAAACCACTCTATATTCGTACAAATCTCGAACCAAGCTTGTAGAATTGGATGGTGCTTTCATCACTCGACGAGCATAGAGTTTCTCAGCACCAACAACACTCTGATCAAAACGAGCAAAATACGAAATTTGAATCGGTAATTTGTACAAGTATAATTGTTGTAAATTGGCAAAGATTTTGATCCAACTCAAATCATCGTTTAAATTCAAATCTGGTAATTGATATAATACTTGATTCACGGCAAATGAAGTGGTTTTGATCAATTCGCTTAATTGATGATCAACGACGAGACTCATTTGAATTTTTCGTTTGGCACTCGATCGTTGGACCATATCTTCTCCAGTCGTATAGAGAAGTATGAATGCTGTTTCAATCATTGAATCAAATTTGGTAATATTGTAATTCAATCCATAAAAGAGAAAATATACTCACATGATAACCATCCAAATAATCCCTGTAATAAAAACAACAACAAAATGACATTCATAATGGCAATACAGCGAGAAGGCCATCGTCGGAATATCAACTTTTTGATTCGCTTCATGAAAAGTTCATTGGTGTGTTGTTTGTGGTTCTTTGGTAAATGATCTTTGACCGTTTGTTTTGAAGAAGGATTTGTAGTGGTGTTAACTGCATGAGGAACTACTTCTAAATGTCCTGCCCAGGAAGGCTGAACTGTTTGTGAGACATTTTGTTTGGAATGGAAGGAAGATGCAACCTTCTCTTGTTCGGAGAAGAGATGAAACGATGATGATTGATCATGTTGTAGTTGTGACGATGAACCAACTGTGATCATGGATGTTGTTGATCGTTCGACATCTATACACTCGTTTTCCTGATCCAGTTGACTTAACATTTTTTAGGAACAGCGACGTTTTTGTGCAGTTGTGGACCGCAGAGTTCACTAGTGGTGATCATTCCGTTCATCACTTTGCCTCAAGGGACTTCTGCGCAAAGAGCAAATAAGACAATTTTTTCGCCACGATTTTCCCCAAGCCATCTTTACAAGCAAAGGCTTGAATATTTGGGCCAAGTATTTGAAAAAATTGACCTTATCGACATGCCCGATTTGAAACGAAAGAAAGAGAGTCCTTGTACACCTGTAATGAAGTCCAAGGCTTCCCCAGGTACCAATACCGCAACTCCTCCTTCATCTAGACCTAACTGTGAGCGTGAAACCATTTCATCGGCCTCTAAGAAGGTTGTTCCAAAAGGAGGTTCTTCGGAAAAACGTCCATAGAAGAGAGTTGCTCGTCAAAGAAAGAAAATACCTCTGGTTCAACTTGAAACTTACAACTCGACCTTATCAACCTACTTAGAGAGTCCAACTTTTTGGACGACGAAGGACAGAAGATCTCAATGTTTGAATGTATGATAAATACTTCGAATGACGACATGGTAAAATTACAATGCCTCAGTACGATGAAAGGAGTATTCCTGACTCGTATGATCAAGAACAAAAAGATGTTGCCCTTTTGATTCTGGACGCTTTTGACTGGAAACGAATGGGGTTGCCTTTTAGATTTAGTTCAAATGTCTTTACTGAACTAGAACAAGCTTACAAGGTGGTTCACATCGATGTAAGAGATGTGATGAATGCTGCCCAAAACAACAATAGCTCTCAGTTACAGGTGTTTAAAACTTTTGACATGACTCAAAGAGAAGATGTTTATAAATTGTTCAGTGTGCTTTACACTTTCGTTAGATATACAAAAGTAACTAAGGTCTAAGCACTGTCACATTGTTGTTCGCTACTGAGATTGTTCTTCTTTCTCGTCTAGCTCATGATATCTACGTCTGACTGCCTTATTGTACATGACATTGACTCCCTTCTTTCCAAGTTTTTTAAGAAGCGGTTCAATGGTTAACAAATATCTTACAGGCGTCTTTAAAAATTTTTTCATTACTTGGTGTCCGACCAGTCAAACTAAGCAGCAGCCCTCCGAAGAGTGAACACTTCCTGATACATAGTTGGTAACCATGCCAAGCGTTCTTGAAAGAGGCGACTATAATCTCTCTTTCTTTTAGGAACGTTAAAATTTTGATCAATCACTAAATCCAAACAACAGTTTCTAAACTGCTTCCATGATTCTGGATACAAGTGAGACCTGAGTTTATGTTCTTCTTTGAAACGTTTTTCATCAGCAATGCAAAGATAATACAAGTATTTTATGCAATCGGGTACGCGTTTACGGTACTGCTGATGTTCAGTTTTAAAAGGTAGCTCATCTTGAGGAAACGCTTTCAAGAAGGCATTCACCAAATCTCTACTTTCTTTAGGAGGGGAGGGTTCAGATTTTTTAAGGTTTGGATATGAGGGAAGTGAAGTGTTGTTGTTACACATTTTTTATGAGAATGCTTGAAGAATCAAAGTTGAGCCAGATAAAAATTTATTGAGGTTAAAAAACTTGGATATCAGGCCAGTTGTTTTCAACAACTGGGAAGTTCCTTATTGCATCCCAGTTGAGGCCGAGGAATGGACATTGAAAACGCAACAGTACAGGCAGTGGTAAGCTTCGACACTGATACAAAAAAAATGACGACTCGTCTGCCCTCTCTTCACGCAATGATTGATGAAGGTAGTAGTATTGTGGAAGAAGGTAGCAGTAATTCGGAGGAGGATAATTTAAATCCTCACACTCTCCTGAGCATTACCAGTGAAATTATCGAATATTTATTAAAAATTGATCGGCATCAAGAGACAGTGACTTCTAACGAAAAATTACATCATCAAGCGGAAGATGAATCAATTGTAAATAATTCTGAAAATAGCTCAAAGAAAATTAAATTACAGGATGATCATAATGATGCGATATTGCCTCCATTACAGGTTGCTTCGTTATGGGATTCAGTTCGCAACGAAGAAATGGAACGGAAAATATTACATTGTGTACTAACGGTTTTAACTTCCGATGGATTGGAGAATGTAGACGAGGCTTCCGATTTTATTGAACTCTTATTTAATGTTTTCACTACAAATTCTTCACTTACAATTGATTATCATATTGCCCTGCTTCAGGAATCAATTGAAGTAATTTTTATGTACTATACCTCGCTGATAGACTCTGTTGGAAGTAGTACAACACCTGACACAGTTGAAATGTTTGAAAACGTGATGATTTCTAACGTACTGAAATATTTAATAACTATCTTAGGTAGAGTGGGAAAGCATTTGACCACCTTTAATAGATATCAAAAAGGAGATTCTTGTGCTGCATATATATTTTATTATTGTGAGGGAATTCAACTTTTAGACAAGTATATGCTCAAGTTTATTCCCAATCACAAGTTATTGAATGACCTCAAGGAGCAAATTCTTAGCTTTACACATATATTGTACGATTTGATGGTTCCTATAGACATTGATGTTGAACTTGATTTTATAAGAAAACTCTCAACGACCCTTTTAGATACACTATCCTACATCCCATTTGTAAAACAAACTGTATATTTTGATGTTTACATGCTCAGCGAGGAATTGAAGTCTCATATCAATTTGAAAAAGGTTTATCTTGCATGCTTATTAATAGGAACTTTTCGATTTCAGCACTATGAATTTATTGTGTCCTCATGTATCGATCATGGCAACCAGCTTATCAGAGCCATTGCCGTATGGTCTTATGGCAATATTTGCGACAACATTGAAAGTTGTATTTCAAGAATGCAGAAGAAGCTGGTAAGCGAACAAAGCGCTGTTGTAAAAGTGGCCATAATTAAGTTTCTGTCAACCTACATTTCAAAATCATGTGGTTTACCGAATGACTTTTATGACAATTTGTTTCCCTCAATTTTTACCTCAGTCTGCCATGATTTAGAAAAGCAGCAGGTATGTTTTAACCGGTTGTTCAATGCTCTTCTTACAATAGCGCATTGAAATAGCACTACTCTCTAACCAAGACATGGTACCTAATTCAGCAGATTATTCAAAAGTCTGCACCCTCTCGCCACATTGGTCATTTACTTTCTGGTATATTTAATTTATTAGAAAGCTCTATGAGATTGCAGTGTACAACTGGCACCGAAATAGGAAATGTAAATAATAGCTTTAAGGAAGTACATGCAAAATTTTTTAAAATGCTGAGCGAAAAAAGGATACTTTCCCTTTTTACCAATGATGAAATTGCAGTCATCAAAGACTCTGCCTTTGTAGCCATTAAGAGAATTGTTTTTTCCAACTCGTCTTCATTTGATCAAATACTATTGAATAATTATGTAGATGTAATTTGCGAACTCATGGACAGGGACACGATCCAGACTATGATTACTTCACATCATGTGTTAGTGACTGCACTTTTGAGAAGCATTTCTTTTAAAAAGAGAGCAGGCCATTCATTCTTTTCCTTTGTCTGTCGACTGGGAGTATATTTGAAATCATTTCTGAAACTACCCGAGATTGTGAATATTCTAGTTCAAGACATGATTCAACGAGTTCCTTCTCTTGTAGAATCATTTACAACCATTGACGACACTCTCTCTTTACTATTTTTACTTAATAGCATTGCAGAACTGGTCAAAGAATATGGCCCTCTCATTCAAGAACAAGAATCGCTCAGGTTACAATTATCGTCTTCAATTCAAGCAAATATTATTCCAGCAGTCCAAAGCAAAAGCGTCATTATGAACAGTTATCGATCTTCAGAAAAGTCCATTGATGTATTTATGATCATCAAGTCCACGTTCTGTAACATTATTTCCAAAATTTATTGTTACTTTGACCCACAACTGGTGATTAATAATTTTAGCAAAACTCGCGAAACTTTTTTATACTTTCCAGAAAATCCTCAATTAAGGATGGGACTAGAGCAATTGGAATATTTTACGACGTTTATTGGTGTGTTGGAGAGCATTACCAATGTTGAAAACACGAATCTGGATGTAACCTTGTTGCAAAATCCTTTATTGTTGGAGATGGCCATTAGTATTTTGAAACGACTAAAACATGCCGTGGATTCTTTTTATTTTAGAGCTGAACTGAATGTGGTTTACGAAGGGGAAGCAATGACGGCAGAGTGGAAGCAGCTCATGATTAAGGCTAACCGATTGAGGTACATCCTCGAAACCCAAGCTAGAGATTTGGATATTGCTTAATAATAATTTAGGGTCTGAATAATTTATTGTTGTGGTTGTTGAGGAGTTTCTGAAGGTTGTTGAGTCTTCTCATTGACATACACAAGAACAGCATCGTTGTCTTTCAATTTGACGTCATTAAAGAAGAAGTCGTCAATCTCGACTTTGAATGGGTTATTGGCACGATCTGTAGTACTGCAATAGGCACAATCAAAGGAATAAATGTCACCCTTCTTTTGTGTGAGCCTTTCCATCATCATTGTCTTGAACTCTTCAACGCTCTCAGGACATTTGTGAGGAACCATCTTGGTTTGATAAACTGTGTCTTCTTGTCCACCAGCACGTTTCACCGAGTATGAAACACACAAAGAGATTGTTGATGATTGAGGAAGGGTTGGTTGTGAAATAGTATCTTCCTTCTTCAAACTGCTTGCTGGTGAGGATGATACAATTCCACCATTAGCAGCGCTGACTGGAGTCGAAGCTTTAGCTTTTCTTCCTCTCTTAGAAGGGGTGGTTTGTGTTACGATTCCTGCAGTGGATGTGGTACTTCCTGAAGGTGTAGGAACAGGTGGTAATTCCTTTTTCGCCTTGGTAGCTCTCTTCACCTTCTTCTTTTGTGGAGTGGTTCCATCTTCTGTCTTGGCTTCAGCACCATTTTCGTCTAATTGTTCTCCGACTTTTCTCTTCACTTTTCTCTTAGATGGGGTGCTTAGTGCTGCTGCAGCTGCTTGATCTTCAGCAGAGAGAGTGGTCATGGCAAGTGTTGGAGTGGAAGATTCAGAGGATGATTCAAGCTTTGGTGAAGTTTTCACACCATCCTTAAGCTTTGGTGGATTTTTCAAACCTTCTCTCTTGTTGACGGCACGACTGTAAGATGTTAAAATAAATCAAAATGATTTACAAAATACGATTATTACTTACTTTTTGAATGGATCATATTGTCCACGAGCAAATCTCCATTGCTTGTTGTAACATGTTGAACACACGCTCAATGACTCTCCATCCTTTGGTTTTGGAATTTGATCAGCTTGCTGTGGAAATGTGTCACAATAAGTCTTGTAATTACCAGTATTAATCGTATAATTCTTCTTAAAGTTGACTTGAAGGTTGCTTCTCTTACAAACAACGCAATACATGAGTTCATCTTCAGAAATTTCCTCAGGTTCAGCATTCTCTACGAATTTGACATCACCTGATGGCATTGGACTTGTTCCAACGCTTCTTCTTCCTCTCTTTTTACGTTGTTGTGGTACAACACCTTCATCTTCATCATCATGCTCAGCAACATAATCATCATCGTCGTGATGTTCGAGTGCTCCTGCATCTGCAAAATCTTCATCTTCCATCATATCTTCTTGATGGGTTGAGGGATTCGTTGCGGATTGAGCAATTCCTGCAGCAGAACTAGTCGATGATGATGCTGCTGCTGCTCGTGCTCTGGCAGCACCTCTTTTCACTGCTGATGTTTTACCCCTTACTTTGGGAGTGGTACTTCCTTTCCTTCTCGTGGAAGTTGTGTTCATGTCTCTATTGGTGGACAAGTCACTCTCGGGAGGTGTTTGTTTGTTCATGGCAGGTGATGCAGAAGCAATTTTCAACAAGTGTTGTTGAGGTGGAAGAGAACTCACGTGGTCTCCTTCTCCTTCATCACTGTCTTCTTCTCTGAGGAGTGTGAATAATTCATTCACTCGATTGGCTGCGGGATTGCTCGTGAAATCATCTTCATCATTGTCACTATCGCTCACATGATCCACTACGGAAGCTGGAGTGGGAAAGGATGATGAATATTTTTGGAATTGAGTGCAATGTGTGAAATGGTGCGTGTCATTGGAAATATTTCAAAATGATGGTCATCGGCATCACATGATGATTTGGATTCAATGAAATCGTCGTATGGATGAATACAATAGGATCACATCATCGAGAAGCATTGGATACCACCAAAAATGTCAGTTGTCATCATCATCATCATTAAGGATATCAGCACGCGGAGCATGATAATATTCAAAAGGCGGGTCCACATGAAACAAGGGTGAATCATCACACATATTGTATTTACATTCAAATATATTAATATAAGAATACATAAATATATCCACAACAAATACAACACTTACCATTTTGTTGTTCGTGATGGTGAGCAAGAGCTGCAATTCCCATTAGACCTTCGTGATGATCGTCATGACTCATCGTTGAACCAGGTCCTACGTTCTCAAAACATGATAAGGCTTGATCGACAAGCCATGATTCTGAATTGTTTTTATGTGTTATTGCTTGTTGTGAGGTCGTAGTCGTCGTGGTGGTGGTGGTGGATGAAGCCAACATCGGATGTTGCTGGTGGCTTGATGATGCGCTTAACTCTTGAGGTGAGGATGATGTGGATGAACCATTAATCATCTGCAAGAGGCATTATGGAATCGAAAGGATCATCCGAAAATCATTCGGGAACGAACTCGTGAGATTTATACGCGAACAGTACGAGTACTACTTACTTGACTACTGTTCGTTACGGCAGTTACTGAAGGTAATGTTCGAATAGGCACTTGGGCGGTTGCTGCCGTGGAGTGGTTGCTGCTCGTGCTGCTGCTGATGGTGTTGGTGCTCATTTTTTGATGCTTATTGGTTTGGTAAGGTTTTTTTCAAAGTGATGTCTGACAGTGAGAGCAGAGCAGCGAGGTGTAAGCGATTCTCTCGGGTGGTTGGCTTCAAGTTTGTTGAGGTGAGGAATAGTGGTGTTTTTTTGTTGATGAGGACTCGTTGAGGTTGAGGGGTGACGTGTGGCGGTGCGTGATTTGAGGTAGTGTGGATGGGTGCATGGTTGATGTGATGGCCATTGCCAAATGTGAGAAAGAGGAAGACCAACAACCACAATGCACACACACGTGCAATAATCCCTCAACAAACTTCATGTCGGGATGATGATGGAGTTTGAGGGTTGTTGAGAATATGTAAGTTCCTTCTTCGATCACATTGTTTTGTCACTCGGACGAACCATGTATTGAGATTATTCGACAAAGTATTTGATTCCGAATATAAGGACTTCGGTAAGAGAATCTTGAGGTGTTGTATTCAAAACAACGATCAATTTAACAATCCAAATAATTCCTCTTCCTCATCACAAAGAGGTTGTGTTTGACCATCATCACGAATTAATAATTTCTCAACAAGTTCCACTCTCCTCATGGATTGAGCTGCTAAAAATTTCTCTAAGATTTAGCGCACAAAAGGAAGGCATCATCGCTCAGCGTTGGAATTATGGGTGATGATGCGCAGCACACACTTTCAACTCTCATCATCAACTGAATACGAGAGTAAATGAGATCACTCTCTTCGTTATAACAAAACCAACGAAGAATGAACTTTACTTAATTAGTTTAGTGAATATTTGGCACACGTTTTTGGTGGGAGTGAAGGGTGTAATAATATTCGGAAGAATCATTCTCTTTATCATCCTATTTCACAACAGGAACCACTATTTGAAGCGTTTTTGTTTTAGAATTCCATTTTGCTTTTGCTTCCTTGTCTTGAATCTCGTGAGGGAAATTAGCAATCAACTTGCTGAAAATATGAGCAAATGCATTGCCGTAATTACAATTTTGTGAAACCCAAGAAGAACACTTACTAATGCTCAGTTTTAACAGTGAATGTGGTTGATGAAAGATCGAGTTCAATTTCCGAAAGATTATTCGTTTTGGGCAGACGTACATTGACACATAGAGTGTCACTGCTTGATGTTGAAGGATCTTTCTCATAGTCAATACCTAAATACGCATCCATTGCTGATACCTTTTGTTGGTAGATAATATCATAGCTAAATGTCATTAGGATTGGCTTGCATCATCGTAATCATTCCTAATCAAGCGTACTTACTCGGGCACTTCTCGTTCGTCCTCAAAGTCTTCTTCCATCTCATCCAATTCTGTATCCGTCCATATTTTGGGATCTAATCTCTGCGCCTTTGTTCCAATCAGCTTATCTACAACCTCAATTTTTGTATTCAACGATGAGCAACGATCGGGATGACACGATGATGAAATTTCCTTCAAAACTCTCTCTTCCTCCAATTGTTTTCGTTTGTTGTATTCTTCCTCTTCTTTCCTGCTCCTCAACTCCTCAGGATTCATCTTTTTACTCAACCCCTCGCTTTCCTCAATCACGTTGTTGAGAAGCTCGAGTTGAGAAGGCACTGGATTTGCTGTCAATTCTGGATCAAACATTTTTTTGTAACAGTTATTTGAATACAACGTCCAGCTAAACGTTGTTCCTTAGCTCAATAACATTGAGATTAGAGGTTAAACGAGAACACAAGGACTGCTTAACTGGTTGACTCTGGAGAGTTGAAAGAAGATCAAACTGAGCTATCGTCATCTCCAAAGTATCAAGGTTCTGCATTCACGACCTTACTTTTTTGTTTTGACTGCACGAACTTGCAGCTATTAATAATGTTAAAAAGAACAAACAAAATGATTTCAGCAACACAAGGTCATCCGTTTGACCAAGATGAACTCAACGCTGAAGAAGTTCATTTCATTCTGTCACACACAAGTGTGGTGAAAACACACAATCAAGAGGAACCATTGAAACATTTCTCTCTCAACCAATTAGAGCATGACAACTCCATGAAATTGGACTACCTCAATTAGAGCATGATCCGATTATTCTCACAACCTGGACTGGATAAATTTCTACCATGCTTGCACATACCTGGCATTGGAACGAGATTTCAACTCTTTCATTCTTTTCTGAATAATGGACAACACGATTTATCTCAACTCTCACCTCATCAAGCCTTCCTTCTATTTGCTAAATATTTAGGAAGAATTCGAACGTACCGAGCATTGGCACTCACCAATGATGAATACAACACAATCATTCAACAAGATTCCATTCATCCCACTGGAAGATTGAAAACTACGAAAGAGAACGTCGAGCAAATGGTCCAACAACACGGAATTTGGAAGATTTGTCATGCCAGGTTGTACATTGGACAACGAATGGTTCAGTACGATCCATCTCTCTCTTTGCATGATCATCCCGAAACAGCCACATGTATTGCAAAGGGATATATGGATTTGCCACATCGGAAAATCTACTTGATGGAGTTACAAATTCCTCTCATTGAAGTTTTAGGTTACAAAGTGAGCGATGTAAGCTTTACACCACAGAGAAGATGGTTCTCCTTTTCAAAGATTTGGTTTGATAGTTTTGATGAGGCCACTGAAAGATATGCATTGTATGAAATTCCATTCTTATCAAAGCGGTTGATGAATGTAAGGATTTTTGAGGATCGAAACGAGATTGAGAAAATTCTTCAACCTTTCAGAGAGATGCAAGAAGCAAAGAAAACCCTTTCTAATGATTATGCACTAGAAGAAGATGATGACATAGAGGATTAATAAATAATTACCTGTTGTTCATTGTTCTTCCCAAAAGAGTTCAAAAAAAATGTCTTTACCCGGGAAGTGGCTCCATAATATTTGGTCAACCATCGTCCTTCGTCCACTCATGTTTGCATTAGAAAAATTGGGTCTGATCAAGAACAAGTCAAATTCTTCAAGTACTTCTTCCGATCGGTATAGCGGAATTGGCTCTGGGGATGAAGGAAAACAAAAGAAGACATTGAAAATTGAATTTCCGATACTTCCTGTGCATCCTCTTCCTAAACTGTATGATGAAAAATCTAAAAGTTATTTTGTTCAAGATTTTGATATTGACACTGATGATCCTAATGATATTTTGAAATTCTTTAATGATTATGGTGTGGTCGTGTTTCGGAATATACTTTCTGACGAACAAATTGAAAATAGTATTCAAGAGGTTTGGGAAGAGCTAGAAGAGAGTGAAAATTTCAAGAAACATGATCCAGAAACTTGGAAGAGAGTTTCTCGGTTAGGTATTCTTGGAGACTCTGTGTATTGGAAGAAAACAGGAATGGAAAATAGGCAAAATGAAAAACTTGTAAGAGCATTTGAACTATTATACGGAAAAAGTAGATCTGAACTATGGACGAGCTTTGATCGAGTTGGAGTATTGACGCCAACTCTCAATATTCCGTGTCCATACTATGACTCCAAATCGTTGCCAAAATCTAGCATTCCTCATGAAATACAGTCTCCAACTAAAACGGTGGACAAGGAACATTTAAGGACAGAGGCTCAGTGGCTACATTGGGATTGTAATCCGTTTTGTGTTCTGGGAGAATTTCCACCAACTATTGAAAGCGAAGAAGAAAATACATCCATTTTGGAACTGAATCCAAATTATTATTTAATTACTGAAAACAATGGAAACCATGGATTATTGCGATTGCAGGGCGTGCTTCAATTAAGCGAGTCAAGAGAAGACGATGGAGGATTCCTCTGCGTTCCTGGATTTCACAATCATGCCAAAGAATACGCAGAGAAATTAACTGCTATTCGTCCTGGCCCCAAATGCACATTCTTAAGCGTATTTAAGGGAGATAACTTGTTGTCACAAACACAAAAGGTACCAGCCAAAGCAGGCTCACTGATTGTATGGAATACATTACTACCTCATGCAAATTATCCAAATCATTCAGACCGATTCAGAATTTGTCAATACATCAAAATGATTCCAAAAAAAGGTAGTGAATCATTCCAAAAGTTAAGAGCTACCAAGATCGAGGAGCATGCACGAGCATACTCATTTGCACCTTCAGAGACTGGCAAACAAGTGTTTGGTTTTGAACTGCTTGACAAGTACAAACAACTGTAATCGTTTTATTTACAACCCATGTACAAATGTAAATTTTGTAAATTAATGTACATTATGAAACCTTAATAATTTACACAATTGTGAACGTATGGCATTTTACACAGTTGTGATTCCCAACAGCTTTTGGAAACCTTCATAGCATAATAACGTAATACCGAACAATGGTGAAATGATTAAAACTCTTGGTAATGTGCCTTTCCAGAGTAACTTGTTAGTGTAGCAGTATTTAGCAGCTTGAATATAGGTCATCCCCTGAGTTCCAGAGCTTCCAGCATATTGCTAAAGTCATGCAACCACAATAAAACAATGATTTAAAAATTAGAAAATTCATACTGTTGAAATGTGTGTAAAAACTTACGAGACGAGTCTTAATGACATCCATTGGTGTTGCTAAAGCAGCTGCGAATGTACCCGCAATAATGGATGACAACAAAACTTTTGGCAATGGAAGATATTCTCGTTGAGATTGAGCTCTATAATAATTCTTGACACGAGCATACATAGAGAAGTAAATCATACTGAATGGCACATCTCTCATCAATGTGGCCGTTAAACCCTTGTACATTCCAGTCAAACCGACTTGTTTGATAAATGCAATGGTTGAGTGATTCTTTCCAGCCATTTGTGCATTAATTTTTAAAAGTTCCATAGGAGTTGTTGCCTGTATAATTGATATTTCCAATGGATCGTGTCACCAGATCATGTTTTTTCAATGTTGTAACTTACCACTACTTGACAAGCACCAGCACTGCCTCCACTGTTTAGCGATTTCACAATATTGACATCATCAAATGGTTATGGTAATCCGATGATTCAAAAAGTTCAAATATGCACATGTTCATCATCACCAGGAATAAATAACGAGTAATAGAGCTCACCATATACTCACCTCAACACTTCAATCCACAATGGCAATTGTTGAATTTGTTGTCCTTGTTGTTTAACAGTATTTCCAACAAATTTACTACTGTAGAAAGATCGGAAGAAATCATTAGCAGCCAACTTGATTGCCTTCTCAGGCATAATTCCAACTAATGGTTTTGGTGCCATAATCATGATTCATCACGACCAAATATCATAGCCTTCAGCAGATGAGCTCAACACATTCCTTGTACATACCCAAGTTTGGAGCAAGTCCACGATATAATGCTCTCAATCCTCCATTATCTGGACGAATGGTATCCCGAATAATTTGTGGGATAGATTGTTGACCCGATGATGATTGAATTTTAGTTTTCAACAGATCCAGAGGAAAAATTGTACAGGCAGCAATGCATCCAGAGGCAGCACCGATCGAGAGGTTTTTAAAGAAGGTCGTTGAACCAGCCGATGATGATGAAGTTGTTGTCATCTTTGAATCAGCAACGGAGGTTTTGGAGGTTTTAGTGAAAAGTATTTTTTTAATGAAACGGTTTTTACAAGAGATGTATCCAACGGATTTCACAACAAGGCAAATTTACAATCATTGGTATGATACACAATTAAGGTGAACTTTCTCTCATCTCCCGGATTATATGTTGAGGGAATAATGTAATGGGCAATATTTGCTTGAAGTGTGACATTAAGGAATGCAATTCTCTGGAATGCCCAAGAGGGGGTTTTTGTATAGACGCTTGAAGAGTTCATGGCTCCTTTAAACACATGAAATCCAATTGCTGCCAGTTTTCCATTCTTCTCTTCTTGACAGAGTAAAATATCGACGTCACAATCTTTCTCAGCAGTCACTAAGCATTTTGGGTTGTTCCAATATGAATTTACGTTGTTGGGGCAACCTCCGGCTGAGATTCTCACCCATTCACTGTGAAGGATTATTTTCTTGTATATAGAGCTTGTTGCTAACTCGAGATTAATTTGGAGATCCCTCATGCTCTGATTTCTAGGCACATAACATCGTATGGTAAATCTTTCCATCAAAATACCAGGTTTGAAGGTGCATGGCACAAGAACGATATTTTTGTTTGCCTCCATCTCAAAAGTCTCCTCATTAATGTTTTCAACTCTATTTACAAACGGCAGAGGTGGGGCCGCTTCTTTGTTTTCAAAAACAGGTTTGGTTTGTCCGTGATCATTTCCCTTCAGAATGTACATTCCTAAATATTCTAACGGCTCTTTTTTCTGCTCAATGCTGACACGAACTCTCATTTTAGAGCAATGTTCGCTCTTAATAGTCAGAATATATTGAGGATTTAAAAGCCATTTCCAAGAATTCATGCACCCTCCACTTGTTAAATGATCAAATGATCCATCAATGCTCTGTATATGGTAACATTCATTCTCTGGAGGTAACAAGTTGAGAGAAAAATCATTCACTCGCTTGTCCACAAACACTCGCAAAATAAACTTTCCAACCTTATCCTTAAAATAGACAGACGGAACAATAATGTAATTCCCTTGAGTTAACTGTTTGAATTTTACAGTATTTTCTCTACTGTATTCAAAAGTGCTTTTAAACGCAACATTTGATTGTTTAGCAAAGAAGCATCGGTGCATTCTTCCCTCGGATCTCAATACATGGAATCCAATTGGAAAATCTTTTTCTTTTGCTTCGCTAAGATATTTCGAAGAGTGTAACATTAAACTGACAATTATATCAGTAGTGTCACTAACGTACAAATGAAATTGTGGGCCCTTCCTAGAATCCTGTGTGTTGGCAGTGAACAATCCTTCACCATTAAATTGGCTCCACCTAGTTTTGCATTGCCAGATCAGCGCTCTATTCGTTTCCTTGGGGTCTGAAAATGCATCGTTTGGGTCGTTAATTAGAACGCATACATCCAAATGTGTGAAATATTTACAAAAGTCTTCAAGACAAATATGAAAACTTCCATCTTCAGAAAAATTTGGATTCACTACTTCAGCAACCTTCGGGTTTTGTGACCATTCTATAGAATTGTCAGACCACGGACCTGTCCATTCACCTCGTGCCCAAGGATTCTTTAACCGTATTAATCGATTCTTTCCAACCTCGAAGCATTGAAGAACTGCATAGGCATGACCTGCCATTAATCCAGTGTCGGCAATGTTCGTTTCTCCTACTGACGATGATGAACTAGCTCCCAATAAGGCCGATTGATTGGTTCGTCGGTTGAGATAGGCCCACATCTCTTCCAATGATTTTCTCTTAATGTCAATCATCTCAGATATGCCTGATGTCATATCTACCAAAGCATTTCTGACAAATCCTCCCTCAATGGCGGCATACGAGCCATTCAATTTTGCATACGCCTTCTCGATTAAGGGAACCCATAGCTCGTTGGGGTCAGAGCATTTCCCAAAAACTAAATTTCCTTTAAGGTCACAAGGAAGACGGTCATCGATGGTGACGTGCTCCCATCTTCCATCTCTAAAAAATCTAAATGTATATTTTCCTCTTGAATCGTGCTTGGGATACGAGACAACTAACTTTTCAATCCAATCTCGTTTCTCTGACAACACGCAAAGAGCTCCAATGAACCAACTAAAAAAAACGTAATATATTTAAGGCAACTCATCCTTGTTGACAACCTACCAATCTCCTAACCCTCCTTGAGCAACATCTTGCGTGGTTGCATCTTGAACAAATAGTGAGGGATTTGTTACTCCATTTATCTGATGAGGTCTAAGCCAGCTCTTGATCCGTTTTGCTCCTACATGTTGATGAATAGATCCATAGCACTATCCAGTTCATTGAACAATAACTCACCTGGTGGTGGCTTTTGATTCGGTTTATAAACGCTGATCATATCTGCTGGAAATTCCGAATCCTCAAATGGTTCATCGCTTTCATCAATACTAGTTTGTAAATTTTCAAACGGAGGGGGATCTTCAATTTCGTAATCCGTACACTATTCATGTTTGCAATAATTTCAGATATCTCTCCGTTGATCTTTGCGACGATTGAACACGTACATTAAATTTGAGGCTCTGATGGTCTGACATTTTTTGTAGTTGCGGAAAGGTTATTGTCTTTGTCAAAACACATTCAAAAAAACGTACCTAATGTATTTTATTCGAGAGTGACATGGGAGAATGCAGTTTCTAAATCCTTAATCAGATCCTCAACGTCCTCAATACCACAGCTCAATCTAATCAATGTATCGTCAATTCCCAACTTTTGTCTCATTTCAATAGGAACGGAAGCATGAGTCATGATAGCAGGATGATTGACCAAGCTTTCAACACCACCCAAACTTTCAGCCAATTGGAAAACCTTCAAGTTTTCAAGGAATTGTCTTGCTTGTGCGATGCCTCCCTTAATCCAGAATGTAATCATACCACCAAAACCAGTTTGTTGTTTCAATGCAATGTCATATTGTGGGTGAGCCTTCAAACCAGGGTACACAATTTTAGCAACTTTTGGATGATGCTCCAAGAATTGAGCAACGGCCATAGCAGCTTCTTGATGTTGTCTCATACGAACATGCAAAGTCTTTAAACCTCTGAGAGCCAAAAAGCTATCGAAAGGAGAAGGAATGGCACCCATCGAGTTTTGCAAGTACTTGATTCTCTTATAGATTTCTTCATTAGCAGTGGCACAGACTCCCATGACGACATCACTGTGACCATTCAAATATTTGGTAACAGAGTGCATGACAATGTCAGCACCAAAATCTAATGGTCTTTGGAAATATGGAGACATGAAGGTGTTGTCTACAATAAGAATAGCTTGTGGACAATATTGCTTTCTCCATTGATGTACTCTTTCAATGTCAGTGATACGTAAAGTTGGGTTCGTTGGAGTTTCCAACCAAATCATTTTAGTTTTTTCAGGACGAACAGCATTCTTGAATTCATCTTCCTTGTTCAAGTCAATGAAAGTGAATTCCAATGAGAACTTGGAAGCAACTTGTCTAAAGTAACGTCCAGTACCTCCATAAACATCATCAACAGAAATGACATGATCACCAGCCTGCAACATATGAAGCAAGGTAGTGGTACATCCGAGGCCGGAGCTGAAAGCACAAGCGTATTTGCCATTTTCCAAAGCAGCAACGCATCCCTCAAAGGCGTCTCTGGTTGGGTTGGCTGTTCTTGCGTATTCATAATGGCCAGGATAATGAACACCAGGCGAAACTTGAGCAAAGGTAGAGCTCAAAGAAATTGGAGTAATAACGGCACCCGAGTATTTGTCTGGTGTTTGTCCAGCATGAATAGCGTCGGTTCCAAAGTGAGCAAAAGGAGCAAGCTGAGTGAGTTGTTGTGGTTGTTGAGACATTTTTTGGTAGTGATGATCCACCACACGCAATGGCTGCATAAAAATCAACGGGTCATGCGTTAAAATGCGTTCTTATTTTTTCTTTTGAAATTTGAGACGCTTCGGAAACTTTTTTCTGTTGTGTCTTTCACAGCGCTTGGAAACTCATTGTAAGCTATGGACCAACCACTCAAACCGACGTAATTTACAAAATTAAAATGACGCACGTGTCATCGTAAGAGTCTCTCTTAATTTCGTAAAGAAGTCAGTCATTAATTGTCCTTTGTCCTAATTTGTCATGACCAACAACAATTATTCGCTCAGAGCCAGCCTTTCCAAAGCACTTTCCTTTGTTGTTTTTTGTAACACATAACGTAGGTTTGCATTAATTCTTTCAAGATCATTATTCATGAAATCATCTACCATGGCAATCAAATCTCCATGCTCTTGCAAAATGGAATCGTCTTGCACATTAAATAAATTAAACATAATCGTTTGTTGAGAAGTAAGGTCTCCATTCTCATGGTCAGAAGCTTTTTCCTGCAATCCACTTCTTAGTGCTGGGAGAGGCGCTTCTCTAATTCTAAATTCAAACGGTTTACGTCCATGCAACGTATCAGCATCAGTAATCCATGAAAAGAGAGCGCTACCTGTAAACTTGTTGAACGGATTAAACTCTAGCACTTGAACAGTTAAATTTTCTAATGTTGGAGCTGAAGGAGGTGCTTCTTCTTCAGCATCACTCGTGGATTCTTTGTTTCTCATAACCATGACATCTAAAACACAATTTTCATATGGCAGTTGATGTTTCCTTTCTTCAAAAAATTGCTGAATAGCCTTCAAATATATATCCTTATGGTTGTGTAAATCTTCAAAATATAAGGCATCAAAGTATTGTGATAAAGCACACAACTTTCTTTCAAAGACGAAACCTCTAAACTCCAAGCCAATTTCATGACCTGGTATCCATTTCCTCATGGCAATGAATACATTCCAGTCGGATGGATCTGTTCTGTGCTCAAGTGCAATAGATAAATCTTCATAGACTCTATTGGAAGCAACCATCATTTCTAGTGCTTCAGCTCCACTTTCAAATCGCATCACTTCTACTTGTGATTCAAAAAAAGAAATAAATTCATCATTTTGCTTCTCATCGTTGGACAGCAATGCTGGTTCTCTATATTGCATGGATTTTTCATACAATTTTCTTTTTAAAATTTGTTTAATTTTTTGAGACGAGAACGCAGCGTCTTTAGGTGATCGAGTATTCAATCTAATAAAAGCACAAGAAATATCATTCTCTTCATCAAAAAATTCCTTCTCATTTTGTAACACATCATCAATTTCTTTTTCAAGAATTTTCAATAATTCATATTCCTCTTGAGATATCTGTGCCACTTCTTGTTTCAAAACTTGATGTTCGTGCTGTCTTTTTAAAACGCTGGCTTGCTCTTTGGAAATGAAAATAAATTTAGTGAAAGGAGTAAATTCCGAACATTTTTGATACCATTGGTCAATATCAAAATCAAAGCCATACCGCTCACGGGCTGATGAATACAAACATGACATTTTTTTCAATGATGAACCTAATGGAACTGCATTTTCAACTTGCAGTGTGGCCTTTGTCTTCTCGTTTCTCGCTTTTTTTAATTTTCTAATGTTGCAAACTGGAACCAAGAATGCCTTATTTACCAAACCCGAAATGAACATAAAAGTTCATCAAAAGGAAACGTAAAAAATATTCGATCATACCTTCATGGTAATTCCATGGTTGAAACGCTTCTTTTCTGCAAGAACATCTCGGGAGGACGACGAGCACAACATGGATAAGGTTGATGAAGAACCGGAAACGAAACACGATGAAACAGGAAGAGATCAAGAGGTTGTGGAACAAACAAAGAAACGAAGTGCTCTTCTCCTGATCGGTCTTGATTCCATCATTAAAACTGTTTTAAGTGATCATGTTTTTCCAAAAAAAACTCAAAATGAAGAGAAGGCTGTTTTTCAGTATTCAGATATGGAGGTCCATCCGTACTTTGGCCATGTTACCTTGGAGAAAGGGAAATTGAAACAATGGTTGGGATCAGCCAAGACGAAGCTAACCTCTTCGGAATGTGTAAAGCTTGTGATGGGAGTTGACTTTGGTGGCGATACGAACAAAATACGATGGCTGTGCCACTCAGCATCACTTGAAACTCACGAACTTTTCAATACTGAGAGACTTGATGATGTTTGGGCAGCATTGGAGTGGAAATTAACAGACGAGAGATGGTCTCTTCGATGTGAGAATGACATGATTAAGGCAACCCATTTTGGCTGCGATGAGGACGTGCTAAATCATGATCTGCAACCTCAATACTGTGAGAATTATGAAATAATTGTTGATGATTTCATTGACTCTTCGGTTGAAACCATTTCCAAACTGGGAGCTTACAACATTTCAAAAATATTAAGTTTCTTGGATTTAGAAGGAATCAATGCTTGTTACAATAGTTGTAGGTTGATGAGAAGATTGATAGCATCACGAGATTTTACTATGGCCTACATTCTAGATAAATGTATCGCCCTTCCATCCCATTTCATTGAGCACAATGGTGAACTGTTAAGGGAAAAAACAGTTCCTGAGCTTAAAGCAATTATTTTTAATTATTGTAGTAAGATCTCGATTATCAACAATTTCAGTATTACTTGGTTGAATGATACATACTGGAAAAGAGAGAAACGAAGTGACAGTCCATTTAAATCGGTAGCCCATCTATGTTTTGTTTGGTGGTTGGATATTGCAGGAAGAATTTCACTGATTAAGGGAGACTATGAGGTGTTTCTCAAATATAAGAACACGAAAGCGAATGGCTACGATCGATACAACCTCAATATTGATTGTCGTCCTGTTGAAACGGGGCATGAATCAAATGCTGACGTTTCCAATTTAAATACGGTTTGCAATATCTCGATTGGTGCTGGCAGCTCAAAACTCCACAAGTTGGGTGAAATCCGAGTTCTTGTGCCCAGACAAGATTTTCGTTTCAAAATATTTGATCATGATTGTAACGAAATCAAACAAGAAATGGATTTCGATTATTTGGAATTTAAAAGAAAATGAGGAAATCTGTTACCGACCAGACAAAACTCTACTATTTGTAAAAAATTTAAGCGAAATTAAAGGTGATGTATTTATGAGAGCTATTTCATTAAATCAGGAAAGTGCTTACTCAACAATTTGAAGCACTCATTCTTCAATGAATACGAGTTGTAAATGATGGACAACTCATAGACCTCTTGCAAGATGGCTGAGTCTTCATGTTCCGACGGACTCTTCAGTCCTTGAGGCAACTGGACATTGTTCACATAATCAACCATGAGTTCCTCAACATGCTTTTTAAGTGGAAACAGCAAGTACATATCTGCAGCAACAAATACCTCAACCAAACATTCAACAGGAATAGTATGTTCTGTAAATACTCCCAATCCTCCATAAGTATACTGCATGATGATATATAGTGAAGTAAACGATAAATTCTCAATGTGAAAATCTTCAATGTAGTCATGTGCTTGAGCACTATTTGTAGATTCATCGTTCATGAGAGAACCCTTACATTCATATTGGAAAACTTTTCGTAAATATTCGCTTCTTGCTGCAATAATGCATTTGTGCATTGCCATGTAACCTTTTTGAATGCATCTGTCTACCATCTTTTTGTAATATTCGTTCGTTATGCTTGAATCAATCAAATCACATGCCACATTTGGAATTACATGAAGGTCTGGATACATTTTTTCTGATTGTTGAAAAGCGTGTCCAAAGAGGTCTTGCTCAACACGATTATCTTTAGCTTTCAAACTCGTAGCTTCATATTTGAGGGGAGTATGAAATGGAGATGAATTGTATAATTCCACACAATACATGTCCAAATCAATAGAGTCATACAATGAATTAAATTGCGAGCCAGACATGACACCCGTTCGTGTCACTCTCTGAGAAGGAAAATGTTCTGTAATCATATTCAAGGTTTGCCTTGAAGATTGATTGGACAGAGAGGATCCCAATTGATTTAAATTTCGAACCAATTCTTCCTCGATTTCTTCCACAGAAAGTTCTCTTGCTCGTGCTTGTTTTTCCATAAAAGTAACATCCTCAGAGAGCTTGGAAAACTTGTCTGTGTAGATAAATTCCAAAAATTTCATTAAGGCTAATTTGGAAATGTTCTTATCTTGACGTAGGATGTAGTATCCAGGAGTGCTTATTTCTTGCCCTGACTGATAGCATTTTTCAGCGAAACGAGAGTTTGCATTCCATTTCACAAAATAGTCCAAATTTAAAAATCGAGTTCCAGTTCGAGATGCTACAACTGGAAAATGAGCGCGGATATCAAAATCTTCAGGTTGTAATGTTAAATTCGCACTGTTCATATAATTATCAAAATTAGATTGGTTCCATTGTGTGAGGTCAGGAATATCCAAAACAGCAATAAACACATCTGGAGTCTCACCTCCAAAACTGTCAACTTGATTCACTTCGAGCGCACTAGTATCATGATAAAACCATTGCTTATTTACGCTTATCAGTAACAGGAAATAATCCTGATTCATGGCTTGATCATGATGCAATACTGTCATGGTTTCACTAATGTGGTACAACAAACTTTCGACATCTGGATTAAACAACGTGTCGACCTTAAATAAGGTTGATTGAGTTCGCGCAGATCGTCTCACTTTTGTTAAATAACTCTGTTCAATACTCCATAAAATTTGAAATATGGAGTGTGAATTTAACACAAGTCGTGCCCGTGCATATTTCGATAATTTAAAGAATATATAACTCAATGTTGAAAATAACTTGTCCATGATGATTTGGCACTTGTCAGTACTGGGTTTTGTTTCCACACCTGGTAATAAGTGAAACGCATGAAGCATGATCTTACATGCCATATCTAAACCTGAATAGAGAAAGAAGTAATTTTTGTCTTCATAGTGAAAAAGTACATTTCCACAACGATGCAGACAATCTTCTAAATTGACAATTAAATCATAATTAGATTCAATCGTGCTATATAAAGCATCTTGTTGAATAGGAACTTGTAAAAATTCATCTTTGATCTTGTCCAACTTTTCACATCTCTGTTTCCATTCCTTATTCACATCAGGAGATTGCATTTTCATAAAAAAATCAAATCCTCGTTGACGATACGATTCTGGAATTTTTGAGAGCACGGAGGAGAGACTTGGCATTTGTTTTGAAGAAGTGTTGGTCGTGTTGACATGGTTTGAACTTGCGCTGTTCGCTAATGATGAGCTATCCGATGGGGTGGAGGATTTCTTTTTTCCACGGCTACCACCTCCTCCTTGATCTCGTAAATATTTAGGGAGGTGAGATTGTGAGTTGTTTTTCTTTCCCATGATGGTGATGTTGAAAGAGAGTAAGTGAGTGACACAAATCGGAGATGGGAACAATTTTTTTCTTTAAACAAGTTCATTTCAAAATAGAGGCAGGATCAATTTGCAAAATGAAATCTTTGGTCCTTCCTACGTCAGACAAAAGTAACGGATACAATGAGGATTGGTTAGAATCTGACAACTGTTATCAAATGGAGTCCATTTACATGATTTCAGGAAAGAGAGCAATCTTTAGTATTAATTTGATATCACCTCCAAATTAGGCTGCTCCAATATATAATTGTACACAGTGGTGCACTAGAGAATTTATAAAATTCAGAGTTTTCTTTTGTTTTCCGCGGAAAACTGTTTTCTGCTGAATATGCAGTAAAAAAAGATGTTGCTTATAAAATTCAGGCGGAAAACCATGATCAAAAAGTGGGTACCATACAATCGGTGAATTGTTTGACCACAATTTCCTTTTGAAAAGCTAAATTAATAGTTTCCGTCACAGAGCGAGCCATTTCTAATCGTTGTTCATCCACAACATCAAGATTTTCCTGGCTATCCACTAATAACTTTCTTACAAATTTCACAATTCTTTTAGCAGCAAGTAAATTCATGTCATTTGCAAGTTGATTTAAAATTTGCATGACAAGCTCCACAAACAAGTTGGCAACATGTGCGTCAGTGTAAAAATCGTCTTGGTTTTCATGAAACCAATTAAATATGGTGTCTTGAAGCAAAGAAATATCGTCAATGGATTGTGTTGAAAATAAAGCCATCTGTGATTCTTCAGAAACAGTGATTGGGGCATGCTCTCTTTTGGCTGCTTCTATTTGCTCAGCAAGCTGTTTTTGTCTTGCCTCCTGCTTCTCCTTTTCTCTTTTTTGCTTTGTGAGATCATGAATAATTTCACGTTTGATATCCCAAGGCATTTCTTCAATAAACGAGAAAGAAATGGGTTGATCATAGCCTCCTTTTGCAATCTGTGTAAAATGAACATGGCATAATTAGGTGACAATAATTAAACATGATACATACATTATCTAATTCGCAATATTCATCCATTCTGAAAGCATGAGCGTTTGTGGTGTCATGTTTGATTTTTTTTGAATTTTTTGACTTTTTCTTTTCAATGTCATCTTTCGAATCATGATATTGTTGTTCGTTTTGATTATTAAATTCCGGTGGCACATTTTGTGGGGCTTCTATTGTTTCTGTCTGGGCTTGATTGAGATATTTTGTTAATGTGGATGATCCATCTTTTGTTGGTTGGTAATTATTTAACTTTTGAATTTGAATGGCTATACCTCTCAAATCTTCAGGTTCAATCTTTCATTATTAATGTCATGTTGCAGGAATTAAAAGAGAATATGTAGCGCTCTAAATACGTACCTCTAATTGTTTGTATAAATCTTTAACCTTTCTTGAAATCATGTCTACATCATCTGTAAAGTAGGGAACCGTAGTTGATTTTGAGAAATTGTCACAAATGCCATGTCCAAGGAACTTTTTTGATTCAATAATTCCCTCTCTCCGTTTTTTTACCTTCAATACAATTGCCTTTCCCTTAATTTGTTCACTTTTTAAACGATTGCTGATCTCAACAGACAACTTGTCTATAAACTCGTATACTTGCTTTAGTTCTGAAAATCGAATTCCATAATTCACCTCAACGCCGACAGATTTTCTTGCGGAGTCATCAAAAAATCCTCTCCTATCAATACCTCTAAGGTAATTGAATAAAGTTTCTCCTTTTTTCTCTCCGATTAATCCCTTCATTTCTGTCAATGAATATTTTAAAAGTTGGGCACATGAAAAGACGTTCATTTCGTTAAAGAACCGTTTGGTCTTCCATCCAACGGTAGGAATGTCTTCAATATTTAACTTTTCAATGTGTTTCACTGCATCATTGGGATGAAGAAAATATTGACCATTCGGTTTGGCAACTTTAGTAGCCATTCTGGCCAAAAGTTGATTCGTAGACATGCCTGCAGAGGCAGTACATCCAGTCTCTTTTTCAATTTCAGACCGAATGGATGAGACAAGTTTTTCCAACTCTTCTTGGGTGCCATTCTGTAATTCGTTTGATATTTCAATGTATGCCTCATCAATGGACATGATTTTCACTCTTTCACAATGATTATTCAAAATTCCATGTACCTTACAGGCAGCTTCTTCATACTTTTCAAACTCATAAGGTACAACAATCAATTCAGGACACAATTCACGAGCTTGCTTAGACCACATTCCTGCTCTTACTCCAAACTCTCTAGCACAATAGTTAGCAGAAGAAATATCGCTGTTTCCGTCATTGGAGTACGACACAGCTATAGGTTTGTCTCTAAGAGAAGGATTATCTCTCATGGCAATTGAGGCAAAAAAGCAATCCATATCAATATGAACAACGTAGAGACCTTTCTTCTCTGCAATAGATCCAGACGGATTTGTTTGCTTTTTCTTGTTTCTCCAAGTGCTGATAAAGTGCAATCGACTGTTTTTCATGTAGTGATCAATAAAATTTGGATCATTTGCAGCACTTTTTGTCAGGAATTCTTTGTTCACAGGCTTTTCATCTTTGCTCATGATTTCCAAATTATTGGAAACGTTCTTGTTGTTGGCAATGATACTTTCTTGGAGAGGGTTTTCTGTCGTGGTCACTGTGGGACGTGAGGGTGGTATAAATTTCTGATAGGAGGGTTTTGGTGGTGGAAGTGGTGGAGGTTGGATGCCAGGTTGCTGTTTCTGTTGCACTTGTGATATTGATGGTAATGGTTGTGGATTTGGTAGTGTCGTCTGTAAGGTCTGAGTTTTCTTTTTAAATTTCACAGTTGATCTGCTACTTGTTGGAGTAAGGGCAAAATTAAATTGATTTGCATGACTGAATTCTTGTATGGATGGTGCTGGTGAATTTGACACTCCTTCATGTGTTGCAAGAAATTTCCTACTCTCGGGTATGGAATTTGTTATTTCTTTGTCAGTACTCACATTTGTGTGACTGATCATCTGTGGTTGCTGATGTTTTCCAACAGTGGTTGAATGATGTGCTCGATTCACCATTGTGAATGAACGCAAATCCTTGTGTTGAATGGTGTTTCGTGTATGATCAACAATAAGGTAATCCTTTACAGAGAGTAAACATTCTGCTTTAACACAATCCATGATCCATCTCGGATGAACAATAATTGGAGGATGTTTCCGTTTCGTTAATTCCTTCAACCTGGAATGAGCCAACTCGCATGCCAGCAAATGTGTTACCGAGCTATCGAAAAACTGACGATACGAACCACCATGTTTTGTTATCAATCCGACGAGTACAACATTAGAAGGTTCCGTATATCCATCAATATTCATAATTAATCCTTCAAAAAAGGCTTTTGCTGATGATTTTGTAGTGTTGTTGCTACTCGAGAGCTCCGATGTTGATGAAGAGAGGGTACTATTAGCAGATGAAGAGGCTTGTTGTCCTTTCCATTGCTCATCCAATTTCATCTTCTTTACTTTGAAATAATGATCCCTATCCGTCCACCCTTCATCTGCAAATAGGGTTGTGTGCTTTTTGTTCAGAGACTCTGAATTGTTATTGGAGTTGATCATCGGAAGGCGATTTTGAAAGTAATCCAGTCAGTTACGTGTGGAGGTTCATCATGTGAATTTTTTTGCTTCTGATGAACAGACGAAGTGCTTTCTTCTCATAAATCGAAGCCATCGCCTTGTTCAATCTTGTCTGAAGAATCCGTTTAAAATTCACTTCTTTCACTTCGATCAGGCTACAATTAAATTTAAAATGATGAATTATTATCAAATGAACAATATAAAAAAAATGAACGAACTAAAACGAAAAGAACCTTCCGCATCATCATCATCTTCGGGATCTGGCACTCCGAACAATTCGAATGCCCCAACCTTCAAGAAAAGAAAACAATACATTCCGCTGGAGGGAACACTGAACGCTTCGGGTATTGATCAAAAAGTTTGGCTTGTCAAAATACCAGAATTTGTCGATCTTGCAAAATACAAAGATGAAGAAACCATCGGAACCGTTCTCATTGAGGAAAACACTTTAACAAAACAAACAAATTTATCACTAAATATAAATCCTCCATCTTTGGACGCAGCTGGTTCAAAAGTCACAGAATTTAATTTAATGTTAAATCAAAAGAAAACTCCAATGTATGTGTTCAGCATGGAGAAATTATCGGACGAGCAAATACAAGAACGTGAAAAACTTCGATATCAAAAGAAATCTCAACCCCTCATTCATTTAGATTACATTGATACCACTGAAATTAATGTTAGCGGACATATTGATAAAAGTTGCAATGCCGTAGTTAAACTAGGAAAAGCTTATGGTGAGCTTTCAAGACAGCGTCTTGCTTCTGCCTCACAACGAGACAGGAAGTCTATCAAAGTAAGTGAAGAAGAGAGCACCACTAAAAAGCCAAGTGTGATGGCAAAATATAGAGATGGAAAACAAGAAGAAGGTCCAAGGGACGTTCGTGTCAGAGAAGACGAAAAGAAAATTAAAGCCAAGATCTTCTCTCTATTCAAAGAAAGGCAGTATTGGAAATCAGAGGAATTGGCCGATACCACAGATCAACCCAAAGAATTTATCAAGTCCATTCTTTCAAAAATTTGTATTTATAACAAATCAGGAGAGTATAAGGGATACTATCAATTAAAGCCACACTATGCAACGGATGAATCCAAGAAGATTGGAACTACAGATGTAGACAGTCAAGACGACGAATGGCAAGCTTAATTTACATGATTTGTTGTACTTCACATAATTAAATGTTAACAATCGTCCTCACACCAATCTTGACTCGAAAAAAATGTTTTTATTTTTCAGCCTGAGACTAAACAATTTCAAATTCACATCCAACGGCATTAGGAAGTAGTATTACAGGATATAATTGTTGAGAAACATTGGAAGGAACATCATATGCCTTTCCATATTCTTTTCCATTCACTTTAAATGATATTATATTATCTTTCAGTATACATGTAATCATAGATCCATCTTTAACTTGTTCTTGAGCATATTTTTCATCGTATTTTGATGTGCTGTATAAATTTCCGTCATATGTTGCAATGTAATATCCATTTGTGTCAGAGTAGTTCAGAGAGGTTGCATTGATATTACTATGTCTTGGAGCAAATCCAATTAGTACATAATTGTGACAATTGGCAATCAGCTTTACAGAATATTCTTCAACCATGTCAGTTCCAATAACCATTGCATTACTACCAACACTACCAACTTTTTTCACTCTCTTATTTCCATTTGATAATTGTAAATTAGATGAACAATAATTTGGATCAAATTGAATATCAACTAGTGGCCCCATGTTGTCCCATACTACGTTAAAATCGTGTTTCAACATTCTCTTTCCTTTTGGAGGTAATAATGAATATATACTTGTCACTTGATAATAAACAACTTCTTCAACAAATTCCATTAACTTTTTCTCACTCAATAATGCAATCTTCTTTTCAATATTCAATCCTCTCAAATGATCCAAAATCAATCCAAATTGTGAACTTGGTCTATCAATAAAGAATGCATTGTCATCTTCTTCAGGAGTTGGAGCGAAATGATTACTGAAATATCCAGTAAAGAATGTGTCCTTTTCATTCAATAAAGAGCTTAAAGTAGTTGCAAAGATAGTTCCACCGACATTCAGCTTTACAACTTGATTCTTTGATTTGAGTCGAGATGTTACAGTTGTTGATTTTGAAAGTTTTTCTTCAATTTCAGAAATTCTTTTTTCGCGTTCTTCCAAATCAGCCAACATTTGTTTTTTAGATTCTTCCAATTCAGCTTCGAATTTAATCTTCTTGACTTTCATTTCTTGCTCCGATTTGGAGAGATTTGTTTCTCGTTGTTTCAATTCTTGTTCTTTCTTGTTCAATTCTTTTTCCTTCTCGAGCAACAATTGTGTTTGTTTTTCGAGGGATTGATAGAGTTGAGTGATGGAATTCAAGTGAGCGTTTTTGAATTTTTTGCTCTGAGAGAGTTGATTTTGCAAGTTGCTTGATGATGATGACATGATGATGATGATAGTAGTTGAAAGTTGTGAAAATAGGTGAAGAGTGTTTTTTTGTTGTTTTTTTTATGGAGTGAACATCTGACATGTTTAAAGTCTCTGAATCACGTTGAAGCTTGGGAATTCTGAATAAAGATTGTTGAGAAGGACACTTAATACCACGGTGATATTGTAAATCGGAAATTTGCATGTGACTACAAGAGTCCTTCGGTTCGAATATACGCAAATTGGGGATGGATTCACATGAGAGCGATGATCCATATTATGAAGGAAACTCAATTACAGAGGAAGGTATTGTGTTCTTGCAAAACAGTCCATATCTCAAAAACCTGTGTTTGTGAAATATTGGTCATGCATTCACCCAATGAATGGAATTGTTTTGGAGACATGTAAAAAACCAAAGAGTTGAATGTTGTAAAATATTTATTTAGATTTAGTTGAGGTAATTCTAATTACATCTTAATGAGCATCATAAAAACCAAGAAAAACACAACAGCAATAAAATTGCCCACAAATGACACTTGGCTCATCATTGGAATTCCTAGGGAAGTAATATTGTTTGTTGTAAATGTTGAAAATCCATAAGGTTGACCATAGAAATTCACGCTACAAGTACTACAATTGGCCTTATTAGCATTTACCCAAACTAAAAACGTCACTGCATCTCCAATGACTGCATGAACCTCCTTTTTGAGAACTTTTTGATATTGAATATCAGCAGTCGTGAAAGGAACGTACTGAGCTGCTTGTAAATTATTTTTCACAACTGCTTCATAGGTAGTTCCAGCGTAGGCTCCAACAATGATGTTCGTTTTGTTGAGATCAGCCAATGTTTTCAAATTCAATGAACTGTCGAGTTCTGATCTCAAAAATGCCTGTTTGATGTTTTCATATTACACAATCGTTTAGTTTCATTTCACTAAATAAATGCGTCTTTAAAAAACAAAAACTTACCTGAGAAGTTGTTCCCCAATGACATTGGAAGTGAACTTGCTTCTTTCGATCCTCCAATGTTTGAACGTTGGTAGTAATGACATCACATTCACCCGAATCCACAGCATTCTTGACTGTTGTAAAGAATCCCAATTTGGAGGTATTTAAATACTTGAACTGTGCCTGATAATTTGTTCCATATTTGGCATTGATTTTCTTGACCAAAGTATTACCAACCAACAATTTGACATCAAGGAAAGGATATACGGCACCAATTTCCAAACACATGATTAAATTCTTTCTTCCAACGAAAGGATCTTTCGCAGGATACTTGACCACTGGGTCGGTACAAGCAGGAACGTTGAAATACATCAAATTGGCGTAGGTGTCAATGAAAGATTTATCGACAATCATTTCTTGCACGGCTGCATCAAAGGCATCGGTATAGTCTTGTGTGACTGGCACACGATGAGTTTCATAGTCTTGACCAAAGATGACTTGTGTATGGGCCAACAGGATGACAAGTGACACTGATAGGGACACCATTGAAATCATTGAGAGATACTTCATGTTGAGAGCGTGGTGGATAACAATCAAGAGGAGAGGTCTAGAGTTGTTTTTTTGAATGTTGATGATGGTCACAACAGTTGACACAATCCATGTGAAATAAAAAATTTATTTGTCAACCTTCTCTCTTTTTCATCTTCACAAGTTTCATGATATTGTTTGAAATGGAGATACAGACCATTTTTATCTAAGAGACATTTTCGAACGTGTCGATTCACGCATCTGTCTCATCAAATACAAAAGTGTGGATGACAAGCAGGAGATTTACAATTGTTGTTTGTGCTGAACTTGTGTATGATAGGTGGTGGTCAAGTGTTAATCGTTGGATGTTGTTAAGGAGTTCATAATTTTAATGAATTGAAAAAATGGGCAACCGATCACAGCGCTCAAGAGTACATGATGGCGCATTAATATTTCCAGAACCACTTTCGGATCAAGAAATAAGTCTTTCTCAAGCCATGGAGTATACTCAACGAATTTATCCAAGTCTTACACGACTCATGTTTAACAACGGGGTTTGGATTGATGAATGCGAGGCGCGGGATGAAAATACTGCTTCATCATCAACCACAACAAATAATAATAATCATCATGATCAAACAATTTCAAAACGATCTGAACGATCACAGTGTTGTTCAGCTGAAACAATAATTAGCCAGAAATCTAATTTTCAGATCATTCCCATGGAACTTGTGATCCAAATCATTGACTTCTTGGATCAACAAGAGTTATTAGCCTTTTCGAAAACCTGTAAATTTATTAGAAGCTACATGCAAAACGACATGTATTTGTGGCCACAAACGGTGAGAATACGAACTTTCAAACAACTCGTTCAATATTGCAAAAAACCTTGCCGATATTTCTTTCATACCTCTTTTTATTCCGATATTGGTCAAACATTTAATTACTACCAAGATTTAATTTTTCCATTCTTGACGCTCCACAAGACCATAAAGTTGGAGTTTAAAGACATTGCTCAATATCCAAATGGAGAGGAGAAGTGGGTACTTTATTATTCTGCATCTCTCCCTTTTTGTCGCTTTAATTGGACCAAAGGTGAAGAGCACAAGATAGGTTCTGGGAGCACGCTTTTCTCCAAAACTTATACAATGGAACAAGAGGATGGTGTGTATGAAATTGATATTTTGAATAGTATTTTACTGTTACTTTTTAAAATGAGGAAATACGTGAGAAGTAAGCGTAATGACAAAATCATTCCCGAATTTGTTATACCCCATTTGAGATGTGCTATTAGAGACGTGCGAAATTTCTTTCATTCTAACCACAGATTATTGCAACTGCTAAAGGCACGAGAGAAAGAAGATCCTCAAAACGCTCCATTAGAAAAATTGGAAGAGGATGAGACTGATTTGCCTGTTCGTATTGTGAACACATTCAAAGGACTTAAGGAGGATGAATTAGGTCATCCACCGCTTTATTTTTGTGTTTTTTGTGGCTTTAAGATTGGTGGCATCACATGCAGCAATTGTTCCAAATTACTGCTACTAGACTCGGTCTGTGAAGGTTCATCATCATGTCCATCCTGTAAGAAAGGTATAACTAGACCCAAATGTTGTCGACAACTCATGCAAGCTCAGCAGATGCCATGGTCTATATCCGAGAGTCACGTAGCACCATTGATGAAATGTAAAAAGTGTTCCTTTGGCGTGCATGGAACCAGATGCTTCACATGCATTACAACAACACACGATACACCAACGAATGGAACTACATTGGAATACAATGGATTTTTCAAGAGGGTTTGGGATGCTGATGTGTGGACATGTCCAAACTCATGTGCACGAAAAAAGCGAGGAGGTAAGTATTGTGATCTTTAATTGTCACGTGTAATATACTCTACGCATTTATTAGGACAATATTACGCAGGTACATTATCATGCTCACACTGCAACGAAGACCTTATTACTCTTTAACGTTACCTTGGTGTATTCAAAATTTTGACTTTGTTATTCAAACAAATAATGAACAAATAATTCACAAATGGTTTTAAGATATCTGTAACATTTATAACAACTTTTGAGGGATTCCCATGGTGGATTTCAGATGAATGGATTCAAAGTCGGACCATCCTTTTCTCATTAATGAAGCACAGAAATATAATGCAAACATAACATTTTCCACCAAATGAGTCTCGTTCATTTCGACATGACCAATTGGTTGTGAAAGAACAATTTCTTTGTGTTGTTTAAATGTCACAATTCTCATTAATTCTTCCACACGGCTTGGAATGTGATCATTTTCATGCAATGTAGTTGGGAATTTACCAAGTTTTGAGAAAATAGGAACCAACAGTCGAACCAACTTGCGAATAATCGATGCAGAAGCTAAAAAGGCATCAAAGGATTGTGCTAATTGCTTCCTACGCTCTTTATTCATGTCCAAACAAGCAAGATCGTCCATGGTACGAAATGCGATTCCTAATTCTTTCGCTTTCTGACAATGATGATGATCTCCCAAAATGCATACTCGAAAATGATATCTCACGACATGTGGCAGTTTAACCTTACCGTTTTGTACTTTTTCTCGTCGATATTTGGGTTTAATTTGAAGATCAATACTTTGTACAAAGTTTCGAGAATCCATTTCACTCTCGAAAAGAATACGAGAAACGACTTCCCTAACGTCGTTTGCATTCACTCGAACCGATGGCATTGTTTTTTGTTTTGAGCTGCACAATCGCTCGTGTTGACTTCGGCTCAAGGACAAGCATTTCGAGATATTGGACGATAGAGAGCCTTAGCTGAATTGGTCATTATTAAGCAACGTCGCCGTTGGATGTTTTTGTATGTACGAATTTATTTGTTGCACGACCAAATTTTTGACCTTCTATTGTTCTCGAAAATCACCAATTTCACGTGCGTAGAGAAAAACTTCGAACCTCACTCCACATTCAAAAAAAATAAAACACGTTGGTACAAAAGCTTGGACCGTTTTGATTGTTGTTGAACCTGTTGAGAAATGACCTCTGTAATGTCACTGAGAACTGCCAAGAACAGCCATTTGACGATTCACACAACAACATCTCCAACCACACGAAATCCTATGGAAACAGATGTGTCACCTATTGAGATCTTGATCAGCCAAGCATCAACAACTCATTTCAAGTCATCATACGCTCGGAGATCACTCGATTCATCTGTAGCCATAACAACCACAACAACAACTTCAAGCACATTGGCACGACGCAACGACGTGACATTATCTTCACATCTCACTCTCTTCAAACAACAAGAACATTCCATTTGCAAACCGAAACGCATGCAAAAGAACAAGTTACGAAACAAGTACAAACCAACTAATTTATTCATTAAGGAGAATTTCAATTCCTTGAATGAAAATCAACCAAATTCCCTTCTTCACAATAACAATCCACTTCCTTCGACGCATTTCCTCTCAGACATGATGAGTACGAGTTGTGGTGGAGTTGTCCAGTCCATGACTTTGGATTACACTCTTCAACAACGCATTGGTTGTGGAGGTTCAAGCTCTGTTTTCACAGCTCTTCATAATAAGAGTGGTGAAAAAGTTGTCATTAAGAAACTGAATTGTTTTACAACCTCGTCCTATGGAGGCCATGATCATTCCTATCAGGAATATGTTCAACGATGTTTTGTGAATGAAGTTCAAAAATTGAAAAGTCTTAGAAATTGTGAATTTTCAGTTCAAATCATAGACTCTATACTCACTTCACACAATTATGACATGTACATTGTTTTGAAGTATGAAGAAGGTGTCATGTCTTTGGATCAATGGATTCAACATGTGAATTCACAACAACAACAACAACATCACGACATGATCATTTCTGAATCTTGCTTACGAGAATTAAGCTTCAGATTGCTGAACATTCTCAATCAGCTTCATCAAAACCATAAACTCGTTCACAGGGATATAAAACCTTCAAATATTTTGGTGAAATGTTGTCCCATGAAACCGAACAACTCTGAAAGCAACCGTCCTTCCTCAAATGGATCCTGGTTTGAAAAGATGTATTTGTGTGATTTTGCTTTTGCTTCAAGTATTGCTCCAGATGCAAATAATGCCAATGAAAGACATTTTGATCAGTCATGTACTGAAATTTATGGATCTCCTCAAAAATTGATGAAAGTGTCACATTGTCATTCCTCTACAACTGTAACGAGTGGTACCACAGATCCATTAGATGATATTTGGAGTGCAGGAATATCCATTCTTGAGGTGATTTTAGGTCACTCTCCTTTGGCCACCCAAACCAATGGTTTCTTTCATCAAGATATTTTACAATTTGATTTGGATAGGATCATTCGTTCTCATCCAAGAAAGTTTTCACATCTGTCTACAGCTTTTATTAGTTTTCTATCGAGATGCTTAAGTGTACCTCTCGAAGAACGTTACAATGCTTTTCAATTAATGGAATTATTGAAATCTTCTTCAACTTCTATGTGTCCAAACGTTGATGATTGTAGTAAATAATAAATTTAAATCATTCCTCAAATAATGCGAGTCATTGACGAAGAGTCATGCAACGAGTCATTCAAATAATCGTCCATTGTCAGGTCATTCAATTTCTCAGATTTTAAACATTTTCTCTTGATCTTTATTTCCGTCACAAATCAAAACCTTATTTTCTCTCCGCACAAAAAATGTCTCACAATCACACCGAGTATGACGAATCGGCTTCGTCCTCTACTCAAATGGTTGACAAAAGGTAAGATCTCGACTCATCCGTTCACACTCCCTGTCAATATATTAATTCAAATCTTTGGCGAATTCGCCTTCTGAATTCATTTCTTTCATCCGTGTGTTCTCCAATTCAATTCATTATGCACTTCTTCAACAACAACAATATATAGCTCAGCATCATCATCACCTCGACAACCCGTGAAAACAGTCACCGTTTCCTCCACCACACGAGGACTCATGAAAAGAACGCACACCAAAGTACAATCCACAAGTTCCATGCCCATTCAAACACCTCAAGACTCTACCAAATCACCTTCTCATCATGTATTATCCTCTTCAATGCATACGCTTGCTCATCATCATTCTCTTTCCTCCCCATCAAGTCCTTCCTCGTCCTTGCCCAATAGCAATCATTTGTTGCTTTCATCATCTCCTTCCAATGGACAAACCATGATGATGAAACGACCTCATAATGTTCTCGTGACCCGACGAAATACGTCCAATCCCAACAACCACACTCACTCGGAACACACACCACCCACCACTCCAACAACAACATCACCTTCGTTGGTGTTTGGAGCATCGGGTTCATCTTTACAAAAACACTCTCCTACCTCATTGTCTTCATCGGTTCAATTCACGAAAAAGCATTCATCGTCCTCTTCATCATCATCAACTTCTCCCTTCCATGTATCCTCTCCATTGTTTTCCTCCTCATCGTTGAATGATTCCATGATGATGATGCATTCATCATCTCATCAGCATCAACAACGTTCAAAACCACTCTTCAGCTCTTATCATGACCATTCAGATGACGATCAAAACCCACACGCTTCTTCCGATGAGGAGAAGAGTGATGATGTGTCTTCAACCTCGCACTTTAGGAAAGACAAGAAAAATTCTTATCGTTCAGCCTCAACCCCTCACGACGGAGAGTTGTACGAAGGAGATGTTTTATTTAGGAAGAGCAGCGACGATGAAGAATACTCATCCAGTGAGGATCATCATCATCATGAGGAGTATTTCAATAATAACAATCCAAAATCATCATCCTCCCAACATCCACTCAAGAATAAGGCTTCATTTGAGCTATTAAGGAGAACAGCAACGGTTACTCCTGAGATCATGGGAGGAAATGCACCTCATCATCACGCCCATGATTCCATCTCAAGATATTCATCAACCCGTCCGTATGCCTCTTCAAAATTTGGAGCAGCAGTGCCGAGAGGCACAGCCTCAAGCTTGGCAGCATCATCAATCATGCCCTATTCATCCGTTGGGTCCATACTCGAGGATAGAGATGAAGGGTTTGAAAGTGATCCCGAATCCATCTCAGATGAAGATGACATCTTTCTAGAGTCTAGCATGCTCAACGACAAGCAAAATTCACCCATGTTGGTATCCTCTCCTCGAGCTGGAGTGGAACTTGCAACAACGACATCACTGTCCTCAAGTCCAACTCAAAAACAATGGTCGACTCAGGTACCACCTCTAAAGCATCCCAACGTCAATAACGGCAGTGCAGAGCTGCTCACTTCACGAAATCACACAAAAGGCATGTATTATAGAATGCTCACTGGAGCAGCTACAACACGAGAGAAAAACAGAAAATTGGTGTCGAATAAGAATATATTTGGATTACCCATGACATTTTCAAAACAACCATCTGTCAAAAGTACTGTCGAGTATAAGAGTGAAGAATATTTGAAAGAAATGCTCGGGAAAAAGAAGGGTGCAACCACGCCATCCTCCTCATCAAAACAAGGAGCAAAAACACCTACTACAGCAGAAGAATCGTCCTCAACTGACACGCTTGAGGACATGCAAGACAAATTGGTAATGTTCCACAAAATTCAATACTCTGAAGGAGCACTTTCCACCACTCCTGGAAGATCTTTCTTGGACGTTCCCAAAAAACCAGTCAGCACTGATGCAAAAAAGGAAGACCCCAAGAAAAAGACCCTACATCAAACAGATTCGTCACCAGCAACACCTAGTCCAAGACAAATCAACTTTAATACCAATGTTAAAAAATATTTCTATAAGGTGAATGCGGGAACTTGTGCTACTACTCCATCTTCCGTTTCTTTAAACACAGATAATATTGACAAGAAGCAGTTTGAAGTTGTGTATTGGACAACCTATAAGGATTTAGCAGAAGAAGAAAATATCATTGATAGTTTCTTTGTTTCAAATTTCAGCGCCATGGATTTATTGTACAAACTCTTTTACAATAATTCAGCAGATCCTAAACGAAAAAAAAAGCTGAAGGTGTTGTACAATGCGCAGGTCATTTCAGAACAACTTGACCAGTTGAAAGATATTTATAAGCAAGTGACCAAGTTGCGAATGTGTACACTTGTGAAACAAAGCGACAACAAATTACGAACAAATCAGTTAGCTCATCAAGAAAAGCTTAATGTTGTAGTTTCAGAAGATGATTCTTCTGATGAGGACGATGGAATTGAATTAGTCCTTAATGAAAAGGGAGAAATTGATATTTTCAGCATGAAAAATATAATTAATAATTTAGATCTAGAAGTCATTCATGAAATAAGCCACATACCGAAAGACAAACAGAGAAATATCACGGTAAATGCCGAGGTTGGTGTGGCTACAGATACATTCAAGTCAGATTTTATTACTTTAAAGGATTTGGAAAGTGAGGATCGTTTTGATATTTCTGCTAAAATTAGCCAAGATGCCAAAATCGAGTTCTATACCATCCGTAACTGGCTGACCAAAATTTTAGCAGCAGCAGTGAACAGAAAAAAGAAGATAGTGAAAGACAACATATCTGTGGAGACAATTAACACTACAGATCTCAACAAGACGCCGCGTATCGATTCCACAGTGGCCTCTCCTGTGACAGCCACGCTCTTAAACATGGCTGTTGAAAAGAACGAAGTTACAACAACTCTGACTGATGATAGCCAGAATCTCAGCTCTGATTATGATACAGACCCAGATAGTTTGCATAGATGGCAGAGGAAGAGTGTTATTCGAAAGGGACCTCTTGAAAATGATACTCCTAAATTAGAAATGTTGCCCACAGAATTACTGGATTATATGATGTCTCTATCTTGTTCAGCTTCGACTCTTTTTGATACCCTAGAGGAATGGGAAGTGCGTATCCATGCCTTATTTGCCTTCTTAGAAACCCTCACTCTCCAAACACCCCATCAACTTAACTGTATATTAATATTTTTAGGTGATCTTATCCTTTATAATCAAAGTTTGATGAGTTCAGAATTTATACATGAATGTCTGATTCCTTACTTAAACACAATTTTGAAAAAGCCAGAAAGTATTCCTTTTGTTGACCTGTTTTTGAAAAGAATTACAGAGAGGTCACAACTGTTATTTATAAGAGACCAAGCTCAAAGAACCATTAATCTGGCTTTTGATAATTTCTCATCCAAGTCAACACTGCCAGACTTTCTTACTATTTCCAGTTTCCAACTATCCATACAACTCACACTTATTGAATTTGACTTGTTCACAATGATGGAACCTTACGAATTCTACTGCAGCTACTGGTTGTCAAAGAACAGATTTAAGGTAAAAACAAGAGATCCAAGTCCTAATCTGTCACTTTTCATTCAATGGTATAATACTGTGTCACTCTGGGTTACGGAAACAATTCTTCAATATAATGACATCAAAGAGCGACACAAAGCACTGTGCAGGTTTATCAGTTTAGCCTGGGGGTGTTTTTCAGTACGAAATTATAATGGCTGTTTTGAAATTATTACTGGTCTATATTCAAACGAAGTTTATCGGTTGAGTAAGACTTGGGCTATGCTTAGCGATGAATATTTGAAGAAGGCACAGACTCTCATTGATTTAACAAGCGTGGCAAATAACTATAGAAACTATAGAGAAGAACTTAAAAATTCCAAGAAACCTTGTATTCCAAACTTGGCAGTTCATCTCAAAGATCTTGCTTCTGTCGATGACAGCCAAGAAGATGAAAGGAAATTGTCAGAGGAAGAAATGCGTCTCTTGGCTGAAAATGATCAATTCTGTAAACAAGTGTTCATTGGAAGAACGTTGGATGAAGACATTGAATACAACTTTAGTAAGAGACGACTCCAAACAACCTTAATATGCCAATTGCTGAAGTATCAGAAAACTTCATATCCTTTCAAACCTAACGAATCACTTAAACATTACTTGTGGATTTCTTTACTCAGAATCAATGAAGATATTCGCAGAGAAACAACAGAAAAGAAAATTAGTATTGAAAAATACATCCAAGAAAAGAAGAGGCAATTCTTAGTGAGGAGCAAACAACTCGAACCAAAATCGACAAGATAATTAATCCTCCTTGTTTAACATTCTTCATGAATTCCTTTCACCTCAACAAGCCGAATCTACAAGGCATTAACAACCAATAAGCAGAATTATACATAAAGAGTCTCAATGCATTTGTACATGTTTTTCTCTGAACAGTTGCATTCAAAAAAGTCAACGCTTCTCCAACTCATCTTTCCGAAACGTCAATTGTCAAATTAATGTCTCTTCGTCGGGGCTAACAAACAAAAAATGAAGAGTTCCACTTCTTCTTCTTCCCCAACAACAAATTCTTCCATGGACACAGCCCTCTGCAAAGACATTGAACATCGTATTAAAGCTGTTATTCGGTATTCATTGAAACGAACAGCAGAAGAAGGTGAAAAGTATGCCAAAGAAATGGAAAAGGAAAAGTCCATCAAAATGCCAAAAACAAACGAGTAAGTTCTATGAGACACCGATTTCAGTTGTTTCTCATTTTCTCATCACGTTTTATTGAATTTGGTTAATTCCGATTGAATTTTGAAACTCCAATTCAATTATTCATTCAATTTGTACAATATGATATATTAACAACACAACAATATTCACAATATTCATCATCAAACAACAACGACTGCTGTTTCCACCGAATATTGTGCCTCTCTCTACAATTTGATCAAATTGAATCTTTTGACATTTGACACACTTATTAGATCCAAATCCTACTCGTTCAAAGATTTTCGTCCACTCGATTTCGGAATGCTTCGTAAACTCTGTGGCATGAATGATCGTGACTACTTTGCCTCAATTGGTCACTCCAAATTTGAATGGCATGAAATGAATGGCAAAAGTGGTTCCATGTTTGCCCTTACCGAAGACAGAAAACTCATGATCAAAACAATTTCAAAAGATGAAAGCAAAACCATTCGAAATGTTATCGTTCCTCAATTACTGGAATACATGAAGAATGAACCCAATACTTTCATTGTCCCAATATTTGGTTTACACAAATTTTCACTCGATAACAAGTCTGAATTGAGATTTGTTGTAATGAAATATCTGTTTCAACCTCCACCAGCACTACCAAGTTCTCAATTGAGTACATCATCTCCATCGACGAGTAGCTCACTAGTATCTCCAAGTTCTCCATCTGGTACCAATAATGGATCCACAACCATTGGAAATGGTACTTCTCATGGCATGGAAATGGATAAAATTTATGATTTGAAAGGTTCGACTACTGACCGTACAGCAAAGGAGGGAGAAACAATATTGAAAGATGTGGACTTGATGAATGAAAATATCAAATTTAATGTGGGACAAGACTTGGCCACTGAGTTGTTATTCCAATTTAAAAAGGATGTGAATTTTTTAACTTCTTGTGAAGGTGAGTGGTTGTGTATTATTTTATCATTCGAAAGAGAATTTCACACCAATATCTTTCAACTCGTTCATGAATGAATGACACATGAAAAAACAGTCATGGATTATTCGCTAGTGGTTGGTATCATGCAACCAAAAGATACTGTCATGGATGTGACACTTCAGAATTATATCAAATACAATCGAGAAGAAAAATTACGAGACAAATTCCATGTCATGGCCAACACAACTCCCAACAAACAAGAATATTATTTTTTGGGAATTGTGGATTATTTTACTAAATATGGACTCATGAAAAAAGCAGCAAAAAACATTAAGAGCATGAAGAATGATCCTTCGACCATTTCAACCGTGCCACCAAGTAGCTATTCAGATCGATTTATGCAATTTATTTTCAAAATATTTGTTTAATGAATTTAATATTTTATTTTGTCAACATTAAATAATAAATTCTCATACTCACACAGGCCAGTTTGTGTAAAACTTCCAAAACTCTTTTATAGCCTTTAGACTTTATCTTATCTGCGCCGTATGATGAGTCTAGTGGTGTGAAAAATTGCTCGAATTTGTGAAGAGTGTTGATTCGAGCTTTCCACTCACTAGCAGTAGTGATATAGTTCATCATTTGAGGACAAGCTTGGTGGTTCAGGAATTCTAAATTCAATCAACTCTTTCACATCATTTGTTTCGAATTTCCATAATTCACGTCGAAGAATTGTTGAACATGTATTAGCTTGAGAAACGTCCATCATTCGTTCACACACTTCATTTATCGAAGATATGACACTCCTTGTGAGGAAATTTGAAACACAATAAGATGTTGCGTGATATGTTATATGGAAATATAAATTTGTTGACCAAGAAGAAGAGAAGAACGGAAAAGAATTCATCACAAATTTGTTTCAGCTTTTTTTCAAATTAATTTTTGAAATTAAAAAAAAATGAATTTTCAAAACACAAGCCAAAAACCAAACACCCGAACAACCACACCTCTCCTATTGATTCTCCTCCGATCGAAAATTGTTATGGTATTTCTATTAGTGGTCGCATGGAGTATTTCTTACGAATTAATTTCACACACGACACTGTCGACGTATTCATCCACATTTACATTTCCATCTTCATCAGATTCATCTATTGTTTTTCCAATTTCATTCTTTGATGTCAATGTTCATAGTTACCTCTACAAGGATTATGTGAATACACTGTGTGGAGTTTATTTATCTAGTTATTTTAATACTCAACAAGTGGATTATTTTGATGAAAATACACAAGTAGTACCTCCAACATTTATTGGTACCCAATTATTGACAATTATTTATGGTAAGTACATATGAAAATGATTCAAGATTATTTCACACAACAACAACACAGGTCATTGGAGCAAATACATTATTTTGGATCGATTTCTGTCGACTAGTGTTTCGGATTACATTCGTGAAGATGATTTTGTGTTTTTTAGTGATGGTTTGGATGTGATGGTTAACGGGGATTTGCAACAAATCAAACAAATTTATTTTGAATACTTGAAAGATGAAAATTTTGACATTACAAACAAGAATCAAGATTGGCCATTGTTAGTTAATTCTGAAAAGAACAAGTGGCCTCCATTAGAATTATTTAAAGGAATTAAGGTATTTGATCTATTTTATGAATATTGTGTTTGATTTTATCATTTGACCATACATTTAGAATATCAATGAACAATGGTTGCGATTGCATTATGTTCAAAATTATCCTCAAAACAAAAAATATTGTCCACCAAATTCTCCCTTTATTTACCTTAATTCAGGAATGTATTTTGGAAGAAAGCGTGATGTGAAATCCTATCTCAAAAAATCTTTTGAAATGGTTGAAGATCCCTCGAACATATTCAACGATGATCAAGCCACCCTTCAAACCATGCACGTTTCAAGATTTGCAAACAATCAATCAACAACGCATTATCCAATTATTGGAGATTGCAAAGCAGCAATGGGATTACCTACATATTTGGCATGTGATCATATTAATGTGGGTCCAAATTTTCACGATCCACAATCAACATGTAAGGTCAGTAATAATTTGGAGCCAAAGAAAACACCTCTCGTGGTTCATAGCAATGGACCTAAATGTGGAAATTTTTGTCCATGTGTACATCAAGTGACTCGACATGGAAGATTGCGAAATTATTTGGAAAAGGAAATGAAATTACAAAGAGTGGCCTCGTTAGATGGTTTGAAAAATCTTCCAAAATTGAGAGTATTATTTTATCACTCTACTTTTGATAAGATTAAGATTTTAGAGTTGACACGTTTCTGTAGTGCCAAGTCCTTGTTTGAGATTTCTCCATATAAATGCATGTTAAAATAGAAGAAAGATTTTCACATTCTCAGTCACACAAATTATAACACGAGAATCAGTCCTACAAGAGGACCAAATTACCTCTGTTTCATCAAGAGGTATCAAGGACTGAAGTATCACGCATGGGTTCCTTTTACTTTATGCTTTGTCCCACAAATACCAAGATGAATTTCACACATGGCTGGAAGTCCCAACTTGTTGCTTTTTGCCGTTCAACTGTTCATGCGTCATCTGCTCCTGAGGTGATTTTCCTTGCTGCGTATGTAAAGTTGTGGAATTGACAGTTGTGGAATTTTTGAAATGAAAGATGGGATGATACAAGGCCAATGAAACCACTGCAAATAACAAAACTCCTAAATTATTGAGAATTAAATAGAACCAATGGAAATATTTCCACTCAACAATGACAGCTCCAAAACCCATTGCAATGATTTGAAGAAAGGCACAAAGCGTGAGAGTGATTTGTAACACGACTACCTTAATGAATGCTTGTTTCGTTTGGGAGTTGTTATGCTGATGTTTGGATCGATTGAAATTGATAACTTTCAACATTTTGATGGAGACGACCTTTCATGCAACAGATGAATCATATTTCAGAATAATACCAAATTTCACAACTTACAATGGTTGCAGCTAACTGTAGGCAAATTTGAACAAGAAAGATGGAATATCCAATCGCACACAGTAGCATTTGAAAATCTTGAACTAGTTTCATTTTAGTGAAATAGCGCACGATAGCAATAATCCAAACCACTATCCAGACTGTAAATGAGAAAGTTATAGTTAACACATTGAAAAGGATTCTTGCTCTCGTGTAGCCGGTACCTAGGAATGACTTTTGAGTGCTGGTCATTTGAACTGTTCGAATGAATACATTTCCAATGAAACACATGATCAACATGAGGACACTCAAATTCGATAAGGTGAAAAACAATTCAAAACTGAGCATGGCACTCATTCCTTGTAACTTGGAGTATGGAATTACAGAACCATCGTTAATGACCAATGAACTATTTTCATACACAAATGTTTCCAAGTAGAGAGATGAATTTGAAGCATAATGATTCGCAACATAGTCTTTTGCTTGCAAAACGATGGACATGCTGATCGAGTTCCATATACCTCGACATAGGAGGCCAAGCACTTGAATAATTACGAGTATGAGAATGAGTCCAATCATGATGCATTGATTTCGTTTCATGTTGTTGTTGTTTTCTGATGATGAACGTTTACGAGCTACAGCCGATGATGAACCAAGATACTTGTAACAAGAGGTGCTGAATACAATGATAAAGATGGCGACCAAGAACAGACTACCTGCAAGAAGAGAAGTCATGATCGTATCGGGAATTGAGAAGGACAATGGATCTATTTCCATGAGAGTGATGGATAGAGTAGCTTGCGTGTGGTTGCTTGGTTGGAACATGTTCTGTGCATGGATAGCAATTGGTAGAAACGTTGATTCTAAGGCCCAAGTAGTAGTCATGGATTCGTGACAATCGTCAACTGATAGGGTAACCAGAGAGATTATTTTTGATGATAGATCTTCAGGTATGACATTCATCTGTAAATATCATGTCAAAAATAAATGCCAAAAGTACGTGTAACACGCTCAAATTTCAGAGATAAACGAAAAGTAGAATTATGGATGATCAATTTGAGAATTTTTTGAAACTCTACTTAAGCCAAAGGAACCATTAGCTAATGAGAATGTTGTTATTGTTGGACATGATTACATGTACCATCCACAGCCTGCTGTATGGACGAGGTGGCAGATAATGTCGTACAATTCTAACTAGTTACCAACATTAACTCTTATTGTTTTAGACAACAGTATCGACCACTTCTTGCGTCTCGTTGTTCAAGGCAGTTGAGTTTGAATCCAACATGACAGTTTCATTCTTTTGGTCAAGAGTGTGTTGCTGACAGGATTGAAGAGAGGATTTTCCATGTTGATGAGAGGGTGAGCCAATACTCATAGTGGTTGATGGAACGACGCTTTTGAAATGAAAGATGGGATGATAAAGAGCGAGTGAAACCACTGCAAACAACAGGATTCCAAAATTATTGAGAATTAAATAAAACCAATTGAAATAAACCCATTCACTAATGACAGCTCCAAAAGCCATTGCAACCACTTGAAGATCAGCACACAACGTGAGAGTGATTTGCAAAACTACCACCTTAATGAATGCTTGTTTGGTTTGTGAGTCGTTATGCTGATGATGGGATCGATTCGCTTTGATCACTTGCAGAACTTTGAGTGAAATGATCTTTTGAAAACCAAGTATCGTATAAGAGGCCAGATATTGGCAGTAAGGTTAGTCATTCTTACAACATACTATAACAAAATTACAAACTTACAATAGTTGCAACCAACTGGAGCCCTATTTGAACGATAAAGATTGAAAATGCAACCAAGCTCAACTCCAGGTGTATATCAGGAACTAAATTCAACTTCGTGAAAAAGAACATGATAGCTATTGTCAACATCACCAACAGGACAATGGACGACAGAATTGCTGTCACAACATTGAATAGAACTCGTGCCGTCTTGTAACCAGCACCAAGGAAGGTAGTTTGAGTGCTGGAGAGCTGAACCGTTCGAAGGAACACATTTCCAATGAAACACATGATCAACATGAGCACACTCATGTTCGATAACGTGAAAAACAATTCAAAACTGAGCATGGCACTCATTCCCAGTAATTTGGAGTATGGAATTACAGAACCATCATTAATAACTAATGAACTATTTTCATATACAAAAGTTTCCAAGTAGAGAGATGAGTTTGAAGCATAATGATTCGAAACATAATCTCTTGCTTGTGAGAGAATGGACATGCCAACCGAGTCGCAAATACATCGGAATATGAGGCCAATAACTTGGATAATCAAGAGTAATAGAATGAGTCCAATCATGATTCTTTGATTTCGTTTCATGTTGCTCAATGGATGTTGTCCAACTGAAATTCGTTTGTTGGATGAGGAACCAAGAAAGTACCTCCAACATGATGTGCTGAACACAATAATAAAGAGAATCACGACGAGAAGAACTAGCGTAATAAGAATTGAAATGATAGTATCAGGAATTAGAAAAGATAACTGATCTATTTGACCCAGTGTCAATGTGGAGTTTCTTGGATGCATGGCCTGATGGTTAGGACGATGCCAATGTCGGAGCGATGGTATGGAAATGCTTTTTTAACGTGCTCTCGATGAACAATGAGCACCGCGGAATAGACCAATTGTTTTTGATAAGAACAGCCACGATGGAGATCAGAAGAATTTTCAGCTCTCGGATGCCATTGTGGGAGAACGATGTATGACAAAAGGTCATGAGTAAAAAGGAAATTCCTGTCTCTTTCAATTTTGATGCAGTCTCTTCTTCGCTCCAACTTTCCTTCTGAGTACCGTTTCAGTAAGCATATGAGCGTCCTTAAAACGCCATTAGGGTTGCTGTTCAATATCGGAAGGTGATGGTTGTTTTCATGCTGGTCTATACTGAGCCCATTTTATTAGTTTCTCCAAAAACCGAAGTGTTGTTGTAACGTTTAACCCAACGGACATGCAGATCGAGCTCCATAAATCTAGACATTTCGTTTACGAACTATGGTCGATGAAGAACCACGAGACTTATTACAAAAGGTGCTTAATACATTCCATAATCTGTCAAAACCTGAGCTCTGATCATCTCTCACCTAACTCAAAGATTAGGGTTCATCCCTGCTTAAACACTCACAGTATTGACCGTTTCTTGTATCTCATCGTTTAGGGCAGTTGGATCCACCATGACGTTTTCATTCTTTTGGTCGATAGTCTCTTGCTGGCAGGATTGAAGAGAGGATTTTCCATGTTGATTGTTTGGTGAGCTAGTGGTAGTGGTGGATGGTGTTGGTGAAGTGAAAGTTTTGAAATGAAAGATGGGATGATAAAGAGCGAGTGAAACCACTGCAAATAACAGAATTCCAAAATTATTGAGAATTAAGTAAAACCAATTGAAATAAACCCATTCACTAACGACAGCTCCAAAAGCCATTGCAACCACTTGAAGATCAGCACACAATGTGAGAGTGATTTGCAACATTACCACTTTAATGAACGCTTGTTTGGTTTGTGAGTGGTTATGCTGATGGTTGGATCGATTCGCTTTGATGACTTGTTGTACTTTGAGAGAAATAATCTTTGAAAACCAAGAACAGTATTGTAAAAACCATGAGAGGTCATACAGTAACGTACAATAACAACTAGTTACAAAAAATGAGCTCATTGTACGAACTTACAATAGTTGCAGCCAACTGGAGATTGATTTGAATGAGAAAAATTGAAAATGCAACCAAATTCAACTCGAGCTGAAAATCGGAAAGTAATTTCAAATCTGCAAAAAAGTTCAGTATGGATATGGACCACATTACCAAAAGGACAATGGACGACAGAATTGTTGTCACAATATTGAAAAGGACTCTTGCAATCTTGTAACCAGAAGACCTTTGAGTGCTGGTAAGCTGAATGGTGCGAATGAACACATTTCCAATGAAACACATGATCAACATGAGGACACACATGTTCGATAAGGTGAAAAACAACTGAAAACTGAGCATGGCACTCATTCCCACTAATTTGGAGTATGGAACTACAGAATCATCATTAATGACCAATGAACTATTTTCATACACAAAAGTTTCCAAGTAGAGAGATGAGTTTGAAGCATAATGATTCGCAACATAATCTCTTGCTTGCAAGACAACAGAAATTGCAATCGAGTCGCTCATACATCGGAATATGAGGCCCAATACTTGAAAGATCAAGAGTATTACAATGAGTCCAATCATGATGCGTTGATTTCGTTTCATGTTGTTCAATTGAAAAGATGGACTTTGTTTGTTGGATGAGGAACCAAGAAAGTACCTCCAACATGATGTGCTGAACACAACAATAAATAATATCACAATGAGGAGAATAACAGTAATTAGTATTGAAATGACAGTATCGGGAATTAGAAAAGATAACTGGTCGAATTGTCCAAGTGTCAGTGGAGAGTGAAGAGTGGTGTTTCTTGGTTGTTGCATGGAGGAGTGTGTGGTGGTTCGATGAATCCAACTTATCTGAGGGAAGATGATGATGGAAATGCAATTTGTAAAGTGTCGAATGAGCACCGAGGATACAATGTTGACAGATTGTTTTTGAAAAAAGCCAGAACAAGAGATGCCGTTGTAGCATGATGTATGACAACATGGTCATGTGTAATTAGGAAATTCCTGTCTCTTTCAATTTTGATTCATGATTTCCTTCTGAGTACTCGTACGAGTTGATGAGCTCGTCGTTAGTGTTTTGTAACGTACTAAATGTTGCGGCTTCATTTAACGATCGGTTTGATTTTCCCATCAACACAAATGCAGAACAACAGTTAAGAACTCATTCGATGAAATTAAAATTAAATCAGAAATATTCCTTTTATATTGGCAAGAATCAGATCGAATTCCCGATTGTTGTTGGAGACTCCAAACTTTTAGAAAAAACAATTCGATCCCTCCATTAATGGCTACGAAAGACATTACATTAATTCGTAAAAACTGGGAACCAGTGATTCGAGACATTTCCAAGCGGCATCATGTATCACTCTCCTTCTATGATAAACTCATCAAAGCCGCAGGTGATTCTCAAATTGTACTCATTGGAGAAGCAAGTCATGGAACGCATGAGTTTTACAAACACAGAGCAGAGATTACCAAGAGACTCATTGAGGAAAAAGGCTTTAATTGTGTAGCTGCAGAGGCTGATTTTCCCGATTGTTTTCAAGTCAACCAATACGTGAGAAATGTTACAAACACTACCTGTGAAGACTCTCTTTCAGGATTCAAACGCTTTCCAACATGGATGTGGAGAAACACTCCAACCAAGGAGTTCCTAGAATGGTTATGTGAATACAATAAGAAATTTAGTAACATTAAGGACAAGGTTGGATTCCATGGTCTTGATTTGTACAGTTCGGACAGAAGTATGAAAGCAGTGTTGGAATATTTAGAGTCCACAGATCGGGAGGCAGCTGTCCAAGCACGAAAACGCTACGAATGCATGCAAGGTTTTATTGAGGGACGACGAACTGGTTCCTCCCTTAAAAGAGAGTGTGAGGAGAAGGTCATGCAAGTACTCATGGATTTACAGTCACGCACGAGTGATGAATTTAAAAACAACAAGACAGTCACAGATGAAGATCGCTTATTCTATGCCGTCCAGAATGCATTGGTTGTGAAGAATGCTGAAAAGTATTATCGAACCATGTTCATTGACGGAAGTTGGAATATTCGTGATACACACTTCTATGAGACTCTAAAAGAGACTTGTAAATACTATGAGAAAATATATGGAAAGCAAGCCAAAGTGGTGATCTGGGCTCACAATTCTCACGTTGGAGATGCCTCTCAAACAGATATGAACTTTGAGAGAGGAAATGAAATTAATATTGGAAGATTGTGTAGAGAAAACTTCCCGTCCAATAAGGTTTTCATTATTGGATTCACGACTTACACTGGTAGTGTCACAGCAGCAGATCATTGGGACGAGGATCCTCAATATAAGAAAGTGAATCCAGGAATGAAAGGCTCTATTGAAGAGTTGTGCTATAAGGCCACCCAGGGTCAAGGCGTTGAAAACTTTATTCTACTCTTTAAGGATAACAGTGCTACTGCGGCCTCTTCAGCAAGCGGAGTTGGTGATGTGGTTATTGATAAAGAGCTTGTTGATGAATTGGCCAAGACAAGAGAAGAAAGGGCTATTGGAGTTGTGTATCGTCCAAAGACTGAAAAACTTTCACACTACTTTGGGGCTAAAGTCTCCAAACAGTTTGATGCCTTAATTCACTTCAATGTGACCAAAGCAGTTCATCCATTGGACACCCAACATGAATGGGCAAAGAAAGAATTGGAAGAAACTTATCCAACAGGTCTCTAAGTACATCTTACTCGGTTCCAATGTAATATTGTCAGTAAAACAACAGTTCGATCAAGAATAAATTTAAAAACTAAAAAAAATGCAAACAATAAGCGGAGTGAAGGCTATCCAAGCAATTCGAACGTGTGATTTGGATATGTATTTCAGCCTCATGATGTAGGTTTTTAATTTCAATACATCAACCGAATTTTTATAAATTAATAATAATTATTGTTTTTCATGCAACACGATTTTGAAACACGGTATGATCGGAATATATCTAATAATTTATTTGAATCCCGATATTGAAATTTGATGATTTCTGAATATAAGAGGTGAATTGGATGGAGACCTTGATAGTGATTTTCTCAACGGAAAAACAGGAGAGAACAATGCAGCTATTGATTTTTCTCTGTCAGCAAATCAGAACATGTACGGCAACAAGATTGAAGATTTCATTTGCACTCCACTCACACCTTCGTCATTGTATAAACCAAAATTGGAGGACATGTACGTGGAATGTGGACTCTATGTAAATAATAGCTTGATTTGCCCTAAAATGAAAACGTCCTATAAACACCAGAGCAAGAACATCAAAGGGTATGTATTAGAAATGGCATGAACGTTGCACTCATCAACCACGATACAGCTGGAAAGAGTGGATCGTATTTCCTGTAAAATATTCCGAATTGCCTTTAAACACAGTGGTTTGTGTGACAATAATAGATACATTCTTACCACGAAAACCCATGACCGTGGCAAGCTCTACATATTCCATATTTGATACATCTACCAAGTAGGTTGAGAGAGTGTCTCGTTGTGATTTTAACATTTTTATTTAGATTGTTACGAAGAGGAAAACACAAGTGTGTATTGTCACCTTTGGTGGAACCTAACACATCTACACCCTCACTTAATACGATTTATAATACTACCGATTTACTCACCAGAATTGAAATGGTATGTAAAAATTTTGGAGGATAAGTGGGATTCATTTTTGCTGCCAAATAGAATTTATATGGAGATCATTGGAGCGATGAAAAATCAAGATGGCTAATTAATGCATCATTAAAAGCAGTAAATAATATGAGACGAGAAGGTCTACTATCAAGAAAAGGAATTGCGTTTTTAGATTTAGAATTTGTTGATTTTCCTGAGCCTGTAATATTCTATGAAGGAGAACCTCAAACTGGAATTCATCGAGAGATACCCCTTTCGACGCTAAACAGCTTCAAACAGCAAAACAAGCTCATTAATACAGGAGAGCCGCTAATCAAATATTTTGACACCAAAGGAGTACAATTTCTCGTAGATCCTGAGGTTCAAAGAGGCAAAGAGAACCCATCTGTCACAAAGCATATCAAATTGACCATGAAAGTCAGTGACAACCACTTACATTACCCAGATGTTGACGATAAGAGAAAATTGGAAAATATTGTAAAAAAAACACCTCTCCAAGAAATCACCTCCGAAGACACTCTCTTATTGTGGAAATACAGAAAGTTTCTTCAGGGCGAAAAACGTATAGGAGAAAAAGCTTTAACCAAGTTTTTGAGAGTGGTAGATTGGAGAAAGGAAGAAGAGGCCCGAGAAGCAATATCTTTACTGGATGGTTGGACAAAAATTGACACAACAGATGCTCTCTTTTTGTTAAGCAAACATTTCAAAGGAGTAGATGCAGTACGAAACTATGCCATTTCTGTACTGAAAGACGTAACCGATAAGGAGCTACTCTCTGTGCTACTTCAACTTGTACAGGCTCTTAGGTATGAGCACGATATGAGAACTTGTAAATTAGCAGATCTCTTGATCGAGAGGTCACAAAAATCATTCATTGTAGCAAACGATCTATTTTGGTTTTTAACCATAGCAGCAGAAGATAAGATTATGGGCGAATTTTATTCCTCCCTTTTAAGACGATTTAAGGAACATTGTAAAACGGTATGTTATATTTTACAATCCTCAGAATTCTGTTGACCTGAGCAAAAATACCAGAAATGCCCTCAATTTGTCGATCAATTTCTACGTCAACAAAAATTGGTCCGTAACTTGAGTAATATTTGCCAAACCATGAAAGAAGGATCTCGAGATCAAACTAAGCTTTTAATGTTGAAAGCCAAGTTTGAATCGATAAAGAATGGAGAAGGAGGAATGGAATGGAATGGCGTTTTTGATGATTCTTCTGCATTACGATTGCCACTAGATCCTGTAGTTGCTGTTAAAACGGTTGATCCAAGCAGTGTGACTATATTCTCGAGTAATGCAAGGCCAATGCGATTAAGCTTTATCACAAAGGACGATAAAAAGTATACTACGATATTTAAAATCGGTGACGATTTAAGACAGGATCAACTTGTCATTCAATTAATACACAAGATGGATATGATTCTAAAAGACCACGGAATGGATTTGAAGTTAACTCCTTATCGAGTACTTGCCTGTGGCTCAGTTGAAGGATTTTTAGAATGTGTAACACCAAGCATGCCCTTTGAAAAAATTATTAAGACAAACACAATAGAAGGATGGCTACGTGAAGAGAATAAGCACAAGTCTCCTCAAGAGCTCAATGAAGTGTTTGACAACTTTATGAAGAGTTGTGCTGGATATTGTGTCATTACATACATTTTAGGAGTTGGCGATAGGCACTTGGACAATATTTTACTCACACCAGATGGAAGGTTATTCCACATTGACTTTGGTTGGATTCTTGGACACGGTAAGTTCTTGTTGAATAACCTCGCTCTTCTGTAATTTCGTAAATTCGTTTTATATTTAATGATGAAATGCTCAAAAAGATCCAAAACCATATCCTCCACCAATGAAATTAAGTGCTGACATGATCTTGGGTATGGGAGGTGCCCACAGCGATCGTTACAAAAACTTTATCAAACTATGTTGCAATGCATTTAACATTTTACGAGCTCATTCGAGAATTATTCTCAACTTATTGATTCTAATGGTGGATGCAAACATTCCTCATATTGACTATGGTATTGCCTCCAATAGAACCACAGGAGATCAAATGACTAACATTTTAACCGTTCAACAACGATTGTGTCTTGATGTGAGTGAAGAAGAAGCCCTACAATTTATGAAAGGCATTATTTCAGAGAGTGAAAAGGCATTCTTTGGAAAGGTGCATGATCATTTACACAGATGGGCTCAATATTGGAGAAATTAATGTTTTTATTGTGATGAATACATGTGTTTCAACATTGCAACAATTGTTTTTGCCACACCTTTCTCAAACTTTTCTTTTTTCGATCTCACCTGTCAAACGCCACTCCATCACTGAAAAAATGTCTTCTCCATCCACACTGGTGCCACAATCTGACCCACCACTGATCATTGAGCCATCATCATCAGACAACAACAAGTCATCCAAACGAAACTCGAAACAAGATCTCTCTCCCACTGCTGCAACTGCAACCACTACCACACCAAACAATACGGAATCACCGCCACCACCACAACCTACCACAACATCCGAATCGGGTGGTTCCAATAACAACAACAACAATAACAACAATACCAACAACACGAACACTCCTCTACCAACTCCTACAAAAATCGAAGATGAAAAAAAGAAAGTTGGTTTCGGTAAACGAGCCAAGAATTTAATTGGAAAATTCTTTGGACAAGAAACGGAAGAAGAACGATTGGAGAGAGAACAATTATTGATTTTCCAAAAAGAAGAGGCAAGAAGGAAAAAGAAGGATCTCTTACTTGGAGCGTCATTCTATCAGGATGAGTATCAAGGAGGTGTTTTTGATGATCAGTCCGATTTTTTCAATTCATGGAAGGCACACTCGGTCGATCACGAAGATGCAGAATACGATGCAAAAGTGTCAGAATTGAAATCGAATACGGTTGAAGAGAAACAAGAGCCGCAAAAGAAGGAAGAGTCAGACGATGAACAATTGACCGATGATGAGTTTTCTGATGATTCTGAAGAGGATAGTGACAATGGAGAATCCAAAAATCAAACATTCATGGTCTCTCAAGAAAATGAATATGTTCAAAGATTTATTCAGGAGAGACGTGAAATGCAATCCAAATTTACTGTTGGTGAAGTGGATCGTTTGAAATTATATGGTAATATTGTTGATTATACCATGTCAAGCGTGGAATCGAGCGAAATTTCAGACAGAATTTTACACGTGGTTGCCTATAGAGATCGAATTCTGTTTGCCGATGAATACGACCATTTGATTGAAGTGAAATTCGATAAAAGAAAGGAGCTCAAAGGATATGTTGTGAAGAAAATATTCCTCTCCATTCCTCATGCTTATGAATGTTACGTAGTGTTGGAAAATCCAAGTCAACAAAGTTTTGTGCACTATGTGATTGATATCAATCGTAAAAGGTTCGAACAAAGTGACGCCGAACGGACTGAAAACAAAGAACCACTCACGTTTGACATGTACAAGTTTGATCCAAAAATTTCAGGCTCATCTCCACAAAAACCAGTATTTGATGGCTCCAATTATATAACTGCTATTGGATTTCCACATTCCGTCGTTCAAGACGATGTCATTACCAGAAAAATTCTATTCATGGCTGTCTCGCCTGGAAACGTAATTTACAAGGTTGATTTCAATGCTGAGGGTGAAGAGTATGACTATTTTATTAATTTCAAGGGAATTGACAAGGTAACTTGTGAAGAGGTCTATAACATGGACACCTTGTATAATGAGAAACAAATCATTGTACATACTCACCGACAAGGATTCTCGATTGATAGCATTGAATTTGCTGAAGTTAAGGAAATGAATGAATTTATGGCATTTGTTTCAAGTGTGGCTGGTGTTGCAGTTTTCACAGGAAGTGGAGAAATTACTGATATTTTCGATCGATACGGACCAGAACAATCCATGATTCCAGCATTTAGAAATTTCGATGAGGAAGAACAACTTGTCGACATGGACAAGCCAAAAGGTTTTTATCGAAGCATTTTGAAAGTTTACGACTCCACCTGCTTTGCTTGTATCACTTCCAAGTATATTGCATTTGGAAGAATTTACAGTGACGCTCAAAAAACTCTCGACCGTGCAGGTAGACTTCCTCATAAGAATCCGAACGATGTACCTGTTGATATTGAACTGAACAGTTTCCATCTCTTTGTGTGTTACAAGGATGAATTTTGTGTACTCATGCAACCAGCATATTTGCCACCCTCGAACTCTAGATATTCATTGTTGAGTAAGCATGTAGTCACTGTCAGGCTGATCAATACGCTTGGTGTGAAAATTGATCGATCCATTATTGATAAATCGAGAGAAGAGAGCAACGAATCCATCTATGTCTACAGCTCATCCAAATTGTTTAGAGTTTCAATTTCTGATCAAGCCAAGGGATTCTGGAGAATATTCTTGGATGCAGCTTTGGAAATTGAAGATCAAGATATGGAGAGAATCAAATCTGAATACTTTAAGAAAGCTCTCCATTTGTCAGCTTTGTTTGATATGAATTCTGAAGAAAATACTATGGCTATTTTCTCAGCAAAAGCAGACCACCATTTTAAGAAAGGAGATTATAACACTGCTGCTCTTGATTATGCCAGAACCAACAGAAACTTTGAAGAAATTGCAATGAAATTTATGGAAGCAGATCCTGAAGATAAGAAAAATGGACTCTATAATTATCTTTACTACATGTTGCACAGATATGTAAGTTTTCTAGTTTGATCATGCCTTCATGAATTGTACATACATATTTTTTTGACATTTGACAGAAAAACGATAAGAAGAAAATGGAAGAATGTCCAGAAAGCGTCATTCTTTCCGTATGGATTGTTGAATTATTGTGTTTCAAGATGAATCAACAACGACATATTATGGGCAAATTCATCACTGTTGCTTGCTCCGAAGATCAATACAAAGAACAACTCAATGAAAAGTCAAAAGCTGAACAACAGCTCCACAAGATCAAAACCGTTTTACGAAAATTCACTTACAATAAGAAGGAATTGCTTGCGAAAGCTAAAGACATTGTGTACAATATTTTCTTGAGTAATAACTTTGTGAGAGAATTTTTGTTCTTTGCTACTTCCATTGGTGACTATCTCACTATCATTCAACATTGTGTCACAATGGCCAAGAGCAGCGAATATGAAAACAATCACTCCAAAGAGTTGAGTTATTATGAAACGGCGTACACCATTTTGAACAATTTCTGCACGGAACCTCACGCCTTCGATAAGAATAATGATGAAACTGCTCCACAAAATCAAATTTGGTATCGATACACTCCACTTCTCATGAACTATGAAAAACGAGATGAAATTGTGAAATCCTTCAAGAGATTACAATTCCTCAATCCAAGAGATCTTGTTCCATCCATCTTAAAGTATGATCAAATTATGAGATCTGGACCTACTCGAAGAAGATCCATGAGACAAGATGAATCTCAAGTTTTGGACTATTTGAAATGGTGTATTGAAGATCAAAAGAATGAGAATAGAACGGTTCATGATCTTTTCGTCTACCTGTTGGTGAATAATAGACATACAGAATTGTTAGAAACCTTCTTGAAAGAGACTAAAGAATCAGAAAATGTTTACTTTACCAAAGAATATGCATTGCGATTAGCTGTTGAAGGAAGAAAGTGGACTGCTTGTGTTCTTTTATATCGATTATTGGAATTGTATGAAGAAGCTGTCGATCTCGCACTTGACTCCAAAGTCAACAAAGTTAAATTGGCTGAAGAAACAGTGTCACAATATGTGGAAGATCCTGAGCTCAAGAAGAAACTTGCTATCAAGATTGTAAAGCACTACATTAAGGAAGAAAATTACAGAAAGGCGTTAGATTTGATTAGTGACTTTAATGATGTGCTACTGTTGGATGATGTCATCAAATACTTCCCACCAAAGGTTCAACTCGATGAAGTGATCAAAGACGTTGAATCCATTCTTGACGTCTACTCTTTCCAAAACAACAAGGTTGAAGTTCAAATGCGAGATGCCACAAACGATGCCGAATTAATCAGAAACGAACTTTCCTCCATGAATGTTTATCATGACATTGACTATGATGACATTTGTGAAAGATGTAAATCACGAGTACTTCTTCCCAATATGAACGACCCACAAGATCGAAAGAACTTTTTCTTCTACGTTTTCCCATCTGGACAAAAATTCCACTTGAATTGTTTATACAGAATTAACAAACATCAACTTGAAAATCAATTAATTGCAGTTGACGAAAGAGCAATTGAAGCAGGTCGAAAAGAAGCCACACAAAATCATTTGAAACTTTTCCGAGAAAAGAAATTTAAAAAACAAAAGAAATTAGAAAAATTATTACGCTCAGCAGATAAGGCAGAAAAGGAAAGTGACATTAGCAAGTATCAATTCAAGATCAAAATGCTCGATAACACAATTAATGAAATCAAACAAGGAAAATTCCAATTCACAACCGTTGAGGCCATTTACACTTCTGAGGAATTAAAACAACGAAATGCACTCCTTGAAAAGATTCACAAATTGAAGGAAATTTATGAAAATTGGCATAAAGCCAGATTAGAACTTGCTGAAGCACTCAATGACGGAAGTGAAAAGACACAACTCTACTGGCAACTCGAATTTAAGAATGCCAGCAAACAATTGGATGACATTCTTGGAAAATCTTGCCCTACTGATGGACCCACGGTGGTTTCTGAGACCACTATTCCTTTCATTACAGACGAAGAAAGGATGACCAATGAATTTGTTGTTTAACAACAATTTTGTTCCAGCTCAAGATTGAAATTGTTATTTATATAAATTTATTTATAATAAAAAAATGTCGCAAAATCAAAATTCAACCCGTGATGATACTCTTGGCAATGAAGAGAATAACAGAACCACCGAAGAACGCTCCTCACAATTGCCTTCCGAAGTGGAACCACCAACTAAAAAGTTGAAAGAATTTGATGAGAATTTAAAGAAGGAGATTGATACTACGGACAACTCTTCATCATCAAACAATAAGATCACTATTTCGGAACAAAATTCTTCTGCAGGATCAACAGAATCTAATACTAGCTCTGGTTCAGAAACCCAAACTACTACTACTACTCCCACCAAGTGTAAGGCTACGACTTGTCCTTTCTTTGGAAATCCAAAATCGGAAGGTTATTGTTCCGTTTGTTATCGACAAGTTGTTCTCAAGGAAACAATTCCAACAACAAATAACCTCCAGACACAATCTCGTCAACGAACTAGCCAAGAAAATCCTCTTCAAGAAGCAATTAGGAATGGTCAGTTAGAACGAGTGAAAACATTAATATTGGAAGAGAAAAGAAGCGTCAACGAAGAGCATTATGTTTCGGGAGATGAAGATTTAGGACCTTGGACACCACTAGGCACAGCTTGTTTTTATGGTGAAACAGATATTGTGTTGTTTTTGTTGAGCCAACCTGGAATTGATGTCAACAAGGAAATATATGGAAATACGTATCCAATTAATTCATGCATGCAAAATCATCGATTCGAGACGGCAAGGCAATTCATTAACGAATGTAAAAAACGTAACATTTTCCTTGATTTGAATAAGAAAGGGTACATGAATTGCACACCTTTGGAGACTTGTTGTTACGAAGCAATTTGCAAAAACAACGCCAACGAACAGGAACCATTTGTTGAGATGGTTTTATTTCTCGTGAAGGAAGGAGCTGAGCCTCTCATTGTTACACATCATTTTAGTGCTAACAAGATGTTAGACATTTTAGATAGAGCCTTACAACGTCTTTAAGTCTGTGCATTTATGGAGTTTGTTGTCAATATTGAAGATTCGTATTCAGACAAGTTAGAACTATTGGATGTCAACTGCGCGGATGATGTCAGCAAGTTGACTGACAAAGGATAAACATCGCAAAAAAAAACGTAAAGTCAAAATGATTGCTTTGCACATGTTGACCGTACTGTTGGCAGATTATCTGTCCTACATTCAAGTGTGTTCAATGATTTTCGGTCCACTCAAGCTCTTGATTTTCATGTGGTATTTGAAAACCATTCGCCACGAAGCCAAAATGCTTTCCAAGATTTTGATTGCTCCGACATTGGCAGCTTCTGATGTACACTCTTCTTCACAACAAGGAGGAGAGGAACAGCACAAGTCTACCAACTACATCAGAAAGCGCATTGTTTGCCAAGTACCTGATCCAGTTCCAGTCCAACAATTGCTTCATTTCAATGCTTTTCAAACCATTTGGATGAATGTGAACAAAAAAGATCAACGTTCTGTTCAAATGCATCGTTCCCTCTTTGAACCCAATCACTACAGACCTGTCATTACATTCTTTGGAAAAACTCCAATTGTGACCTTTGCTTCTGTGGACGCATGTAAAACCATCTTGACGAAATGGAGAGAATTTCCAAAGGATCCAATCATGCTCAGTGATGATGTACATCGCTTTGTGGGTAGAAATGTCGTATTTGTGAATGGTGATGAATGGAAGAGACAACGCTCTGTCATGAATCCTGCATTCAACGATATTCCCGTATTAAATTATAGCCATACTAGAAAAGTATAGCAAAATATTTGTAAAAACTTATATCTTCCAGCTACATCTGCAACTATAAAATTTAGTCGACTCTAGATCCACTTATAGCTTGAGATATAGTTTTTAGGTCTAGATGATACAAGACCAAGTTGTAGCTTTACTTTTGGATAACTTTCTACAATTATAATTAAATGTAACACACTTTTTTTATTATTTTTGATATTCACAAGTTTGAAGCAAGAAGAAAATATCTTTATTGAACACTGTATTTACCTATCAGAGCCTGCAATTCACCTCTTGTCATTATTGGAGCTGTTGCAATTTCACTGTCATTACATCCTTTTTGTGAGAGGTACTGCATGTAGCTTATTATGTACATCCCACAATCGATACCATTTTGTTGTCGTTTGCAGCTCTACAATATTAGATAATATTAATAGTTAGTTATGACATTCACGAAAATACGTACCTTGCAGCTTTTGAATTCTATGTTAAAGTCTGTTAAAAATATATTCATGAACTGTTGTAGGTGTACCAAATAATCGTCGTGATGCCTTCCAAGAGAGTCATACAGGGTTGCAGTTCCGCTTTTTTTCTTGAAGTTCAGGTCAAATAGGAAGAGAAAGAAGTAATCGTCTCTGCAACCTGGAACAAACACCTTATTTGCTACAAGATCTGTATGCTTAAAACTGGTGCAGGAAATGCCAAGCACGCTAAAATATTGAAAATTGTCATATTTTTCATCTATGTAACTAAGGAAAGCCTAAAACTTTTCATAGTAGAGTATAGAGTACTTACAGAATAAAAAAATCTACTAACATATCGTTTAAATATTCAAAATTCTGCAATCTTTCCAAGTCTCTTCGCAAAATTTTAATGGTTTTGAACTGGGCAACGACTTCTGTTTCTGAGGCTGAAGGCGAGGACGAGGCTGATTTCTTTCTTTTGTTCCTTTTGTCTAATTCCTCATCGTCGCTAATTTCTCCAACACCAGAAATCTTGTCATCATCGTCTGATTTAAACAGATGGTGATTGGAGTAATATTTGGTTAGGTCGACTGAGAAATCTCGGTGAACCGAATGGATCTGAAAGAATTTTACAATACTCTCGTAGTCCTCTTTGGCCCAGTCTGTAATATTGATTGATGCGATAGTTGCAACCTAATAAAATGAAGTTAATGTGACTGTTCAAATATACTTACATATTTCACAATTTCGTGGACATAATTACTTTTCTTTCTTCATCGGTAATTGGAAGTTGTTCAGCACTAAAGGATTTCCTTTTCTTCCTTTGCAATTGTGATGTATCTGAGTTGTCTTCCACCAACTCTATTATTTGTTTGCAGGTTCTTACCAGCAGGCAAGAGCCTTCTGAAACCTTAGATTCCAACCTTTTGTATTCTTCCAGCTCGGTAGTTTTTTTTTCCAATTCCTTTGTCAAACTAGCTACTTTCTTTTCGGAATCGCAAAGTTTTTCTTTGTATCTCTCGATTTCGGATTCCAATAATTGAAAAACTCTTTCTTTTCTTTCGTCACTCTCCCATGAAGAAAGAGGTGCTGGAGGAGTGCATGATTATTTCAGGTATATAACTGCATAATTGTTAATAAACTTACCTTGTGGAAGTTGTGAACTAACACCAATACTTTCAATAAAAGGTGAAGAAATGGGAGACAACGGTGGTGACAAAACAGACTTTCCCAGTTGTCTATCATCTGACGATAGAGGCGTCAGTGAGGGCATTTGCATTAAAAACAACTGTTTGGATGGGGTACTTTCGTTTTCAGTGGTCTTCTTCGTATCGTCTCCGTCGTCTACACCTTCTCCGTTCTCTCTAATTGGATTTGTGAACACTAAGTGCACAGAAGTATAAATTATATTGGAGATACATGTCATTGATGCAACCTTCTGTTGCATCGCCTTTGTCTGCAAAGTACTTTTTAATTTTTGCAAAGGCTGTTTTAACCTCGTTCATTGACTTGAGTGTGAAAGGAGTCTTTTTTGTGTTGAAATATTTCTTGTGGTAAATAAATCTGATAACGGCTTCTCTGATAGTGCTAAACGAAGATGGTGGTTCAGTGTCATCGTTTTTGAGTGCTTGAAGCAACTCTTCTAACGGTTTAACAAATGTTGTGTCGTTTGGAAGAACAGCACGCCCTGAAACGTTTGGCATTTTTTTTTCCCAAATTTTTGTTGTTTACAACAAGCATGCTTTGTCATTTGGTTCAACAAGCAACAGAGGAAACAGTTGCGCTCCATTAAATCAACATTTGAGAAGTACAACGAAGTAATAAATTCTCGAAAACGAAAAAAGTGTTCAACAAAAAACGATGATTACGAATATGGGACACCTGAAATTTGCAAGACAAATGTCGAACTTGACAGCAATGATAATGCACCTGAGGATGATGAGTGGGAGCCTAGTTTTGGATACGATGATTTCAATGAAGAAAATTTAATTAATCTCAGTCCGTTCGATCCTACTCTATTTTGGCTGATTCCGTTATTTTGTTTGGTATGAACCATTTAACATTAGTGTCACACAGATTAATTCACTATCCCTATTTTATTTCTTGGCATGGACCTGTATATTTATCCTCAGGATTTCCAATTTAAGACTCCATTCGTCGATTTACCTCTGCTATCACAGGAACCAATTACGTGGAAAGAAAATGTTTGCACACTCTATTGGTGCAAAAACAATTACATTACGTCAAAAGGATTAATGGTGACGTGAAAATGAGATTTGGAATAGGAAATTGTCGTTACGTTTACAATCCTGTTTTTGGATTTGCTTTGAAGGTAGAGAAGGAAGGAATGGTTTCAATCTTTCCATGTTACCATGTCATTAGCAATGAAGAACCTAAAATTACAGGACGAGCCTGTGTCATCCATTCATTAGATAACTTTGTTCCGTGTGTTGTAGTTAAGATAAGCAACGCAACATGTGTTCTTGTGTCTTATCACTCAAATAGACTGTCGTTTGTTAAATTGTTTGCCTTGAAGGCATGATTATAGAGATGGTCTTTTTGCTGTTTGTTTTCTTCGGAACAAGTCCTGGTGTAAAGTGACTTTGGGACAAATTCAATTCTGATGAAATAATGCTGGGTCAATGCTTGCTGGGTGGTATTGGCTGTCTCTTCTGGTGATGTTGCAAGGCCTCATGAATTGTTGTACTAACAATCTTCTTCCAAAGACAACAAAATATCGACTTCGATTTGTTCCAACTTTCAGTGGAAAAGCGGAGGATCCGCTCCAGCGATTCCTGGATTTTTATTTTTGGTTGAGGATCAGTTGAATCGTGAAGTTTCATGATCGGCTGAGGATGCGTGGGCTGCAGATTTGTCAGGGCCCTCCTCAAATATGAGATATTGTTTGTAAAATATTGAAAATAAATGATTCTTCATTTCGGATGTACAATCGTAACCAACCAAAAGTATATTCATTCTAGAATCTTCTAGTATTTTAACACTTATAGACTCAGATGTAGCTCTAGACGCTCTATAAAGTTATAGCGCATCTAAAACTGTGACGTGTTCTAGATAAAACTCTAGAAGTCGCATTTTATTGCTAAAACCAGTTATAGCTACTAAACTTTCATACGGGATTGAAAGATTCACTCATGTATTTGTTGAGAATTGTGAAAAAGCGGTCCAGTTATTGAGCGAACAGTTGAATTCAAGTGAGACGAACAAGAACAAACAATTGGACCATGTGATTGTTTCTCCTTCGATTGTTACGACCAGATTGGCTTTAGATGTATTGGGAATGACTGTTTTCAACGTCAAGTTCAATTATCTTTCTGAATTGTTTTGTGAGGATCAATCTACCAGCTCCATGATTCAGAGTGACAGGCCAACAACCAACAAGAAGATGTTAGACGCATATCATTACATTATGAATCACATTCTTAATCCTGGACGACTATTTCTTGGAAAGATGTACACTTCTTTACCACTTGAAAGTAATAGAAAAATGGATCAAGCTTTGGATACTTTCAACGAACAATTGATGCATTTGATTCAGCAATGTAAGGAAGAGAAGAGTGGTCACACTACATTTGAGGAAAAGGAGCAAAGCCTGCTTCAAATGATGGTCAATTCCGTTGATGAAGAAGGATCTGGATTGACTAATTCGGAATTGAAAGATAACTGTGCAGTATTCTTCTTAGCTGGTATGTACTTGTGTTGAGTTCATTATTGAACGAATTGATATTCACTTTGTATTGTCCTTATATTAAGGTCATGAGGTAATTATTTCACATTCGAATAATTTTCTTAATCCATTGTTTCTTCGATCTATATATTTGAATGAACTTTCAGACAACTGCCAGTGCCTTATCTTCATTGTTCTACTCACTCGCGAAAAATCCACATGTTCAAGACAAGCTTTATGAAGAAATTTGTTCAACATTTTCCAATGATGAAACCTCTGTAATTAATTATCAAAAACTTCATGATATGCCATACTTGGAATGTGTGCTCAAGGAGAATCTTAGATTATATCCACCCATTGCTCTACTTCCAGGCAGAATGTTGCAATCATCTCAAGTCATCGATGGGTATAAAGTTCCAAAAGGTTTCGTTGTCAGCTTGAACATTTTCAGTTTACATAGAAATCCTCAAGTTTGGGGAGAGGATGCTGAGGAGTTTAGACCTGAAAGATTTATGGAGAATATTTATCCACCCTTTGCATTGGCTCCATTTGGTGGAGGCCCTCGTTTGTGTATTGTAAGTTATGAGTTGTAGTAGCAATATTTCACATATTTAAATACCAATCACATAGGGAAAGCAATTTTCGTTGACTGAACAAAAAGCTTTTGCTGTTACCTTATTGAAACGTTTTAAAATTGAGTTGTTGCATCCAGGGCAGGTCATGCATTTCAATAAGAATACACCATCTCTTGCTCCGGTGGAAGACTTCAAGTTGAAGCTTGTAAGAAGATTTGATTATTAGCGTACGGTGTTACAGTTTGTGCGATTCAATTAAAAATTTTAACTGTTTTTCGTGCCAACTCACAAACAATTAATTCTCCTGTTATTCTATTTAAACACAATCCCGTATGGTTGCTTCCAGAAAAAGTAGAAAAAGGTTCGCTCAATAAATCAAATTTTCTCACCAAAGTACCGTCTAAGGTGAACACTTGAATTGTTGAATGATCACTTGTAATGATACAATTTGATGCCTTGTCGAATACAATTGAACATGGATCAATAAGATGTCCCACATTACGAGTATCATCCCATGAGCCAGTGGGTATCCAATGGCTGTTATGGATTTCATCGACTCTCAGTAGTGTTAACTTCCGGTCAATGAAAGTGATTAAATGGCCATCATTAGTAAAGTCTAAACAGTATGGTGTGTTTCCGGTCAACTGGATGCGCCTACAAATTTCACCCGATTTTAAATGAAGCATCATAATAGAGTATTCGTTTTGCACACAAATAAATAGCATTTGTGCCGAATCTAAAACTCTCATTCCATTAACGCGTCCCATAAAATAAGAATACCAGAGAGTGTATTCCCAATCTTTCCATTTCCTTGTTGTTTGGTCAACAAACAAGTTCAATTGATATTTGTAAACATCTGTTCCATGATGTGAACAATTAAATATTATGGCATCATTTCTTCTTTCATCGAAATTTTCTTCAATGCACATATAACCTGGGACACCTCTACATTGAATAGACGTTTTGAACCGTAGTGTTGTCAAGCTAAATATTTGAATGTAACGATAATCACTCACTAAAAGGCAATCATGATTATACGATATGGCTACATCAAAAGGAGCCGTAGGCTGAAAATGTTGCTCATCCTCATGGACATTTCCTAGAATTTGAGTTAATTCAAATTTCATGGAAAACGGTTTCCATCGATAGGACATGATGTGCTTTTGTAATTTTTGAAATAAATCAATCATGACATTATTATCTTCATGTTGGTAATTTCGGCAACGACATCTTGTTGGATCATCATCATGCATTTGTTCATTAAAATTAATTAATATTAAAATCACAATTTCGTTCTTTTTATCCGAATTAGCATCTGTTTTGCTGATCGGTGTTGAATACATTGAATCATCACGTTCTTCCGCTGTCAGTTCTTGCACTTTAAGTGTATTAGAAGGAACAATGTTGTTATTGCCTGATGGTGAGGCTTTTAAATGTTTTGGGTGCGATTGGCCCATTTCTCGCCATTTTTTGAATTACAAAATATATCTAAAGTAACGATAATGAAAACAGCTGTTCAGCACGTTTATGGCATGCTACGGCAACATGTTCAAGGGAGCAATCCACAGAAGCTACATTTTTCTTCACACGATGAACACCAACACTAAAAAAATGTCTGAACAAGAGCATGGCTCTCCCGAACTTGCACCATCGGAGACCAATAATGACAACAATTCCAATGAATCCGTTATCAACAATAATGATGAAAAACACCAAGATATTAACAACAATCAACAAACAGATAAAAAGTTGAGCAAGGAAGAGAAATTACAAAAACGAAAGGAAAGATGGGACAATAAACGAGAAAAATTCAAGAATCACAAAAAGAAAAAGAAGGAAATCAAGCAAGAACAAAAAAAGAAGGAAAGTGATGAATTCTTTGAAAAGTTAAGAGAGGAGTTGTCAAAAGAGGAATTTGATAAATTGATGGAGGAAAATAAGAAAAAGAAGGAAGCACGAATCGAATCACAAAGAAAGCAAAAAGAAGAAATGCACAAAAAATTACAACAAGTGATGACCAATGGCCTTTCCAATGATTCAAACGTATGCATTAATATTGACTGCTCGTTTAATGACAAGATGACCGACGGAGAAATTGTATCATTGTCCCAACAACTTGGAAAATGTTACGCTGCATATAGAAAAATGAGTTCTCCTTTTTATTTGACAGCAACTTCATTGGATGGTGCATTATATGAAGATATGAAAAAGTTTGAAGGATTTCCAGAAAAATGGCTCATGCACCATACCACAAACCATTTCACAAAAGAATTTGAAAAGCAATATAAGGAAAATAAGATTATTTATTTATCAGCGGATGCAGAAGAGGAAATTACAGAATTTCAAAATGGTTATGTCTATGTCATGTAAGTTTTCATAATCTTTTTCCAATGGTTGAACATACACATCATCATGACAACAAAACCTGACAAAATTTTGTGTTCATGAACACGGTTGATATACTTTCCATAGTGGTGGAATTATTGATCGAAACAGACATAAAAATCTCTGCAACACTCTCGCCAAGGATGACTACAAACTCCCAACAGCTAAATTTCCTCTCGAGAAACACGTAGATATGAAAGCTGCCACCGTCCTCACCACCAATCAATGTGTTGAAATCATTGCCACTGTAATGGAATTGAAACAACAAAATCCCTCTCAGAGCCATGACGACATTTGGAATCAAGCGCTCCAACAAATTATTCCCCTTAGAAAACGAAAAGTTTAGGCGCCAAAAAAAAATTACAAAATGAAACCACGAGACGACTCTTATCCACTCGAAGAGGGTGAGGAAGGTTATCATGAAGAAGACATGACGGTTCCGAACTCTTGCACAAAACAAGTACGATTTGAAGAAAAATATTCGGAATTGAGGCCACCTTCTTCCACATTATCAAAATCTAATAACAGCAACAACAACAAATCAAATACAATACACCGAGATGAAACTTGTTTAAAACCAATGTCAAATGTTGACACGGAAACAAACCAAAAAATAACAATGGCCATGCAATCCATCATGAAAAAACTAGGGAAGGAAATGATTCGGGATAGAATGAAGAGGAATATTGGAAATGATGATCCTCTAGATTTGGAATCTGTAACATTAGCTATAGAATTTTTCAAACGAGAGGAGAAAGGTAGGTGGTATTCCACAACCACATTTAAGAGAAATAATCTATATCTAACATCATGTATTAGATTTTGAGGAGCGTAAAGCAAATTGGATAAGCGTTGAAATTGTTTATCAAATTCACGATTTGGTCATAAAAACACGAATACTTCAACAAAATGGACTTGTAAATATTGAAAAATTGAAATCGGTGATTGGAACACGAGTGAAAATTGGATCAACAATTTTAGATGTGCTCCTGGCAAAGACAACAAGTGTCAATGAACCTTGTTCCTTGGAATACAACAAATTTCTTGCGTTTTGTTTGACCCTCACTGGTGATACTGTCTTTACCATTTTGGAAAATGCTCTCTCTTTATTTTGTGCATCAGGAACCGTTTCAGTGCATGAACAAAGCGAGGACGATATTGTTGCTATTGACGAGTTTATGTATTGTATCAAATTTTTGGCAGAAGAGGAAGCAAGGTGTGAAAATAAGGAGGTATCTCAAGAGCTAAAAATGATGTATGAAGAGCTTTCTGGGCTGTCCAAAGAAGAAGCCTTCATCACGAGAGGAATGGTAATTTCGAGTTTATCCTGGCAATCACTACTGGAAATAGAATTCAAGAAAGTTGGCAGTTAAGTACGATGGAATAACGACGAATGTTAGAAATAAATTGTCAAGTTAAGGCAGAACTTTATTCCTTAATGCTCTTGTTGCCACGTGACGTGTTGGATGTTATGAATTTGATTGTAGGCCTTCAAAACTTCATCCAACACATCCTCAAGATTTCTAAATTCGCTCCAATTCACCTATTGCGAACATTGTACATGAAACAGCAACAAGTAAATCACTTACCTTAATTACTGGAATAATTTTCGAAATTTTAGTTAACCATTCTTCATAACCAGCGTGTAATTTTTGAAGATATTCCAAAGTGATTCCATTCTCACAGTCTCTTCCTCTCAACTTGATTCTTTCCAAACTTTTTTCTGGGCTCACATCCAAATGTATGATCATTGTGTTGTGTTTCATGAACTATTGGAATGATAAGACTCACTCTACTATATTTCTGAGTCACCATGAAAAAAACAAACCTTTGACATGTTTCTAAACAATGATACATAGGTATCATAATCTCTCTTTTCCATCATACCTGTCTCCATTAACACTTTTGCAAAAATTGTGTCTTCATAGATGGTTCTATCTTGAATACCTCCATTACTTCCCCAAATAATCTTTTGATGTTGTTCAAATCTTCTATTCAATAGGTAAACTTGCAAACGGAAGGAATAAGTCTTCATGTCAGAGTAGAAATCTGCCAAATATTCATTATCAATAACAGGTTCATAATGCACTCCAATTCCGAGCTTTTCAGCAAGTGCTTTTGCAAGAGTGGTCTAATCGGACAATCATCACAGCAACAATTCCGAACAACAACCAACCTTTCCTGTATGTTTTCATTATTGAATATATTCCTTTCTTTTCATTGAATATATTCAACACATACCTGAGCCAATCATTCCACTCACTCCGATGAACACTTGGTCATTCAAGAATTGATTATCAATCGAGGACGAAAGAAGTTCCTGTTTCATCATTTTTAATTTGATTGAATTTCATCGTTTTGCCTCAAAACTAAACTCTGTCGCTTCATGTTTATTAAAAAATGTCTAAACGAGAGTCATTCAATGCAACCAATTTTTCAGGAATGAGTAAGGAAAAACTTGCGGAGATGATGCGAAAATCATGGGAGAAGTTATATTTAACGGACAAAGAATTACAGGATACCAAACAAAACCTAGAAGATACCAAAAGGGTTAACGAAAATTTAAAGATTCTCAACCGCTCTCTAGCCACTCAGCTGAAAGAAGCTAAGGAAAATACTTCTGTATCAAAGAACGTTCCGAGTGATCAAAGTGAAATAAGTATTGAGAACATAGTGGCAGCTATGAAGGATCTAAAGAGCGAAATTAATTCACTAAAGGAAGAGAGCAGGGATCGAAAAAGAGAAATCAATGATCTTAAGGAAGAGAGTAATATTCTAAAAAGAGAGATTAATACTCTTAAGGAAGAACATATGGATTTAAAGAGAGAAATTAATGCTATTAAGGAAGACAACAGGGATATAAAAAGAGAAATCGTTACTCTTCAAGAAGAGAATAAGGATATAAAGAGAGAAATCAATAGTCTAAAGGAAAGGAGTGAAGTTATTGAAAGACAGAAAAAGGATCTGACATCAGAAATCCAAACACTGAAAGAAAGGGTTGGCGCAGTGGAATCAGATATATTTTTCATGAAACACGTGAATATATTGACTGACATCTTTGTGCGAATTTCAAAAATGTATCTCAATTTTGCTTATGAAGAAGCAAAGAAGAGCCTATCCCAAAAAGAATGGCAGCAAATAATCCCACTTTACCTCGAAGATGTCACAATTAATCAGATTCCGGTGAGCAAAAAGGATCTCCACGAAGTTTGGGAATGGTATTTGCAAAAAAAGGACATTAGAAACACAATTGACCGTCATAGGCATCAATTGCATGAGAATAATGGGTTAAGTATTGTTATACAGCAACTTGTTGACTGGTATTACCAATAACCCAAATTTAATAAACCTGTAACTTTCTTGCGTATGGACAGTTTAATTGCTTCCTGCATGGAACTGAAGAATAAGACGTGTTGACATTTTCCTCTCATGAGACGTTGAGGCAAGGTGTTTTCTCGAAACAACTCGAAAAAAAATGTCTCAATCACAGCGTGATCATGATTGGAATGAGCTACCCATTGAAATTTGTGGAGAAATTCTTTCATTTCTTCCCGTTCTTCCGAATTTTTTCATTGCCTCTCGAGTGTGTAAGGCTTGGCAGGAGCAGGTCGAGCGATTATTAACATCTTTTGATAAGGAGTTGGATCGATATAATTTTCATTTACATTTCGGTAGGTGCTCATCTCCCAAACTCGGAGATACATTCATCACACCATTTGAAACTCACTACGTTTAAAATTGTGTGTGGATCACAAGGATATGTCAATGCATCCAAGTTGGCCTTTCATGATTTATTAAAACTAATTTTCAAATGCAGAGGTGTAAAGAAAATTACACTCTGTAACATGATCTTCTCTTCCGAAGTGGCACATGTCCTTGGATTGACCAGAGTGGAGCAATTAACAATTTTTAATTGTACAATTCAAGACACGTATTTAACGAGTGATAGAGAAGGCTCGATCTCACTTCCGTTCAGATCTATCACTGAAAATGAATGCATCAGAACTCTGTCCCAGAGCTATCCCGTTGGTCGTAAAGCTATTAAGGATACCAGACTGTTCCAGGACTTTTTAGAAATTTCAGTTGTATCAAAATATTTTCCGCATTTGAAAAACATTTTATTGATCAATACCTTTGGTCATCTGGTAATAGACGGTGAGGATCCTAAAAACCCTCCCCCAATTACTTTCACGAAGGTGTGCAGTACAAATGAGCTATCGAGGGTCAATTTAGAGAATGTCGACTTGGCCAAGGTGACCGAAAAACAACCCTCTGACCAAGGTGATTCCAAGAGTTCAGAGACAACCTCAAGTGGAATGTCCTATTTCAATACTTCTTTCCAACTTATTTGTTCAAGTTATTTCTCAGATAAGGACGTTCTTGCTGCTGTCATAACTCTGACTTCAGGACAACAGATCGCCGTTATGGCACTCCGTTTATCTTCACATAAAGAAGTACGGTTAAGAAACAGCAGGTCACAATGGAAGGAACTACCCGCTATTTATTGCAACACTTTCAACCAATGGTTGGAAGTGCTCAAAAAGTATCAACTGACCGACTGTTTGGATCCAAATATGCTGAGAGGAACCAGTTTCACAAGAATCAAGGAATGTTTCGAGTTTGGATTGATATCTCCTTTTTCAGAGCTTTCAAGGGGATATAGTTGCTTGGAACACTTCTTTTTGGAAGAGATGTTGCGCACTGTTTCAAAGAAGGTCCTCAAATCCAATGCCAAGAATTCAGAGGACCTTATTGTGACCAAAAAAAAAAGCGAGCATCCAACACCTGCAAACTACTCAGAATGGGAACAGCAAGCATGTGTGAAAGAATGCATCTCGGTCATTGAGTGGATTCATACCAATAAGCCCTCTCTTATTGACCTGGATAATTCAGCTGTCAAAAACGCTTTGAGAGCTTGTAAGAATATTGACAAAGAATGGAAGCAGTGGTTTTCCAAATCTGTGAAAAAAGTCGCGTCTGCCCCAGAGCAACAGCCTAGTAATTTTATTTATTGGTATAATTTCTTACTGAGTGGCAAGAAATTTGAACCTGCTGTCAACGATCCAATTAAGGAGAAGAGAGTAGAGGAAGATTCAGAATTCACACAGAAAGCTAAAAAAAAGAAAACAAAATGATTTTACGAACATGGAATGTATTAAAAGGACATTGTTTCACTGTTATAAGCAGGATTCATTTCACATTGTTGTCTGAAATTGCTGAGGTTAGAAAAGATTTTGGCTCCGCCGATAATGTTCATATCTGATGGTCCTGATCTGGCTTGGTTTTCTTTCTCGTCATCCGATGGGAACATGGCCTTTTCTTGAATGGTGAAATGAATATTATAGTGAGGGAGAAGCTCCGTAATTCCTGCTTCCAATCTTTCAGCCATGCCATGAATCATTGCTCCACCACCTGTAATCATGACGTTCGATAAAACCTGGTCACGCTCTTGTTTTGAATAATCTTCACAAGTTTGAATTGTAGAGATGGCTTTCTTAACACATGACATAATTTCCTCATAATACCAATCACCAAGAGCCGCTCGCTCCCTTGGAGAAATCTCTTTAGGTGAGTAGTAGCTTCCAATATTGTATGACTGGTGTTCTCTTACAAATTCGTCGTATTGCTTTGGATTTCTAGCTTTGTCGACTGGCGCAACTAGAGCTAGCTCTGTAAATTTTGTTGGCCAGTAATAACCTCTATTATCATAATAATAAAACTTCTCTGCTAATTGCATATACTTTTCTTGCACAGGAGGATAATGGAATACAGAATTGTTATTTTGAGGCTGACCATCAATGACTGATACACATCTGACTCCAGAAGGCCCAACATTAATTCTAAAGAAGGTGGGTGTTTGGTAAAAGAGTGAAAGCATTTTGCTTTGGTCTACAAAACAAATTCCTGGAATTCCCAATGAGAACTGTCATGACAAGTTAGTTATATTTGTGTACACAGGATTGAATGTTCAACTTACCACATCAGACTTGATCCTATCCTTATCACTGTCAGACCAGCTCATTGGTGTACAAATCACTAATGGATGTTCCTTCAAATTAATATTAAGGTCATCCTTGTACATCTGATAAATCAAAATCTTCAAGAGATTGGAATCCTCAATCTCACCTGTTGAAGTTAAAATATTCAATCGTTCACAATGGTATGCTGTGGCAAGATATCTCTCTCCAACGACAAAGTCATCAAACCCTGAATGTTGGAATTAGGTAATCGATATTCACAGATCATCAACATTCAATACCAATGACTTACCATACTGATTCAAATAAAAGTGAGGATGATCAGGCTTACCAGCACTTGTTCTACTGGTCCAAAAGCATGTGTCTTTAGAAAGTCCATAACGATAATGAGACACACCCAAGTCCAACAAAACTGGACAAAAGAACTTTTCCATATTCGCTCTTGAAATGAAGGCATGATACCAGTCCTTGTATTTGTCTTGATCATTCTCACGAAAATCAGCTTCCAATGCCTCAATAAGCTCATTCTCCTTACTATACACATCTTGAAGACATTCGCTTGGATCACTGTCACTGAAATAGTATGTGTATTGGCTACGTTTTGCAACACAGCATGATTTCACAATAGGAGCCCACTTGAGAGCATAAAAGCGCTTCCATAACGAGGGCGATCTTGCATATGAATTAATATCTCGATTCAAATACAAAACATTCTTAACCACATCCTCGATCGGTAAATAACTGAAAATGGCCGCAAAAATCTCTTCAGGTAGAACTGTTTCAATGAAACTTGAGTTTCTTGTTTTCTTTCTTTGCAAAGAGTGAGAAATGGAAGTGTGTAGCTCGTGAGCTTCCAAGTACTTTTGTGAAGACTCTAATACCTTGCCTTGTTTTTCGAGTTCATTGCTCTCGTCCACTAACTTTTTAATTCTCAAGTATTCTTCATCGTGCTTGTAGTTCATACGGAAAATACTTTCAGAATCAACACGTTTAAAGATCAACTCCGTTCTGAGGACATACTTGCGTCCATACCTGACTCTTTGACCAGCATGATATAAATCGTGGTTAAATATTGCAACCGCACCTTCTTTAGGTCGTAACGTGGTAATCTTCTTGAATTTCATAATAGATACATCTTTTTCTTGTGGATCTGGTACTTTTTTCAACAAGGTTGTTCCTGCATAACTTGAATCTAAATATACCAGTATGGTGAAAATACTCTGCTCGTTATCATTTCTAATAAATTTGGCATCTTGATGAGGCTATTCGAAAAACGAATCATTCAGTCAGTTGTGTTCTCTTTACACATATTTCTTACAATGAATACAAACCTTGAAAAAAGCATTCTGTTTGTATCTATTGAAGCGAAGACATTCGTTGATGCCAATAGGTTTCCAAGTACCTGCATTATCGAATCCATAAGGACGAACGTCTTTGAAATCTTCAGCAGTCAAAAATGGTCTAAACAGAATGTATTATTCGATTCTGAGTTAAACCAATTCACCAATATTCAAAAACCTACTGAATTCTCTGCCACAAGATGTCAGCCAATTTCTTACTCAGCACTAGAACTCGTTCTGAATTTCTGTACTCTTTGGGATATTCGTTCTCAATGGACTGATAACCCAATTGTGATGTCGCTTCAATAAGGTCAGTACATTCCTTTGAGCTGAGCAAAGATCCAATATAAATACAACGATCATGATTTTCAACTTCTTCCGTTGGCTTTTCACCATCGCTATCGGTCTGTGCTTCTTCATCATCGTCATAATCACAATAATCAGAGTCGTAATAACTTCCTTCTTCCTCCATCTTCTGTTTGTATGCCTCCTTCTTTTTTCTCTCTTCATCCAATATCGATTTGACTTGTTCGCTCGACAACAAATTTACAGTTTTCACCTCGGAACTGATTTTAATGGTGGTTCCCGGAACAAGAATGTTTTGTCTTCTCCAAAATTTGGGTTCTGTTCCTTGTTCTGCAATGCGCTCAAGAAACGATGGTTTATGAGTGGTCGATGACGAATCATCCCAGTTGTAAATGGGAGCATGAGCCAGAGCTCTCTCGGTCATATTTTTTTTGTGGAAGAAGACAGGAACTGGAGAACAAGTTTACAAGTTCATCCAAGTTGAGGCTTTTTTTTCGATGTTACCTTAGAACGTGTTTTCATTAATTAATTTTGTAAAGACTTGGTCTTCGAATAGGTTTACAAAGATCAAATACGGATGGTAAAAACATTATTTAGAGAAACTGGAAATGAGAAATCATATTTCCTTCTCACATCAAAAAAACACCATGAAGTTGGCGTCCACTGAATACACAACCCCTGAGAGCTTGGACAGTGCCAATCTTGCTGAAAAGACCTCTCAACCTCCGACTGCACCTACTTTCCAGGACTCCAATCCATCCATTCCACAAATAACCACAGACGTTGCTGTTTCTGATCCATCACGAGTGAATTCCAATCCATCCATACCGAATGATCAGCCACAAGTAAAGACACACTTATTCGCACTCCTTGAAAAGATATCCTCCTTCTTTCATGTGGTGAAAGAGGTATATAGTACTCGAAAGAAAACGATATGGTTCTTTCATATCATTTCTTTGATCGCGTTTCTGTTTGGTTGTTTGATCATTTTCGCGCAATTGGAACACAGTTTCGACTGGTTACGTTACTCTGTTTACATGACCATGTTTCCTTTTAAAACCACAGGTTTTGGTATCTATTCAGGTGTTCCTACCTTTAACTATCCACAATTTAAAATTGCTACTCCGCTTTGGAACAGTGTCAAAAATCCTAGCATGAATTTTGTCTTCGATTTTTCTCTCCACACTGATCATTTAAAATTGAACAAAGAAAAAGGTTTACAACAACAATTACCACCCATGAAATGGTTTCAATTATCATTTGAATCGAATGGAAATTGTTTTGCAGATCATACCATACTCATTCAACAGGGAGATCCCAATTATTATTTCAGAGTCTCTAATTCGGATCTAAATGTTAACTTGAATGTACAGGTCCCTTTTCGTTCTGGCAATTATGAGTGTTCCAATTTTCAAACTCCTCTTTCTCTCAAGTTTTCGATCATTCTGGCTGATGCATCCACGGAAAACCGAATCAGCTACGAATATATAACAACATTTTGGGCGAATGAGTTTATGGGTTCCTTCTCTGATGTGAATCAATTTGGATGGAAGCCAGTGAGAGTGGCCATGATTGGAAATACAGCATCGGGTAAGAGTACCTTTGTGAATGAATTGGGAGATTTCACAACAGTCAGCAATCGAATCAAATTGGTATCGGATGTTTCTCAAACCAAACAAAAAGATCACTCCACTCGAATGGTTCAAAGATATCGTTTGTGGGAACCTGGTAAACATTCCTTGATTCCACTACCTTTGGAAGTTCAAGATCCACCTGGACATGACGCTGGGGTTATGGATCGAGTTCCAATGTATTTGGAATATTTAGTCAAATTCAAAATTCCTCCTGGAGTGGACATTGTTACCGACTGTTCCGTAAATCCATACACGTGTTTGAAAAATTTTGAGAATAATTATGAAGAGCACGCAGAAGTCATCATTTACATGATCCCTTTCGACTTGATTGAAAGAATGAAAGATAGAATTGCAACCAATCTTAAATTGTTTCACCTACTTCACATTCCAGTCATTTTAGTGGTCACTTGTGGAGAAGAAACTAATCAAAAAATCATTCAGGATGAAATTGAAAAATTAGATGGGCACAGCTATCATGCAGTGGTGATTTCAAGAGAGCACTACACAAATAATGCTCCTTTGAGTGAGGAAGTTCAGAGACGGGTTGGTCAAATTCTGTTGCATGTCTTTCATATTGTCAAGAGTCGAAGAGGAGCATTTAAGACTTGGACCGTGATTGTTCGAAGAGTGTTGTTGGAAGTAGTTTCCAAGCACTTTGTGTATGTAGCTATATTGCTGATGGTGAATGTGAGTGTCTTTTGGATTTTATCCCGCAAGATCAGAAGAGAACACAATAGTCAAAAGATAAAAACTGAGTAAAGTTGAACCCTTGACGCTTAACAAACGGTGACACAAAGTGACTTCATTTCGAAGTATGCTGGTTCATCGCGTCAAATTCTAAACTCACTTTCTTGAAGCAATATATCCATTGTCTTGCAACACTTTCTTGGCCACGTTTGTAATGATTCGAAATCGATCATTTCCAAGCTTAATTCCTCCGTACCATCTTGTCACTACGCAACACACATTTTCAGCATTTGAAATTTGCATGAGATATAATATTTGGTCAGCTGCTCCAGTTTCTCCATCGTCGTCTCGGTTCTCTAAAATTTGATCTCCTTGTGTTCGAATTCTGTATGCACAAATGTTGTGAGTGGCATTTGCAATCTTGTCATCTTCCTTTAATTGCTCGAGCATGGTATCAACCTCTTGCAATGAATGAACCGTGGCTACATGGCCAATAAATTTTGATTTTTTCTCTGTGAAAGGTTCTCCATGAATGATTGGAATTCTTTTTTCCACTGCAGAATTAGTGTTTGGGCTATTTCCTTTGTGTGAATGACTACTTGGATTATTCATGGTTGACCTGATATATTCTTCAATCTTGTGAAAATCTAACACTGTACTCATCAATTCGTTTTTTAAAAATTCAATCCATGTGAATGCAATTGGCATTCCACTTATAAACATATTCTTTAATTCTTGTTGAATAAAATCCTTGATAGTAATATTTTCGTCATAATTTTTAATAATTTCCTGATGAGTACTACTCGAGACATTTATCGGTTCATATCCCTCTCTTTTAAATCTATGAAATAACAAGTGAATCCAATTTTTTCCACCTTTAATTTCAAAGAACGGAGCTGATACGGATGGATAATTGGTATGAAACCAAAATTCAAAAATCAATGGTTCCAAAAGATCATCCGTCCACTCATGATGGTATTCTCCTCCTCCTTCTGAATACGACAGAGTCATGGGAATGGTCATTAACCAGCATCGGTCCATTCCTGTTCGTGCTCGGAGCTCTTCTGTCGAATACATGGAATGAAGCACTTGAATTTCATCGAGTTGCATGGACTCGTTGTTTTCACTGTTGTTTTCTTGCATTTTTTTTAATTCTTGAAGCTTTGCTACTTCAACAGATTCACAATTTGAATTCGAGTCTCCCAAGTGTTGTCTGAGTGTTTATTATTTCAAGCGTTCATTATGTAGCTGAAACAATAGAACTTGTTGACGTCCAACTACTTGTTCCATTTGGTGTATCAATAACAATTGATAATGTTGACAAATAATTTGTTTCTATCCTTCCATGTTGTAATGATTCAAATACCCACCTACAACATGTTAAATAAATAAATTGGTGAAAAGATCGTTCCGATTCTATTTGGTGTGTCAGTATGATACTAGAGCACTACCAATCTCTCGTTGATGTATTGTTGTCAGTCATGATGGCTGGTGTTGAGACAGAACTTTCACTGTCTAAATAATTCAATACAGAGCCATCGAGCAGAGGATCCAGTTGTAGAAAGTCGTTATCAGTCAAAGGATCGGTATTGATATGATAAGAAAGAGCTTCTTCAGAGCTGCTCATCTGATCCATGTTTGCGTGCTGCTCTACGGGATAGAGAGTGCGTGCTTTTTCATAGAAATAATTAATGAAACTTGGCTTTTCCATAAATGGCTTGAAAAACTTTTTCACTTCCGAGTCAAATTCTACCAAACGGGATATCTTTGCATGTTGTGACACTGGACCGAGAGGAGGATTCTGATAAAATGTTTCGAATTGAGCATTCTTCTTTTGGAGCACCACGTTTAACTGTTCAATCACATCTCCATACAGATTATTCACTTTCCGATATCTCTTACTTAACACGTTCAGAGCATGATAGTTTCGGAGTAAAAGTGAGTAATAATTAATTCCGTTGGTGTTCAATTCTCCTGAATCTACAACCTTTTCCATTTCCAATAATATCTTAATAGAAATGACTAAGTAGGTCACCACTACCGGTGGAGAAAAGACAAAATATTCGTTTTCAGTAATGTTTGTAAATTTCACAATCAAATCAAATATCTTTTGTCTAAAGTAAATAGTATCGACAAATGCAAGTAATGCTATTTCCAACCCGACGTTCATACAGCCTTGAATAATATCATAAATAACGGAAGCAGCATATGAACTAGTTCTTCTCTTGTCCAACCTTTTCCCTATCATGTGACAAATTGAAATTCTTTCTTCAACGTTTGACTTGGTAGTGTTAGGAAAGTCATAGAGAGCAAATTTCCATTCCTCTGGCATATCTTCGTTTAGAACTTGTTTGAAAAAATCAAGCATCTCGTCTGGTAGCAGAAAGGGAAAGTTTGGGCTCGATAAATAATCAATAAGTAATTTGACCCAATACAGATTTTTCTGAATTTCGTTGAAGGGTTGTTCGAGCTCTTTCAAATAAAAATCGACAAAGTGGTTATAAAAGCGCGCTTTCTTTGAATCTCCCTCTCCAACATAAAAGTATGCAATCATGGAACATGTAGCCACCACATAATAATTGGAATATTCATCGAAAAATTGTTTCAATGTCTGTGACGCTTTGGTAATATTTTCATACGCTAAATCAGCATATCCAAAACGTTGTTGGCAAATTCCTTGTAGCGAATACACAAATGCTAGCATTTCCTTATTATTGGCATAATCTTGACCAAACATAAATTTCTCCAATTCATCGCGTTCTATGAGCGGATATCCTAGACAAACCACTTCATAATAGGCATCAATGATACTCATCTTGACAGAACGTAAAAGATTGGATGTTGCATCCACGGGAAATGATGGAGCACTAGCCGAACCGACCGCTGATAATGGACCTTGTTGATTTTGTGGTGGCATAGTTAATGACTGGTGGTTGTTGCATGTCGAAGAAGCACTGTTGGAAGAATCGCTACTGCCAGGAGAAATTCGTAGTTCCGTGTTGACACTATTCATTTCATGTTGCTGGTTTTGTTGAGAATATGCATCGGTGGTGATATAAGGGGCAGAAGATGCGTGATGATTGTTTGTCGATGAAGCAGATGACGAACTGGAGCCCTTGGTTCTTCCTTTTTTCTTTGGCTCAGCATACTATTTTGAATTCGAATAATTTACATTCGTTGATGAACAAAAAATGCATGAAACAAATAAAAATCCGTTGAAAAGGAGCATCCATCATGAGACGCAATAACTTACTGTACATGTTAGTCCCTTAGAAAGGCATTTAGAGCATGATGGCATTTTCTTATCTATCATCGAAATTGCAACATTCAATCGGAAATTGTGCAAAAAATCCAAAAGTTCAAACAATGCTCTGGCTCGGAGTAATCAATCCAAAACATACCACAACGTTTGTGAAGACGCCTACACTGTACGCAGGCAATAGGATGTATTTCCTCATTCTCCAATGTTGTTACTTTTCTACCGATGGAAATGGCACCACTCTCTTCTTGAAAGGTAAATTGTTCACTCCAACAAATCTCATGCGTTGGTCGTGACGGCATTTTTTCGGTTGGAATTTGAACTTGGAAATGATTGCCATAGATTCATACTGTTATCTTCTCACGAATATTGATTGGGTGAAATTGCTTGGAAATCAAGTAAAATTGTGCGAGACCGTCAAAACTCAAAAGAAATTGCGTCGACCGGGAATTGAACCCGGGTCACGGCGATGGCAACGCCGTATTCTACCACTAAACCATCGACGCTTACGATTGATGAAGAAGTTAATATTAATTTAATGAAAAAAGTATAACGACAATCTAATGGGAAATGTGTTGAGAAGTGTGAAAATGGATGCTTTGACATTTTGTGCCCCTAGCGCAAGTTAACGAATTTTCAAAGAGATATTTTCTTAAGAGGCACATTTTATTTTTTTGCGGGAACTTTGGCGCCCTGTTTTTACACTCATTTCTTCGCTTTAAAAAAACAATTCATACATCCATGACATCATGTGTTGTTACAAATTCCCCTCAAGAACAAGTAAGAAGAGTCATTTATCGTTCCGACAATGAAATAAAACGAATACAACAAGAAGAAGAAAAGAAGAAGAGAATCAACAGGTTGTTAGCAGTGAGAGAATTGTCAAAATCTATTTCAAGAAACAAGACAAGAGAGTATCAATCCTTGAAAGAAAAGGAAACGGGTGAGCAGGTACAACAAGTAAAACTCGCGTGGCAGGAACGAAAAGACAATGAACTGCAGCAACTTCAAGAAGAAATTGAAAGGGCAAAGCAAAAGATCGGACAAGCTCATCGGAATGCTCAAATATTTCATCAACAATATGAAGAAGAGTTGAAACGAAAAGAACAGCAGCAACACATCAACTTGAAAATGGCTCAGACTCGATTTGAAAAAAGCATGCAGGTAGTAAAATTCAATCAAACTGCCAAAGATAAGTTGCAGCAAGAAAAAGAAAATAGAATGGAAAAGTCCAAAAACTTGGAATATCCTATTGTCGAACAAATGCAGAATGGATATGAAAAGTTGTTTGCTGTTCCCTCAAGCCAGCTCAACAATGTCATTGCCGCTTGGAACCCTATTCAGAAGAGAGAAGAGACACCTGAAGAATTTGAACATTCATATCACCACAAGCAATCCAATGTAAATAATGAAAAAGCACAAGGCGAAAAACCAGCCTTGTCACAGCAAGTGAACCCATTTGTAGTGAAACATTTTGAGCCAAACAAGGGGTTAGACGTAAACAATCAACAAGCAGAAAAAGACAGAGAAGAAAAAAAGCGATTAGCTGTTCAACGAGCAATCATGGAAAAGAGATTTGCAAAGAAAGCTGCAGAAAAGTTAAGGATGGATAAGCTAAAGTCCACATTAGAAAAAGAGCTTGAACACGTTCAGAAAATAGATATTCAACAAAAAGTGGATTCTCTCAAAGACACGAGCTCTAGGAATACTCTTGCTGATAACCAATTTAAAAAGAAAAAACAAATAGAATTAGAAAAGAAGTTTGAAGATCTATTCCGAGCTAGAATGCCTGATCTACAGGACAGTAGTTACTTTTAGATAAATTATTAATAATGTTACTAGCTAACAAATAATTTCCATGGTCGAAAATTGATTTTCGATTTCACATTACAAAATACTGATTTTCGATTCCTGGTCCATGTTGACTTGAACGTTACAAAATTAAGAAAACGCCACTGAGTGTGTTTTGTGTGGTGTTTGTTGTTTCAGAGTTTCTAACTTTGTAAAAGAACTAGTTGATCGTAATTATATCTGTTGATAACACTCTACAAAACCTGGTCTCCAATAAAGTTCCGAAAAGAGCTAGAGTCTTGGCGTCAATGATGAAGGCAACCTGGCCGATGATGATGTCGACTCATTTTGATACATGGGCAATTGTTCATCTACTGTAGGTCCATATATGGATTGTAAAATTGGATGTTGTAATTTATATCGGAATTGAGAAACATCATTCTCCTCCACCTCTACAAATGCAAAATCAATAAATAATTGTTGAGGGGGACGATCAAAATGATCCAAAAATTGTTTCAATCTCCGCATTAAATGTGGCTTGGTGTAAATACTCACAACTGGAGTGGATGCCATTTGTGAGATTGGTGAAGAATTATTGCTTCCCATGCTTGAATCATTCATCGGAGGTGGTGTGTAGGTTTTGACTTGAGAACGAAGAGAAGGTGTGTTTGTTGTGTTTTCACTCATTTTTTTTAAATTGTGAAATAATTAAAGAAAATTATTCATAACGTTCATTGTTAGGTTCTTAAATTGATCTTTAATGAGACGTTCACATCATTTCTGTACCTTCTTCTTCATTCTCAATTCCTTCTTGAATTTCATAAATGAATCAAGTAACGAATCACAAATTTCCTTCTCCAATTCATCGAATAAGTGTCCATCCAATACTGGACTCTCACTCGAAAATTCATCCAACTTGCTCTTGACATGTTCTTGAAATTTATCAGAGGTTGGAAATGGATTCTCTCCATTCGTGTCAATAAATTCAGTGAAAATCTTGAATGCCATTTCATACTTGTTCTTTTCAATTTCTTTGATTTGTTCAAGATTGGAAACTTCATCTCCAATATTCCATTGGGTACGTCTCATTTCAATAGACTTTTCACACATCTCACGATAGGTATGACAATTCTCCAAAAAGGTATACTTTTCCAATTGGTTTTCTTTTTCACAAAATTCCTTAAATAATTGACTTGACTTTTCATTCCGCAAAGTTTCCAATATCATGAACAATGTTGCCTTTTTAAGTTTACGAGAAGATACTTGTTCACTGGTCATTGCCAATGCAAAGATGATCATCACAATTGGAATGGAAATTACAACTCCCAACAACACTAGTATCATATTCACAGTACTAGAATATTTCAAATAATCTTGTTTTTGTAAACTCAACTTCTTCACCTCTTGCGTCACATAATCTTTAAAGTAAGTGGCATAGGCATCCCAAACGACATACGAAAATGATTTCAACACTCGATTAGCAGTGATTAAATCACCCTCCTGAACAGCCTCAATCACTTGTTGATCATACTTGACATATCCTGGATTTTTTGGATCGAATTTTGTTTTTGCCAAAACATCTGGAGGTAAATTTTGTGACATTTCCAACAAGACTCGAGAAGTATTTGTTTGAGATTCATAATATAGAGGTACATATTTCAGAGAACCTGTCGAAGCAGCCAATCGTACCAGACATGCCGTTTGATCATAGAGTTGTAAAAAACTCGCTCGTTGCAGCAACAAGGAAATTTCCTTTTTCGCTTCGAGTCGAAACGAATTTCCAACCACTGCTGCCACTGCAATAAAACAACAAATATTTACAATCATTCCAAACAGACACAAGACTCGAATGAGATTCAATTCAATCACTCCACAACACGTTGGAATTCGAACAGCCGATGCAGAATGAGTCGTGGAACGAGTGGTAGTCTTGGCCGTTGTTGCTTTTGAATAAACCGTTAAAGGAGCAATATTTGTGTCACAACTGGATTGGTATTCTTTTGGAGGATGACGCATATTGGTGGAAATGAGAGTGGTTTGAGAGGAGCCATGGCTTTTTCTGTCCATCATTGATGATGATGAATAGTATGGAAAATCTTGTCGATGAGTGAGAGTAGTTGGTTGGAACGATGGAACCAATGGTTTGGTAAGGGTCCTTCGATGAGTGAAATGGACAATGATACTATCTGCATCGCTACAGGCATCATCGTCCTCTTGGTCATTGTGATCAGAGGTAGCATGAAGGTCTGAAATGAAAATTCGTTCTTGTTGTTGATGAGAAGATTGTGAAGGAATTGAAGAAGATGGTTGTAGAGTCAACGCAAGGACGTTGTGTGGTTGTGACATTTGTTGTTGTTTTTTGAATGGTGTGTTTAATTATTATTATAATAAAACGATTGGTTGGTTGGTTGAAGGATGTTTTTTGATTAAAAAGACAAGTTAGCCCATGAATCGGTTGCGTTTTCCACATCGAGGTGCGTTTGTGAACTGTCGGATGTCAGTATCAAAATCAGCATAAAATGTCAAGTGACCACAAAAAAAAGACATGATGACAGTTTATCACGTCTCAAGCGGCACAAGATGAAACAAGCTTGAGTATTGAATCTCAACTTTAAAGTCGTGAACCTCATCTCAGTTCATCATTTCTTGTTGTGAGATCATTTCACACTTTACAAAAAAATGTCAACGACTGCGATCATTCGAAATATGCATGATCCAAGAATGAATCTGTTGAATCTTCCTTCCGAACTCATCGTTCGAATATTGGAATTTATACTTTCTCGATTGAAAAAAGACTCAACCATATTGTTAAATATTTCTTCGGATGAACAATTATATCATGACATATTATTTATGAATTTAATTTCCTCTGTCCATTCACATTTTTATCCAAATCTGAGGAGACCAGTCCTACACGATCCAAATTCATCATCATCACATTCAACGTATCAAGAACTTGAAACACATTTCAATGAAATTTGGTGGAGACTTTTTGAACGATTTTGTGGAGATAATTTCCTTTCGGAACAATTTCATACATTGAAAGAATTAAAGAATTTGGCAATGAATAAGGGATTGAAACGATGCATGTGTTTATTGTATAAAACTAAAAGACAAATGATGAGGCAAGAAGATGAAAAAAAGGTTGAGGAATATCGAATTATTCTTCTTGGTGCTGGTAGGTGATTTGAGAAAATTTTTTGACAGCTGTCACATCATGTTGTGATTGTGTAAACCATTTAAAGGTGGAGTTGGAAAATCAAATCTGATCATTCGATATGTTTTGAATCAACATGTTCCAGAATATGATCCATTCCTTGAAGAAAGTTTTAGAAAACAAATTCAATTAGACAATAGAACCACATATTTAGACATTTTAGAAACATCAGAACATGATGATGTCCACAATTGGTATCGAAAGCTCATTATTGAACAAGCACGTGTTATTGTTTTAGTATGTTCTGTGGACAATTATGTTTCCTCCATGAAATACATCAAAGAGACATTTGACAGTATCTTGAAAGTGAAAAAATCATCTGATTTTCCATGTATTTTTGTCATGAATAAGATTGATCTTGAAAAAGACAGAGAATCAACTGAATTTGTGAACGATGTGTTCGAAATGGTTCAACAATACAAGTTGAGTAATTTTGCAATTTTTGAAGCAAGTGCATTGAATTCAACGAATACGAATGCAATATTTGAAGATTGTGTCAGAAGATTTCGAAATGGTGGACATCGAAATATTGAACTCTTACATGAAATTATTCAACACGATGTGAAAGTATTGAAAAATTTGGGTCAATCCAAAAAGTGCTTGTTGATGTAATAATCATTGATTCACCTCTGTTACATGCAACGTTCATTTCAAAATGATAATGAATCATCATCATCACGGTGACTACAGAACAATTTAATTATTGGAACAAACTTGATGCACATCCAATCACTTGAATCTTCGTTCACTTTCCTCAATGTTCACATCATTAATACTTGCATCACGTTTTTTCATCAATCCCGAGTCTTGATCAAATTCCCAATTTTCATTTCCATAGGCACGAAACCATTGACCTTCTTCGTTATGATATTCATATTCGAAATGAACAGAAATTCGATCATTCAAAAAGGCAAATAATTGTTTCTCTAATTTATAATCCAATTCTTTTGAAAATTTGCGTTGAAGGAATTCACGAATTTCGGAATGACCTTTTAGAAATTCACTCCGATTTCTCCATTCACAATCGGGAGTGTAAGCTTTGGTGATTCGATCAATGTCTTTGGAATTCCAAGCATCTTGTGCGAATTTGACTTTTTGGAGAGCTGTTTCGAGAGTGAAGGGAGGTTTGATGACGGGTGGTGTGGAATTGGACATTTTTTTTTAAGGAGTTAGAGAGTGACAAGTGGCAGCTCTTAGATCCACAGATTTGTACGCACTCAGGAAGCATTACGCAATCCTGTATTGAGAATTCAGCAATCCTTTGGACTCTTCCAACGGCTTAATTCCTTACATCTCAACATCAAGTGAAGAACAAGGAAAACACAACAGTACTACGTCATGTCTGTTTCAACATTTTCAACAACAACAAAAATGCAATCAATTAAGAGAACTGTATTTGTTTTATTACTTGGCTGGTGAGTTTGGACACAATTTGTTCCAAATTTTAATCCTTAATTGATGGTCTTGAGAATTTCTATTTTCATTCAAGCATGCCAAAATCTCTGACGCACCAATGACCAACAGTGTATGATTCTTATTAAACGCAGAGAATACATCATTCAATGATCTTGTTGTAGGTCCGATATTAGAATAATTTTGCTTCATGAATTGTAAATCTAGCTTTGATGTGTCCATGTTTGGACAAAATAATATTCTCAAGCACGGCATTTCTTCCATATTAATATATTTGTCTTGTGTATCGATATTTAACCCTTCCAAAAAGGTGTCTCCTTTTTTTGTTGTACCCATATTTTTGGGATCCGTTGTCATGAAACTATGAATGCCAATCTCTCTTCTTCATGATGAATATTTGAATAGCAATTGGCTATCAAAAGCTATTGTCAAACCAGGCAATCAAATGAGACCTAGCAGACGGAAATTATTTGTTTTTAAAAATGAGGAGGATGTCATAATCGAAGAGTAACATCAATTTCTCACTCAGTATATGCTGTGCACTACACCAATGTTGTCTAAGATATGAGGTTAACAGAGGTCATAACATGCAACACACATGACAATGATCTATAGAAAATCTAGTACAATGTAATTCCTTTCCAAAAATTAATTTCATTAAAATATCCAATCTGTCGATGGTGAGTGAAGTATCTTGTAAAAATTTTGTCACATGGTCTCTTGCCATCATCTTGTAACTCTTTACACCTTGTTTAAACTGGCCATTAATTTAACAGTAACAGGTTTGTCGGTTCCTCTCCTTTGTTGTGCGGAATTCGTTAAAGTCCCAATGTGAACTCCATTTCTCTAACTCTTGAAATTGGAAGGCGTTGAGGTGATCTGGAAGCAGAGGAGATTTATACAAATCCAGTAAAATAGTTTTTTGCTGACGTTTCTCTTCTTCTTGTATTTTGGATTTCCAATTTGCAATAGAGTGTTTGAAAACGGAAGAAATTTTGTTAACATATTCAGCTAGATCATCATTGAGATTCCGAGGTTCAATCGTGATAACAGAGGTTGGATTTAAATTGGGTAGCAATCTATTAACAATCCAAAATACAACAGTTTGGCAAGCGTTAGAGAGTTGGGGTTTGTTATTCTTGTTGTAGGTACGTTCAAGTTGGTCAATGGCATATTTTATATTCTCCATCTTGATATTTTGTACAATATTGTGGAGTGATGAGCCGTCGAAACAACGTCATACAAAGACTTTACATCATCATCCGACAAATTAGCACCACCGCCAGATTCGTGAGAAGCCAACACTGACGCTGCCTGTTGAGCATTCCAACTCTTGTAATCACTCAATTTGAGAGTCCGTTGCCATTTTTCTTTTTTTTTACTCGCCACAGAAGTTCTTGTGAGTTTTTTTCTTTGATGATGATTGAGGTTGGGATTTATTGTATCCCTTCAAAAAGAAGTAAACAACAACGAGGCAAAAGAAAGGCAATACCATGAATATTAATAATAATTGCATGATGGTTTTCGAGCAAATGTTGTTTACTGCATTTGTTTGGTGATGATGTTCCTGATGTTTTTGTGTTGATGAATAAGGTTTGGTTTGAATGTTTGCAGATGCTGCTAACTGGATCTATGTTATCAAATCGGAGAATAGCCTTTGCAAAAAGTTAGAAGAAAAGTAAGAAGTTTAAGGGTCTCAAAAAGATGGAGTTGAAGAAAAATTTATTTTTTTGTTTTGAAAAATTGTATTACCTTATTCAACCCAACTTATATTAAAAAACCCGTTTACAGTACAAGGAAAACACAATCTAATGTAGGGTTGTTACATGGATAGCACAGTCCAAAAGAAAGTTCTTTAAGCAACACTCAAGTGAACAGTTCAGAGGTCACACAACGAAACAACAATTGACATTTTCAAACGAATCAACACAAGTTGGTTTCGAATTTGTAAAAGTAACCTCCAATCGATTACTGAAACTGCATTTTGTCCAAACCAAGACGTCAAGTCAACCTGCAATTTACACGTGTGCCATTCTGAATTGTACTTTTTTAGGTGTGTCTACACTTTTTTGTTGCCAGACATGTTGTTTCACTTGTTTCATAGCTAACAGCTGTATGACTATTTGAATTGCACAACTACAGTAAGCTTCATTCAGAAGAAGGTGGGAACAAGAGCAATTCTCATCTCTTTGGAATTTCAAGGTGTTGATACCAATGATTTCTCAAGTGCACGCCTTCAATTAACCGACTATGAAAATATTTTTCCTTTTCTGGACCATGACAGAGAACAAGTACAAAGTTTTTTTGTTTCATCGTTGAATAGAATCTGTTTACCTCGGGCAACAACAACAACGCCCATCATCAAAAAAACAACACACCACTACTCTCTGTAACAAGGTTTTTGTGTACCTATTCCTTGTAATTTGTAGTCCTTTTGAAATTTCATTGTGAACTCTGCAACGTATCTCTCTAACTCTTGTAATAATAACTGATACTGTTACTACAGTGCACTATTGTTGTTGTTGTTGTTGTAATTGTAGCAATATATTCTATCGGATCCGAATCAGTCCAATTTCTAGTAATAACATTCGTGTACAGTTAGTTATCTGTCCCGGGACTGCAGACCAACAATCTTCATCATTATCTTTCATTCATATTTTAAACAAGTTCCACCAAAACAAACTTTCAAACTAGTTGATAAATAAATAACAATGCCAATAGGACCCAAAGTACATCGGAGTGGATATGTCTTCAAGAAGGGAGGACTCATCAAATCCATCAAGAAACGTTGGTTAGTACTCAATGATGAAGAACTCGCATACTATGAAAATGTTGAGAAAATGGCTGGAGAGCCACCAATTGATAGAATTTATCTTCGACTCGTGATTGCTGCTGAAGATACGGGAAAGACTGAAGTCATTTCCAAGAAGAATTATTATGAATTTATAATCAAGACGAATTTGGGAAGAGATTATCAGATCTATGTGGAGACTGCGGAAGAGAGAAGCGCTTGGGTAGATACTATCAATTCATTAACTCACGCTTTTAAGAGTCCTGTGAAGAGCTTTGAGAAGGTTACGGATCCAAACATGTACAACAAAATGGCTGCTGTCAAAAATTGACATTTGACATTGGGTTTACGATGAGAAGAGAGTGGTCGTGATTGTGTGTTGCGGTGTTGATGGCATTGTCTGTCCAACCTACTTGAACCACGTTCATCAATTATTGACATTTATTGTCGCCACTTCATACTCTTTTAATCACTCACACTTTTGTATTAATAGTTTTAACCCTACCCTAATGCACATTTTCAATTTTGTTAAGCTCTGCGGAATGACTCAAGGTACAATCCCTCGATTATTCATTTGTAAATTAACTCACAAGACACATTGTTGTCTACCCCATTAAAAACATTGTTCAATTCGTTCTAGACCATTCGTCATTATTAAGCTCAGGTCGAAATGAAAAGCTTTTAAAACAATTCATACGATTAGACCTCGTCCAAAAGCGAAAACAAAGTAACTGTGAAGATCTAAGGGTTGTACAACATGTTTTTAGAAATTTTGTTTTATTATTTGGATGAACTAATTTAATCGAACTTTTCAACTTGGTTGATGATTTGTTTACCTCCTCTAATTCTACCAGTTCTACGAGCAGCAATCAAACCGACCTTTCTACCAGCTGGTGTCCATCTAGACACAGTAGATGGCTTACCAATGTGTTGATGGTTACCACCTCCGTGAGGGTGTTCAACAGGGTTCATAGCAACACCACGGACTCTTGGCCATTGTTTTCTTCCCTTAGCCTTGAATCTAAAGTAGTTGGTTGATGCCTTCAAGACAGGTCTTTCAGTCTTACCACCACAAGCAATAACACCGACTGTGGCTCTGTTGTCGGATGGGAGTGTCTTCTTGACACCTGATGGAAGCTTGACTCTTGTCTTACCGTCCTCAGAGTGGGCAATGATGACTGCAGATTCACCAGCAGCTCTAGCCAAAGCACCTCTGTCACCAGTCTTTCTTTCAACGTTACAACAGACAGTACCTTCTGGCAAGTTACCGATTGGAAGAACGTTACCAATCTTCAATTCAGCCTTCTTACCACAGAAAACAAATTGACCAGTATATAAACCTTCTGGAGCGAGGAAATGTTGAATGTCCTTCTTTGGCTTGAGAGGATCACGGAAAACAACTTCAGCGAGTGGAGCTCCTCTACCTGGTTCGTGCAAAATTTGTCTGACGACACCCTTCATGAAACCTTCTCTTTCAGAAAAGTCCCACTTTCTGTATTGTGGCTTGGCAATCTTGTGGATGGATCTAGTCTTGTATGGACCAGCACCGTTACCCTTTCTTTGTGCTCTAATTCTCTTACCCATCGTTGTCTAGATTCACAACAAAAATATCAAATTAGAATAACGTTAGTTTAAAAGACGATGACGTACGTTTGTTTTGGCTTATTTTTTTTCGACAAATTTTTTCAAAAATCTGGTCAACTTTATTTTAGAGTTTACAATGGCAGCGTAATTTTTGGTTAAATTGTCCTACTTGGTGAAGGTCGAACCACAAAGGTTACAAACAACATTTACACAAACATCACCTCCATCATGATTTGAGCTCCTGGTTGTCTCTGGGAAAAGAGAGAAGGTGCAGTGTTGGATGCACCAGTGACCACTGAATTTCCATCTACTCTGTTGCCGTCGACAAAAACAGTGTAGTTGACAAGATCGTCAATCATCTGACATGCCCTAGAACGAGCTGCATACTCACCACATGCTCTACATTGGACCGAATCGTACACAGGATCTCGAATAATTTCAAACGTGAAAGTGTCCCGGGTGATGGGATGGTGCTTAGGGCAGGTGGAATGTGTAAATTGAGCTCCTAATTGCATGGGAAGGTTAGAAGGGTGAGAGGGTGAGCAAATTGGACATGTGTCTCTTGGAGGAGGTACAAATTGTTCTGTCGCAATGCTTCTTAGTAGAGTGAATGTATTTTCGGTGTTTGTTCCATCCAGTTTTGGGTTGTTCGAAAAGAATGAATGGAGGGTGAGAGCAAAATGAAGAACGGGCATATTAGATGACGGATCTTCGGTAGTTGTGAGTGCTTGAGTGATTGTTTTGAGATTTCGAATCATTGCAACATTGTCTGTAAGGGTGGCCACTTCATCTTTATCAATGCAGTTATGAGAAGGAAGCGGTGCTTGAGTTTGGTACGAAGATGCTGACCAATAATATTTCTTGATAATGCTGTCGTAATAAAGTAATAACCAATCACACAATAATAGTTGTGTCTTTTTGTTTGATTCTTGCTTGGTTAAAAAATCCAAGAGCTCAGTGGCATAAAAATGTCTAATGCAATTTCCTAGAGTTATCTTCTTCTGAAGGAGTAAATATTTGGGGTCGTTTTCCAACAATGTAGCTTCTGTACAAATATTCGAGTAAAGGAAATAAATGGATTTTTTCAAATTCCAATCTTGATTTGTTGTGGCATGTTCAAAGGAACGGTCAAGTATGGCTTCTACAACATGACTCATGTCAGGTTGAGTAAGGCAAGCGGCTATATCAAACAATTGCTCTCTGCATGTCAATCCCTTAGTAATTTTAGTTGTGAAATAATCAATGATATGTGCTGAAGGAATTTGTTGGTCTTGTGGTATTTGATAAATTGCTCTAATCGCGTACATGAAGAGAGGAATAATGTAAATCCTAGTTTTGCTTCGATGCTCAAAATCTATCCGTATTTCCTTTAGAGGAGGTCGTTCAACAGCAATAGCAGCAAGAGTATGATTAGGAGAGAGTGAACAACCCCAAATTGGGAGATCAGATCTCTTTGGAATTATTGTTACTGAAATATATTTGTCTGGTGTTTGCGCAGAAGAATCTATGTGGGGTTGCGGATGTTCCACTATTTTCCATTGAACCAAACTTCCATCAAGAGAGCTCGTGTAAACCATAATTGCATTTAAATTGCAATGTGTCTGGGTGCATGCAATTGAGACTTGCTGAAGAGAAATCGAGGAAATTATATGATCTTGACAAGAGTAGGATTTTCTCCATTTGAGAGTCATGTCACCGCCAGCATTAATCGAAAATTTACAAATAAAAAACTTCTTGGCTTTGGCATAGGCAATATATAGAGTGTCTTGATCGTTTTCAGAAGAGGTCTTGGATGAAACAAAGAGAGGCTCTATTGCGATTACAGGTAATCCATCTTCATGAAAATATTGTGAGAATTGTTGTTGAGACATGTCACTAACGGATAGTAAATCTTCTCGCTTCTCAATATTTTGGTTGAATTCTTTAGGAATTTTCAAAAACTTGAGCTCGCCGCTGGAGCTAGCACAAACAACTCGGAAATAGTTTTCTGATTCTGCTGAAGGAAGAAACTTTACAATAGATATAAAGGTGGAAAAGACTTTGTGGTAACCAATGAGCTGAATGTCGACTTTCTCGTCAATTGTTTGCATAACAGAGAATACTGAAATAAATCCAGATTTTGATCCACACACTAAATAAAACGCCCTTTTCTTAGATTCAGCATTTAAATTCGTAAATGATGTTGAAAAATCAAAGCATAATATTTCTGATAAAGTTAGTCTGTGAAAGTAATCTTGTTGAGAGAGCTGATTTAAAACTAGCGTAAAAAATTGTTTGAAAAATCGATCTCAACATACCTCTTCATCTTTGGCTCGGGCTGATCCTCTTGTAAAATAAAGCCTCTTCGGCTTTTTTGATTTGTCTGTTTGTTGCTCTTCAGATTCTAGCGGTTCCTGTGTTTCGTTCAATTTTCGTTTGTTACTAATTTCCTCACTTTCGTTACTTTCTTCGTTGTTTGTGGCGTCAATTTCTTGTGTCTTGCTTTTTTTTGACTTCTTTTTTGTAGATTCAGCTTTTTCTTTCTCAGGAGAGTAGATATTACAGACTACGTCAGAACGTTCACCCTTTTCTTTATCTTTTCTCATTTTAGTTCTCAATTTAATGTAAAGATTTTTAGTTATACTCTCTTTTGAAATGTTGAATTCTTCCATACGTGATTTATATGCTTCCAAAGTGCTTTTGAGCACCTTATCATAAACCTTTTGTTCTTCGTCTGTCCATTTTCTATATCCAACCTATTTGCAGGATAACAATTGTCGTGACTCCATGAAAAGTATATTAGCTTTCAATTAACTTACCTGGTATTCTTTTTTAGAAGGGTCAAATCCAGACTCTTCTGTGAAATTTTTGTAAAATTCTGCAAAAAATTGTTGTTCAACGCTCATGACAGAGGAGTTCTTTTTGGAGGAATGAATTCTAGTTTTCTTAGCAACTGCAACGAACGCTTGCGAAGGAGGAGGCATGATATTTTGAAGAGGAGAGGAAATTTGATGCTCTTTTTCGATAGCTTGTAAATTTTTGTCATTATCTTGTAAAATTGACCTTACGTCACAGACAAGTTCCCAGTGTGTTGAAAATGAAAAATTTGGTTTTTTGTAAATTTTGCAATTGTTGTCAGAGGTGGAACAACATAAAAGGCATCCAAAATTATTAATTACAGATGCTTTTGTAGCGTTGTTGGACGGTACTGGAGGGCTCCAACCAATGCTTCGGAAGCAGCTTGGAAGAAAACGAACAAACATGGATGGATGAATGACTGATCTATCTTTGAAATGAGTTGAAGTACGCACTGGCTCGTGGTTGGTAGTTACCACTCCATCTTCGGATTCAGTTTCTTTGTGTAACACAATCATTCCTCTCTTATCTGTATTTGTATTCACAACACAAATGGAATTGTTTGTAAGTAGTGCTATTGAATTATTCTCTTTGCACCATTTGATTGAATTCGGAAATGAATTTCTTGCATTAAACTCTTCAATAAATGATCCGTATTTATCTGGTGATGCATTATTATCTTCCAAAGATGATGAAGAACCAGCATTTGCTTTTCCGATTTGATCATTATTTATAAAAATGCTCGTTGGCTCGCTATTATTTGGAATTGGCTCTTCGTCCGACACGTCCTCCATATTTAAAAACAACGAGCTTTGCATTGGAGGTGATGACGAAAGCCTTTCTTCGCTCATTTTTTTTTGAAAGGAATCGAAACAAGCCTTTCCAAAACTTGAATTTGTTGAGCCTTGTCTTAAACAAACATAAACTCAATAGTGCTTGGGGAGAAGGGGACATTAGTTTCAATCGGGCGTCAAAAGCAACTTGGTTGATTATCATGTTGGTCAACAAATCAAAAAAAAGCTGACACTAATCATCTCCTACACGTCTTTTTTCCGATAACAAAACATTTTACTTGATATTTCTTCGAGTTGAGTGACTATTGAAACAAACAACTTGTTTTCAAAGACATTCATGTACATTCATCTCTCACATCGTTGTTGTCGTCGTCATTAAAAACAATTTTACAACTTGATTCAATACCTCCAACAAACTTGTCATCATCATGACCAATAATTTCACCATTCTACAATTAACAGCTCCTATACCTTGGAATTTTCATTCCACAGACATGATGGATCAATGCAATTATGCAAATCCTCTTTTCATTTCCCGAATTAACAAAATACCTCCTTCTAATTTTTATCGAATTTACTTGTTAGGAACAATATTTGGATTGGGACTCATTCTCTATGTTGGTGCTTTTGCGTTAGTGATTGCTCGGAGGAACAAATCTCCACTGAGGGATCGTTCCGTATCACTTTTATTGATCTCGGGAATTTCTGGAGCTTTTGGACTTGCCTACATGTATTCTCGATTGTATTTTGACTTGATTTTAGTTTGTCCCATTACGTATTATATGGTGGGATTGGTTCAATTTTCATATTTTCTTCCATACTTGTTTCGTTGTTTTAGGACTATCATGCAATATAAATTAGCTCAAGCACAAGCTGCCATCATGGAAGAGCAAGAGATTTCTACGGAGGATCAATTCAATGTGAGGGATTTGAATAGTTATTATTATGGAGTGGAATCCATGACCAGTAGTGGAGATCGTAGAAGACGGCGAAGGAGAAATAGAGACATTCGTGACAATGCATTTCTCTCAAGTGAAAATAGTAATGAATTGAATATCACTGAAAGGCCGTTGAATTACGACTTTTTGTCATCTAAAAAGAGAATTACACAAGGAAATATGATTTCTGAATTGGCCAAGAATGAAAAATATTCTCGACTCATTAGCAATCAATATTACTTCTCTGAGGGATTTCTTCTCATAATTATGACCATCATTCTCTTAATATGGACGATGATTATTTTTGTGGCACACATGCTTGTCATGTTTGGATTTAATCTTATTAATCCGGTTTGTCAAAAGAGATGTAACGAACATGAGGGCGTCGCTTTGCGAGTATTCGTTTGTGTGACAATTATTCTCATTATTCCATTTGCATTTTTATTATTCAAAATGAGGAAGATTAATGACGATTTTTCGATTCGAAAAGAAATGACGGTCATGCTATGTTTTAGCATTATTGTAGTGGCTATTCCTTTAATTGTGCTGTTAGCAGTTCCTGGCCAGGTAAGGAATTATTGTGTGAAAATTATTTCACAATTGCAATCAACAACTACTATAATGACATGAATGATTTATCGCAAATTGAAAAATAGTTTTGGCCTGATCAACCTACTATTGGATATTTTCTGGGAGTGGAAGTTGTGGGTAGCTTCATTATTTCAATTATTTATCCTCTGGGTTCAACATGGGTTAGAGATATTGACATGTCAAAATTTAACATTTTCAAAAGATGGAAAAAACGCGGATCCCATTCTGACCACATGATCACCACTTCAAACATGATCTTAAACGAATCGATCCATGCATCAACTATACCCTCTGAAAGTTCCATACCATTTTATGAAAAATTTGAATTTTATTTACAAAACAACGATGCAAGAGAGATTTTCAAACAATTCCTCGTGAGAGAGTTACACGTTGAAAGTCTGATGTTTGTCACCGAACTGCAGTATTTTAAGAGTTTGGATGAAGAGGACGAATTACTTGGGGAGATTGCAAAAACTCTTTTCGAAACCTATGTCAGAGATGGAGCACCTTTTGAAGTGCACATTTCACACAAAGTGAGAAATGAATTAATCAGCAATTTAGAACGACCTTCTCTGAGTATTTTCAACAAGGCTGAACAGGAGGTGTTAAAAAATATGGAAACTCAAAGTTTTTCTCGATTCAAAAAATCAAATTTATTTTCAACATTTACAGAAAGATTTAAACGAAATAACTATTGAGAGAATTCCATGTTCATAATTATAATTAAAATATGATGCAAGTAATTAATTCGTCTTGAATTGTTTAAAAAAAATGAAACAAATTTCCAATTTGAAAAAGCTTGAAAAAATTGCTCCATCATCAACATCGGAATCATCACATTCATTACTGAAATCCAAGAAGACATATTCAAAAAATGTTTCCTCCGCAATACCTCAAGAAAAGTTTCAAAATTTTATAATACCCTCTCGATTCCGAGAAGGAGAAGAATATGTACTCACTCATCAAAAAAGAGAAGATGATTCAATTTATACATTTAGACACGTTATACCGTACATACATGTCTATGATCAGAGTGTAGAAAATTATGAAGGGAGAATGATTGGAAAGCCTTTCAAAGAGGCTTATTGCTCCGAGTATGGTATTGATGAAAATACTTTTTCTCGAATGTGCATCATGGGAGTCATCACACTAAACCATCAACCAATTCTTACACGACAAAAACAATTCCAAAAGTTGAAAGAGGGGGATTCTTTTCAAGTTAAAGATATTCGTATGGATAGACCCGTTAAACATTTTGATCAATTAGAAATTATTTATGAAAACGAGGATTTTGTGGTTGTCACAAAACCAGATGGAGTATGTGTACATCCAATTCGGAGATATCACAAAAACTCTCTGTTTTATATGATGGAACATGAGTACGATCAACATTTTGGAAATAATTTACATTGTAAAAGTAGGTAGGACACCGTTATCATGTTAACGAAAATTTCATGCATGACTTGAACGACTTTAATGACAGCCATTCATAGATTAGATCGACAAACAAGTGGCGTATTAATTGTTGGAAAAACACCAAAAGGAGTGAATCTATTTCAAAAGCAATTCAAAGGACAACATATCAACAAGCAATATATTGCAAAAGTTCATGGCATCATTCATGAAAATTCAGTTTTTGAAATTAACGATCCAATTGTGTGTATTCAACCATGGGATGGACTCTACAAATCAATACCGAATCGAGAGAAGGAGTTAGAGTATCGTGAGCTCTGTAAAAAGAATCGTGTCAATTTTGAACCTAAATCTTCCATGTAAGTTGTTCAGGGGATTCATCGAACGCCACTTATGAAAATTCGATTTGGGTGACAGAACGAAATTTCAAGTATTGCTTCGAAATGAACAAGAAAACACAACGACGTTATTATGCACTCCCATTACAGGGAGAACTCATCAGATTCGAGAACATCTTTCGGGACAAGGATTTCCTATCATTGGAGAAGAAGTAAGCATGACAAAGATTGATCCAGAATACTCTGAAAAACGCATCGATACAGGAACAGAAATATGGAAATACAAACTAGATTTATTTGAGAAGTATGGACTTGACTCTCCACAAGTGGCCATGCAAGCATTACAGGATACAGTGTATGGGCGTTCTTTTTCAATTCCACAAGATCTCTGTTTGTTTTCGTTCAGATATCAGGTAGGACCATTTGATTTCCAGAGCTCACTATTTGCTCCAGAATTTTTGAAAAGGGATTGGAATGAGATTTGTCACATTTTGAAACGACCAAACAAGAAAAGGTAACAAAGGAATTCTGATTTTTACAGTATTATTGTTGAACAAACTTGGATTGAGCAACAAATGCATCAATCATGCTAGAGCTTGAGATTGGATAATTGACCAGCTGAACTGTCTTTCCATCCTCAGAGAGAGTGGTGTGAGGCTGAATAAATACTTTTCTTGGTTGTTTCTTGTCTAATACAATCTTTCTCATTTTCACAAAGTCTTCAGGTACTGAGGTGTACTTGTTGAAAAGTTCCGTTGCTGCATTCTTGTCACCGATGGACTTGTAGACGTTAATCTTCAAAAGATAATCATAAATGGCCTTCTTTCCAACTGTTTCAATCTTGGTCTTGTCCAAAGAGAGCTGTAAATCATTATCTAATTGCTTAATTTCAACCAGACCATTTCCAGCTTCAAGAAGAACTCTAAGAATGGAATAACGAGCACGCATGTGAGCTTGGAGCCAAGCGCCTGTATCAGGATTATAAAATTGCAAACCCATTAATCCTGCTCTCACCATATTAAGCCAATTCACATAAATGATTTTATCAGCTTCTTCTCCTTCAAATCCACAAATCTTTAGAATTTCACGATCCAAACACAAGTAAATGCCAACACACTCAGCTCGACATTCTTCATAGGCGTTACTAATTTCACCAATGACAGAATTGAAGTTCTCTCCAGGTTTGTAGAATGTAGTCACAGGCTGTTTAGTGATTGGATTAATGACATTGGCAATGTCAGATTCTTTCAATAAGGAACCGCTTCCGTGACCCAAAAGTTCATGAAGAATGACTTGAACTTCGAATGATTTACCTTTGTAATCAGTGTAAATTTTCTTATCTTCCTCATTTAAAAATGTAATTTCCTCACCAGCAGCAACTGGAGCACCTAAAACATTCCCCAACGAAACGTTCTTGAAACCATGTTGGTCTCGAATGTTGAAGGAGTTTGGAATGTTGATTCCAGCTGGGAGACCAGAGCTTGTGAATGTAATGACTTCCAGACTGTTGTTGTTGATATTGGGATTGAATATCGAATTCGACGAGTAGTTCAGTAATGCCATGTAAATTGTTCATGTCACTGATGTGTCAATAGAATTTCGAACATACCTTGTAAAGTCAGGTTTTGTAAATTTTGAAACTTCGAATGGTTTTCTGTCACCGTTTGTGCTGTCTTCATTCCATGGTAATCGTGCAATGAATTTTTCAGCATTGTCTACAATTGTTTGAGCTTTTTGACTTGCAACCTTGTTCACGACAGCGACGAATCCCTCAAATTCAGCTCTTACTCTCAAAGGGTCTCTATAAGATTCAATGTATCCAATATTTGTCTCAATAATTGGTCCCTTATCCTTGACCCAAGAAATTTGAGAATCTAAGAAATCTTGACCATTGCCCGAGTCAAAGAATTGAGTATACTTTCTCAACATTTCTTTTTGGTGCTCGTTCGCAGCAAATGGCAAAGCCTTTTCCAAGTTGTCACGAATATTCGCCATCTGCTTACTAAAGTCACCATATGTAACAGTAATGGTAAGATCTTGGAAAGTGTGAGTGGTTGGATCTTTTGGTTTTGCACTTGCGGTCTTGAGCTCAAATTTCTTGTCACCAGTCTTGAATAGTCTTGTGTGTTCAATATGAATTTGTTGTTGTTCCATAAACGTCTTTACCAACTCTGCCTCTTGTTCTGTGACGTCTCTAGTGTAATAGGTCGAGTTTCCAAACCCCAATTCCAGCACATTGCTCTCCAAACTGTACATGGCATTTTTGATCTTTTCAAAAAGCTCAATAGCTTGTTGATTCTCACTTGCCTTAACTACCTTTTCAAACTCCTCGGGTTCACATCTTGGAATGAATTTACTGTCCCCAAAACTCAAATAATTACCCATATTTCCAAAGAATGAAACTGCATAATTAATAACAGCCTCATAATCATGTTCAGAAACTCCAGCCTTCAACGACTTTTCTTTCAATCCACTTGCTTCAGCTCCTCCTTCAAAAAGCAAACAGAGTAACCGATAAATATCAGGACTCTCCTCCGAAACTTGATGAAGAACAATAGGTGTTCCAGCAATGGCTGCCCGAGAGAAGTAGTGAGCATATAATTTTTGATCATCAGTGAGAGCATTCCAAGCCTCTTCAAGCTCCAATCGTGTAACTGGAATTTTCTCGGGACAAACGTAGTGTTTTAATTTCTCATCTTGCAAGATGGATTGCACTTGTTGGACCATTGTGTGGTTGTTGATTGAATAACGGCAACTGAAAAATCTTGATTGTTGAATGGAAGAATACGAGCTTTCCTTTTTCTTGTGTTGAGAAATTGAGTGCAATGAGAGGATTACTTGAGAAGAGGAAGAAACAATTCCGACGCGTCTACTTGCAAGATTTTTTTTAGAATGAATTCCAATAGTACGAAAAAGGGACATTTTTTACATCAGAAGGTGATAAATTCGAGAAGATATCAAAGACCTTCAACAATGTTTACTGATCGGAAGAGAAGTGTTCTTTTCTTGAAATGTTTCAACTACTTGTTGAAAGCTTTGTTGAAAACAGTATTTCAGAACTCTCTCAAAAAAAAATGATCAACATTTATCTGTGCTCAAAACCATGCAACAAATTGACCAACACCCCCATTTCATTCATACCCATTGAAATACCTCTATCTGATGACTATAGTAAGAGTCATGCTTCCATTCATCAAATTATTTGCTCTGGACCTTGTTCCGATGATTCCAAATGTAGAATTTTATTGAGTGATGGAAGAGTTTATAAAATTTCATTTTCAAATAATACAGATAATGATTTACCTTTGATCAATAGACAAGAATATTTAAAAGAATTTGGGATCATGACTCACAAGATCGTCAAGCAAATGGATAGTTTCACAAATGGATGTATATTTTTAGTACATGATATGAAAAAGAAACGAAATGTTTTATATGGTGAAGGTTTGTAGAAAGACAGAGGAAAATGACACACATCATGTGACTATTTGAATGAATTACGTGGTATAATGATGAAACTTGTTCTTTTCATCCACATTGAATTTTATGACGCCCACCAATATTATTTAACTTACATGCAATTTTGAAATAGAATCTAATTATTATGACAATTTGGGAAATAGTGACTCCAATGATGTTCGGCTCATATTTGATCCTCAATTGTATGACCATCAACATTCAAACGCATCGGTGACTCATATTGCATGTTGTTTTTCGTTTAGCGTTTGTGTCGTGAATCATAGAGAGATTCGAGTATCAGGACAAGATTGGATTGATGCTAAATATGCAACGATATGGAGAAATACTCAATTTATAACACCATGTGATGTGAAAGATATTAGAGGAGGGAATTTCCACTTTATATGTCTCTTAATGGATGGATCGATCGTCGCTGGTGGATCCTTTACTAAGGAACATTCCCTTTGTGCAACTGGACAAACAGGTAGTATTTGTCATTTCACCATTCCATTTCGAATCGAATCATTTTCATGTGCTTCATCGAGAACCTTAATTGAAACAGAAAAGGATTACTTATTGTACGGAGCGAATCCATTTGCTCAAACTCAAACCAAAGCGTATCATCTCACCATTCCAAATCACTTGGATTTGAAGCTTAAAAGCGTATTGATGTTTCGAGAGACATTTGTTTTCAAATCTGTCAGCAATCCATCGCAATTGATTGTTGCTACCGACTCTCATACCATGGGAGTGGTTAATCTTTCTGAATATTTTAGTGCCAAAGACATTTATAGAGATGGAATTGGGATTAGTTCCTATTCCAATGCCTTAGTGTTATATTGTAATCCTGAACGTGCCACTTTCATGCAACGAAGACTAGGAGATTTCATTTCAAAACGAGGAGGAGCTTTATCGGATATTTCAATATGTTGTTGACATGATTAATGTGAAATGATATATTTATTTCATATTTTATGTACAACATCATTACAGATGAACATTATAGGTGATGATATCATTATTATTGACTTGCATTGGCCCTGTTATGATATCATTCTTATTGACTTGCATTGGCCAACGCTTGTTTCCATGAGTCACGAGCAGCAATCTTTTCCCACCAAGCTTTCACATGAGGTCGTTCCTCAATCAATCTTCCTAAATTCACCTGAGAATGGAATAAATAATTTCCAACAGGTAAATGATACAAATCGGCCAACGTGAATTGATTGCCACCCACAAATTCTTGTTGAGTCAGAATCTTTTCATAGACATCCAAATTCTGAGCAAGTTTTTGAGTGAAAAACTTGACACGTTCTTCATCGGGAGCTCCTAATCCTTTCATACCTTTCCATACCAATTCAAAAACAAGAGGAGAAGCAACGGAATCAAAGTATGAAATCTCAATCGATGCACCTTGTTCGAATATTCCCAATTCTTTAACGTTGGTACTTTCTGGAATTAATAGAGTTCCTTGATTCTTGAATTTTGCTTCCAAATATCGACAAATGGCACGTGATTCATAGATCAAGAAGCCATCATCGTCCAGAAGTGGAACCACTCCAAAAGGTTGTTTCTCCAAGAAGGATGGTTGTTTTTGTTCTCCCTTATACAAATTCACAGGAATGTATTCAAAGGAAAGACCCTTCTCAAAAAGAGTAGTCACAACTCGTTGCGTGCATGTAGATCTGTAAAGGCCATAAAGCTTGAGGACCATTGGGATGTGTTTTTGGATGTTTTTTTATGTTGTTCGAAATGACATTGTTGATGGACATCGGTGATATCTTCAAGCCGACGAATTTATACATCCGCATCAAAATTGTGTCGCTCAAATGGTTTCATGAAAGATGTCCACTCGATCACTGGGAAAACTGGTTAGTTCAAACCTGCGCACGTTTACAGTGGCCGAAAAGATCTTGCTCCCGCACTTTTAAAAAGAAATGGCAATAAATAGTATGATTACAAAACGAGAACTCTTTGAATTCAAAAAAAAGCAGTTATTCATTCAACCGTTAGACAAATTTATTCCCATCGACAACAACATGTCCCAACAACGACCATTGGTTAAAGTCATTAAGAAAATTATCGGAAAGGAACAATCGGAAGGAGTTGGAGTTCGAGTCATTCGAACCCTTGGAAGTGGACAAGTTTCCTATCATGATCCCTTCTTGTTATTGGACGAAGCAAAACTTTCCAAGCCAGCTGGCTTTCCCAGTCATCCTCATCGAGGTTTTGAAACAGTCAGCTACTTGCTACAAGGTTCTATGCGACATGAAGACAATCAGGGAAATGTCGGTATGCTTGGCACGGGAGACGTGCAATGGATGACTGCTGGAAGAGGCGTCATTCATAGTGAAATGCCAGCTGGAGAGGGAATCATGCATGGCATACAGCTTTGGGTCAATCTTAAAGCGAAAGATAAAATGGTGGACCCGCACTATCAAGATTTGAGAGCGAGCGAAATTCCAAAAAAGCAATTGGATGAATTTACAACTTTATCCGTCATTGGAGGAAAGCGTTCGTCGAACGTGGAGTTGGAAAGTCCACTGAAACTTTTAACAACAGTGTTATATTTTCATGTCAAGATTGCAAAGAACGGTCACGCCTATAGAGAAATTATTCCGAAAGGATATCAAGGATTGGTATATGTGATTGAGGGTTCTGGAAAAATAATACAAGAAAACAATGCGAGTGAAAATGCTCCTGAAAAATCTGCCTTATTGTTTAAGGAGACGACCGAGGATCAAACTCTCGAATTTGAGACCGCATCGGATGTCACACAGTTTCTAGTCATTGCTGGTGAACCAATGAAAGAACCTATGGCTCGATATGGACCATTTGTCATGAACACTCAAGAAGAAATTTACCAAGCTTTTGACGACTATGAATCTGGAAAGTTTCAATAATCGTTCAGTAACTGAATGAACGAAACTAGGAATTTGCATGTACATACACAAAATAAATTAATTTACGATTCAATAATAAATCACATTCTCTTGGCGATGCAGTCATACCATGCAAATTATGAAATTCGTTCAAGTGCTCCGTGTTTAAACCGTTCAATCACTTGCCATTCCGTATTCGATTCTGTTATAAAATACTTTCGAATCATTAAGCGTTTAAGAGCTAAGGCGTCATCTCCTGCAAGAACCAGAGCTTCATCAATCAATTTCAATAACTCAGAGTCCGGCATGAATGCCTGCATTTCGGTATCGACCAGAAAAGCCATCGCCTTTTTGGCTCCAAATTTTTCATAGCATCTTTTAAATGTTTCCTCAGCCTTCTTGTGATCGTTCATTAATATATGGCATTCAGCAATGTTGGTGTAAGCGTCGACCTGTACATGTGGGAAATTTGATAGTTCCAAGCATTTTTCAAAATCCTTTATGGATTCCTCTAATTGTCCCAGTTGAGCATTGGCATCTCCTCTGTTTTGGAAAACGAGTGCATGTTGAGTAAAGTGAGAATGTCCAATATTATATTGTTCAATTGCCGATTCGTATTTTCCAACTGAATAAAAACTACCTCCAATATTGTTATAGAGTCCTGCCAGCTGATAGGGTTCCAATTTGGGAAGATAATTTGTCTCAAAATGGTACATCAGGGCCTTCTTGTAATACTGAATTTCTAGATCAAATCGTTCCTGATCAGAGTGTAATATTCCAAGCCAATTTAAAATTGCATAGAAACTTTCATATTTTGTTAAACAGTACGAGGGAGAGGATTCCAACGTTTTTTGGTGCCTTTGCGACAATACATATTGTAAAGCTTTTTTAAAATAGTAAAAGCTGGACTCATAATTTTTCTCATACAGACAAACTGAGGCACTAAAAATACAATACCAATAATCGTGGTTGATATTGTTAATGACCATGTCCTTTGCGCCTTCTTGCTGTTTTAAATCTCCGTTGATTGGTGTGGAAATGGTTGTAGAATTTTCACCAAACAATTTTGCATGATTATTATACGAGTATACTGTAAAAAACATTCCTAGTTTTAACGTTCTTAATTGGAGGCCATTGAAGCCTAACGACCAGTATAGAGATGACTTTCTAAAGTATGCATGCCCAAAAAACGGCAATGTTTTGATTGCTTCATTAATGTGAAGCTCGGCTTTATCGAAATTATTCCTAGCAATTTCCAACTCAAATAAATAGATTAATTGATTATATTTTTCAAGTGTTGTTTTCGGAACGATCATGGGAAGTATTCTTGGATGGAGAGTTACATCAGTGTCGTCATCATCTTCATGCTGATCCACAAACTTGTAATAATCTTGAATCGTAAGTTTGTGTTCTTTGGCCATCAGACCGTTCAATGATGATATCGATAACAGTTTCTCGTCATCATCGCCGATTGAACGGATTGCTTCGTCTTGCATTTTTTTCTTCTTCAATTTACATTGTGGCTGAGGAGAATGCATCAATTTATTCAATGTATTGATCCAATTCATTGACTTCATCAAATGGCAACACGTCAATCATGCAATTCTTCAAAACTCCCATTATTTGCTTCATGCTTCTCATGGAGAACAAATCCTTAGCATCCACTGTGGTCAACACATTCTTCACATCGAAAACATTTCTAATCTTACAAATGCTGTAAGTTTGTGAATCGACAGGACTCACCGAATCTGTGTAACATCCAGGATGAGAATTGAAAGCATAATCAGTAATTCTCTCACAGGTCCATCCCTGAGAAATCTTGCTCACGACATTATCCATCAAAGCTTGTTGAAGACAATGACCCGTAGAGGCAACCCACTTTTTCGAGTAATCGCTCTTGTAGACTCCTTCTTGGAGTGATCTAAAGAATGCACTACAATACTTGAGGCCATAATTGATGGCATAACCAGAAGAACCACATGGCATAATCTTCTCCAAACAATCCGTGTAGAAGGAGCACTTGTCGTATTGTTGAATGGTTCGGAGGCAGGTGGCTTTCAATTCAGGAGTGAGGAGAGAGGGTGCTGAAGAACGTGCTTCACCACGAGTAAGAGCAGCCTGAGTGTAGCTATTCATGAGGAGGATAGCTGCCGCAACCATCAATACAAGAAGGACGGAAGACTATTGATGATGAAATTGTGGATGATGAATGATTGAAATAACAGTATTCAGAATTATGAAATCGAATCCGTGTCCGTAAATGAAGAGTGGATTACATAATGATGAAATTGATGGAATAGAAGAGTGCATGAGAGTTATATGAGATCCGTAAATATTTACATGTTGTGTGTGAGTTTGATGATAAATCGTCGTCATCCACACAAAAAAAACATACCTTCATGTTTTCGTTGTGATTTTTTGAATTTCATTTGAAGAATTTTTGGTTATAACGAGAGCAAGCAATCTCTCTATTCCCAAACTTGATCTAGGCTCAACAACATTCACAGCAAGCCAATTTATTTCGTCCTCATGGGTAGAACCCCTATCAGTGCTTATGAGTGAAAGATTAGCAACCTGGATTTACACCCCAACAAAAAAATATGAAATCGAGTTGAGGGGTTCATTTTGATGGATGTATTAATACAAGATTGATTTGGTGATCAATCTTTCAACTACTATTCATTCAGATAAATTATTTTGAAAGAATGCATGTTTTTCGATGAACTCTGAACTGATCATCAATTGCACAAATTCAGGCAAGAAAAATGTCAGAATCCAACTCTCAAGCTAGCCTGTGGCTGATTGATTTTTGTCCTATCCCTCATTCATCTTCCCATCAACTACTCACTCGAAAATTTCTACATCAAATTAAAGGTTTTACCAAATGGTACCGAGAACGAGAAGCGTATTTGAGTCATCTAGAATTACCACTCCGGATCGAATTTTTAGATGATCATGAATGTATAGAAAGCCGATTATACCATCACAATCAAGCATTGTTTCGACTTCACAAAAATTCTGTCCATAATCCTTTCCAGGATATTACCAAGGGACTTGTTACAACACTACAAGACGATCATGGTTTATCATCAACTTTTCATGAACTTTTTAAAAGCAACAAAAAGGCATGGAGAATTGCAGTATTCAGAGCTTTGTTATTCAACAACTGGCAAATACTTGATTATGTTTCAAAACATGAGCTCTTGGACGATTGTTTCAGAAATGACTTGAGATATTTATTGAACTTTCAAGCAAGCTGTCCTGTGGCCTTGGATCCAGATAATCGAGATCTTGCCATGAGAACCATCAAATCATTTCCTATGGATTTGAGGTATGCATCAGAAAGGTTACAAAACGATAAAGAAGTTGTCTGGAAAGCAATCAAGGAAAATGCAGAGGCTCTTCAATTTGCTTCACACGAATTGAGAAATGATAAAATTACTGTGATCAAAGCGTTGATTTCTGGTAATGTACAAGTGATTAATTATGCTTCCGATGAGTTGAGAAATGATTCTGAACTACAAGCTGCAGTTGCCATGATTTCGAAACATGGTGTGAAAAATCTAGTATTTTCATTGAATGATGCAATGCCCGAAGTGAGAAATAACCTGTATTTGACCTACATGTCTATCATGTTAAAAGAACACAATTTGAAATACGCTACAGACAAATTCAAGAGCGATAGAGAGTTAGTCAAACTAGCTGTACAGCACCAACATGATATATTTCAATTTGCATCATTAGAGCTTAGAACAGATTGTGAATTTGTGTTAGAACTGTTACGAAAACATCCCAGTGGCCTCAACGATTTTGTTTGCCGAGATCTCAGCAGAGACCAAACATTCAATATTCAATGGATTAACATTGCAAGAACTGAATTGAAGCAGGAAATAGTGTTTCGCACTTGGTTTCTCAATAATTTTGCTCGTGATCGAGATATGGTCTGCTATTATTTTGACCCACTGTCATCATTAAAATGTGACTATTGGATCGCTGTGGAGTTGGTGAAGAATTATTACACGCAAGATCGAGAAATTTTGTCGAGAATTTTGAGAAAATGTGGAAGTGCTTTGAAATTTATTTCTAACGATTTTAAAAACGATAGAGATATTGTGTTAAATGCTGTGACTAGTTCAGGTTTTGCTCTGCAATATGTCTCTGGTTCATTATGCCATGATAGAGAGGTGGTTATTTGTGCATTGAAAAATGAAGGCAACGCTCTGCAATTTGTTTCAAAAGAGCTCACCAATGATAGAGAACTGGTATTGACTGCAGTGTTACAGAATGGAAATTCACTGCGTTACGCAAGAGAAGAATTTAAAAACGATAGAGAAATAATCTTGACTGCTCTTCGCAAACCAACAAATATTTTAGGAATTATTGAGAACATTTCTGAAGACATGCGAAATGATCGAGAAATTATGTGGGATGCCGCTATTAAAAGCAACGGCTCGGCTCTACCATTTGCTTCTGACCAATTGAAGCAGGATCGACAATTTGTGCTAAATCTCGTAGAAAGAGATGCCTCTTTTCTCAAATACTTGCCTCAAGAATGGCGAGATGACCGTGAAATCATATTGACTGCTGTAAAGCAAGATGGTTCATTCATCACATATGCACCACTAATATTGCAAAATGATAGAGAAATCATTCTTCAAGCTGCTTTAGGGTGTCTTTCAGCATCTACGGAATTACAGAACAACAGAGAAATTGTGTTGCTCAAAGTGAAACAAGACGCTCGCTTTTTTAGTGAAATATGTTATCTTTTTGATAACGATCGAGAAATTGTGTTGGAGGCAGTCAAACAAGACGCCTCTCTGTTTTGGAACACCTCTGAGGAATTGGCTTTTAACGACAATACCTTATTTCTGGAGGCATTTAAACGTTCAGGCGATTTATTTTTCCATAAAAACATTGAACGGTCATATTTTAATGAGCTAAAGAGATTAAGACTTGATTTTGAATATCATGGATGTGATATACCTGAGAGATTTCTTGTGACCCAAAATCCAGTCTATTTATTAGAGCATGACGGACTCTATTTAGTGAAAAATAATGATCAAAAAACATGGAATCAATATCTATTCGATCATACAGCAGAAAGTAACGATTGGAAAATAATTTTTAATGCTGAAATTGATAGTTTTTCGTTGACCCGCCAGTTGGAGAAATAATTATTAAATTTATAATTAAACAACTATTAATAATATAATTTTATGGAACTCTTTACAAAATTAAAAAGTCACACGTGTTATGGAACTGGAGAGAGATGCCACAACCCATAAAAGACAAAAAAATGCCCAACCGAGCTTCTCTCGCCACTGCAGGTTATCATGACGATGGTGCAGCCTTCGCTTCAGATCATTCACCACTCTACGGATTTTTCCTCATTATTGTATTAGTTTTTGCTATCATCAAGACCTTTATTCATAAGAGTATTGTATATACATTCCGATTTTTGAAGAAAATAGTTACTGGAAAGGAATATGAATGCGTGTTTTGTGGCTTACATAAATTGGATGATGAATATAATACCATTGTGTTGTATAGAGACGAAATTTGTTATATTGTAGAAGATATTAGACCCGAGGCTGAATTTCATTATCTAGTCATTCCTTTTAAACATATTCCTAGTCGGCGAAAAATTGAAGATTTGGAAACTTTGCGTGTGGGTATGTGTGTAATGCATACAGCACGTTCATTGAATAGTGCTTGGCAAAATTTTTCCATATTTTGAATTGTAATAATTAATTATTGGACGAAATTACTAATTCGTGACATTTTGATGCAATACGCATAACAGTCAAACACATGAAAATTGTGGGACAACAATTTGCGAAGAGAAGACATTATGAACTGTGGAATGAAATGAGCAGTAATGGTATTGCAGAAGACAGAACTGGTTTCCATCTACCACCTTTCAATTCTGTAGAGCACTTACACATGCATATATTGGTCGGAAAATTTAAAAATTATCTTTCAAAACTTGAGTTCACTCCCAACACCTATTGGTACACCACATGTGATGACATGATTGAGGATGCAAGATCCAAGAAAAAATCAATGTAAAAAATATAGGCTCTCACACAACAATTAGTGGAGCTCGGCTCTGTCCCATTTGACAAGAATAAACAAGCAAGCTAATAACACAGCATTGGGTAATGAATCTCGGGAAAACTTTCCACCATCGTCACCCTATGCATGAAGCCTTCCCTCTCATCAATTTTCCTTTTTTGTAACTAGGATAAGGTTTTCGTCAAGGGTTTTCATGACATGAAGCATTTCACAACCCAATTGCCTTTTGGTTAAATCAAAGAACACAGAAAAAACGCCACGTTTTACCACACAGCAACCTTCATTATTGTTTATTCCTTGTGCACTAGCTTTATACAATTGTCATTACCCATACCAGTAACAATTACCACAACTATATTGTCATTCCCAACGACAACTACAAGACATGGCATCGTCATTTGAAACGACTCCCCAATTGACATATTCCCTCTCCTCCATTGCTGACCTTCTCAATCAACATACAGAGTGTTCGAACATTCAGCAACAACAAGAAATCATCATCTCTTCGTCATCTCCACTGCTTGTGAAACCGTATCGACATTCGTTCGTGGGTTCTACCACAACCTCAAAACATCATGACGCCAGTAATCATTCTTTATTTCCTTTCATCAATGGCCTGAGCGACTTGCTGAAAGAAGATCCCCAACCACATCATAGCAATAATCCTCTTCATGATGCCAACGATCCAAAAAGCCATCCATTTGAACTCCTCCCAAGTCCTATTATGATTCCTCAACCTCAAGTGGTCAATCCAGGTTCAACTTCAACTTTTCCAACAACCAAAACACCATCGCCCAAAGAGGGATCTCTTTCAAAGGATTTGGCACAGCATCATACTTCTACCACCATTGACTGCGGTGTTGCTCTCGATAGTGGCGATGGTCATGTGAAATCTTCTTCAACGACGTCGAATCAACAAGTCGCTGCCGTACAAGCACCTCAACAAACTAGTCTTGATTTTGTATCAGCGTATGCCATATTCTTGCAGAATCAACAACGACAACAACAGCAACAACAAATCACACAAACTTCTTCGAATAGTTTTCAGATTTCAACTTCTCAAACTTCAGATTCAACAGGAATTCTGGACGTGTTGAGTGGAAGTACTCTTACCAATCCCAATGCTTACATTCTGTTGCAACAACATAATCGGCCGTTGATTGGAAATGGTCAAACCAACATGACGACAAATGTTCCAAATCGTTCAACCTCTCCTTCAAGCCAATTGTCTTCAGTACCAACTACTACTACTAATTCTGTTTCATCAACATCAGAAGGACCTTCTACGAAACGAAAAAGGAATGCATCAAAGGAGAGCTCTTCAAAGAAACCAAAAACCAAAATGGAAAAGAAAGAAAGGAAGAAACAGACTTCAGCAACCAATAAGAGTGAGAGCTCATCATTGAACTCTCATTCGTTCTATCATCAACAACAGCAGTATGCCATTGCTTGTGGAAATATTTGGTTTGTTCCAAACGAATTTGACGTGTTCAAATCAGGTAAAAAGAGACAAGGAGTTCAATACAAGTTTGAAAATATGATTACTCCTTCAAATTATAAGGGGGTACCACACGAAAGGAGAGATTAGATGGTACACAAGAGAATGTATTTTTGGAAATTCCAAGTCGATCAGACACAAGTGTTAGCAATGAGAAATTCATAAAAATTCATCAAGAGTTGAGCTGTACTTTCCATAAAATTGCATCTTGTTGCTCAAAACTTGTAGCAACCAGAGAAAAAAATGCCCAGAAAAAAGGCAGAAGCCTCTTCTTCGAAAAAGGCAGATAAATCAGCCACGACAGAAATCAAGAATGATGAAGAATCGGAAAGCACAAAAATGACAAGAAAATCCACTAGAAAAAAGAAAAGCATCAGTTATGAGGACACTGCCATAGATTTATCATCAACGGACGATGAAAAAAGTAAATCAAAGAAGAAAAAGGCTTCATCAAAAAAGAGGAAAAAAAAGGAAGATGACGATGAAGATTCTTATGTACCAGAATCTTCAGAAAATGAGGATGATGTTATATCTGTTGCAGATTCGGTGGAGGAAGTGCATTCCGATGCGAGTGAAGAGCCTAAAGCTAAAAAATCAAAGAAAAAAAAAGACAGCGTAAGCAAAACTAAATCTTCGAAAAAAGAAAAGACCTCAAAGCCTAAAAAAACAACAAAGAAAAAGAGCTCAAACATTGAGCGAACATTAACTCACCATGTCACTAACGAGAGCATTGTCATTAATTGTGAGAATTTATGCCCGCAATTTTGTCCAATAATTGAAAGTCGCGAGATCAAAGATGACGTTGTACGCAGTATCATTGTTCAAGGTTCTGACAATACCTCTCCAAACGTTGAAGGAATGCTATCAAAAACAATTTTTCTCAACACAAAGCCAGAAAAGGAACGAAAAAATTATGTTCCCGAGGATAGATCTATGGAACGACCATGTATTCAGGTAGAAATACCTTTTCACCAAGGTACGCTCATAGAATCTCGGGCTGAAAATGTAAAATCTGACGCACAGAATTTTGCAATTTTAAACATTGGTGCGCCTGTTTGGGCTATGGACTGGGTGAACAAATCACCAGAAAATAGCGATCAATATGCTGCCATTGCTCCCCACACTACACATTCTGCATTTCACAAATGTGGCAAAATTACGTCTCAGCATGATTTATTTAGGCCTCTTGCTACATCATCGAGTTCTGCCATCTCTGATTTTGATCATTGTGGAAAAATTCAACTTTGGAATTTTGGAAAATTGACTAGCAAAGGACAACTGAAAATGAAACCATCCATTGATTTTTATGTGGAACAGAATCATGGATTTATTTGGGACCTTAAATGGATGCCTAATTCCTATGTCGCTGACAAGAGGCTTGGAATTTTAGGCTGTGCCTGCTCGGACGGAACCATTCTGATAATATCTATTCCTCTTCTCTCTCAAATTAATCATGACCCACTGTACATTCGAGCCAAAACGGCGCATTGATTATCAAACTACGATCAGAATGCTACACAAGTACACAATTTGATGCCGAAAACACATTAAGTAATAGAATCCCTTACTGCCTGGCATGGTCTCCCAATTGTAAATATCTCCTAGGTGGATATAATGATGGTACAGTTTCTTTATGGAAAATTAATTCCAATGCGTCATTGCAAGACAACAAACCTCTTCTAGAATTGGTAAGCACTATTCAAGCCCATAATCACCCCACGAATGATTTGGCAATTCGATCTATGTCATGGTTCGATCCTGCTTTGAATGAAAACATTTTTGCTACATGTAGCAATGATGGAATGAACAAGATTTGGGACTTGAGAGACATTTATTATCCCTATTATTCGGCTGCGAACGCCAATAGATTTTGGTCGACAGGAATTGTTTTTCCAGAAGGCTCAAACGCTCTCCTGTGTATCTCCCATGATGGAAACATTCGTCAATTCGATGCCGTTGAAAATGCATTTCAACTATTATCTACTACAGATGGTCCTTTATGGGATATTTCTCTATGCTCGTCACGTGCAAGTTTCGTTGTCTGTACAGCTACAGGAAGAGTAGAAGTAATGTCCCTCGAACAAGACTCTATGGGCCGAAAGCGACGATCTGTAGATACACGGGTCGATGATTTACTATTACAAATTGATTTGGTTGTGGATGATGATACTAGTAGTGAAAAGCAATCCTTAGACAAGATTGCTAAATCCATGAAGCACGCACAATTATGTTATTCGTTACCATACCACGTACCTACATGTGAATCTGACAACGTTAAGAGCTATTCCAAACTTCCCACAAAGGTCAAAGACATTAAGCTTGTTCCAGATGAGCGTATTTCAATTCATAGATGTTTATTTCATCCTTCAAAGTCTCAACATTTAAGAAATTGGTGTCTAGTTGGAGGTTATGATGGACTGGTCTTTGCAATTCCAGTTCCAGAACACTATAGCGAGTAAGAATACGAGTGAGAAATATTTACAAATCAGTTCAAGTCATACATACCTAAAGATCACATTCCTCCATTTCTTTGCTTTTAGAAAGGCTACAAATACAGATCTTTATTAATTAGAGAGCAACAAACCTTCTTTTCAAAGTCCACTCCATGAGATTTCCCACGCATTAACTAAGGTAGACTCGTCACTTTTCATCACCAACACGAGTAAGTTTAGATTAACTGTTTTCTGCCATTTTTGTGGTCGATCCGTCAATTGGTTAATTCTATTGATGTTTCTGTGCATGTAGCCTTTTAGTCAGTGTTGTATTAAGTCTTGCTAGCAAACCGAACCAAACTGTAAATACAACATTTACCCATTCTGAACATCAAGTGTATGACGAGAACCAAAAAAATTCAAACAAAATTTTATTATTAGAGCTCGAGAAGTCCTTCGCACCAACATCATTTTGCTTACAACTGCCATCCCTATCATTATTCGAGACATCAACAACAAGGATTTTTGCTGTACTATCTTACCAAGCTAACATCTTGACACAAGGCAAATATATTTCATCTCTGTGGCCAATAACACGAGAATCCATTCTCCTAAATTGTACATATTCTTGTATTAATATTTATTTATTTGAATAATGACCATGAGTGTAACAGCAACCACCACCACAACAGCTTTACAAAAAGACATGATGATGATGAGCGTGCAGCATGCTCCTAACGAGCCTTCGTTAATTAACTACGAGGAGGACGCATTCGGAACGGGCGTTTCTGCCATTCTCAATCCTTCCGACGAATTATTCTGTCCAATTTCGCACACGATCATGAGTGAGCCTGTGATTGCAGCTGGTAAGTTACCATTCCGTTTACAAGTGTTAGTTGTGTATGAATCGTTTGACGTTGATTCAATTATATTCATAATGTATCGCAAATTATTTGAAATTTGATGAAACTACTTTTGTGTTTAGATGGAAGAACCTATGAAAAGGAATTAATTACACAATGGCTTCGCGAACACAACGGAACCTCTCCTTTCACAAGAGAAAATATAGGAACCAACACTATCGAAAATGTGCATATTAAGAATGAGATTCAACGATTCTTCACAACACTCAAGTCGTTGGAGAGTGACCATTGTGCATTCCAATATCACTTGTCGAATGATGTCTTTTTACCATGCTCCATGTTGGTAGAATTTCAACATGCAGTGAGTAAGAATGACCTTAACACTGTCAAGACTCTCTATGACAATGACATCCGACTTTTACTCTACTCACCAGAAATGTTAAACGATTTTGTCAACCACAACATTTCATCTCTAGTGAGAGCTAATAATTTTTCTTCCAAGAGCTTAATAAGTTATTCATTGAATGGATACGAGTTGTGTTGTAAAATTGGATCATTAGGTAAGTGTATAATAATTTGGTTGAACGTGAACATTTATTTTGGATTCATTTCTTGACTTTTCACTCATGCAATTGCGACCAAATATTTAGAAATGATTGAGGACATGTACAATTTCCTTTCTAGATCTTCCTTAAATCGACCATTGCCTCCTCTTGCTAACGAAACCAACATTGAAAGAACTCATTGAATAAGGCACTGTGGTCCGAGTGCAAAAAAGAACATGTAGATATTCACACTTTGTCCAAGTTAATGAATTTCGGAGCTCAACCTCACAAACTAGACGCTTCAGGACGAAGTAGCCTCTATATTTTCCTGAGCTGTCACGACAATGTCGAGGCATTCAAGATTCTCTTTGAAACACATTGTACAGTTCTCATTCGAGAGAAGTGTCATCAGAACGAATATCTATTGTATAGTGCTGCCAAGTTCAATCGTTACAACATTGTACGATATTTGATGGAACGTCATGCGGACCTCATTGACTTGTCTTTGCAACATGGTCCTAACAATGAAAGTCCCTTGCATGCAGTTGTGAGGAATTCAAATGAAGGTTTGTATTTCATTGATGATGAGTATCAACTGATCATATCCTGAACGTGTACAATAATCATTTAGAGCTACTTACCTTCTTCCTTTCTCAGCGAAACGTTGGTGTGGATTATTTGGATAGCTTCAATCGATCTCCATTTATGCTTTCTTGTAAACTTGGATTCTTTGGGGTCACAAAATTGTTATATGATAAGGGAGCACAGCTTGATTTGTGTGATCATGATGGTGATACTGGTCTTCATTATGCTGCATCGAGGTGAGTTTACAAATGACGCTTATATTGTTAACAGTCGAGTTATTCATTATCTTTCATAGAAATTGGTCTCCAATCATTGAACTCTTGATTTGTAATGGCGCTGACGTCAATGCTCGCAACAAACGAGGACTTTCACCCTATAATGTTGCTTCCTATGAAACAACCAAGAGTCTCATCCAATACTTGACAGCCAAACAATTATCATTCGCATTTAAGCGTGTTCGTGTTATTGAGGATGAAAATTCCTTCCTCAAATCACAATTGCTCTCCATGTTAGAACGTATTGAAAAGCTGGAAAGACAACAAACTCCACAACAATAAATATTGTAACCAACGCCCACAAGTTGGCAGGTCTGCTTGTCAAAAAAATGCACAAATGGCGAATTGTTATTCAACTAACTGGTTCCGAACCTGTACTTCCATCATGATTGGCTGATGATGCTATCAATTCTTTAAAAATCTCGGACCACATTAATTGGTTCACTCTCTTTATTGTATCAACACTTGCAATTTGGTTAATCAAAGGCTTTTCAAATCATGAAAACTCGTATCATCGTCGCCAACTAATCTTGTTAACAGATGATACGACTTGGTACATGAATCCATCAAATAATGGAAGTTAAAACCCATTTCTGAAAGAACACGATGGAAGTTCAATAATGGAAATCGTGTTCTTGCAGAAATGGGTTTTAACTCCAGTTTGGCCCAAAAAAACAAGGGCGCTAAAATTTACTGTGGATTCAGCGAGCTTGTAACTAACTCGTACCGAAAAAATAGAGGACATCAATACCTTTGAATCGTCATCATACGCATTATTCGAGTTCAACTTGATAACTTGATCAACAACTTTACTTGAAAATTTTGTGAAGTTTTACATCTTTGATCTCAATAAGCCTTATTCATACCTCTGAACAAGATGACCAGGATTTTCCCTTCGGAAAGCACGGGGAGTATTGTAGTAACTGGAGCAGGTCATTCGTCGCATCCAACAACAAATTTGCCCAATAAGAATTATAGGATACCTCAAAACGGAGAAGCGAGCACGACCAACATGTCTGTGGCAGGATCAACCTCATCGTTTCAGATCATCAAGCACTCGAATACTCCGGTTAATGAGTCCATACAAGTAATGCCAGGAGAGCCTCTGAACAGTGATCATATGATGAAAAGTGAAATTAAACAATCAACCAACAAACTGCATGAGGAGTTGGAATCAGGCTCATGGTGGGGATGTATACCTCTTCGTCTTTTCATTAGTGCAATGATAGCATTATTAATTGTTGTGAGTTGCGTTTCTATTTGGGTGACCACATTTGTAGTGTCGAAACAAGCGATTGAAAATTTGGCAAATGATGTGATTGGAGTGAGCAATCAAAAGATTTTATCATACTTGGATGCAGTCATCAATCCTTTGGGCAAAATGTCAAAAGCAATGGCAGCTGATTACAATTGGGGAATTGCCAATGAAAACAACTTTCGAAAGTATCTCTTTCCAAAATATTATTTCTTGGGAGCCACAAGTTGTGGATACTTTTTTGGATATCCTTCAACCAAGTACACTTATTCAATCACTGGAGTTGGTTCCAAGGCTTATTTGGTTTATTCTTATCAAACTCCAGGTTTCATTGGAACCATCAGAGATACTGTTAACAACAAGACTGGTGCTGTTATCAAATATAATAGCACAATAGACTATACCCCCTTTTTTTCAGCTCAACAAGATTATTACAATTCAACCATTGAATTATGTAATAGATTGGGAATTGAGGGAGTTTATGGACCACCCTACAAAGCATTGAATTCGAGTATGGCAATTTATCATTCATCAGTGGTTTATGATCCAGTATTGTATGCCTCTGGAATTAAGAAAGCAGTTGGAGTGACAAGAATCAACATGTCATTGGGTGCAATTGTTTCATATTTGAGCAAAATAGTGTTGATTGGAAGAGGATATTGTTTAGTTTCACAAACGAATGGAATGATGATTGGAGGAAGTATCAACACTCTTGCAGGAGATGGAGAAACGAATTTACACTTGTTCAATATTACAGACCGACATGCAGGAAAACTCATGAGATCACTTTTCATGCTGTACGGTAATGACCAAAATATGATTCCACCAGTTTCATACATTAGAGACAGCGGTGTTTCTTACATTGTCTCATCCTCAAAATATACTATGGACAATATGAAATGGAACGTATATCTAATCGTATATGAGGAGGATATATTCCACTCTCTGATTGTAGCGTCAGGTATTTCAATTGGCGTTTTTGCAGCTGTAACAATTGTGGGTGTGATTCTCAGCGTTGTTTTAGGTAGTATTATTGCCCGGCCTCTTAAAAAGTTGGAAGAACAGTTTTCTTTAATCAAGGTATTGGACTTGAATGAGATAAGTCTTTGGCAATCACCGTTCAAAGAGATCAACAATATTTTCCAGAGCTTGGGGGACACGGTGGTGTGGTTAAAGGAAATTAAGACATTCATTCCTGACTATGTGTTTGAACAAATTCAAACAAGTAAGAGCCTCTCTGTAAAATCCATTGAAGTTACCAAAGTGAATTCAGTAGCTTCCAACATGAACAAAGCGTCTATTTCCTCTCTTTCTCAATCGCATCTTGGAGGATCCAGGCTTTTCAAGTCCTTGAGCAATTCAGGTGGAAAATTGGGGAAAACTATTTTTCAAATGGGACTGCATACAAATCTTTGTTGTGTCATTCATGTGATTTTCAAAGGTTTTACGAATGTGGAGTCATCTTCAGAAAAAGCTGAATTGTTTACATCGGCTATTTCAAACATCACACCACTCATCAAATTATACAAAGCTAATATTCAAATATTAACAGACTTTGAATTTCAAATAGTAATTACTGGTTCCCGTAGCGACATCAAGGTACCTGTAAAAGGGTTGGAGTGTGCTTTGAAAGTTGTAAAAACTCTGGAATCGATCAACCAAACTCAATTTATTCCTCGCGTTGGGGTGAGTGTGAGTGAAGCAGACATCGGTAACATTGGAACCAAAAATTCAAGGTTTTTCGCAATAGGTATGTTTGTCAATCTGTAGCATTGTAATTTTTTTAAACATTTCCTTTGTACAATATCGCAACATTTACAGTTGGTAAATGTGTGAAGGAGGCTTCTAAAATGGCAAAGGTAGCAGTTTTGTTTAACTTGTCTGTCGTTGCTGATTCCTCATGTTTTTCCAGCCCGTTATCGAGAGAGAAATTTATTGCACGACCCATAGATCGCTACCGAAAAGATAAGCTTTCAGACATTGAATCAATTTGGACAGTTTTAGACGAGAAGAATCATGAAAAAGATGAGTGGTTGTACGAATTAGAAAATTCGAAACGCAACAACACATTTGACAAGTTCTTGAACGCTTTTTGTATTTTCACAAAAGAATTTTGGGAGAAAACAGAACCCGATTATTATCCTGAAGCATTGGATCATAATTTGGATATTCTGAAAGAGTACGCTCATTTAGTGGAAGATCATTCCTTACCTCGACTCATCTCTGTATTAACTGCTGTTGCCACCACGTGCTCTCCACAAAATATTCCTTTTGTTTTGACGAATTATTCATCCGAATTGGGATGTGAGTATAGAGGCTTGCTATTGGACACACAACCTGTAGCAAATCTTCATATTGAGATGTAAATAATGCATACTGTCTCAAATAACTCTGAAAAGAAATATTAAAAAAACCCTCACCATATTATTTTGAAACAGAAGATAAGCGTCAACTATGAGATTCATGACATTCCAAGGTCATCATTCACCAAAATTGTTTTAAGACAGACACAAAAAAAATTATTGAGGTTTATGTACACCGAATCCAATTGGGATTCTAACTAAGGACACAAGGTCCTTAGTCTTCAATCTTGTAAGAGTAGTATTTGGCATCTGCACGAAGGTAACAGTACTGGATTCAGCATTCTTCATAGCTGGACTGCTTATCTATCACATCTGAGTAGAAACGAGTGATGGACGTAGAAATGGACGATGTGGATTAAACCACGAATTCGAATCTGATGACATGTGGATCAAGAAGATCTCATTCACAGTATCTCGCAGGGTCAAGCTTCGGACATTCATGAATGAAGTGGAGGAGATTGAGACAGACACAAAAAAATGAAATCATTATTCATCATTCTCGCCTTCTTATTGGTTGTTGGACTGGTGATCAATTACAACACCAAATATTCCACGCACGTCTTTCTCACACGAGCCTTCTTTCATGCCTTGCTGTTGAGAAATAAATATTTAGGAATGAAAGTAGGAGATCCCGAATCAAGTATGATTGGCACGACCACTACAGATTGGAAGGAAGTTTCATTGGAGGCTCAAACGTTGTACAATATGGTTCGGTTTGTGAGAAGTAGGCTACACATGTCGGATGAGGAAATTCGGGATACTGCCTATCATGCTCTAGCTCCTCCAGTTTCTCTTCATAATTCATTAAGTTTTGAACATGTGCCTGAAATTAGGAATTCAATATTTGTTACATTGAGAGATCGGTTCTATATTGAACACTTCTTTGGAAAGGATCGTCGTGGAAAGGTTATCTTGTTACTTCATGGAGGATGCGGTTTTGCTGGACAGTATGATGGTATGTTTGGAGTTGTAAATCATTTTCAACATAATTTTGAATTAATTACCAAATTGGAACTAATATTTGACACAATATGTAAATAATAATTATTGTCGAAATAATATGAATAATTAATGGATTTCATTTCTATCAATCATCACAGGCCAGGAATTGAGAAGTATTGTTGAGCACATGCAACAGAGGTTTAACAGTACATTGACCCATATTCTTTCTGTGGATTACAGACTTATGGGACTGACTGAAGCAGAACGACAAAAGAAGGATGTATTTGCATCGAAATTTAGTGACCAAGTTGACGACGTCATTCAAGCGTACCATTGGTTGTTAACAAAGTTTAAGCCTGAGGATATTGTCATTGTAGGAAGTTCCTTTGGATCTACCCTTAGTGCCGAATTTATACGAAGAGCCGCTAATGAACATCTTCCAATGCCAAAAGCTGCAGTGTTGATGGGTGGAGTCTATGATTTGAGTATGAAACTAACTCGAAGCAATAAGAATTCGAGAAATAACATCATGCTTTCCGATCAGCTAATTGGCATTATGCATAGATTGTATAAGGACGAGGAGTCTCCTCTTTTCACTTGGAAGAGCAGTGTGAATAAGGCCGTGTTTTCAACCAAACTTTACCTTGTTTATTCAAAAGATGAAGAATTATCCAAGGACAATGAAGTATTTATTCAACTTTTAATGGACCTAGGTCATCCATCTGTGAAGGTCTCTGCTGACAACATGATGATTCATGTTCACCCAATTTTTGAATACTATTTCCCTGAAGCAAAAGCTGCCATGTCAAAGATTTTGGACTTTATTGATTCTCAACAATAAGGGTTTAAAGCATCACCACATATTTAACCCATACCGCTTAATTGTCACACTTAGAATCTGTTGCTATTTGTACGTTATAATTTTATTTCATATTTGGTGATACATAGTTTACCTCAAACATTCTTTGAAGTAAAACAAGAATTACAAGATCTGACATACAAAAACGTTTCGGATAGCAGTGACATCAAAAGCCATCACACATAGAGAGATAATCCAAAAGTTACGATTGCATCGAGCGAGATGAGAGCTATCAGTAAGATGATTTGAATATCCATTGTTTGATTTGTGTTGCTTTCCGTTCGTTACTTTTAAAAAAGAATTGAGTCGCCCAGTCACTCCATCAAGGTTTTAAAAGTCGAGTGACTTAATCTCTCAGTAACCACCAATATTCCATTTGAAAAATTGTATTTACCTCCGAGTGTTGCATGACATATCTTTCATCATGACACGAATATTTCCAGTCACAGGAAGCTCCGACTCCTTTCCCTCAAATCATCACCCTCATCACAATTCCCGAATGGCACAATATTCGGCAGATAATTCCATCCCATCAAAGCCTCCGGAAACGAATGCCAATATAACCAATGAATCACTACGAGTGTTCACGGGAGAGCTGTCAAGTACTCAACACCACAGCCAGCATACTTCGAAAAGTTCTGCAACGTCACCTCCTGCCACTAAAGAAGGTCTAAACCCACTGGATTTTAACCAAACGGGTGATGAAGATGGGATCTCCATCGACGCACCTCTTCTTGTCCAAGGCATCATACCACTTCGTGGGTTCCTTATTGTGATGGTAGCATCCTTGATGGTCATGAGCTGTTTTTTCATATGGGTCAGCACATTTGTAGTGTCGAAACAAGCGATTGAAAATTTGGCAAATGATGTGATTGGAGTGAGCAATCAAAAGATTTTATCATACTTGGATGCAGTCATCAATCCTTTGGGCAAAATGTCAAAAGCAATGGCAGCTGATTACAATTGGGGAATTGCCAATGAAAACAACTTTCGAAAGTATCTCTTTCCAAAATATTATTTCTTGGGAGCCACAAGTTGTGGATACTTTTTTGGATATCCTTCAACCAAGTACACTTATTCAATCACTGGAGTTGGTTCCAAGGCTTATTTGGTTTATTCTTATCAAACTCCAGGTTTCATTGGAACCATCAGAGACACTGTCAATAATAAGACAGGCGAAGTGATAACAGTGAACAGCACGATCGATTACACGCCCTTCTTTTCAGCACAGCAATATTATTACAATTCAACCATTGATTTATGTAATAGATTGGGAATTGAGGGAGTTTATGGACCACCCTACAAAGCATTGAATTCGAGTATGGCAATTTATCATTCATCAGTGGTTTATGATCCAGTATTATATGCCTCTGGAATCAAGAAAGCAGTTGGAGTGACAAGAATCAACATGTCATTGGGTGCAATTGTTTCATATTTGAGCAAAATAGTTTTGATTGGAAGAGGATATTGTTTAGTTTCACAAACGAATGGAATGATGATTGGAGGAAGTATCAACACTCTTGCAGGTGATGGAGAAACAAATTTACACTTGTTCAATATTACTGATCGAAATGCTGGTCCTTTAATGCAAGCATTATTTGCCAAATATGAGTTTGATTCAAACAATATTCCACCACTCACTCATGTTTCATTGAATGGAATTTCATACATTATTTCTCACTCCAAATATACCATAGACAATTTGAAATGGGATGTCTATTTGATTGTGTATGAGGAAGATATTTTACATTCTGTTATTGTGACTTCTGGCATTTCGGTTGGGGTGTTTGTGGGGACTACACTGTTGGGACTAGTGCTGAGCATCGTTCTCGGATCAATCCTAGCGCGACCATTGAAAAAACTCGAAGAACAATTTTCCTTAATCAAAGTTTTGAATTTGGATGATGTGAAATTTTCTACTTCCATTTTCAAAGAAATTCACAACATTTTCAGAAGTTTGGAAGAAACTCTAATTTGGTTAAAGGAAATTAAGTCGTTCATTCCAGAACATGTATTGGACGAAATTCAGGGTACAGACCCTAAATTATACTCTCCGCAACTCTTAACGAGTCGACAACACACCTCCATGAGATCAAGTGTTACTAAGAATTCTGTCTCATCGTGGCACTCGGCAGGAAGAGACTCCAACAGCAGCAAGCGACCCAAATTCCTTCGGGCATTAAGCAAAGCAAGTGGGGTTGGAAGCGGAAGGTCAAACTTTGGAATGAGTTCGCTCTTCCAGATGGGTTTACAGAAGAAATTATGTTGTGTGCTGCATGTCATATTCAAAGGTTTTGAACATGTCGAATCGGCAGCAGAGAAGGCTGAATTATTTACAGAAGCACTCGCTTCGATTGCTCCACTGATTAAGATCTACAAAGCTTCTCTTCAGATATTGACCAATTTTGAGTTTCAGATTTATGTCACTGGAAATCTCAATGATGATGAATACAAAGTTCCAATTAAGGGAATTGAATGTGCTCTGAAAATTGTCAAATCTCTAGAATTATTGAATGCTATCAAGTACATGACACGAATTGGAGTGAGTATGAGCGAGGCGCAAGTTGGTAATATTGGAACGAAAAGTTCAAGATATTTCACTACGGGTAAGTTTGAAAACTCAAAATTCCATTTGATTGAACTAATGCACCGTTTGAATCACATTAATCTCGCATAATTGCAATGGCCCACCCCAACAGATGGACCATGTGTAAAAGATGCCACCACCATGGCAACACTTGCACGACTTTTCAACCTTTCCATTGTGACAGATGCGTCATGTTTTGATGGTACACTTTCCAATGAGAGATTCATTGCAAGACCCATTGATCGATTCCGCAAACCTAAATCCTCAGAAATTGAAACCTTGTGGACTGTCACAGACGAGAAGAATCTTGAAAATGCCGAATGGCTCTACGAATTGGAGAATTCTAAAAGAAACAACTCCTTCGAACGATATCATGACGCCTTTCAAGGACTTTTCACACACGAGTTTTGGGACGGCATTGCTCCTGAGAATATTCTTTCCACTCTTGAAGATCAATTACATGTCCTCCAAGAGTATTCGAGCACTTTGGATGATCCCTCACTTGTACGATTAATTTCTTCGCTTTCTTCGATTGCCTCCTCATATACAGCCACTCCACAACAAATTCCTTTTGCGCTCAATAATTATCACTCACTTCTGGGAAGCGATTTGAAAGGAGTCGTGATTGATTCCCCTCAACCCAATTCAGAAGATGCAAACGATGCCACACAACCACTACAGGGTCTCTTAATTTCAGTGACTGATATTATTCCAATTGAACACTAAATTTCTCAACAAGCTATAATATTTTGTTGCCACCTCATCACCCAATTTTTTTCATCATCAAAAAAAAATGAGCAGCCTTCCTTCATCATCTATCATGCCATCCACATCTCCATCGTCGGCTTTACATCAAACAGCTCCCGTTAAAACTTTCTCATCCGACCATCAAGATATGATTCATGATGCACAGGCTGATTATTACGGAAAAAGATTAGCAACATGTTCAAGTGATTGCACCATCCGAATTTTTGATTTGGCTCCTGGTGCTACCGAACAACAAGAACCCAAATTGTTGGATGTGCTTACGGGACATGAAGGTCCTGTTTGGCAAGTGAGCTGGGCTCACCCACAATTTGGATCGATTTTGGCAAGTTGTTCCTATGATCATAAAGTAATAATTTGGAAGGAAAATCAACAAACTCACAAGTGGGCCAAAGTTTTTGATTACAGACTCGACAGTAGCGTAAATTCAATCTCTTGGGCACCTCATGAACACGGCCTTCATTTGGCTAGTGCTTCTTCCGATTGTCAAATTACTATCTTTTCCTATGATGAACAGAGTAATAATTGGAGAGTCTCAAACATTAGAGATGCTCACAAAATTGGCTGTAATTCTGTTTGTTGGGCTCCTGCATCACACACTGGTGCCTTGGTTCAGCAACCTACTCAAGATCAACCCGAAAGTAGCAAGTTTGTGAAGAGAATGGTCTCCGGTGGAAGTGATAATCTCGTTAAAATCTGGGAATACAATGAATCAATTAATCAATGGAAAGATACCACACTGGAAGGACATACTGATTGGGTTAGAGATGTAAGCTGGGCTCCAAATATTGGTCTTCCATATGAAACTATTGCCTCTTGTTCTCAAGATAAAACTGTAATAATTTGGACAAGAGACCAAAATTCAAACCAATGGAGTAAGCAAGTTCTTGCATTCGATAATGTTGTTTGGAGAGTGAGCTGGTCATTGACTGGAAATATTTTGGCTGTCTCTACAGCTGACAATGAAGTTACATTGTGGAAAGAAGATGTCACTGGAAAATACAAGAAGATTAGCTCTCTCAGTGACAAGTAATTATTTCAACAAGAATACAAAAGCATTAAATTCATCAACCTCTTTCAAAATTATATTATTTTATTTTTAATTACCTAAATTTCATAACAATTTCATCATTGCTTCAGATTGAGTAAGAACGAAATTGTGTGAGATGTGAAATTGGAACTTTCACAAGTTCAAAAAAATGTTTTTACACCATAAAACAACTAGATCACTATCGATATCCATTTTCATCATTACCACCACACTCTTTCTATTTTCCGTTCATCACGTAGCAGCTATTATTCAACATGCCCAATCATCATCATCATCTTATGAATTTTCAACCACATCCGACCACAATACCATCACGATCATGAATCACGCCATGATGATGAAAACCCTCTCTTCTAGCATTCCTTCCTATAACTTTACATATGGTGGACGATTGAGTACATCCGAATTGTTACAACAAATCATGATGACCAACAATACCTCTCGGGAATCTGCTCTCTCGACCATTGCCTCTCAATTCTATGCGTTTAGGCTTCCAATCCGATTTTCCAATAATTTAAATGTCATCTCGGAACGTATTGAAGTGATTGCCTTTGATCCATACAATGGTACCATCTATCTCATCGTGAATGGCTATAACGTCGAGTCATACTTTTATGGAAAGAATGCTTCAACGAGCAGTGATAGTAGCAACAATAAGATTGTTCCTTTGTTTTCGGAAATAATGTCTCCTTATTTTCCGACTGCTTTTGATGGAAAAAGTTTTGTCTTGATTTTTGAACCCAATGGTTTTGCCAATATTTTGAAACAAAGTGATAATGCAACGACATGTCGAACGGTACTTCACATGCCCTCTTTTAAAATGTTTAATCCTGTGAATGTGAGAAATCAATTTGTGATTTCCAATGTATATGGAATGGGTGGAATTCAAGTGATGAATAAGGAAAGTGGAGAATGCCTCACTTTCAATAACGAAGGATATCTCAATAATTTAATGGCAACATTTAGTGTGTGTAACAAGACAAATCCAAATCAATTATTTGTTTGGACAGGTGCATATTTGGTTCCAAAATATCCAATCAATGATAACATGTATCAAGCTCTCAAGAGAGATTTTGCATTTGGAACATCTTTCTTGCCATTTTCACCAGGATTTAAGTATATTCGAATGACCATGCAATTTGTGACGCCAGCCAACTATGATCTTGTTCGTGCCGATAAGACTTTGAATTTTACAGACTCCAGTATTGAACAATTTTATAAGGAAAACACGATACTGATTGACGACAACTTGAAGGGTAACATTACAGCCCTAATTTCACAAGCGCTCAATTCAAACATGATTTCCCAACTTGCTTTCAAGTGGTCTCGTGCAAGCTCAATGTATTCGCCTGGCTCTAGCGCTCTTGTTGTTGCAGTAACACTCGTACTGCTTGTGACAATGTTGGTGCAGACTTCATATTTTTAAATTCAAGTGCAATAAAAATATGATATAAATTAAAAGGCAAAATAATTTATGCTACATAGTTGTACTTGGAACGACTTTCTGTGGAACGTTCCAAATATTCTCTTTCAATCAAACTTTCAATACGTTTCTTAATCATGTCTGGCGATGGCATAAATCTTTGTTGTAATTGCTTGGTCACTTCAATGACAAGATCTCTGTGTTCGAGCGTCTTTCTTGCCTTCATAATACGGACAATAGCAGCATCCAACATCCACTTTCTTTCTTCATCGACTTTTTGCTTGGTTTCTTCTTGCTGCTCCTTTGTTTCCTTCACGACAACTGGCGAGATTTTAACCTTAATCAATTTGCTTTCAAAATCATTGTTAACAGTGAATACAGAGTCTTTGGTAAGGGTCTTATCTGAGCTATTGGTCAATAATTTTTGGTGGGTTGCAGTTTTAACTGTCAAGGCCATAATATTTCTCTTCAATTCGTTCATAGGGATCTTGGTTTGTTGCAAAATGTCACCATATGAAAGGGATTCCTTTTCGTTAAATAGCAATAGAATGATCATTTGGAAAGTGGAAACGTTGAGTTCATACTTCTTATCATAGCCATTGGCCTTCACGTCGCATGTTCCCATGTTGAATTGCCATGTGACCTTTCTACCAGTGTGTTCGTTGGTGTAGAATTCTTTGAAAATATTGGCTGCCTTGTCCACCAACTCAGGTACAGTAACAGCAATCGATTGCGTGACTGGCCAGTAACCAGTGGTCAAAACTTGAACGCTCAAATCTACTGGAGGCTTCTTGTTTGGATAACGTTCGATATAGTTCTTAAACGACTCGTTTGTTTCTCTACTCAATCTCATATCAGTAAACATTCCTTCTAATTTTGTGGTGAATTGATAACCAAATTCTTGCTTCAATTTGGCAATGAATGCCTTTTCGGCGTCGTCTGATTGAGAACGTTGGTTGAGCAATCTCTTTGCCAAGTGTGTCTTGTAATACTTTTCAAAGATATCCTTCTCACGCAAGTGTCTGAACAATGCAATGACTTGTTCAAAGAGCACGTCGAATTCAGATTCATTGATTTGAGTTTTACCCTTCTTCAACTTGCTGTCCACATAGAGAGACAAATATTCAGGGAATCTTTCATTGGCATTAATCACGTCATCGAACGCCTTCTTCACACATGCTTGGAACTTGGAATCTCTCATGACGTTCTTACCTTTCTTGATCGAGAAGGCACGAACGAGAAGATCCTCATACTTTTCCTTCAAAACAATCAAATCTGCAATAAAATCGACAGGATTTTCTTCCTTTTCCTTATCCTTAACAATGTGATAGCCTTCACTTCTACAAAAGTTTTCTACTAAATCTACACATGGATCTAATGCACCATCAACAAGAGATAATACATCGAAAACGAGACGCAAATCATCAACTCTCCAAGTTTGAAGCATAACAATACAACCCGATCCTTCTTTTTCAATAATTCTATGCTTGAATTTGTCAATCATGACAGTCTTTAAGACGTTTTCAATCTTTGCTTTTGTGTCAGGATCCATACATCTGTCAACTCTGTCTCTTTCCTCCTTTAAACGTTGTGTAACCTTCTTAAGATAGTCTGTTGCAGTAGATGATTCAAAGTAATCGTTAGCCTCCTTAGTATAGAATTGTCTACTTTCATCCAAAAATTTCTTTTCAAAGTGAGTTTCATAAATGTCTTTCTTTGAAATTTCAATCATCATTTGGGTAAGACTCTTCATCAAGAAACGATCTGCAACAACTTCACCACATCTATCCTTGTAAATAATATCCATAATCAACCTTTGAATTCTTTCGAGCGTATTCTTGTGGAAAACTTCTTGTCCAAAAAGTTTAATACCAAGCTCATAAACTGGTGTCTTTTTGTATTGTTTCACATAGTTACGATCCATATACATGAGAATGTCTCGTACCATGCTTACGGAAGTTCTGTGTTTTTCCCATTGTCTTAAAAGCTCCTTGAGAAAACCTTCATCGGTACATTCCATAATCTTTTCTCGTACACCTTGAATATATTGAGAGAGTTTTGACCTCACTCCTTCATAGAGGGCATCTCCGTTCTTGTGAAGCACGATTTGATAACCCGATCTGTGTTACGTAATGTTATCAAATCGTGTGTGCAAATGTGTTCATCAATGTTCATCAATGATGACGTAAATGTTTTGTTCAATATTTGGAAATTGCAGAAGATGACGAGTGAACCATGGATGTGTAAAAGAGCACAACAATTACATGTTCATAGAATGATAACAGTCATTGTTATTTCCATATCAAAATGGAAATTTAAAGTTAGGTCATGGCAATTGATAAACATCAATAGGTGAAATACAAACAAAACCTACGTGTAGAGTACTTGGAAAGACAAGGATGAAGCATTTTCTTGATAGATCTGATCAATGGCACTGATAATCTTTTCCAATTTATCATCCACATCGCTTTTACCCATTTGACCCTTTCTTTGGATATATCCTGGGATCACTAATTTACCTGATCCTCCCAAAGGAGTCTTGTTTGTACCACTCATATTGATCTCTGTATAATGATGATGATGATGTTATTACTATTTTAAAATAATAATATATTGGCTTCTGATGATGATACACAAAATAAAACTACAACAAAAAATACTCTCGGGTACACCAACAAAATTGTGTGAGTTTTAATACTGGCAAGTGTACGCAAGGCTGATTGATTATTCGCAGCGAGATAGACTTTGGCTTTTGAATTTGTTGTAAACACTTGTTGTGAGCCAAAGCAATTTTTTGTGATGCACTTATTTTTAAATTCTGAAGCTGAACTTGCTGCGTTGGAGAGTTCATCTTTGAGCTTGAAAATTGAATGACTCTTTCATCTCATCTTTGATTGAAACATGAAAAACAAGAAAGAGGGTCATGATTTATCGTTCCAGTGTGAGAGCGAAGCCACCGAGTTTACTTTGTCCATCAAGATGGTTTTGGTAATCCCATCATGATGATGTTCAGTTTGATGTGATGTCGGAACTTTCTGATGGGTCCATGCAAAACCTTAAACGCCACCTTTCAAGCTGGACATCACACTAGATCAAAAAAAAACATTTCACTCTTAACGAATACTGTGTACAGAACATTGCAACAGTACCTTATTTCACAACATCATCAAGTCTTCATTCTTTTGACACCATGCAACATCCAATCATGAATTTGTTTCAGTCGCCAAGCAATAACTCAGACAATCCAGAAAAGCATTCCAATGGCGATCTTTTTAATTGTGAATCTCAACTCTTTGGAAATGTTTCTCTCTTATCTGCTCCTGAGGCAAGCGATTCGTTGCTTTCATTGTTCAATGAACGTGAAACCTTTGCCTTTGAAGATTGCATGTACACTTCTAACAATAATTCATCCTTACTTCATTCCTTATCCAGCACTGGGTACAACTCATGGTCGTCGTCATCTTTAGGCTTTGATTTTCAAACTTCTTATTCCCTCGATGCCTTGAGTTCTGATTCTGTGTTGAGTACTCCATCGAGATTTGAGACGCCTTTGACAAAGGAAGCTACTTTTCCTTCTCCACTCTCTGTAAATATCATTCCTTTGAAGAATTATAGAGACCACAAATCGAACATGTCATCTCAAATGATGGCAATTCAGAAAGACACCTTTGATCAACCAAGCTTGGAATCCATCGCCAAGAATATTGAAACCTTATTGGAAGACTCTTTCAGTGTCAATGATTTGAATCTCATGAAAGAGCTAAAGAAAATTGAAAATGATGTTCGAAGCGCTCTCATTATGAAGGAACATACTCGAATGATGAATAGTAACAACAACAACGCTGGCTCATCCTGTAGCAGTTCAATTTCGGCAAGCACTCCTTCTATTGTGTCTTCGTCCTCCTCAATGAAGAAAGACGAACATGCAAGTCACATTCTGACTCGATCACAAGCACAGAAGAAGAAACAATCTTCCTCGTCTCGAAAGAATGCTTTACCAGTGTTGTCCTCCCCTCAAACCAAGAAAAGAGGAAAGGCCTCAACAAAGAGAAAGCGTGCATCTGCAGATGAAGATTCTGAGAGTGAAAAATCCTCGAACAGTAGTAATGATTCCGATTCCGATTTTCGTCCTTCCTCAACAGAAAACAATGAATGTACTACAGAAGAAGAAGAAGATGAAGAAACTGAAGATGATTCCAAGTCCTCTACTACCACTACATGTAAAAGAAAGGCAACAAGCAGTGCTTCCAAATCAAGAACTGCCACACCTCAACCAAGAAAAAAAAGAACAACCTTTGCCAAAGCAGATATTGCACTATTGACCAAGTGGCTTCATGATCACTCGAACAATCCGTATCCTACCGATGATGAAAAGAAGACCTTATTGGAATGTGTGAACATGACAAAGGATCAACTCGAAACCTGGTTTGTGAATAATAGGAAGAGACTGTTGCCTAATCACCACTTTGTTAAAAAAACACCAGTCGTTGTCGAAAACGAATCGTTCAATCAACGACTACTCAAACAATTGGCTTCAAAAGAAAAGTGAAACATTAGTGTAGAGAATTTCAAGTCCACTTACCTTTCTCATATTCCTTAAATTCTTGTAACATACAACAAAATATCAGCTTTTTCATTGTTTTTAGGTGCCAATAAGATCCTGTTTTGTTAACCTGTCGAATTCATGAAAAATACGTGACAATCGAACATGCGAGCTGCCTCACCATAAACGCATTCACTAAATATTTATTGAAATATTATTCAATTCTGAAGTATCTCTGAAATTTTGACACAGCCTTTTGCCTTCCAAATGGATGATTATCATATTTATGAAAAAATCATCGAAACTGTGAGAACTAAAAAAATGAGTGATGAAGAAGGAGAAGAGATTTTTTTGTCGGTCCGAGTTCATGACTTTCACTCACAAGTGTAAGTGTTCAATCGAGGTCGGAAGAAATATATTGGCCATGATGCGAATGCGAACATGATACTTGGAATATGGTGGTTGATGAAATAACAATGATGAATTTATACCATAACATCAATGAAACAATGAATCATTTATGAAAATAATAGGAAAGAATTTGAACAAATTAATAGCTCTACAGATCCGAATACATTACTTCAAAGTTTATGCACAAAAGCCTTGTCGGGAAATCTTGGTCAATCCACTATTCGTTCAATAATTTGGAGAGTTTTTCTCGGAGTTTTGCCACTGACTGAAAAGTTTGGAAAGGAACATTGGATAACGAAAATAGATTATGATCGTGAACGATATGAAGAACTTCTCAAGAAGCATGAAAATGATCCAAGAAAAAAGACTAAAAATTCTGCAAATTCAGAAGATGAAGTAGATGTTACTTTTTGTGACCCTCTCTCACAATCACAATCCGTAGGTATTCAAATTGTTAACTAGTATAATTTCAAGGTATCTTAACACTTTGAAATTGTAAATGTTTTCTGACTTTATGCTTAAAAGAATCCGTGGTCCGAGTTCTTTGAAAATTCAGAGCTTGAAAAAACAATTGTACAAGATTTGAAACGGCTGTATCCAGAATATCCGTTTTTCAGAACTGATGAAATTCAAAATTTACTCAAAAGAATGCTCTTTGTATGGTCGAAAGAAAATACTGACCTTTCGTATAGACAGGGCATGCATGAATTACTTTCCCCCATTCTTTTGGTTGTGTACAGAGATGCTCAAAATATTGAAAATTATAAGGTATGTAGCAAGCTCAGAAGGGAGGTCACCTTTTTCACACAACACATGTGTCCCTTGAAATACGACAACTTCTCCAATTTATTTTCACCCACTCTATAGCATCTATTGGAAGAAAATCCTGACCTTAAATTACTCATGAAATTATTGGATCGCAATTTTCTAGAGCATGACGCTTACTGCTTGTTTGAGAAATTAATGACCAAAATGAGGGAATACTTTATTGTTGGAGAAGGCCCTCAGGGAAGACCATTTCCAAACATTAGTACTAAAGGCCCTCTCGATAATATGCTCATGATAGAACGAAAGATGGATCTCTATGAAACACCAATTTTTAAAATTTCAAACAAGATTCAAAACACTCTACTCGAGAAGAAAGACCCAGACCTGCATCGTCACTTGACAAAGATGTGCATTGAACCACAAATTTATTTAATTCGATGGGTCCGATTGCTCTTTGGAAGAGAGTTTCACATTGATGACGCCATCATTTTGTGGGATGCAATTTTCTCTGATTGTGGTGGGTTTAGATCTGAAAGTCTAATCTCAGCATCTGATATCGATTTATCATTGGTTGAGCACATTTCAGTAGCCATGTTGCATTTCATAAGAAAACATTTACTTTCTTCGGATTCAAGCTATTGTATGAAACGACTGATGAGATATCCACCCGTTGAGGATGTACATATTTTCGTAGAACAAGCACTCGAGTCACGTGCAAGACCAACAAGTTTATTACCGTCCATGGAAGCCAGTAGTAATCATCATAATGGTGCCAATAATGGAGGAACTTCTTCTGTGACGGTCATTCCCAAGTCACAATCGAATCCACAACTTGACACAAGCTCGTTATTCCCCAGGCTCACCAAAGATGTTCCAGTCACAGAGAGAACTATTAAACCTTCTCGAAAGCAAGAAGGTACTCCCAAACACAAGAACAGTAATAGTATTTCCGCAAGTCCAAATTTGGGAGCTTTTGCTAAACAGCTATTCCCATCTTCATCGACCAAGCCAAAATCAAAGGGTGTGACACCTCTCAATTCTCCTTCACCCTCAATACATGCCATGGCAACCTCACACCATCTCTATTCATCTGAAGGACATGAATGGATAGAGCGAGAAAAGAAGTTGGGAGATGTTGTCGATGTTGTTTTGAACGTGTTACAGAACATGGCACTAGAGTAAGTAAGAAAACACAAAATAATTCCAACCTTTAGCGTTCATTTATTGATTCATGAAAATTGAACATTATTGAAATATTAATAATCTTACACCAGAGCCAAATTGGATGAAGAACGGTTGCTCATGTCTGTGGCAGAGCTGAAACATGTCAGAGATTGCTTAAAGTTTCAATTACCCTTCCAGGAACGAGGTAGGTTCTAAATAATTTGTGTGAAATTATTTTAAATAACCTTAACATTCTTTCAAACCATTTTTATTCAGAAATTGACTGGATCGCCAAAAGATTAAAATCGCCTCGAGGATCTGAAGCAGAAGAGAATCAAGAACACGGTATGATGCAATCATCATCATCGTCAACAACAACAACGACTACAAATACTCCTCATGAAGAAGAAGAGATCAAAAAGTCTCTGGGTACCTTTGTGGTCATTGATTTTCATGAATCTCCTCATCCACCATCTTCCACAACATTGGAACCACATTTTCCAAATTCACACCTTCCATCATCCACCTCACAACACAAACCTACTGCTCAAAAACAAAACACAGTGCCGAATCAGAACAGCAACACTATCAGTAGTAGTAGTAGTGAGCCTGTTTTTCATCCATTGTTGAAATAATGTATGGTGCTTTCAATTTGTAACTGAAATTCTTCAATCAATAATAACAAGTTTCTGAAAATCCAAATCTAGAGTTCACCTCTTCCAGAACACTTATTTCACTTTTCGTATTTCTTTCCACAAACAAAAAATGAGTGAATGTTGGAGAACCCCAATAACACTGTTCTTCATGTTGATGATTACTCTGATTTTTTCATCATTGAGCACAGCGAAGGTCATCAAGATGGAATCATCCAACATTCCGAATCACACAACTACTGTTCTTTCTATTGATTCTGCTAGTGCTCCTCGGACTGTCATGAGCTTCTTTTCAAATGATCTCGATGTTTCAATATCGGGAGTACGAGCCTCAGCACTGCCAGTTACGACAAGTTTACGATTTTCCAATTGCAACCACACACTGAGTATCATGTTTGGTCTCGTTCCACTCAATGAAACCAATACCATTTTGAAATTCACCAATCCTCAATTTCCATCCAATTTTGCATGTTCAGATGTGGTGCTAGCTCAGTTTTATGAAATTCCTGTACGATATCAACAAACATTTTTCGCTCAGCAAAACGAGGTGAATTTGAGCCCAAAAGGAAATCAATATAATTTATGTGAAACGATTGGAAGTTATGAAAAACAATTACAGAAGGAACGAGGAATCATGAATTGCTCACAATTATTGTGTGATTCAAAAATTAATAATGTAGAGGATATTGTAAATTCATTGACGGATGGAAAAAGCACATTGGCGGATTGGATCAATTATTGTAGATATTGCGAATCGGAAGGAATACCAGATTTGTGTCTAAAATCTCCAAACTCCGGAGATGATCAAGCAAGAGCCATGTTGACTGCTTTTCCTACAAGTACGCAATATTGTGGAATGGATATCTTTGGGGTACCCTTTTTAGTGGATACTGTTAGAATTATTCCTCAAACTCCCTTTTTAACCAATTTCAGTAGTTTTTCGTTTATATGCTATTGCCCTTCTATTAATACTTTTGCATTTTCATGTAGTACATCTCTCCTCAAGGACGATATCATCCAACAATATTTTCTAATTGCGCTTTTCCCACTGACATTTGTTGCTCTATTGTTTGGTTTCTTTATTCCTAAAATATGGAAAATTATGAAGACACGTTCTGGAAGTTTGATTACAAGTAGTTGTATCATGCTTAGTTCGACCTTGTCCATAATTTCCAGTTTGATTGTTGTTGTGGTACCACCACCTCTTTCAATACTCATTTCAAAACATGTGCAATATTTTGCACTCGTGACAATATTGTACAGCGTCTGTTCGTGGTTACTGGATTTATATCGATTGATTTCATTGGCAAAGAATAGACAATCTCCAAAGAGTTTTTACGTGGTTCATGCTTTTTTGATGGCCTTGTTCTTAGCTGTTGGAGTGGTTTCTTCTGTAGTGATTGCAACTCAGAACGAAGAGTCACAACCTTACTTGCTAATCGCCGAAGTGTGTTTAGGTTTCATTGTAGCTCTGTTTTTTGTGATTGGAGCAATGTGGGCATACATTGTCATGAAGAAAATTAGTGATGTGAATTTGATGAGAACAGGTGTAAGTGCTTCTTATTCATTCCTGACCAATTCTTGTTAATTCTCAAATGGGTGTAGTTTGTGAGATTTGTATTCTATGCCACATTCGTTCTCATGATATTTTCCATCTCTTATCTACTGGCCATTATTTATATGCGTACAAATACTGGGTTTGCTTTGATTTGTGATTCTATTGGGAAGATTGCAATTTTTGCCTTGTTTATGGGAGTAGTGTATGCCGATTTTGACCGTTACGAGTTGAGAGAATTTTATGGCGTCTGTCTTAAGGTTATTTACAAGTGCTTAAAAAAGCATATTAAGACTCTCAAAGAGAGAAGAGAAGGTGGTGACAGTCACACTGAAAGTGATTCTTCTAAATTATTGAAAACTGAGGGTGATTCGGCATATCAAGAAGACTCTAGTACTTCATGGGTGACCATGAATTCTTCAAGCGTTAATACTGAAGTTACGACAAGTCACATTGCCTCAAAATGAAATTATTCCAGAATATTGAATGAAATAATTTCACAAAGAGATGCCAAGCTTCCTTGTTCACTCTTTGATTTCAAATATTTCTGAAGAATGGGAGTCCACATGTCAAAGAAGCACACAGCAAGTGGATGTTTTGAGGAACATCTGTTTCCAATGTCAATCAGAGCATGTTAAACGTTTTAAGAACTGGTGTCATATAAATCACTCACCTTCTAATAGACCTAGAAATAAACATTAAGGTAGAAAGCACATTCTGTTCATTCTCTTGACGATGCGAGACATGGTGTAAGGTATATCGTAGTTCTGCTAATTGTTTGCGATAGTGATTTCCTCTTTCGGTGCTACCATTAAGAAAATCTGACAAGTGCTTCATTGGAAAGTTGTCGAGAATAATCTGTTTGTGAAGCATACTCCTTCCATAGCCCTCGAATTTTTGAATGAGAAAATAGGCAGCAAAGGTATATTGCAAAAGTAAATCCTAATAAAGAGTTGTGTTAACAATGAAATGCATCGACACGTTCTCAACGTACCAAAATGGGCTTGCGCAAGTTCGAAGGTTTCAAGTGGAATTTCCCCAAGAAATTCAGAATTTTCTCCTCTATGACAGTAGCCGTGTCAATTTCATAGCTAGCATTCATTTCTTGCTTTAGACGAGCCATAAGGTCCATTGAAAAATTGATACACTCTTCAATCGTTTCGTAACTGTTCTGTTGATAATATTGTGACGAATCAGCATGTATGTTGTCCAAGCTCGAGAGTACAGATCTAAATGCTAAAAATTCGAGAGCTAAACACAAAATGAGAGGAGCACCATTATAGTAGGCTACAGTGTCAAAGTGTGAAGAAATAGAATTCCAAAATGGAGGTGAATGCAAGTCATATGTGAATGAACCTTGATATTGAATTATTTGCTTCCATACAATGTATGAGTTATAAAGATAGGCCTTAGTGAAGCGAAGTTTTAGTGCTCTGTCTTCATGTTCTGGGCGTAATTTGTTCAGAAAATGAGTTTTGCAGTTGTTTGCAATGGCTCGAACGGAATTGAGACACATATTGAAGTTGTTGAGAATAGAATCTTCATTCTCCATTTCATCTCCTTTGTTTTGATCAAGTACGCGCCGAAAAAGCTCAGCCACAACATTCTTGGCCACACGTGTTGAAATATGACTTGCCCTATAAATTTTCGTGAATTTGATATATTGTTGGATGAATCGGTCTGACATGTCATTAGCATCGTTTGACCCTTCTAAATTTTTACTGACCCAATCATGATCCACATTGTGTTCACATACGGAAATCAAATGCTTCAAATATGGGTTACAGTGTGGGTGTTGTGTTAACAAGTAGCTCACTATCTTAAACGAGATTATCCATTGAAGTCTTTCTAGAAAGGTAGAATGATTCCTCAATTCTTTGAAAGAATTGAAGAGATGTCTCCATAACGTCTGTAACACTCGTACATTACTGGAAAACTTTTCAATCAAACAAGTCACTGTTAACAGTAAGGGAGTGTTCTCATCGGGACTCACAAGTAAACACCTTCCATTTAAGATGCTCTCCTTTTCTACACCAAAATTATGAATGGATGTAAAAATTACGACATGCAATATCCTCAATGGAGTGATAATTTTTCTCGTAAATAAATACAACCATTTCATGAGTAAATCTAATTTTCGTGTGCATGTCATCTTGGTGATGGCATAAAATTTGAATACTAATTTACAAAATTTTCGTTCTAATAATTTACAGTCTATCAAGAAATTCATAATGTTATTGTTCTTTGAAAGGTTCATGATTCTTGTATTACACTCTTCAATTAAATCCAATGCTATTCTCATTATTTTACCATTCCGCTTCATTGTAGAAAACTCTTGTCTTGGTATGTCATCATGTTTGAAATTATATGGTACAATACCATTGATGGAATACGTTGAATACCATAAAGCCTGTTTCAAATGAATTCCGAGTACATGAACCCATTCGGTAGTATCTACCACAACTTGATGATTAGCATCGTCCTGTTGATTATTCGTTACATTCATTATTTGTTTACAATTTGCATAATTTCACTTTTTCAATAATTATTGAATTCCGAAGCACAAGAATAACTATGCGATTCAATCAAAATTATTTTTTTTCATGATTAAAAAAATTTTCTAAACACAAAATGGCTCATCACGCACTCGATAAAGCTCTCAAATTCATGACGGCTGCAACCTTTGCCGGAACTGGTGCGCTTGCACTCGGTTATCATGTTTGTATACAGTGGATGGAGGTGAGAGAGCAATTTTGATGGATTACGTTGGTGGAGGTATTCGTGATGATTATGTTGCTGGAGAAGGAACACACTTTAAAATTCCGTTCATTCAGAAACCCATCTTCTTTGATACACGAATTCGTCCAAGAGAAATTTCAACCAAGACCGGAACAAAAGATTTACAAACAGTGAATATTACATTGAGAGTTTTGCATCGTCCTATTGTTGAGAAACTCCCATTGATTTATAAAGAATTGGGAGGCGATTATGATGAGCGTATTCTTCCGTCAGTGGGTAATGAAGTAATGAAGGCCGTAATTGCTAGATACAAGGCCGAAGAAATTATTCAACGAAGAGAACAAATTTCAAAGGAAATTCAAAAGATGGTCCGAGATAGAGCCTTACAAAAATTCCATATTGATTTGGTGGATGTTTCCATTACTGATTTAAGTTTCAGTAAGGAATTTACAAGGGCTGTTGAAATGAAACAAGTTGCTGAACAAGAGGCTGAAAGACAGGCCTTTATTGTCGAAAAATCGAGATATGAAAAGGATGCTGCAATTATTTTGGCCTCAGGTGAAGCTAAGGCAGCCGAAATGATTTCTGAAGCCATGCAAAAATCTGGATCTGGTCTCATTGAGCTGAGAAAAATTGAAGCCAGTAAGGAAATTGCAAACACTCTTGCTAACTCGAAGAACATTACATATCTTCCAAAAGATACTCCTTATTTGATCACAAAATAATAAATTAGTGTTTTGTCCTAGATTGATTTAGGATTGGTGCAACATGTGGTGTTTGTGATTCTTTATGGTTGTTGTTATGTTGCGGCAATGATCTGACTTGTCAAATTGAAAAGTTCATCCCAATTGTTAAGGTTGGAAAAACTTGAGCATTTGTCGTTGATGCAATATTTTGTCCTCACAAATACGTGACATGTCATTACAATGAATCCATGTAGTGATGGTCGTTCGAGGAGGTGACATCTTCAACGGTACTTGCTCATATCCATCTGATGAATCGTTTGGTAACGTTTCTGTCACACCATGAACCACCGTATCACTGAAAAACACAACTGCTCGATTGAATTTTGGTTCAATGTCCAATTTTTCACTCTCCCAATAATTGTTATACAAGTGTTTGGAAGGTTTATAAATTCTGAGATTTCCACCAGTCCAATTTCTTTTGTTCGCTCCATTCATGTCCAAATCGTTTGAATTTTCTCCATTCTCCTCCTCTCGATAAGGGGTACAATAATACACAACTGTAATTTTCCTGGAATCATTCGAATAATTATCGAAATGTAATGGTAAATCATTATTGAAATCTTCACATAGAGCGACCTTATTAAAAAAGAACTTGCTTTCAGCGTTACTAGTATTTCCTGTATTTTCTTTTTCGTTTCCAGCCCGATGAGCTTCATTCATGATGTTATTGTTCGTTGAATCAAAGATCTTTTCAAAAAGTAATTTCTGAAACCAAGTGCCAACAGTTTCAACAAAATACGTCAATTCATTCTTGATCGGTTCATCGTCGGAAAAGTGTTTTGGAGTCATTTGAAGAGTGTAGAAGGGATTGGTGCTTATTGAAGTTACTTGTCCTGTTTCTTCATCCTCCATATAGGATTCCTCTCGGATCAGTTCGTTTTTATCTCGCAACGTGGAAATATGATGAAAGAAGTTGTTCTTTGCATCATCATTGCGGAAGGTGAGAAAATTATCTAAAATGACAAAATGATGGGTTTTCAATTCGGAGATGATCAATTCTTCTCTGTGAGCCCAATTCTCTCGCCAGAATTTCATTACGAAAGGGTGGAATGTTGTTCTTTTGTTTTGAATCTTTGAAAATGTTCAATTTTCTTAGCCGTGCTGGCTTTGAGGTTCACCACCAACGAACAAGAAAAAAATGTTAAAATCAAGTGTGTGGAGAATAGGAAACAACCAATACAGCAGCATGGGAAGAAGCATTCCTACATTATTCATCACAACAAAATTTGCTCCGAGTTTAAAGTATGAATTGAGAACCTTTTCGGAATTTGAATTTCGAAATTATCATCATCGTCATCTTCTGAAGAAACAGTCGAATAACGCTGTGATGGAAAATAATGTCGTTGAGCCTGAACCGAATTTCATACATTCTTCCCACACCCTACCATCCACAAAACTTTTAAAAACAAAGCTTGATGAAAATTCATGTTGGACCACACTTGAAGACTATTTTTCATCCAATTCAACCCTCGAAGATGTATTTGTAAAGGCTACATTCAGTAAGCCTTCAGCAGAAACAAATTCCAATGTTGAAAAATCTTCCAAAGACATGATTGCGAAGGTTCAAGTGCGACCGATTCAATTAAAAGACAAGAAGAATAGAAACGACACAAATATGCCATCATCATCAACATTGCATTATCAATTCACTCTATTTCATAATAGAAAGGCAACTCATCAAAATATTTCATCTCCTAGTGAGGCATTTGCAAAAGTCAAAGATCTTATCATCTCGAACAGATATCAACAAGTTTTAATTCAACCACCTTCTGGGCACAATGTACAAATGCTATTGAAATATACTTGCGCAGACGATAATGAAATAGACACTCCATTGATTGAGGGCGTTAAAATGTTGACATTTACAGAACAAGCTAAAAGTACTGACTCGACCATCCTTACTCAAGAATCTACACCTAACATTGAACGTGACCACAACAGAAAAAAGCATTACATTCTTGAGGAAGGAAAAAGAATACCATTCCTTGTAGATCTTGGCATTATGCATCCTGAATCTGGAAAAGTGCTGGCACCAAAATATAACAAGTTCAGACAAATGAATCACTTTTTAGAGATATTCAAAGACACCATTTCTGAGAGTGTCATTGAGCAGAAAGACACTCTGCGTATTATTGACTTTGGATGTGGAAAATCATACCTTACATTTGCTCTTCATTACTACTTGAAAGATATTCTCAAAATTGAAAACTTTCAAATTATTGGACTCGATCTCAAGGCGGATGTTATCGAGAAATGTAATACTCTTGCCATTAAATATGGCATGCAACACGAATTGAAATTTGTGGTGGGTGATATTCATTCCTTTGAACTCTCGCCACACTTTCTCGATCCACGACAAGATCTGTCCTCTGAAGTGGACATTGTTGTGTCTCTTCACGCTTGCAATACAGCAACCGACAAGGCACTTGCTCAAAGTGTGAAATGGTCTGCAAAGTGTATCATTTCAGTTCCTTGTTGTCATCATGAAGTGTATCAACAACTGAAACATGCAAAAACCTTGCCCGAAGATCACTTGCTGTATCCACTTTTGAAACATGGCTCATTGAGTGAAAAATTCTGCTCACTCTACACGGACAGCCTCAGATGTCAGTTATTGGAAATTGCTGGCTACAAGACCTCAATTGTCGAATTCATTGAAACCGAACACACACCCAAAAACCTCATGATCCGAGCCATCAAACCTGGCCGCACACCAACAACATCCACTACTGATACAAACAAAATACAACGGGATCTACTCATTCAACGCTACGTGAAGCAGAAGCAAAGCCTTCCCGTCAAGATTTCTTTAGAGGATTTCATGCAATCCTTTTTTGAAAACAATTGAGCGAAAAGCAGAACGAATCGTTCAATGATTCGAGCAGATTCGAGTAATTTGGCCGTACTTGTCCACACAACAATCGTCACAAATCCATGAAAATTTTTTTGCCTGCTGAAATTTGATGGACGGAGTGTTTCTTCGAAGCACCAATATACCATCACGAAAGGCCCATCAAGCGTGAAACATCAACAACAAGGCTGCTTAAAGCACTCGAAACAACAGGATGGAACCTCCTCTCCGTACTCAACAACATTCAGCATTCTTTTTGATGAAGAAAAAACACCCACTCCAGCAACAAACGCCAATAACAATATTTCTCATTCTCTCGTGATAGCGTTACAGAGTTTGAGAAAGGAACTTTTGGCATTCAAGAAGAGTTGTCGTAGGCTAAAAAGTGCATCACTCGCTTGTGTGAACACCAAGAAAATAGATCTGGTCCGTCTTAACGAGATCCTACACAAAGCACCTTTTTCACAATTGTGTTTCGGATCTATTATTCATCAGTGTTTCTCTTTTGATCAAAATAATTCATCACTGCCAGAGAAAAACTTTTCACACACAGTGGTCTGGACTTGTCACCTTTACCTTCCCTTTGATTGCCTGATTTAACTCCATTTTTGTGTTGTTGATAGGTTCCCGTGTTTTGAGGCACAAAGCAGAAGCCCTGCGGATCACTTCCACTTCATAAGAAAAGGCTGTAATTCCTCCTTCCAGCCACCACTTCAACACATTCATCCATACAATAACTCCAAAGCTTCCTTCTTGTTATTGTATTTAGATCATCGTAACATATCCTGAACCCTCTTCAATTCCATCTTTAGCTTATTCTTCGAATATGCTCTGTATGGACACTTCTAGAAAATACCAATCGGTCAGCAACAACACGTCGACGGCAAATTCATCAGACTCTGACCTTTCGGTAAGCAACTCACCCGTTCCCATAAAACCATCATCACTGGCGAACAGAAAACCTCCACCACCTCCTCCATATTCAGACGATGAAGAAGACAATTTTGAAAGCGTCAGTAGTACCACAGCCAGTACTCCCACATCAACAACCCCACCAACAAGCACTCAACCATCCATCTACTTATCAACAGCCTCAGTTTCAACAGCTTGTGCCTCTTCTGTGAACGAATCTCAGGTCAATGTCGCACTCGACTCATCGATTGTCAGAGAGAGGCAACAGAGAAATGATCTGTTGCATCTCTTCGAAATTGAAGACCGAGGCGATTCACAACGATTAACTTGTACAGTGGAATATGTCGATGATTACTTATTGAGAATATCACAACAAGTTAGAATACCAAGATATTCACACAAAAAACTTCCACCAAAACCTCCCATGAATGCCACTTCGTCACCAACATCAAGCTCTCCTACTTCCTCCGTCGCTTCTCCTTACAATGAAGACGACCAATCCTCTATTCCTTCTTCACAAAGCACGGATGCACTAGATCGATTGGAAAAAGTTGAAGAACAAGCAGCAGACGACAAACCAACAAGACATTCTCTCGTCGCCAGTCGAGCACTGTTGTTCCAAAATACCGGACTTTCCAAATTTGCAAAGCCAAGAGCTCCATCAACTCTGGTAAGGCAACCACGGAATACCGACACTAACACCTCGGTTAGATCTAATCGTAGTGACACATCTTTTGTGACACACACAGCAAGAGTGACTCGAACCGAATCATTGTCACCTACCTCCACTCCTTCAAATCTTCTTACTCCTCCTCCTGTTCCTCCAAAATCATTGAAGCCAAAAAGAGATCTCTCACCATCAACACCTGAAGATTTCACACCTTCCTTACAAATCTCGCAAAAGATTCCATCTCCCTTACTTCGTCAAGAAGAATCAAAAAGATTGAGCTTTCATGCAACACCTACCCCTGAATCAAAAGTTCAGCGCGAGAAAATACCAAGAGAACGTGTTCTTGGACCTCACGTCATTGATTTTGTCACTCAATTGACGTTTCCAAATCATTCTAATTGTTACCTTGTTCATTTAGCTGCAAAATATAATCATGTGGACATATTGCACTGGTTATTGGATTGTTGCTGTGATGAAACATGTCCAAAAAGTCCGTCCACGCCTTCAACAGATGCCTTGGAAATACCACATTCAAAGAAGTGTATTTCGAGGCAAAAGAAGCTATGGAGCCTCCAAGATAAGCAAGGAATGACACCACTCTATTACTCAGTTGCTGGAAACGATATTGGGCAAAAAACACAAGATGCTTGCGTATTTTTATGCAGTCAATCAATAGTTCAAGAGAAACAACTTAATTTCTTAATTGACCCATACGGTAATTTACCAATTGTTCTTGCTTTGAAACGGAAGGACTTGGAATTGGCCGATATGTTACAATTATTTGGTGCGAAATTGGATATTACGGTAGGCATTGGTGTGCTGGGAGAAAGTTTGCTACACAGTGCCTTTCGAGATTGTGACGTTCCAGTCAGTGAATATATCATCAAAGCAATGCCAAGATTAATATTCAAAAAGAATCAAAGAGAGGAGCATGCGTTGTTTGCCTGTCTCAGAGATTACAGATCCATTAATACTCACTCTTCAAACTCATCATCAAATCTTCTTGAACTAACTGAAAGAAAAACATACTCGGAGAGAAGACAAAGTAGTCTTGTTTTTACCAATACCTCTACCAGTCTTAACAACAACAACAAGTACTTTTTATTCTTAAAACACATTCTTGTGAATGGTAACCAATTATTTGGAGTTGAAATATTCGAGAAAGCACTCTTAATGAAGAATGCTTTTGGAAACAACATACTCATGCAAGCTGTTGCATTTAATGATGTGGATTCATTCAAGACTATCTGCCGATATTTATTTGAGTATTCCATGAAGCAGGTGGAAAAGCACAAGTTGTTGACAAGTATGGCACTTGACAGGGATCGAGATGGAAGAACCATTCTTCATTTAAGTATTGATTTTGCTATCAAAATGCTTTCTAAAAAACCTGAAGACTTTTTAGCCTGGTTCAATGGATTTGAGTGGTTGTTTGTTTGGCTTGAACAAAATTTCCTCTGTCTGACAAATAATGTTCAATTTACCAAGTCACAATCTCTTCATTCTTTCCTCATGCAAAAAGATAATAGTGGTAAAACGGTATTTGACATGGTGGCCATGCAAGATATCAAGAAAACAGAATGGAAAAGCATCAAAGAAAGTCTTCAAACTGCAGCTGACAAGTGGATACAGAACAAACCAGTTTCAGGTACTGGATCAGCTCTTGAGGCTTCCGAAGCAAGTGAAAAACAATCCTTAGTATCTTTGTTCAAAAACAAGATGAAGAAATCAAACAAGTAGTGATAGATGTCATGAGAATGAACATGCATCAATATGATTGACATGCCCACACTTTTCCAATTGGCTGATTCACACTCCCAATTGACTAACCTTAATTGTATAACAACAACACGCTTCAATAAATGGAAACAACACTAAATTTTTGGGTTTGAAGTAAATATGCTTTTGCTGAACTTTGTTGCCTTTGTCGGAGAATTAGAAAAAAAATGATCGAATCGAATCTTTCCAAGTTCTTCCTCTCGACAGCTCCCGAAGAAATGTTATGCGAAATTATAACATTTCTTCCATTCCGAGAGTTGATTCACATGTTTATGCTTTCAAAAAAGTATTGCCAATTATTTATGAACAGTGAGCTCTTATTCCACAAGCTCTGCATTGTATTTTGTAAACAGTACGAAGTTCCACTGGATGACATTGATGATCAAAGGAAGAAAGTATTGAATCTTATGACCGACACAACAGATCGGAATCATTCAACATCATCTTCATCTTCAATCGATAGTGATCATTACAGTCCGAGAATATATTTTCAAGTGTTGCAACGATTGATCCGAGCTCATGGTTACCGTTGGGACACTGAATTTCCGTATTACCAACAATCGGATTATTCCAAAATTTATAAGTGTGATGAAACGACACTAAGTGTGTTGGAACAACCTCTTCATGGAGATTTTATCACCATCAAGGCTCGTAAATTACTCATGCCAGGTCATTTCTATACATGGCAGTACAAATTGGAGAAATATCTACCAGATGAGACATCAAATTCTTTCAAAGTAATGGTTGGCGTAGAATCTCTATATTTCTTTCCATTTGGATCACAACATAGTGGAGATGTGATCGGTTGGCAAGCATCTTCAAAAGGCTGTGCACTCATTACAGGTCCAAAACAGATAGTAAGAAGTGCATGTGCAGCGTTCACCCATACCCATCAACAAAACCTTGTAAACTTGTCACAAAATTTTCAACAAGGTGATTCGATTATTGTGGAATTTGATTTTCGAGTACCATCTGAGATGAAAGATGAACACGCAGAAGAACAACGACTGTATGAACGGTATCAATACTCACAACAACAGGCTCGACAATTAGGCAAGATTCGTTTTTCATTATTATGGAAATCAACCCAGCGTGAAGAGAAGAATTTGATTCATTTAACACCTTGGCTTGATTATGGCGATCCAAGATTTGCTCCCTATGTCCCTGCATGTAGTGTGAATGATTATCAGAGCATTTCCATTGGACCTAATTACCAATTTTATAATTCAAAACAATTGTTACATGATTTGGAATGAAAATTTCCCTTTCCTTTGTGAGTAAATGATGAATGTTGTGGTGGTGTCCTGTTACAGTTTGACAATGAGCAAACATCATCAAAAAATTCGAATTTAAAATTTCCAATCAAAAAAAAAATGCCAACCAAACAAAAAACAAAGCCATCATCATCCAAAACGGACAAGCTGGTCGAGTTGGATGCTCTTGACCTGGGACCAACAGAAACGGCAGCAAGCGGAGTGGAAATTACTGGAGAGAGTACATCAAAGAAAAAGAGGTCTACATCATCATCGGCTCAAAAAAAGAAGGGACCACCTCCACCCTCCGAGCAAGGTATTGAAGTACTCGGAAGAAAATACAGCAAGGTAGAGCTTATTGGTAAATTATTACAATCATCAGGGATCCAATGTATTCCAAAAACTGTCTTGATGGAGAACGCAAAGAGAATTCTTCAACAAGATAAATTCACGAATCTGTTGCAGGATCCAGAAGAACCCATGAAGGAAATTCACGGTTACAAGATGGGAACTAGGGCTTTTGAAATGTTGAGAGAACATGTTGATTATGAATTAACTAATTTAATGTACATTGCAAACGTTCTTACTGTTGCAAAAGGAAAAATCACAATTGGTGAAGGAGAAGTTCTTTTGGCACGTCTTATTCAAAAACATCAATTGAGCTTGCATGGTAACAAGGAGGGCACACAGAAGGCTCTAATCAAATGTCAAACACCAAAAGCAAGAGACACCATCGTTCTTGGTCAAGATGTTCACATTGACAAGATTGCAACAATATTAGAGGAAGCCATTTCAAGCAAACATCATGATCTTTCTGTGGGTGACTTGAACAGCCATAGAGTCGATGAACTTAGAAAGGCCATCAAAAAAGCTGAGCAAAAATTGTACAATGAAGATGGTACTAGAAAGGAGCCAAAGAAGAGAAAGAAGGAGGAAGTGAAGGAAGAGGAAGAAGAGGAAAAATCAGCCACTTCTGAGAAAAAGAAGGAACCAAAAACTAAAAAAACTAAACCTTCTGCTGAGGAAAAGAAGACAGAGACAAAGCCAGCTGAAAAGAAGGAGGAAAAGTCTGAGAAAAAGGAAAAATCAGAATCTCAAAAGAAGAAGTAAATTTATTCTATGGTGACACTTTCCCAAAGCTATACCCACCGCATAAAATACGCGATTTACCTTGATAAAGCATCATGCCACTCCGATCTTTTGTGTTCAAAATTATTGAGATTCTAATTTCTCAAACAACAATTGGAACAATTCATCACTTTGTCTTGCTCTTTGTGCAGAAAGTTTTCGTTTCCTTTTTTTAAAATTGACACTCACACTGTCCACAACTCCACGCGCGAGGCTCTTATTTAATGTAACTTGATGAACATGCGTGATATCCTTAATATATGTATAAAAAATACAAATAATCCACACAGCTCAGCAGCTGCCAAAAACACGTTAGCCGTTAGAGCATGTCATTCATCGATTTCTAAAAAAATGTGACTTTTCCGTGAAGGTAAGAATTTGAAGTGAAAATATGAGTGTTTTCAACTGATATTGAAAACATATGCACCCAAATATTGTTTCCAGAAATTGTAACCTTCTTCTGCCTCCCAATATCTCTTGTTTTGTAAACCTTCAAAGCGAACAATTTTTTCGCTCCACGATGCTCCCCATGCCATCTTTACAAGCAAAGGCTTTGAATATTTCGGCAAAATATTTGCACATGAAATGAGAGAGATCTTCTCCAAATCGTCCTCACCAACAATGTCATCTCAGGTGCTCAACCATGCTCAACTCTTTCAATTCAATCCATAAAATTCATATCAATATACTCCTCGTGATGTCTTCTATCAGGTGATGCACAGCAAGATCCACTCAAATCAATAATTCCCACAA